ACCGGGCGTTGGGCGCAACTGCTGCTTGAGAAGGCAGATCTGGAAAACAACAATTTTTTGTTAGAAACTGTGCAAAACTTGGCGAAAAATATATTAGAAATTTCACGTCGAAAACTTCGAAAAAATTTTTATGTTTAATGTCGAAATTCATAATGCCGAAACTTGAAAGCATCGAAAATTCATAATATCGGCATTTTATCATGTCGAAATTTTATAATGTCGACGTTGTGATTTTCGACATCTTAGGGAATTCCTCGGGGTATTGGTTATCTCGAAATCTTCAAAATTCACATTATTAAAATGTCGAAATGCCGAACTTTCCAAATGTTCAATTTCGGGATTCCAACAGCAATTCTAAAAACATACCTGAACAAGAATCTTCATGTTGCTCGTCTCCTGGCAGGTACTGCTCTGGCCGACCGGCGCCGGGCACTAAACGAGAATTAAAGTAAAATCAGGTTTAATATAAAAAATCCGACATTAGTTAAATTTTTTATTAAATCTAATGCAGTCAAATATCGAACAAACACTTTCGTAATTTAATTCGAGGCCTAAAAATATCATTTTTCACCACTTTCAACACGTAACACACACACACACACACACACAAATTAAAGCCAATTTCAATACAAAAATAAAATGCTGACCATTGCCGGGTCCAGTCTCAGGTCGATAACGTTCTCTCCGGGCTTCGGCGTCGCTATGAAGCAGGCGGAGCGGTGATTTTGGCTAAAAACGACGATAGAAGAAACATCCAAAAAAGATGCGTACTTTTGCGACTGCGACCAGCCGGCGTATTGTTGGAGGTACTGTATGGATGGGCAGGGCTCGCGGTTCAGCAACGGCTCGCCGGCCAACGGCGATGCGCCCCACATCAGCAGGCGCCACTAAAATAAGAATTAAAAAACCATCAGGCAAAGGCAGAAATTCGCAATTTTCAAAGTTTTAATATAAAAATATTGTTTATAAATATCTAGCAATCAAATCTACTAAGAGCACTATAAAAATACATAATATATCATAAACTCGGGTATCGGTGGAAAAACAGTGGTACCCCCCCCCGCTAAGAGCCGCGAACCCAAATTCGACTAACAGAAACCTAAAAACTGACCCGTCCCTTCTCCTCGACGATGGCGGTGGCCACCGACAGCGCGAAGAAGCAGCTCGGGCTGACGAACTGCTTGGGGTCGTAGTTGAAGATGAAGTTGTAGGCGGGGCCCTCGTAGAAGTTGGCGACGAACACCGGCGAGATGGCCTCCAGCTCCTCGCAGGCGCTAGAAAAATAAACTTAAATACTTTCTTTACATTGTTAAATAGTTCTGTCAAAACCAAGTAAAAATTTCAGGTTTTCAAAAAATTTCTAAAATTCTGTATCCCTTTTTAAAACAATCCCTTCCAAAAACGCACATGTAAACCCGCTTCCTGGCGTCCCGGAACTGCGCCTCGATCATCGTCTTGTGCCGGTTGAACGCCTCCTTAATCTGCGGCCTGACGGTGAGGCGGTTGTTGGCCGCCGTCTCCTAAAGAGCACCGTCATCAACAACAAGTTCAGCGGGGCTTACCTCCAGCAAATGGAAGCCGGCGCCGTGCTCGAGCAGCAGGCGGAACAGCTGAGCGTCGTTCATCGCGTAGGCCTGAATTCGAAGTTAAAAAAAAAACTAAAATAAACCCCTACATTATATAAAAACGAATCCTTGAAGGGCGTCAACAGATTCACCGGCGCGTTGAAGGCAAGAAGGCGGCGCACACGGCATTTTAGATTCTAAAAACAACTGATTAAAAAAAGTCAAATAAATGCATTTTGTATTAAATTAAATTGTTAATTAAATTAATTGTTTCTAATTTAACGTTCAAAATAATCAATTGGCTAAATTTGCAAATTCCCGACCCTTGAGATGGCGTAGTACAGCGGCGTCTTGCCGAGCTTGTCCACGACGCGCGGATCCTGAAAACAAAAATTCGAATATTAACATAAAAATCCCTACAACTCCAAGGAGAAATAAGTATTCGGCGGCGTCGCATAGGGCGTGTTGGTAGGTGCTGCGCTTGATGTCCGGCTGATTGCACGAGATTTGGCATAGCTAAAAATCGGAAAATTAACTATGGAAATTTCGGGGTTCTCAAAATTCGAGATTCTGAAAATTAGAATCTGATGGGTAATTTATAATCTACCAACGTTATATATATATCTTCTAAAGTCCGATTTTAAGAACAAACCCTATGCAGCAGGTTCTGGCCCTTCGAATCGACGTAGGCGACGGCGAGGTCGCTGCCCGTCGGGTTTTCCTTGTGGTAGGCGATCACCGTCTTTGCCTTCTTCAGGTCACCGCGCAGGATGGCGTCGGTGAAGATCTAAGCAAAATCAGCGTGATTTTCGAGTTTTGCATTAACCTGGCGATGACTGACGCCGTGTCGCGCCTCGATGGCAAACTGGTCAACGGCTTCCATGCGCACGTTCCGCCTCTGTTTCAAGGCCATCGAAAGTATCTAAAAAATATTTATAAACAGTAATAGCTAGTAGTTTAACGATATTTTAAGTGAAAACATACAAAATCTAGAAACTTTTTGGAATTTTTGAGATCGAAAATCATTGGACTGTTTGAAAAACGCTGTATTTTTCTATTTTCATAAAACTTGCAAAGCCAAGGAATAGTTTAAAAAAAACAGATTTAGCAAAAAGATCCGAAGCCCCACCTCGTTCATCGGCTTCGCGGCGGCGGCGAGCTGCTCGGGCGTGAAGTAGGTGGTCATCATCCGGCCCTTCAGCTCGCGCTAACAATGGCGAATTTTTCTGGGAACCTTTTCCTCACCTTCGGTTTCTCCAGCGACTTTTCCGGCTCTGCTGCGGGTGCCACCGCTTCCGCTTCTGGCTGAAAAAAAACGAGAATTAATCATATTCGGAAGCCAAAACAAACCTCCTGTTTTGGGGTCGATGGTGGGTCAGCATTGCGCTTTCTGGCGCGCGACGTCTTGGGCCTCGAAATGACCACCTCCTCATCGTCATCAGAATCGTCGTCTAAAAAAGTAATGTTCAAAAATACTTTTAAAAAGGACCAAAAACGCTGTCGCATTTTCCAAGGCATATTCCGCAAATCACAATTTTTTTAAAAAGCACCTTGCTACACCGTTCCAGCCATTTTTCAAGTAAGAGGGGTACCAAATAAAATTAAAATTTTAAAACAAGTAATCGAAAAAGTTACTTTTCAAAAACGTATAGAAATCGACAACTAACCGATCAGGACCGCCTTCTTGGCCGGCGTCTTGCGCGGTGCCCTGCCGGGTGGCTTCTTCACCGGAGCCACTGGTTCCGGTTCCTCTTCTACTGGCTCTTCTACGGTCGATGAACCGGGCACCGATTCATCCATCAGAGCCGTCTCCACGGAATCGTCGTCCGGCACCTCGTACTTGACCGTGAGGCCATTCCGGTTGCCGGAATCCTGAAAATAGAATAAAAATAAGGTCTTATGTTTATCCGCCGATTCTTTATTTCACGGATTTTTTTTGTCGATCTATTTTTCCATTTTGCGTCGTTGAAAGAAACCGGGTTTTAAAAAGTTATCAAACTCGAAAAAATAGTCCCAATTTCAATAAAATAAAATTTTTCGGCATAACCAGGAAACGCTGCAATTAGAGTAAATTCTACCAAATTTGGTATCGGAAAGAATAATACAAGAATAATATTTTAGTATTACCTCCTCAGTATCCATTTCCTGTTTGGGGAGTTCATGCTCCACCGCGGGCGCCGTTGGCTTACGGCCACGACGAGCCGGTGGTTGTCTCTGCAAAAAAAACAACTTAATCAAATTTTAGAAAAAATTAAGGCGCTTGCTCAGAAATTCTGCTGCAAAAACTCACCGCTGGTGCCTTCCTACGTCCGCGAGCCGGCTTTGTGGCGAAGGTGGGCTGAAAAAAGTTGTTAATCCTGAAAATACACCCCGGTCCAAGCAAGCTATTTTTAGGAGCAATAACAGAGGAGTCTAACTATGATAATTGTATAAGCCGGAAAGAAAATTCAGGATTAAATAGACAGAGGGTGGCCGGCCACGAAATATCCAACAAAGGGCACAGCGCTCACCAATTCCGCCCCTTTCGACTTTTCCGCCTAAACACAAGCCACGTAAAAACGTTGACTTCACAAAGAGCCAGCCAAGCAACAAGTAAAGCGCAATTTTCATACCGTATTTGATCGACTGTTCGGGCCACTGTCGCCGCTCCCATCGTGCAGATCGCGAAGTCGGCTTCTCGTCATTCGGCCGCCCACCGCGGAGGTGTTGATTTGGGTGAGTACCTGGAAAAGCGGAAGTTATTCAGAAAACTTCGAAAAAACCTAAAAATTTTAAATTAAGGTCGAAAAGTCGATATTCTAGTTTTTCTAATCAAAGTTTTTGAGATTATGATTCGTAAAAACAGGTCGAAAGTTGGTTATTCTCAAGTGAAAAACTGCTTAGAAAATCAAGGAAAAAAGCAAGGTACCAAAATTTCCAAATTCTCACCTTCTCCGTGGCGGTCAGCTTGTGCGAGGGGTCGTACAGTGTCGCCGTCTCGCCCCTCAGGTCTTCAACCGCTTGGCCGCAGAACGAATCGAGCAGCTCGTCGGCGGAGGGCTTGTACTCGTAGCCGTTGTATATGCCCGTGTGGGCAAATTCCTTGGCGGCCTCCTCGTGGAAAGTCACCTTCTCGGCGTGCTCCTCGCGGAACTGGTCGAGCAGGTCGCCGAATATGGCGTCTAAAAACACGGTTCTTAGCGTCAGAAGTATGTCTACCTCGCTTTCCAAATTTTAGCAGCTTCTCGTAGTCCTTCCACGACTTCCGCTCATCGCCGTCACACTGCCATATGACGCGGTACTGGATCTGGTTGAGCGGGGCGTTGAAGCGAACATCGTCGACCTTGGAGATCATCTCCTGAAAAATTTATATTATTTGGAATAAGATAAAATTAAAAAAATTATCCTAAAACATTTAAAGTCCTCACCGGCGTCAAAACATCATCTACATCCGAGTCGCTTCCATCTCCGGCGACCGTATCCGGGTCGTTGGCCATCGCCACTAAACGGTTTTGTTTATTCGAGTTACACAGCAACGAGAGAGGGAGAGGGAGAACAACCGGAAACGAAATGCCAAGGTACAAAAAGATGCTTGCGCACGCAAAGAAAGATCATAAACCCGTGGTGGGAGATTGGGAATCGAGACATTAATAGGAGAAAAAGTACAAAATATTAAAGAGGTACAAAAGTTGTAAAATTATTGCCTAGAAACAATACTGACATTTGAGAGAAAACCGCCGAGATACCGACAGTCAAAAACGCTGCTAAATTAAATAAACTCAAATTCGAGTTTCGACAATCGTCAGAAGTAAAAAATACCGCATGTCGGGATTTTGGTTGTCGGCATAATGGATCTAATTCAATCGAGAGATTCGATTAGCGGAAATACCGAGGCAACAATAAATCACACAAAAAACAAGAATTATGTTGTGTCCATCAAATCGGGCATGCCGCTCGTCGGGCTCGACTCCATCGCGTGCTTCTTCTTCTTCTCCTTTTTCTTCTTCTTGTCCTTCTTTTCCTTGTGCTCCTTGTGCTCCTTCTTCCGCTTCTCCTTTCCGTTTTTGCCGATGGGCATCACGATTTCGGCGGGTGTCTTGTCCATCTTCAGGTACATCTCGGCGGGCGTCTCATTGTCCCGTTTCTTGGTGAATAGATGCCGGTACGCCTCGTCTACGGGGCCAACGTTTAGCCGGAAGCCGGACATTGCCTGTGTGGTCAGCGGTGCGATTTCCTTGCCGGTGATCGGCGGCTTTTCGACGAGTCTCCGGAGGGAGCTAAAAATGACATTAGTTGAAGTTTCTAGAAATCTCACCTAAAATCGTCAGACTGCGAAAAATGGAAGTTGCCGTAGAGATTCGGTAGAAACGACTCGAGATCCTCCTTCACTTTTCCGGGCGTACACAGCCGCTGGTACGGTGTCGCCAGGTCGTACTGCTCCAACAAGTCGGTGCTGCCCAGTTGTTCGGCGTAGCCGGGCAGATCGGGCTTGAGCGTGTAGAACGGGACGCCCTGGCTGGCGTATCGTGTCGAGATCTTGGCGCCGCCGAGCTAAAAATAAAATAAAAGACAATTGAGAGAAAATCCGGGGGTTTTTTCGCATTATATAGAGATACAATAATTTTTCTTCGTCGTCCAGAAATGCTCAGTAACGTCAAACTAGCTATTTTTAACGCGTTTTCGTAAAATTTAACTATATTTCAAGCAGCAGAATGATCAAAAACTGCTAAAATTTCTTTTTTGACTTTGAAAATTTTGGGCGAAAATGGGCAAATTCTTTTTGCAGATTTTTAAATTTTTTAAAGTTTTTCCATTTTGAAATGCACCTTCAATGAAAGCTTCAAAGGCCCAGGCGTCCCTCCTCCGCCGCCACTTCCCGCGCTGCTGCTCGGGCCGCTGCTGTTCATCCTGAAATTTTTTATTTGTATTCCGGCACACGAAATGGCAAAGCCTATGAATTGCACAATGGAGAGGCAAACACACACGCGAAAAGAGCGGCACCAAAACACATGGTTTCACGAAAATTTTGGGGAAATCTCGACTTCAGGGCTACAACATTGTCCCAAAATTTCCGACATCACTATTAGAAAAAAAGCACACGGAATGTATGGAGGTGACTATTTCGAGAGGGTGGCGAAGACTACAAATTATCGATCACAACTGGGAAACCAAACCGGCGGCACTGAAAAAAAACACAAAAAAAAGAAAGTGAATAGTGATTGGTATTATTAGGAAGATTCGAGGATGGCAACGTGACAAGAAAAAAGGGGCACTGGTTTGTTAGCGGGGGCAGGTTAGGAGGAATTTTATAGTGTTTTTTAATCTTTTTAATCGTTTTAGTCGTTCTGGATTAATAAAAACAAAAAAGGTCTTTGAAAATTAAAAATCGATTTCTGACCATTCTAAATTTTTCAACAAAACGATAACTTTCGGAAATTTGGGCAATTTTTATCAGGTTTTATGTAAAAAATCGCGTAAAAAGCTACAGAAATCAAATTTCTACGCATTTTTCTACATTTTACTGTCAAAAATCAAAAACTTTCCAACATTTTGCTAACTTTTGATGATCTATACTAAAAAACGGCATAAAAGCTATATAACTAGTCCGCACTTCAGTATCGTGCTTAGGCTTAGGCGCACTCTTGTAGCGCCATGTCGAAATTCGGTTTCCTCCCCCGCTAACGAACCAGTACCGAAAAAGCAAGCTATTCATACAAATTCACAAAGTTCGGGGGTGCGTTAAGGCGCTAGGGCAAAGCTCCTGAATATTTGCAAGGCGATCACAGCTGCATCATTGGCCGGTCAGTTAGTTTTCTTTGGAGAAGAAGGGGGCAGAGTCGGGGTTGAGTAGCGTATGGCAGACTTGGCAGACGGAGGCCGGCCTTCGAGCCGGACCCGCGGAGACCGAGTTGGAGAGGCACTTTGTACAGAAGATGCGGCCGCAGTGCCGGCAATGGGGCTTGGGCTTGGTGCGGTTGAGGGCCGCCGAGCATTCCTGGCAGTTGTCGACGTCGTCGTCGAATTGCCATCGCACTTCCTGCTCGGAGGCGCGGATTTTCTCGAGTTGGATCTGGAAATTGAATTTTCAAAGTAGTACTTTCAAAAGGTTGGAAAAAGTCGCGGATTTTGTACATTTCGGCCAAAAAAAAAATCAATTTTACGACCAAAAATTCAATTTCACATAAAATTTGTAAAGTAGGTTTTATTCTAAAGAATACCTAAAAATGCACAAATCTATCTAAAAAATCTAGGCTTGCGCGGGGTAAAAAAATTTGTTTTCGCCATTAATAGGAAACAAAATTGGATCCTAACGAAAAAATTTGATGTTAAATTTTCGAAAAGCATGATTATAAAACTCATATAAAAATAATTACCTGCAGGGATTGGCTGAGCTTGACAAAGTCCTTCTGCACCATCTCGCACGTGTCGAGCTCCTGTTGAAGCGAGCTGCACCGGGCCTTGTAATTCTGCGCGGTCTGCTCGACGGCCTTGCGCTGGTCCTGGACTTGTTGCACTTGTCCCTCGAGCTCGGTGATCGTCGCCTGCAGCTCGACAATCTGGCGCTTCTGCTCCTCAGCGGCCGCCAGCGTCGTTGCCGCGGAAGTCAGGTCCGATTTCCCGATGGCGACTTCGGTCTGCAGTTCCGTAATTTGCGAGCCGAGCGCCTTTTCGATCGAGTCGCGGACGGCGGCTTCTTCTTGTAATTGGGCGCGAAGGGTCGCTTCGACGTCGGTTTTTTCGACGCGCAGATGTTCAAGCGCGGCGCGGGCTTCGATCAACTGTTCCCGTAGCCCGAGGCAGTGGATTTGGAGATCGGCGCCTTCCGGGATTGAGATAACCTCTTCTTGCATGGCTCGGGCCGTCATTCGATTGACACCTGTAAAAAATAGGATTAGCTGAAATATGCAGAAATTCAAAATTTCGTAAAGTTACAGTTTCATTAGTATTTCCGGTCTTCTATCTTTCCTGTATGTCTAGAAATGTCTATACTAACGCTTTTTAGTAGAATATCACTATATTTAAAGAGGGGAAACTCATTGCAAACTAGAAAAAAAGCCACGCCTCGGAAATACAAAAATGCCAAAGTTACAAAATTATAAGCAAAAATACCCACCCAACAAAGCCTTGTACTTGTCTATCGTCGCTACGTGCTTGGCCGTCAGCTGCTCGTACTTTTCACGGTTGCGCGTCGCCTTGTCCTGCACCTTCTTGACAGTCTCGTTGTAGCGGTCCTTCAGAGAATCGTAGGCCGACGCCATCTTTGAGTGGTTGGTGAGGGCCAGCTTGATCTTTTCCTCGGCTTTCTCCGTCGATTCCGCAAATCGCTTCTCCATCTCCCGCCGGTAATCCCTCTCGTTTGACAACTCCTTCTCGTATCTGAAAATGGGAATTCTAATAACATTTGGGTTCTTTAGTTTGTATCTAGAGCATCCCGAATTTTCCTAAACCTCTAATTTTTTTCTTGTAATTTAAATAGAGGAAAGGGCTCAAAAAGGTTTTTGCGATGAATAAACGTAGAGACCGTTCAAAGTAATACAAAAAGGTCGATTTTTCGACCACAAAAGCCTCTTTTTCGATCAAGGCTCAAATTTTTAAAATCCCCACATTCTGTTACGTATATCGTTGACAGCAAAAACACATTAACTTCATAACCTACCGATCCGACAGCTCCTTGACGGCCTTCAGCTCTTCGCGCAGCTTCCTCTCGTTGTCTTGCATGATCGTGAGATTGGTCTCGTAATTGTGGCACATCTCGCAACCGCCCTGATTTGGCGAGGGCTGCCCGGAGAAGGATTCGAGGTTTTCCGGGGAGGGCGTCATCCGGGAGAGGTCATCGTCCAGTCTTGGTTCTTCCGATGAGCACGCCGGATCCGACATCCTTGAGACCCTGAAATTGATTGGATGAAGCCGGGAATCGGGTGGAAAATGGGAAACGAAAATAAGGCCAAATTAAAGTTCTATCAATAAAGCTTCAATAATATATTAATATCAATAATTTTTGAAATGAAATTGGGTTGTTAGCGGGCTTTGCTCCTTATTGGATCGCCTTGTTGCGGCCTTGGCTACAAAAGGCTCCCCTCGACACATCTAAGCTGCCTCCCAATTGCATTCACGTCCGCCCTTAAAAAACATCCCGGAAAATCCTTTCAATCTAAAAGTTTTAATAAATTTCATTCACTTTAAAAATTTTTCTTGATTATTGTATTATCTTCTCGCGGCCCAGCTCCTTGAACTGATTATATCCCTTTTCAGGCTTGCGCGTGGATAATAAAAATCTCGGCGGCCAAACGGGAAACATGAATTCGGAAGCGCGGTAAGCTATTCTACATAGTTTAAAGGTTATATTTATAGGCCACCTAGCGCGCAGACGCCCTACCCATTGCTTGCCGAGTCGACGGCGTATCGTAAGGTGTTGAAACAGGTTTATTCAGCTTTTGAATTCTGTAATTTTATCTAGGTGAGCGCCGGCGTATTGGGACAACACGGATTCGACGCAGTGCCAGCGATTGGTCTTGATTCGATCGCGCGCGTGATGGAGACTTGTGAGGAATTATTATTTTTCTTGACGAAACGATTTCAAGACCTCCTGGCGCTTTGTGATGGGACGAAGCACGCCGTTGAGAGTGCTGGCCGTTCTGCGCCTACAGTCACGGATGCGATGGTTAGCTTTGTCATACGATTTCTCAAATTTTTAGGTCTCCTTTGCCAACTTGGGCATTGATCAAGAAGCGTTCATCCAGCACTGCTACCGAAACAAAAACGAAGTTGTTTCCATCCCTACGCGTAAGCAGCGAGTTTGCAGCAAAGAGATTACGTTTTTTCAGCACGTCAAGAGAACCCTCAGCGGACGCAGAACACGCTTCAGGTTTTAACTTGCCAATTTTCCAAAACGTAACTTTTGAGGTCGGAAAGACGCGCCTCCATCCGCCGCACGTCCCAGAATCGTTGCCGCCATTTCCGGATCCGCACACTTACATCAAAACGGAGGTATACGCGTTTTAGTTTTCAAAGCAAAATCTGATAGATCTGCGCCGATCCGGAGATCAGCTACGAAAAGGTGCGCGACCAGATGGCGCAAGGCCAGCGCGATGCCGTGAGGTAAAAAAATTTGTGATCAAACGCTTAAATCTCCTGCTCAGAAACATTGTCGATCTGATGCAACGCCAATACCCGTCGACCTGCCTCTTCCGCGACTACATGGAGCAGACGAAGAAATGGGCCGAGAAGACTGTATAATGCGTTTTTTTAAACTCAATTCAACAGCTTCTAGGTTGTTGAAGGTGAAGAAAGACGTCGGCGTGAGAAGCAGCGGCGCGGTTTGGCGAACAGCAACTCGGGGTAGGATCCAAATTTTTTGTGCTGAATTTTCTCATAGAGCGGCCCACATAAAAACGGAGCAGAGCGACGACGCGATGGAAATCGGAGGTTCTGATGTGGCCGAGGGCTCGAGAACGGTACACCATAAATTTTAATTCGTCTAATTGACAATTTAGGGTCGTCATTTGTACGAAGACGACGATCAGTATGGATTGCCCGAAAACGTGTCCACGTTGATCCGACGCAAGATTCCGGTCTACTGTTCTAGTAAGCTTTTATAAACTCAGAAAAGAACCATCATTTAATTTAGTTCTCGACCTTCAACCCGAATTCCGGCCCTATTTGAACTGCTTGGCCACCGATGATGATGCCAAGGATGATGACGGCGACCTGAAACGCGAGCCCGTCAAGCGGAAAGCAAAGGATGAAGCTTCTGAGGTATTTTGCGATATCCACTCTCAATAACTTTCCTTTAGAATTCCGACAATCCCTTCTTCCGGCAGCCCCGCGTCGCGCAAGAGCCCGTCAGAGTGAAGAGCGAAGGCAGCGAGATGGAAACCTGAGGCGCCCCCAGTTTAATTTCTGTATTTATTTCCCTCGATTCGGGTCCGACTAATAAAAATCTCATTATCGATAGACGCCGTCGGTTCGGTGACGATCCAAAACGGGCTCGGCATAGGTGGGGGTGATCAACAACAATAGGCTACGATAAATTGCATAAACTATGGAAATCGATAAGAGAATGACAAGTCCGACGGCCGGGAAGAAGAGCGGGTCGACTTGATCGGGTTCTTTGTCCGGGATGTATGTGGGGGATTCTTCGGCTTCTGATTTTAGCGGCCACGAGATGAGCGTGATCGTGATGAGGCCGGCGACAACATTTAGACCCACGATTGCAGGGCTAAAATCATTGTATTTAGCGCAAAATTTATCTAGATTTAGCGTTTAGGGCTGCAAAATCTGCTGCAACTTCAAGAAATCGGCAAAAACGAACAAAGCCGACTTACAATCCCTTCGTTCTCGACGCTATCAAGCAGAAAAATAACGTAGAACACCAGACAAACGCTAGAAGAACAACTCCGAGCCCGACACCGAATACTAGCATCTCCTCGCTGTGGATAAGCCGCACCAAGCCCCCACTGTTGCTAACCCCCGCCGCCACCGAGTTGCCATGGTTACCGCCAACCGCGCTCGCTGCAAAAATTCTCGAAAGCCACGACCTTGATGAGCAATGTGCAGCTCCTTTCCGCCAGACTCGGCAACAATTTATTTTGAAAATGAGAGAGATCTTCGACAACGGACATGTATCGAACATGGATAACATGAAAGGGGAACAAACGTAATAGATTAGACAGGTACAAAATCTACAAACTTGGTGATTCAAAAGGAGTGTGTGTGGGTCCACGGGGGTCGCCGGTCTTGGTTTGCTTGTGGTGGTGTCTTCATCTTCATCTAGCTCCTTGAGCGCGAACGCGAGCGTGAGACCGAGCGAGAACTGAGAGCAAAATTGTTCAACATTGCGAAAAAATCGAGATACCGGCTCTTGCGCTCCACGCGTTCGGCGGATCCGGCGCGCTTCGGGGGCGGCGAACGGCTGCGGCTGCGCGAGCGAGTACGGCTGCGTGAGCGACGGGGCGAGCGTGAACGGCTGCGAGACCTAAATGAAGATTTTATTTCAAGCAAAGAAGTTTTGCAATTTTTGATAGGGGATGGATGACAGCTGTTCACAAAGAACCGACAACCCAGATCAAAGCGGAAATATTCAAAGACGGAGCCTGAGAAGGGGGAGAAGTCGAATAGCGAGATCAAAATGAAAACCCAAAAAAGGGAACCGGGTGCTTTCGCATTAACTACTTTTCAAATTGAAATTTTGATCGAAACATCCATATTTTTTTCAGGTTTTACGTCTAGAAAATTTCCCCAGCGACAACGCGAAAGCACCAAGAATTATCCTACGTTTACCCAGAAACAAACCTCCGCTGCATGCCGGCGAAGGCCGAAATTTTGTGTGCGAGGTGTGCGCGGATGTTTTGGGATGGATGGATGGAAGCTTGTCGCGTAGCGGCGGTATTGAGGGCGCTGAGGAGGGCATAGGGCCCAGGAAGACGAGAAGATGAGCATAGGCGTTTGCGACAAGGAGAGGCGTGTGTTTGTGTGGGGAGCATTGGGGAGCCGGGGCAGAAGTTGGTGGGGCCCGGTAGACGGGAAGACGCCGCCAGCGGCTCGGCCAACACCGACACGCCGCGCCGCACGGGTCCTGGACGGCGCGCGAGGCCGCCCGACGACTCTCGCACACCGCCATTCAGGCCCGTACAATCGGACGTGTCAGCGGTGCCCTATGTGGCGATGACAGTGTTGATGGACGGATAGAAGAAGGGGGAAGGGCTGCAATATCGGCACGATTATATTGAGCGCTCGCACAGCCGAATTTCGCGTCTCATCGGGGGCCGTTCGGGACGACACGACGTTCAAAAATTATCTCAAAAAAATTTATACCTGCCACCACGACGGCTGCCTCCATAGTCACCACCTCCGCGACCTCCGCCACCACCGCGGCTGTTGCCACCACCACGGCTGCGTCCGTGCGAGAGCTCGACTCGTGCGCGTACTCCACAGATGCGCCTGAAAAAGGAAAGTTATTTCAATTTTGAAAGAATTTCAAATACTTTTTTGCCAAACAAAGCTTGGAAATAAACTCACGCTCCATCTAGTCCTTTGACAGCATCCTCGGCATCCCGCGGGTCCTCGAATTCGACGAAGGCGAAGCCTGGCGGGCGGCGGGCTACCCAGACCTTGCGGATACGGCCGTATCGGTAGAAGGCGTCTTCGACCTCTTGCGTGGTGGCGTCGTTGGGCAGGCCGCCGACGTAGACTTTGTCTGAGGACATCCTGGAAAAGCGAAATTAGAAAAACGCAGAAACGTAGGAAAAAAACACGAGAAATAAGTTGTTACAAGTTTAGCAATAGCTATCGAAGGTCGAGTGGGCTCGCAGGAGATTTCTTTCATCACAATGCTAAGTTTGTGATCTTTTCAAGCTAGTCGATCGGAGTTTCGTAAGTCTTATCTAATCTGGACGTCCTAGTAACATCCCCTTCATAACAATAGCGATCTTTCGCAAGTTTGTGGAGTGTAAGGCTAGCTATTTCGGAAAACGAGCGGAATTGGGGGGGATTTGGTTCGAATGACCTCCGCAGCATTTCTTCATACAAATCAAAGACTTAGCGAGTTTTTTAGTCAATCTAGCTAGCTGAAAAACGGGGGAATATTGGGTTTTTGATACAACTGAATCTCATAGGCCACCTTCCGCTAATCTTATCAAGCCCAACAAAGTGCAGGCCGCAACAACCGCCAAAAACGGGGACTTCAAATGAGGGCAGACCGTGGTCGCGAGAAAAGACGGGGCCGGGGCCGCATCGATCGGGGGCTCAAAGTTTCGTGCGCGGACTACGGTCGCCGAGTCGCCAAATAGCAAGTGGCCGACATGCCGGTAGACCGGAAAATGACTGCAAACAAACGGAGAGCCGCGAGACTGATAAGAACCTGATGGGTTCTCGTCGGGAATCACCGAGAACGGTACGGGGAGATGGGCAGAGTGCAGGGGCATCGACACACACTTGCACCACGCCCCAGCCAATAGAACATATGATTTATTGTTGACAGCCGCGCGGCCGGTCTTTTTGGGTTTCCTGCTGTTTTGGAGGGCTTACGGTAGCGGGTTAAAGGTTTGGGTTCGATTTTTGGGCATATTGAAGGAGGAGAATTAAGAAGCTAGAGCTCAAACCAAGTTTTTTGGCGCGCGAAAATCAGCTAAAAAATTTCCGAAGTATCTTTTGGTGGGGTTACGGTAGCGGGTTAAAAGCCTGGAATCTATTTTTGCGTTCTCTGAGCGTTGGAATTGGCTTATTTAGCAAAACAACTTATTCCTTTTTGTCGAAACAATTGGATAGATGTTTTACAAGGGCCGTCTTAGCGTTATTTGCATCCTGACAAAGCGTCATAGCCAAGGAATGAAAGTGACGTGTTTCGCGCCGGTATTTTCAAGAATCTTATCGCAAGCGACTTTTATGAGCTCATGAAAACCTTGGCAGTCGGCCAGCCTGGTGACCACTTGATCTATCGATTCCAGGGTTCATGCTGGGAATTTCGAATCGAATACGATCTTTTCATTTTTTTAGTAAGTTTTTACTTCGGAATTTCACTGGATTATTGTAGAAAATTTGTTGTATTAATTTTGTAGCGGAAAAGGTGACAAGACTTTGGGTTGTGTCTTTCTAAAGCTACCCGGCTGCTCAAAAGGACCAAATCTGCGTATTGTGGCACAGAAAGCTTTCATACTAAAGGACGGCTTAGGCAGAATAATCAAAAGATATATTTCTAGCTGTCTCTGTTGATCTCTCTCGCGCGCTCTCTCTCTCCCTCTCTCTCTCGCTCTCGCTCTCGCTCACGATTTATATTCCATGTTCAACTTCTCTGAATTTTTTTTCCTTAAAACTCGCAAAATTCTGAATTTTCTGAAGTGCTGCTGTTTCTGCAATTTCTGAAGTCATGAAGGAGCTAAATTGTTTGACCGGTTTGCAGCTTCCTTCCACAATTTTTCGATTTTCCTAGCATATTTTCCCCACCTTCCACGCTCCTTTAAAACCCAACGGGGTACTCCGGTACTCCCGGAAATCCGCCAAGCTCCTCCGTACAAGCGTACAAAGGTGAGAGCCGACCCATAGATCCTCCATTCCCACCGCCCATCCATTTCACCCATGTCTTTTCCATGTCTTTTCCCTAGTAGGGAGGATGGATTCGAAACGGAACTTATTATGGTGCCAGGTGTCGCAGTCCGGGATGGCGGGTTGAGGGCTGGAAAAAGCGTGGTAATGGCCTGAAAAACTGGGCGAGTTGAAAGGGATGGCGCCGGGGTGTCGGCTGGAGGGTGGTCGGAATGGCTCCCGGGGGTAGGAGGAGGGGATACAGTACCCCTACACCTGTCCCGCCTACCTATGGGTAATCCATGGCAGGCACCATTTCTCATCCGGGGTGTCAGGGAGCTCGAGCTGATGCTCAAAGAATTTTAGCTAGCTTGCCACGTTAGAATATTCCTAAAGGGTCTTTGCTAGCTTGCCCGATGGGATTTTCAGAAAAATCATCTTCCGCGCTAGTGCTCACATCTCGTCATTTTCATCGAGGTGTCAGGGAGCTCGAGCTCCGGTCTGAGTTCTGGCTTTTGGAGTTCAGGCTCACCATCTTAAGCTCTGACCCAGCTTTCAGGACGCGCTAAGCTTCTTCTCAAAGAGTTTCTGCTGGCTGGCCCAGCCAGACTGCTCCTTAAGGCTCTCTGCTAGCTTGCCCGATCGGGATCTGATCTCGGTCTGCCCTCTCTGTTCCTCAATTTGTCTAAAAATTTCGGCTAGATTGCCCTCTCCTCGATTTCCTCAAATTCCTCGTCTAGCTCTCCCGTTTCAGATGCGCCACAAGTGGATGCGACAATCCAGCGTCTACCTATTCAACGTGTCCACCCTCCTCTTTCTTCTCCTCCGATACGTGTTCGCCGACGAAGGAGGTCTGGAAATTCCAAAAGACGCCAAATTCCGGCCTCGGGTCCCGAATAAAACGGTGGCCCGGTATGCAAATGTGAGTGGTTTTGGCTTTTAAAGGACTTGTGAAGTAAGAATCGACTTTGGATTTTCCATCACTTTGCAACAATGATTTTAGGGCTCCCTGAACTACGCCGACATTCCAGAAAACCGCTGTTTCTGCACTTATGGCCATGAGGAGGGGGTCAGTAGCTTCCAAAAAATCATAAACATAATTTTTAAGGTATGCGACAAGAACGAGACTTGTATCCGGCACCCACAAGCCGCTTGCTACCATGCTGTGGAGTTGGTAAGTTTTGTTGCCTAATCCCGATGCGTAGCATGCTACGCATCATACGTAGGCTACAACGTAGCATACGTAGGCTACAACGTGGCGCAGTACGCTACGGTACAGTACGCTGCACTACGTGGCAATACAGTGTCGTTTGCAATCTCCTGCTCAGTGCAATGGCGTGAGACACAACACACCAAGATACAGTCCGCTACAGTACGATAAATTCCACTAATCTGCTCTAAGCTAAAATACAGTAAGCTACTGGACGCTTCAGCGACGATAAGACACAGTAGGCTACAGTATGTTACGGAATTAGACTATAGAACGTTAATATACAGCCGACTACAGTATGCCAAGACATAGTACGCTACAATACCAAAATATACAGTACGCCAAAGTATGCAATGATACATTTACCTACATTACGATAAGCACTCATGTCACGCTACAGAACAATACGGCACAGTACGTCGCATGCCTACAATACCATAAGATACAGTATGCTACTGGATGTTTATCTACAGTACGCCGCCGTTGTACTCTGTGAGAAATTCGGAGCGATTTTCTTCCCTGCTAAGGGCCTTTAAACCCAATTTTCAGATCTACGATAAGAAGCTTTCAACAATGGTCCATTGGCACAAATATGGATGTGCGACGGCTGAAAGGGGCAGCGGGGCCTCCCATCTTACGGTACCTCGATTCCGCGCGGATTCTAATGACGGCCTCCGTTTTTTCAGTGTCGCCAGTCGCGTCAACATCACCACAAGGTCATCGGCTGCTGCTATGAGGGGAACTACTGTAACCGGGACCTCAACGTCACGCTCCATTTCTATGAGGAGGAAGGTCAGTGGAGAGCACGAAAAGTGGGGAAGGGGTACGGTTACCGTAGCCCCGGAGGGCTTCACCCTTTCGAAAACAAATTTTGAGGGCTTACTGGAGCACGACCTCGCAGGACTGGTCGGCTGCTTTCATCAAAAATCTCTGTTAGCTTGCCCTAACACCCCGTCATTTAGCCCTGGAATTCCCGTCTTTCGAGGACTCCGCTTGGTTGTGGATAGTACTGCTCGGTCTCCTCGTGCTCTCCGTGCTCATGCTCAGCCTCGTCGGCGTCTACACTTTCTATAGGAAATATAAGCAACGTAAGTGAGCAATTTTCGGTGTAATGAGGCGCGTAACGTAACGTAAAGCCCCAAAATCGACAAAAAGCGCCTAAAAATTTTCAAAGAACTTCTGGATGTAAATTGTTGCGCGCAACCTTTAAAAAACAATAAAAATAGTCGAAAAACTGAACTTTGATTTTTAGCCAAGCGCAGAAAGTCGCTTCTCGACGAAGAGCCGATGCTGGATGGCGAGGAATCGGGGTGGGTGACTGTAGTTTTTTGGCAATTGTCGTCTTCTGTTTTTAGTGGTTCCGGTTCCGGAATGTCCTCCCTGAATCAAAGGACGGTGGCCAAAGATCTGAACATCATCAAGGTTCCTGGTTCCCTTAAAATCCAACGTTTTCTTGAATCGTTAGGTCATCGACCAGGGTCGTTATGGCAAAGTACGGAAGGCTACGTATCGCGGGAGTTTTGTGGCTGTAAAGGTTGGTTTCTAGAGTCTAGGGCGAGCTAGCAGAGTTTCTTGGAGGCCTAAATTTCTGATATTTTAGACCTTTAACACAACCGAAGAGGACTCGTGGAAAAATGAGCGGGATGTCTACCAGACCCAGATGTTGAACCACGAATCGATTTTGCGTGAGTCTCGCTCTCTTGCTCTCGCTCTCTTTCTTTCTCTCTCTCTCTCTACCCCAATCCAGCCAACACCCTACGACACTTTCAGAATTCGTCGCCGCCGACATCTTCAGCGAGGACACGATTACACAGGTAGGAGAAAGAAAGAGAGTGAGAGAGAGAGAGAGAGAGAGAGAGAGAGAAAGAAAGAAAGAAAGAGAGAGCACGTGAAAGCTGATCTTTTCCAGATGCTCCTCATCACGAACTACCACGAGCTTGGCTCGCTGTGCGACTACTTGAGGAGGGTCGACGTGATTTTGGACACCAAAGAGGCGTTGGAGCTCGTTTATAGGTGAGGATTAAAGTTGCCAGCCACATAAAAATCGTGCTTTATGAAGATTGAATTTATCAATTTTTCAGCTCTATCTGCGGCATTGATCATCTGCACAATTCGGTACTTGGGACTGGGAGTCGGAGAAAGCCGGAGATTGCTCATCGTGATTTGAAGGTGGGAGAGAGAGCGAGAGAGACAGAGAGCGGGAGCGAAGGTGACAAAAAAAATTTTTCAGAGTAAAAACATCATCGTCAAGCGCCCCGGGTTCTGTTGTATCGCCGACTTTGGATTGGCCGTGAGATTGTAAGTTTAAACTCAATCTTCAAAATATTCTATATAAAACTAAATTTCCTTTTTAATAATGCTACTGTAATAATGATCATAATTACAAAAAATTGACAATTTTAGGGAAGGCGACAAGCTAATCCCGGAGCGCGTCAACATCCAGGTCGGCACCAAGCGATATATGGCGCCGGAGGTAATTTTATTAATCTTTACAGCTCTATTTTGTATATAATTCGGAGCGCCTCGTACTCGATGCCCTGTAATACGCCAAGATATTAATTTTTTTGGAAATTTCTAGGTCCTCTCCAAGCAGCTAAACACGCGCGATTTCGTCCAGTTCAAGCGAGCCGACATCTACTCGTTTGCGCTGGTGATTTGGGAGGTTATGCGACGGATTGAGGTATACATTAAATTCAGTTAAAAACCATTCATAAAAACTCCCAAATCAAATTTAAAAAAAATAATTTTAGCTGGATACCCTTTCTGAAGGCAGCGACATTGACCGGAAGTTCAGCGCTTCTGGGAAAGGTGGGAGAGTTTTGTCGAACCGGGTTTTTGGATCCAGACTAAGCCTACTCTTAATTATGCTAATTAAATTAGCTGAATTTTACCTTAAGACCGAGAAAAATGTGTACCTTCAGATTCTACGCTCGGCTCGAGCGGCCAAAGTACACACGGAAGTGGAGATGAAGGACAAGAACCGTCGGATTCGGGGGTGGTATTGGAAGGGGTAAGCAGTACTATTTTTTTCTTTATAGGCAATGTCCAGCTGAATTTGGAGATTTTGAAAAGTCCTATACCACACTATTACACCTCAAAAAAAGCTGCAAGTTTTGTAGCCTTGGGGCTTGTAGCTGGGTAAAAATAGCGTCTCAATTCTGCCCTCTTCGAAAGGGTCCGACGACCTTATCGACTTTTTCAGAAGTGGAACACCTCCTCAATGAAGTGCCACCCCTACGCTCCTCCTTACGAAGGCCTGGTCCGCTCGGATCCGTCTTTCGAGGAAATGCGCCAGCTTGTCTGCGATCAAGGGGTTCGACCGCCAGTCGATAATGGGTGGCTGGATCCGGCGAATGTAAGTCGACTTATTTTTAGGCTTAGGCTTAGTTTGGACTTAGGCTTAGGCTTAGGCTTAGGCTTAGGCTTAGGCTTAGTTTGGACTTAGGCTTAGGCTTAGGCTTAGGCTTAGGTTTAGGTTTAGGCTTAGGCTTAGGCTTAGGTTTAGGTTTAGGTTTAGGCTTAGGCTTAGGCTTAGGCTTAGGCTTAGGCTTAGGCTTAGGCTTAGGCTTACGTTCAGGCTTAGGCTTAGGCTTAGGCTTAGGCTTAGGCTGGGGCTAGGCTTAGCTACAGTAATTGCCCTAGGCCTTCGAGGCTCTTAAATGAATTCTATGGCCTTTTAATGCAATCTATTTCAGAAAGAGCTCTACGAGATGGCTACCGTAATGCGCGATTGCTGGCACGCGAATCCCAGATGTCGATACACCGCGTTAAAAGTAAAAAAGTCGATGGGCGCCCTTCTTCAGAGCTTGCAACCCAATCAGGTAGTTCTCAGCGACGTCAAGCAGTACAGGCATTTGCTTAGGAAACGGTGCATTCGCTGAGCAAGTGCTCCTACAAGAAGGAGGCCGACAGCGGGATTGGCAGCAACTCGAAGAGCAGCAACTCGCACTCGAAGGGATCGGGATCGGGTACGAGACTACATGGCCAGGATGGGATTGTCGTCTTGGAATAAACCAGGAAAATGTGTAAATATGTATATTGTTGGAATCTGGCATTGTCTGGATAAATTTTTCGTGTGATTTTGAGAATGGAGCACGAGAGAACCAAACAAAAAAAACAAAAGAACAACAATAGAGATAAGGGTAGTTAGCAGAGGGCCTTTAGGACGAGATAGAGCAAAAGCGAGAGAGAGAGAGAGAGAGAGACGATTGATAGATCCATATAGAACATTCGTTCCCGGTCCCGTAAATTGCCGGAGCGTGGTCTCTCTCTCCCTCTCTCTCTCACGCTCTCTCGCTCTCTCTCTCTCTCGCTCCTGACCCTCCCCCTTTAAAACCACCCGTCTGCACTTTCGTAGTTCAATCGACCCACTCTGATCTCCCGGGGGCGATCATCCCCCATTGGACCGGTCCATTTCCTGCATTTCTCTACCCTCCATCTCTCTCCCTCTCTTTCTTTGCTCCCTCTCTCCTCTCCCTCTTTCTCCCCTTTCCGTCTGCCCCTCTTTCTATTTACCCCCTCTCACGGCACGCAGCCCCCACACACACATAGCACACCATCCGCCATACTTTCCGGTGATACTTCCCCCGAAATTTCCCGCATTCCGCGCGTGTGCTATTGACAATTTCAGACGTAAGTTGTAGCGGACCGGAATTTGTGCTTGTCCAACGTATTTAATGAATTTTGGGCTTGAAAACATGAAATTTTTGCGCTGATAAGGCGGGCCACCCCTCTCCCAGTTGTCGCCTGCCAATCGATTGATCGCCTCCCGGTCTGGGGGGTGGAAGGATGATGATTTTCGTCAAAGTATAGATGTGATACCTTAAATTTTGACCTGATACGCTCATCAAAGACGGCCGAATTACCCTTGAAACGCTGGCAACTTTTTGGGCAGTTGGCGATCGATCGCGCGGTCGGGACTAATTTTCTCTGTTCATTGTTGGTATCAGTTTACACTTTTTATAGTGTTAAACATGTTTTTTAATATCGTTAAATCCTTCCTACAATGCCTCTTCTTACATTTAATAACTGAATTACTTTTTAATAGGTTTTTGTTTTGTTTGAAACGTCTTCGCTTGAAAAATGGTGATTTTAAAATTTAGCTCTCTTGGTTTTTTTAAAGCATTTATCTCATAAAAAGACCCTCGGTATACTCGGTAAATTCTGTAAATTTTTCTATCGTCAAAAATAGTAAGTTCTACGTCTTCTCGTACTTCTTGATCCATTTTCCAGACCAAATTCGTTTGCCGATCCTTAGTGTACTAGAAAGTACGTGTCTATCCGTAACCAATTACGTCCAATTTTGTCCAAGTTCTTCGACTTCGTCAATTCCGAAAGCTAAATTATGGTTTTCCCAGGCTTTTCCTACTCTTTACTCTAGCCACAGCAAAAAACGATCTTTCAACAAGTTCGGAAATCGCAGCGTTATTAGCGCTACAAATGGCTATATAAACGTTTCGATTTTAATCGTTGAACTAGTCACTTTTCTTTCCCTTTTGGCTATTTTCTGTTTTCTGGTTTTGCGGGATTTCCTGCAGGATCTATTTTCTTGCGGGCTCCCGATTAACCTCTCGTAATCGGATGATACCCGCGGCGGATTTTGGCATTTTCAATGGTAATTTTAGTGTCCAGTATTGGTTCAAAAGGGCAGTTGCGCGGTTTTTTTAAATTTTACACGCTTTCAGCGCTAAATTAGATTAAAACTCCTGGAATTTTTGTGTTTCTCAGACTCTCTCTCTCTTTCTATCGCTCTCTCGCTCTCGCGCTCTCTCACTCTCTCCCTCTCTCCCTCTCTCTTTCTCTCTCGCTACATGCCAAATTATCGCAAATCCCGGTGGAATTTCATCAAAAAAAGTTTAAAAATGACTACTTAACGCTGCAATTCACGTAAATAGTTGCTAAATTGTCCAAAACCACTTATAATCCTCCTATTTTCCATTAATCCGGATTTTCACGAAAACAAGGATCTTGAAATCCTTCCGGAAAATAAACCCCGCAGGCGTTCCGGGCCAAGGTCCCCTGCTGGGTGGCCTTAATTGGATCAAACTGGCCATTTCTTAGAAGCCTCTCTCTCACTCTCTCTCTCTCTCTCTCTCTCTCTCTCTCTCTTTCTCTCTGTCTATCTCTATCGCTCTCTCTCTCTCGGCTACAGAGGTCTACAGAGGGCATTTTTGTTATTTTTCTCCATTTCTTGTCGTGGTTAGGGTAGAAGCGCTCTTTTTGAGAACTGAAGCTAGGACCCTAATGGATTCCGGGGAACGGCACGAGAACGAGGAGCAGCCCCCGCAAATTTGGCTCATTTTACCCGGGAACCTTTTTTGGTTGGGTGTTACTAGAGTGAACTGATGTTGTCTCTCTCTCCCTTTCTCTGTGTCTCGGTCGCCGACTCTCTCTCTCTCACTATCTCTCTCTCTCTCTCTCTCTCTCTCTCTCTCGCTGTCTCGCATTAACCCTTATCACGACGAACGACTCAATAGTCATTTCCGGGACACTCCAACTCACGTTTCGGAGCTGTGTTTGGAATTTTATTATCTCCGCCTACACCTTCTGGTAGACGGCGTCTAGCATATAACTTTGACAAAAGCCCTTACATTTTTCCTTTTTTTTTTGGCCTTATGAATATTATGAGCGTTCATAAATCTAGTAGCTCCATCCGACTTGCCAAAAAAAAATCCGCGAACGCTAGGGGCGCTAGGAGAAGCGGCTCCTAGCAACAACCCAAGCCCAACACACCGTGGCAGACTGCCTTAAAAAGTCCCTAAAAATTTTGGCGGCTGCTTTCAAATGCTTTGGAATATACCTTAAGGTAACTTAGGAGCCCTTCTAAATATTTTCTGATCATTTTAAGGTCAACAAAATTCCGTTAAAATCCAACAAACAGCGATATTTCTCAGAATTTCAGGCTGGTTCGAGCGAAAAGCTCTGTTAGGCCAGTTTCGTGGATCTCCAATGAATTCTAGGAAATTCTGCCTGCTAACTTCTCTTTAGTTTTTCTGATTGCAAATTTCTGCGGAAAAGTATACCTAAAAGTCCGCCAGAGGCCGAAAATCGGCCAGTCATTTGGAGCATAGCGGATAATCCAGATGGAATTTTATCTTTCGTAGCCGGCATCTCATTTCCTTCGGAAGAGAGCGAGAGAGAGAGAGAGAGAGAGAGAGAGAGAGAGAGAGAGAGAGAGAGAGAGAGAGAGAGAGAGGGAAAGAGAGAGAGCGACCGAATTGAATCGGCCGTTCTTAAACGGCCGTCCCTTTTCTTTCATATGCAGGCTTTCTGCGCGGATTTTCGTCCCCGTTCTTTGCCGGACACCTGTAAAGTGAGAAAGCCCAAATTTTCGGCTTATGTGCCTAGAAAAATTATCCCCATTTGCTCCGAATTGCTGTTTTTTGGTATCGTTTTCCCAAAGCGTCTCTACTAACCTACTTGTGGCAGATTTCCAGAAATTCTATCAGGCTTAGGCTTAGGCTTAGGTTTAGGTCTAGGTCTAGGCTTAGAGCTTAGGCTTAGGCTTAGGCTTAGGCAAAGGCTTAGGCTTGTGCATTAGCTTTCTTTGTTTTTATCTTTGTTTTTCTTTGATAATAGTGACCTCGAAGGCAAAATTAGCGAAAATTTCTGAACTGATTGATTTTGATTTTTTATTTTGATTTTCTAGCCATTTAAAAAGTTTTAATTTGGCATTTTCAAAGTTCAAAGATTTCTGCTTCTATCAGTAGCTTCATGCCTTGTCAGTCCCTTTAAAATCCCCGAGCTCTGGTCCCTATTGGTGGCCTTATCTCTTGCGAAACCTCCCATCATCCGGCCTTTCCGCTCGCTAATTATCTTGCCCAACTTTGTTCACCTCCCTTTCGGATTTCAAGACCGAAAACCTACTCCTCCTCTTTTTTTTCCACCTGCTCTTTTGCTATGGCTTTTGGTAAACACGATTTGTGGGTGGGCCTTTTTCGGAGCGCATTCACACGGCCAGCGCTGCAAGATTAATTCCTGGGACACAGGGCTTTTCCTCTGTTTTTGCCTAGGAATACGAGTCCCCATTCTGACTCCGATCTGTGCCTATTTACGTCATCGCCGCGCGCTACTTATACTAATAGCCGGATATATAAAAATCTGCCCTTTTTGGAAACGGCCCTGACTTGCCGTGATTGCGAAATTTTGAATTTTGTTGGAATTAGCGGCATTTTTTGAGATGCATAAAAGCTGGGAAATATATGAGGGGTTCCTCAATACTCTCTGCTAGTTCGCCCGTTTTTTGTAAGATTTTTAGAAAAACTGGTCCTGTCACGTTTTTCCTCAAAAATCACTGCTAGCATGCCTGGATTTGCGTTTTATTACGTTTCTGTGAATTTGCTAGTTTCCCTTGAGGCTGTTGCTGCTCTTCAAGTCTCTCTGCTAGCCTGCCTGAGCTATAGTCTAAATGTTGTGCGCTTGAAACTTGTTTTTCTTCACTTTTCCAAAGGAATCTTTGCCCGTTGACCTTGACTCCGGGATTTTTTAACCATTTTAGCACCAGTTATTTTTTGATCGTGTCCTCCTCAAACAATCTCTGCTAGCTTGCCCAGCTTCGAATTAGGATAAACCCATTTCTTTATTATTATATTTTTTATCTTATTTTTCTATATGCTTTTTTCTCAATGATCTCTGCCAGTTCGCCTCCGGCCCTGCCTTCTGCAGAATGCCTAAAAATAGCCCGAATCTTTTGCGCAATTCCCGTCCTGAAGCCCCCCTACTACGCAACAAGGGCGAGAAACGGGGGCCCCAGGAATTTCGCAATGATTAGGCCAGGGCCCCACTTTTTTTTTTCCCGGCTAGGACCCGGACCACAAAAAGGGCCAGTGTTTTTTGGCATGGAATGTAGGAGAGGAGGAAGAGAATGAGAAAGAGAAAGAGCAAGAGAAAAGGGCGGGCCCCGGGTCGGCCTTTTTAAGGCGGGCCCACCCCCGACGACCCGGTCCCGACCCGGGCTTTTGGTCATTTGGGATCGGATTCCGGGGGAAATTGAGCATCAGCTTGATGAAAAACTGCTGGAGTGTCTTTTTCTTTCTCGATTTCCATGAATATTTCTGAGCATCAAGTCATTAAAAACGACGAAATGACATTTATAGCCTGGAATTTCGCCAAATTTAGAAAATCGGCTTATGTGGCTTCAGTGTCCCGTTAAAAAGGATGAGTTTTCGAGCGGATTTTGAGATGTATAACTCGAAGTATCTATTGAAAACATTAACAGGCTTTTAAGATATGTGAAACCTAAAGCCTATTTACTAAAAAAGCTAAGTTTTCTCCATCTTTCATAATTTACGCCAGGATACTTTAGAGGAACCAAAGTACGATACGTTCCTATCTGCCAAATCCTTTACTCATCAATACCTCCCTTTAATATATCAATATTACAAACTGATACTTTTTCTTCTTTCTCTTCCAAAACTATTCGAATTCCGGATACTCTTATATTTGCGAAAAGCCTAGGGCTAACAATCCTGACGTGCCTTATTTACAAAGCGCTTGCTGTCTCGCCAGAGCTCTGTTATCTCACCCAATCTCTTGCACCCTCAAATTCGTTTGATTTCCGCTCTACACCAAATTCCGGCCAATTTTCTAATAATTTCCATCTGCATTGACTTCCTCGTGGTTGTTTTTGGCTATTTTCCAAGTATCTCTCTCGCTCGCTCGCTCTCTCTCTCACCCTCTTGAAGATGCATGAATTTCTGAGCAGGACCCGCGCTGCCCCCTGAAATCATTGTTTACCCGCCCTTTTAGATATGATGTTTTCCGAGTCTATTGGGGCTAGAAAGTATTCATTTCTTGTTGTTTTTCTTGAATTTACTTGCCCCGGCTTCTTTCATAGAATTTGCCCTAATTTTTCGAGTTTTTTTCTTGCTCTCTAGATCCCTTAAAAACTGAAAAATAAACTATATTTTTCTTGCAGCTAGCGGCATGGACGAGGATGAGATGAATGGCAATGGAATTCATGGTGAGTGAATTTTCTTTATTGTCGAAAAAGAATGCTTCAATGCGCTTTTTAAAGGGATTATCGAGGCAAAAACTTATGGGTTTTGGCTAGAACGCATTAAGGAAACATAGATTTCTATTCTATTTTCGTTAGTTCTATTGTATTTTTGTTAGCTTATGCTAATTTAAGAGCATTGTCGCCATTTTTTGGAGCGCTCGTTTTCCCAATAGGGTTTGAAAACTAGAGCCCAAATTTCTGTGGAGCCCAAACTTCCACAGCTGATTCATCCACTATCAATCCGGACCTACAATCTTGCTTTTTTGACTTGTTGACCCCAATGACGATGAATCACCAGAAAAGCGCAAAAATTTGGCAGGCACGTAGAATTCGTCAGAGAATTTTCTGTCCAGTTTTGGGGTCTGAAAAAGCTATACGGCAATTGGAGATACGCAAAAAAATGGCAAAAAAATTTGGGAAAGCTCTGGTAGCTTAAAAATACCGATGGTTTCATGTTTTTTTTGTAATTTGGTCTGTTTCCAACACGCGCTAGACGTAAAAGCTTGACAAATTTTTATGAAAGAATGTAAAATATAATTTTTTTTTGATAAAATTTTCACATTTTATACATTTCCACATCGTTTTCCACTAAAAGTATTGTTACATTTTACGAAAAACACTCTAACCCCCGATAAATTACGTTAAATTTACGCTAAATTACCCTAATTTTTTACCTATGTTTTTTGGTTTACTTTGTAAAGCTCATCACCGAAAATCCTGAAAATAGCCCCCGAAACTAGAGTAAAGATCTGCCGGAACGTTCCCGATGAGTCATCGTCTGTTTTTCCGGGTTTTGGCCTCAAAAACCCGCTCCGGGGGGATTTCCCTCCGCGTGCTCGTGACGTAGATGGTGCCAAAGTATGGGTGGCCCTAGCGCCCTATCGTCTGCGCTCTTTCGCCCTTTCCCAGTATCTCGCCTATCCCTCTTCTCTGCTCCCTCTCTCTTCTCCCGCTATTTCTCTCTGGTGTTTGGCCTCTCTCTCCCAGACCCCAAATCTCTCGCTGCTTTCGATGAGTCACCCACGGGCCCATTTTTTGACGCCATCTCCCGGAACGCAATTTGGCTTTCGAGCCCCGCGCGTGGGGGGCTAGCAGAGAACGTTGATCTGGCTAGAAAATTGGGAAATGCCCTATGGCAACCGGGGCGAATAAACAAAACATTTACGATACCGGGAACCAAGGGGTGTTGTTGATGTACGGCTTGGAGACGTGTACATAGAGTTCGGCGCCATTTGGAGGTGAAATCTGGACAAAAAATTTCATTTGATCCTTAAAAAAAAATTGGATGTTTGAGTTTGAGGGTTAAACTTTAATTTCAATTTCTGAAAAAATGCTAAAATTCGGTCACTTTAAATCGAGACCTAGCGAGATTTTTGTCAAATGGTCCGATCTCGAAAAATAAAAGATTCTGTAATCTCTAAAGATATTATGGCCGCCAAAACGCAAAAATTTTTTTTCAACTTCCTTTTCTTAGACTTCGACGCCTCCACCTTCCACCAAGTGAACGTCTCGGATCCGCAGAACCGTTCCTCGTCCGTCTTCACCGTCCCCAAGCGCTACACCGAGCTCAAATTTCTAAATGCCGGCGCCCAGGGAACCGTTTGGTAAGTGTGAAGTTTTTTAGATTACTTGGAAAACGATAAATCACCGGAATCATCGATTAATCCAACTTTTTTTAGCTCGGCCATCGACACGGTCACCGGCCAACAGGTTGCCATCAAAAAGATGCAGCAGCCCTTCGTGATGACGATGAGTGCGAAGCGGGCCTATCGCGAATTCGTGCTCCTTACATCTATAAGACATCCAAATGTAAGTAATTAAAATTATTGCGTCGCTATGAACTAATACCGTTCAGATTATCCGCCTGCTAAACGCGTTCACCCCTCAAACTGACGCGACCAGCTTCCGGGAGGTGTACCTCGTCATGGAGCTGATGAAGCACAACTTGCACGAGGTAACGAGCGTCTTGCAAAATGACATTATATTACCTCTCGAAAGTTAATAATTACTGCGTTGCTTTTTCCAAACTTAAAAAATATCAAAAAGTGGGAAACGACTGAAATCTCGCTATTCAAGGTCATCACCAAGTTGCGGCTCGACCACAAGACGTTGTCCTTTTTTGTCTACCAAATGTTGTGCGCAATTCGGCACCTACACATGTCTGGAATCATCCATCGAGTAGGTTAAAAAGGACTTTAAACAGTTGTAAAATTAAATTATATAGTTTATTATACTATATAAAGTAATATATGCCTTAGGCTATTAAAAGTATCAAAAACGCAGTCACAACTTTCTTTTTCAGGATCTGAAACCCTCCAATATCGTCGTCAACGACCAGTGCGGCTTGAAAGTGCTTGATTTTGGCCTCGCCCGCAAAAAGGTCCTCGACACGGCGATGCGGATGAGTGATTACGTCGTCACGAGGTAAATTTTGGCTACGTTTCTAAAAAAAAACAAATTTTCAGATACTACCGAGCCCCGGAAGTGATCCTCGGCATGGGATACTCGGACAAGGTCGACATTTGGTCGGTCGGCTGCATTTTTGCGGAAATGATTCGGCACCAGGTAAGCGCAGCTAGAAGATATTAAATCCATCTCAAAAGTTAAAAAACTATTAAACCGTACTTCAGGTCCTCTTCCCCGGCCGTGATCGGATCGACCAGTGGACGTCGATCATTCGCGAGCTCGGCACGCCGTCCGATGACTTTATCGAAAGGCTTGGAACCTCGGCAGCGATGTCAGTAAAATTTATAAACTTAAAATCAGCTCATAAAATATAACTTCAAGTTAACGCAAAATTACAGGTACGTCCGAAGTTTGCCTATGTACCCCGGCCGAAGTATCGACCAGATCGTTGGCGACGCGGATTTCCTGTCAAATACCGAGCAACCGAACGTTAACCTGACCGGTAAGTTAATGAAATCTAGAAAACATAAAAATATAAGCTTAATCTAGCCTAAACATTTTAAAGTAGGATGCTAAAATACTAAAAAGTCGTAGCATCTAAACTACTAAAACTAACGACCATTTAGCTGCGGCCGCCCGAGACCTACTCGTCCACATGCTCGCCATCGATCCGAAAGACCGATACTCCGTCGAGCAATCCCTCAACCACCCCTACGTCAAGCTGTGGTTCAAGGAGGAAGAAGTGAATGCCCCGCCCTCGGCAAATCGCTACGATGAGACCATCGACTTCCAAGACAAGTCGCTCACTGAATGGAAATGTAAGAAAATTCATCAAAAATCAATACCACTTTTAGCCCTCATCTTCGACGAGGTGATGCAGTTCCAGAACGCGCACAACATCTTCACGGGCACCGCATAGTCAACTAATCAAAAACAGTAACACCCTGTCGTCTCTTTGCATTTAGGCCTTATGTTATGTATTTCCCCCTACTCAATGCTTCTGCCGCCCCAACCGGGGGCAACAAAACTTTGCGCCTCATCCCACCTCTTCGGGACCCTATCGCCGAACCGCAGTCATATAAGAAATGCCTCGTTTCTCAGTTCAACCACTCTGTGCCTAACGCTCCGTTTCGACTTGTCAAATGCCGGTAGCCAAAATGAACAATATACAACAGCTCCCTGCTCCCCTGTAAATACCGCACGATCAAAAAAATATAGCCTCTGATAGATTTTCTTGGAAAGGACGAACTGTGATTTTTAAACGTGTATAACGAATAAATGTGGAACCCTGATTTATACATGACAACGAAAATGATACAAAAAGACTGCGTGCAAGCAAATTTGGAACAAACAAACATCTAAACACCGACCGGTGCCGAAGTTTCCAGGCTCATGTCTCAAATTCGCACGAAATCGCGCAGAAAAAGGGTTGACTGCGAAAATTTAGCAAAAATACGCAAACCTATACACTGGTGATTACAAATGGCCTCCACCACGGCACGCCGGGCTTGGCGCTGGACTTTGTCCGGCCCATTTTGAAGGCGGAACGGCGTCGATTCGTAGCGCATGCACAGGTCCGGCTAGCTCATCAGCCAAGCACTGATTGACTAGACGATGTCGCTGAACGGAGCCAATGAACAATGACCAACTAAACCAAAAACCTGGAGCGTCGTCTTGCCCTCGAACTCCTCGCTGACGATCTGCACGTTGAAGTGCTTTTCCGCTCCCTTCGGCACGTTGTGCATGTAGCTCTCGCACGCGATCGACAAGTGGACCGGCTGACAAGAAGATAGTCACCAAAGTAAAAAGATTACAGAAAAGCGTGCCCGCAGCTTCTCGGCAATCAACTTCTGCACCGGACCCTCAGCCGCTGTTGTCGCCATTGCTCGTGCGAGCTTTATGAGCATGTATTCTAGAATCAACGTCTCCACTCTAATGGTTTTCTGTATAGATATACAATGTGCTGCTCGACTGGCATAATGAATTGTATTTCAAAAAAAGAAACAAGGGTAACAATCTTGTTATTAGCGACAACAACGAAAAGATGCCGTAACAAGACGGAATAACATATACATTTTTAGCGTTTTCTGCGGAGGACCTTGGTGTTCTTGCGGAGCCAGTTCTTCGCTTGCGAGCCTCCTCGGGTCTGCGAGTAACGATGTCCCTTGCCGAGACCGCGAGACTTGCGTCCGGCGGCGGTGAGACCGCGTTGCTCACGGTGCTTGTGGACGGGCTTGGTGATCCACTGAAGATCGGGGCAACGACGGATGGCCTTGTGCGACGGGTCGACGAGGATAACCTCGAAGAACTTGTAGGTGGAGTCTTGGCCGATCCAGTAGCTGCTGAGAACGCGGAGTCCGCCGCACAGGCGTCCAACACGGCCCTGAAAAAAGGGAATTGAAAAAGAATGTAAGGGGGTAGGAAGGCAGGATCGAAAAGGATTGCAGACTCCCTCCGCAAGGCGGGATCAACAATCATTTGCAAACATGCCTTTCACACCCCTACCGCATGATCGTTGATCAGGGCAGATCCAAAAGAAGAAAAGATGGTAAATTACCTCGGCGACGGCTTGGTGTCCTCGCTGGTTCTTCAGCTCGTTGACTCCGTGGGTCTTGGGCTTGCCGTAAGTTTGACCCTTGGTGACCGGGCGCTTACGGCCACCACGGCGGATGCGTACGCGGTAGACGACGAAACCTAGATCAGCGATAAAAACGGCAAAAATCAAAACACAAACCTTGCTTGGCGCGGTATCCGAGACGGCGGGCCTTCTCTGGACGGGTTGGTCGGGGTGCCCGGTGAACGGCCGACATCTGCCTATATTGCCAGCAACGAATTCGGAGGGAGTAGCGCATCACTTCCGACTGCTTCTTCCTCCATAACTCCTGCATGTATTTGTAGGCACCCATGTTTTCCTGAAAATAAAAATTGATGAAAAGCTATGAAAAACGGAGCGAAATGAGAACAAAAACTCGAGTAAAAGTATAATCGGGGATGACGAGGAGAATGAGGGTGACCTTTTTGCAAAATTTGATGTGAAAAACAGCGAAACATAATGGACGGCAGATAAGAATTTGGTAAAAGAGTGGAAAATCGCAAAAGAGCCGCCGCCTGACGAAAATTCGCCGCAGCGCAACGCGTTGCGTACTGTGTGGGGAGCACTGGATAAGAGTACCACCCCGAAAGGCCCTGCGCCCGGGCCGCCGAAAGCAGAAAAAGAAACACAAAAAGCGTTGAAAAACTAAATTAAAAAGGTTTTTAAAAGTTGGGAGACTTTAGATAACTTTAAAAATAAACATTACTACGCGGTAAGCGCTTTTTCCAAGCCGAAAAAAGGCAAGGACCGTCGAAAATTGGCTCGAAAGTTAGCGAAAAATGTTTTCAATCAACAAAGAAACTTTGAATAGAAAAATTAAAAAATTTCGCATATCCGGAGCAGCATGAAGCCGAGAAGGCCCTCAAAAATGTGGCATTCCGCTGTTTTGGGCATTGTATGCGGCTTTGAATGCAAGAGGTCAGTTTTTTCTGGGTGCGGTTGAATGCTGCCTTTTTCCAGGAGCCAAAACGAGCTGGAACCAAGCGGAAAATGAGCAGCAGCAGCAGCAGCAGCAGCAGTGATGTTGGCGAAGGCGAACGATCGGCTGCCGGCGGCGGCGAGAAGACGCCTGTACCCAAGAAAAGTTGGACTGGAAGGGTAGACGTAGATGTTCCAAATTTCAGAATCAAGCCACACGAACCCGGGCGGCGGCTTCTTCGGGAACCTGCTGAAGCCGAAGAAGACGTCGGCCAACCGGAAGGGCAAATCGCCGAAGAACAAGCGCTCGAAGGCGTCGCGCGAGCAGGGGCCGTCGCGAGAGGGCGGCGCATCCAGGGAACAGGGCCCTTCACGCGAGCAGGCCGTCCCGAAGGAGAAGGAGAAGAAGGAGCCGGTGGTAGGCTCGCCAAGGTCGAGCAGTTCAAGCTTCGCTTTTAGCTCGAGAAACCCGGCGGCGACAACTACCAGTGCATCCCGCAGGGCATGAAGGCGACCGATTTTGCGCGTCCCGAGGGCGCCGGCACCGACTTCGTGCTCGACCTGGGGCCGCCGAAGCCCGCGACGCCGCCCGCGCCTGCTCCTGCTGCTCCCTGGAATCCCGCGCCTGCTCCTGCTCCCTGGAATCCGACTCCCGCCCCTTGGAGCCCGGGCGCTCCTGCTGGTGTTCCGCCAGGTATCTCTTAATTATAATTAATGGTTAAAGTTAGTTTTACTTTTCCGCCTCCCCAAAAAAAAAGAATGTAGCCAAATTTATAGAGGAACTCTTAACCAATGCTTGACCCTTTTCCGCAGGTGGCCAAGTGAAAGCGATGGATCTGGCCGGTGGGCAGAATATGGCCTCGCTGCCGCCGGGGGCCAAGCCTGAAGACTTTGCACGCCCGGAGGGAGCTGGGACCGACTTCGTGCTCGACCTGGGACCGCCCAAGTTCGTGCTCATCGCGCTGGCTTTTGCTTTGCGGCGTTGAAGTCTATAGCCCTATTTTCAGGCCGGCGGCTGCCAGCCCGGACAGCGGCGGCAGGACCACGACAACCGTTGACGAGGAAACTGGTAATTTTCTTGTAAAAAGAAGCGTTGGGAAAAGTAAACGTTTTTACAACCCCACATTTTCTTCAGAAGCTCCTCCTCCGCCCGGTGCTGGCGGCCAGGTGAACGCGATGGAGGTGGCCGGCGGGAGGACGATGGCCGCGCTGCCGCCCGGGACGAAGCCTGAAGATTTCGCGCGACCGGCCGACGCTGGAACCGGCTTCGTGCTCGACCTGGGCCTGCCACCTCCTAAAAATCCATGTGGGAGATGAACAGCAACTTGAATCCGAGTTTTTAGAGTGCCGTTGCGAAGACTGCGGCACCCAACCCTACGCCATCCAGGGTCTTAAAGTGGGCGAAACACGTTCAGCGCCTCTCAAGATCACTTTTTTCAGCTCGCCTGCTGTGTACTCAAGGGTTCTTCGTCTCGCTGTTCCGTTGCACTAACAAATTAAAGAGGAAATGAAAATGCGGCACTGCCTATCAGATGTTGCCGTCATTTTTGTGTTTAATAAATGGGTGAAGTCAAGTCCGTACACTTGGTAGAGTGCATACAATGTCAAAGCATCTCCAACGCGGCACACTTTACGAGCTAAAACCTTTATGAAGCAACTAAAACGGGTATAACAAGAGCAGAACAAATAAGGAATTAAAGATTATTAGTGAATCGTGCCAGGTAAAAACGGGGCTGTTATGCGTAACAAAGAAAAGCCGAAGCAATGATGAACGGACACTCAAAGGCAATATCATCTCGGAGCAGAAGACGTAACGGCAAATAGAAGCAACAGCCCCAAGGAGCATCAAAATTCGTGGGCAACCCGAAGAATGAGATCTATATGGGGCGGGCAGGGGCACAGCTCAAAACAATTGGCCTTATCTCTACAAAGCATAAAAAAGGGCTTTAGAAGTCGGGAAGGGGCGCTTATAATATTCTTCTTGATGGCTTGCGGCCGAGCAGCTAAAACAGGTGCGGCGGCCGGTTGAACTTGTGGTTGAAGCTGTTCCTGAAAAAGAAAGGTTTTGTCGGATAAGGAAAAATGAACGTGCGACATTCGCGGACCATTAATTTTGTTGTATAGAACCATAATACAAATTTAATTGTGTTTTTAAAGCTAATTTGAGGCTAAAAAGACACGTTCAATGTAAAAATGATAGCTGATAGCAAATCATATCTGCTCAGATAATTATTTTGAGCCACAAATGTCTCGACACTACAAAGCCGATAAGAAGCTGAGAAGTTTACCGAAAATTCCGGGGGTGCATCTGGTTGTGCTGATGGTGATGGTTGTTGTTATCGTTGCGGTGATGATTGCTCGGATGGGCGTTGTGCGCGGGCCGATGCGAGCCTTCTTGCTGATTCGGCGAGTTAGCGCCATGCTGATGTGGCGGCTGCGTGGTGCCGGCTGGGCTTGATGGCTGTTCGGGCGGCGGCTAAAATGTGCGTTGACAAGAAAGTCTAGAAATCCGACCTGGAAATAGCTCATCGTCAAGTTTTGAGGCCCCTGCTGCCGAAAACGACGTGGAGGCGGCATCGGAGCAAAGCCAAACGTAAATTCCTAAAAAAATGATACGTCATTACGGAATAGAAACTGACCGGCCGCCCAGATGGCAAAGGTGGCCTGTTCGGATACGGCGGCGGCTGCATGTAGGTGGTGTGAGGCGGTGGACCGGGTGGCGGCATTGGTTGACAGCCGCCGCAGGGATACCGCACGTAACACTTGCCGTGAGGATGATTTTCCACTTCCGCTGAAAGATAAAACTTGGCAGGTGTAAACAAAAGTACCGTGCTGGTGTACCGCTAGCTTTTCACCGTCCGGCGTTTCGGATGGAAGACGCCCGCCGATGAAGTTTGTCAGCGGACTCGATGGTACCACGGGGATGCGAGAAACGTATGGCTTGTGCTCGGTGGCCGCTTCGGCGCCTGAAGTTCAAAATAAAGAAGAAATCCAACACTTTTTACTTTTGCTCTTCACAGCTCCTTCGGTCGGCGCCTTCTGGGCTTTCGCTGGATGTGACGAGTCGGAGAACGCCGAGCATGTTGGAAAGCGTTCTGCCGATGCTTGGGGTGGTGGCGCCGTATTGTGCTCGTTGGGTTGGGACACCTGCAAAAGGCAATCAGGCAAGTTTTCCAAAAACTAACCGGCTGTAAAAGGCTTTGTCTCAAAACGGCAAACGGAACGAGGCCAGCGTTCTGTCGACCATATTGAGAGGCATCATCGGGTTTTCTAAATACTCTAACTGAACACAAAAAAAAACACTTTTACCTTTCTGGGTGTTCCGGCGGTGCCATTTCCATGCAAGCCTTCATCAAGTCGGCAGCCCAGAGATCTGCGTGAACGGCCGTGTACACATGGTTGTTATTGGCATCGCTAAAGATCGGATTTAAAAGTTGATTTCGGAAGAAACTTGCCCTATAGGGGAGAGCAATACATCCGAGTCCACGGAAGACCATATCTTCTTGAACCAATCATCGTCGGCCCCGTTTACAAAGTTACTGAAAGGAATGGTCGAAGCAGAAAGTAAATACCCACCTGAAGACATCCAGTTGACTTCGTATATTGTCGATGAACAAGTTCGCACGGCCACTTATAGAGACCATATTTTTTCTGAAGAAAAAACCAAAGCGTGATAAAGAAACCTGAAACTACCTTAATTCCCTTTTGTCGTTTTCTAGTCGGGCAATTTCCGACCGCAACTCGGCTTCTTCGGGAATCTCCAAAGCACTGGAAGACAACAGTCAGTAAGGGCCAGAAAAAAGGCGATACCGTTCAGTGCTCCTCGCGCTCAAAAGAGCCGTCAGCTCCTCCTTTGCAGAACTAAAAGAAATAAAGTCAGAGATCAAGCAATACCGCAATTCTTTGCTTTCTTCTTGCGACACTTCGAGCAACGCCTGTACGCGCTGTTTCTCATGCCTAGAAGAAAAATATCAAAGTAAACGGCAGAACCAAACCTTAATTGGTCAATCTCGGCTTGGAACGCATCAAATTGCCGTTGCAAGTCGGACATCCGAGAATTTTGGTCACTAAAAAATCTCACTAAGCGCGTCAATGACGGCTAGATTTTTGGTAAGGCCATACAAGAGAGTAGCAAAAGAGATAAAGCAATTACTCAATCACTAACTGCTTTGACCGGACATCATTGTGCAACGTCTGCACCTCGCACTCCAGCCTCCTAAATCTAACAATAAAATAAAAAAAACGAAACGGGTTACCGAACACTATCCCGCTTGCACTCGAGTTCAACGAATAGCGCGCGCTGCGCAAGCACCGGCTCTTCCAGGTCCAACTCTTCCAAGCTGACGGAAATCTGCTGCGCGTCACGCCGCCTAGAAGTATAGTTGAAAGCCGTTAAAAGCCATCGCTTACCTTCCACGTGTTGTTGTGCACGGCCGTAAATTTTCCACCGCTCGGTGCCGAAGCGGGACGATAACCGGCAACAAGGTTGTTCTTGGACCCTAAAGCAGAATTAACGCCGTAAAGACAGCACTAACCAAATCAATGGTGTCGCGATCAGTTTGATCATCTTCGTATTGATGTGGATGGTTCATAACACATACTATATGTTGGTGAGCCGTGACTGCGTGCCGTGTCAAAGAAATTGCTGAAAAAACGGTACGTTTCTTCAAAAGCAGCGCGAAAAGTTTTAAAAGTTAAAGCAAGGTAAAAAGTTTTATTAGAAAAGCAGAAAACTGAAAGTTTAGAAAAGAGGTTTTGCCAGAAAAATCCGAAATGAAAACGGCAAAAGAAAGCTCCCCGCTACTCCGCTCACTAACGATGTCCGTCATTTGTATTGTGGCGTTCGGATTTTCGTTTCTAAATTTTTAGAAATTTACTGGTACTTATCAAGTTGCTCGGTTAGTAAAGTGCCCGCGGGCGCGCTCACGGGCGCGCCCTCGGGCGCAATGGCCAAAAGCGCCCGCGGGCGCGCCCGAAACTCGAAAGCGCCCGCGGGCGCGCCCCAATCGCGTTGTAACGGCGTAGGACGGGTTCTTTTAATGCTTTTATTATTTAATAAAGGGCACTACATCGCTTTTGGCGATGCTGTACCCTATACTTAATGTAGATCTTCACGTTCCCTGAGAAAATGGTCGGACTGCGCACCTGAAATATGTTTTTTTTTGCTTTTTTGGCTTTAGCTTCGTTTGGAACTTACAGATACGTTCGAATGCGCGATAGATGGCCCCTAAAAGTATAGCTAATTACATAATTTCCTTTATAAACTTCGTAGTTCGCACTTACTTTGTTCCCGCTTCCTGAAAACTTGCTTTGACTTGCTTCTTGCCGACTTACTTTGCAACTCCGCCCAAAGATACCGGAAACGTCGCGCTTCGCATTTGCAATGATGACCATGATCGTCTGAAAGGTCGGCTCATATAAATCGACAATCTATAAATCTGAATCTAAAGTATTTTTAAAGTTTCGCAGGGACTGGTTGCGTAGCAAAACTTTACCTTCGTTACCTGCACCATGGCGCTTCAAAGTATTGTATTCTACATTCGACGACGATAACCAAGCAAATCTAGTAACGTTTGTGCTAATTTATATATATTTTGAACAAAAATAAATGCATAAGCCAGGAACTTAGCCGTTTTTTCGCAGAATTGAAAGGTGTTCACCATTCAAATGCGCCCGCGGGCGCGCCCCGAGTTGCGCCCATGGGCGCTTTTTGCGCCCCGAGCGGTTTTGCGCCCTTTTGCAAAAATTGCGCCCGGGGCGCAAAAGGGTCCAGTTCGGGCGCGCTCGCGGGCGCTTTGGGTTTTCGGGCGCGCCCGCGGGCGCTTTGCTAACCGAGTGGGGGGGGGAGGGCACTTTCGTACATATTAGCAGACACTTTTTTTATCGCTTTTTCGACTCTTTCTGGGGTAGTTTTTTACGCTATCCAAAAAAAAAACAATGTAAAAATTTATTAACAAAAGGTGCACTTATGCGCAATTTTAGGCTTGCCGCATTGTCAGGCAAGGTGGGCCGTCGCTTCGGATGGGCTGCCGCTCCACTCTTTCGAAATCAGGGCGCCTGGGCGCTACGCGCTCCTCGGGCGCCCCGATTTCGAAACCCTGTACGAGCTCGCACCCATCCGAAGCGACTAGGCCCCGGGTGGCACGAAGCCTTAATTTTAGGCTCAAATTGGGTGTAAGCGTTTCTAAACTTAAAAACGTTTAGATAATTATGTTTTACTACGCTGATTTTGTTATAACAGAAACCAGCACGAAAAACTAGCCTAGAAAGACTCTAAAAATCGAAAACCAAAGTGCCCCCCCCCCCCAACTTGATAAGTGCCAATTTACTTTTTGTTTTATTTTCTCTTACTATTCTTTGTTTTTTTCTTTATTTCTAGTTTCACTTCTCACTTCTTTTCAACCCCCTTTCGGTACTTTTCGAAAAGCCGGGCCCCCATAGCTGCCAGTCGTAGCCGGGGGTCTCCCGATTAGGCAATGTATTGCGGAAAAGTTTCTATTTTTGAAAGTCTTTAAAATTGTTAATTTTTGTCAAAATCAACGTTATGCTTCAGGTTATGGACCCGATGGAAGCGTACGACCCGTGCGCGCCCGGGGAGATCAACTCGGAGAACCTCATCTTCATGCCGCTGTAAGTAACTTCTTTCGGAAGCTTTTAATTCATTTTTAGGGGCTCCGGACAAGAAGTGGGCAGATCGTGCCATGTGCTTCAGTTCAAGGGGAAGCGGGTGATGGTTGGTGATTGTGGAAAATTTTTGAGAACCGATGATTTTTCTAGTTTGATTGCGGCATCCACCCGGGGATGAACGGCGTCGACGCGTTGCCCTTTGTAGATACGATTGATCTCGAGAAGTTGGATGTTCTGCTGGTATTTTTTTGTCCTTCTTTCTATTGAGACTGTTTTAGGTTACCCACTACCATCTCGACCACTGTGGCGCGCTACCCTGGCTGCTCACTCATACGAAATTCAACGGGCGCGTCTTCATGACGTACGCGACGAAGAGTATCTTTCGATTGATGATCTCGGACTATATCAAGGTATTAATACCCTTTAGTAGATCAACAAAAACCGTTTTCTCCTAGGTTGCAAAGTTCTCCGGTGGCGAGGCACGTATGCTTTACAACGAAGAAGACTTGGAGCGCTGTATTGAACGAATTGAGGTGAAAATTCTAGTTTCTTACCTTATTCATATCTTTTTAGGCCATCGACTTCAAGGTGCAAGTCGACTTGGGCGGACTAAAATTTTCTGCCTATGTTGCAGGTATTTTCAGCGCTTGGAGAGCCTAAAACGTTTTTAGGACATGTCCTCGGCGCCTGCATGTTCCTCGTCGAAATAGGCGGCTCCAACTTCCTCTACACTGGCGATTTTTCCCGGTTGGAAGATCGGCATCTTTGTGCGGCCGAGATTCCGCCGGTCCGGCCTGATATCGTCATTTCGGTAAATGAATTTTTGTTGCTTATGTTCTTTTTCTTAGGAATCTACTTATGGTATGCAACACCACGAGAATCGCGAGTCTAGGGAAAAGAGGTAACTTTGAGGCCGAAAAGTTTTAATTTAATTTTTATAGATTCACCACGATGGTACACGACATTGTCAATCGAGGCGGCCGCTGTCTGATCCCGGCCTTTGCGCTTGGCCGTGCCCAGGAGCTGCTTCTAATTCTCGATGAGTACTGGCAAGAACACGAAGAACTCCAAGACATTCCGATCTATTGTAAGTTTCTGTGCCACCGAAAACTTACTTTTTTAGACGCCTCTGCCCTAGCCCAAAAGTGCATGGACGTGTACCAGACGTTCGTCAGCAGCATGAACAAGACGTTCCAGCAGAAGGCCGGCGTCAACAACCCGTTCAAGTTCAAGCACGTCTCCTATTTGAAGGTATTTTCGAGGCTTCATCTTTTTACAAAGCTGTTCAGGGTGGCTTTGATCAATTCGACGACAGCGGGCCCTCGGTTGTGTTGGCTTCACCGGGAATGTTGCAAAGCGGGCTGAGCCGACAGCTTTTTGAGGCTTGGTAAGGCATTTTCACATTGCTTTTACTTTTTTTTAGGTGCGGCGACAGCAAAAACGGGTGTATCATTGCCGGTTATTGTGTCGAAGGCACGCTGGCAAAGGTATTCGTAGTTTATTTTGAAATTTTGTTTCGTTTAGCACATTCTATCCGAACCTGACGAAGTCATTGCGCTAAATGGGACCCGGCTACAGCGTCGTATCGAGGTTATTTTGAGTCAGAAAAAGCAAGATCTTATTCTTCAGATTGGCTACATCTCGTTCTCAGCCCACGCCGACTTTGAACAAACCAAAGAGTTTATCAAGCAGATGAAGCCCGCACATTTGGTAAAAAAATCGAACTTTGAAAATAAGCTGTGTTTTAGATCCTAGTCCACGGTGAAATGCACGAGATGAGCCGCCTGAAAGCCGGCATTCAACGCCAATTCGAGGAAGATGGCGTGCCGATTAACGTAATGATTCCAGTTATAATAATAATAGCTAGTTTTTTTCTAGATTCACAATCCAAAAAACACGGAACGCGTCGAAATCGACTTCCATCGTGCCCGCAAGGCGAAGATCATTGGCAAGCTCTCGACGACGGCGGGGGTATAAATTCTAAGTTTCTCAATATGTTGTTTTAGGATGGCAACATCATCGGCGGAGTGATCGTTGAGCGCGACTTCGAATACAAGATCATGGACCCTTCGGATTTGATGCGTGAGCTTTGCATTTCTTGATTTCTAGCTCTTTTTCAGAATTCTCGGCAATCCCGGTCTCAAAGCTGCAGCACAGCCTGGCCGTTCCCTATGCGCATAGTGTATGTTCCAGTGTGTTTGGTTTTATGATAAAATATCCGAATGTAAAGTATTTAAATTCTTTAGTTCAAATGGCTACGCTACAACATTCGCCAAATCACCGACGATTTTGACGCGCCGTCACTGGAAGACTTTGCCGACGAGCTCAAGGGAGGCGACCTCGTGCCAATGTCGGCCTTTGGGGTAAGAAAAATTTTTGCTGTATTATGATCTATTTTAGGGAGCCATCAAAATGGAATGGTGGCGTTATAAGGGCGTGCTGGTGCTGTCGTGGGATGGAGGAGTGGTAAGGAATTCATTTTCGCTTTGATAAAAGCCTGAAATTTTAGACCAACGATATGTACTCCGATGCCTTGGCCGCCGCCATCTCCCACGCAAACTCCAATCCGGTTCCGGAAAATCGTAAGAATCAGCTGGTTTTGTTTTACCTTTTCAATCTAGGGATCCCGGATCTCGACAGACTGGGCAAGAAGGAGGACCTCGTGATGACGGCGCTTCAGAACGTCTGCGGAAAAGATGCGGTGCTGACCAGAGAAGGGGACATTATTAGCATAGAGGTCCGCTTAAAAAGTTAAATTACAACCCTTTTTAGGTCGAAGAAAAAGTGGCGAAAGTGGACATGTCGACAAACGAAGTGACGTGCGAGGACCCTCATCTGGAGCACCTCCTCAAGTCGATCTCCCGAAACATCTCCCTCTGCGCCCATTCCACCCCGCCGGCTCGCGATATCAAGAATTAGACCTGTGTTTTTTTGATAGCTCTGTTTGTTTTTCCGATTTTGTCATTGTTTGCACGTTGTCTCTCACATTCGGTGATCTGTTTTATCAATACGGGATAAATTATGACTTATACATTTTAAAGTGCAAACTATGTTTTTAAAGTCAAATCTCCTTCGGCTTGAATATCTGGATCATCTTGGCGCGGGCGAATTGGCGGGCTGAAAATCGCGTTAGATGAAGCAAGGAGCTGAGCACCTACCCTCTTCTATCCCAATGACATACGCCTTGTTGTCGAGGTTCCTGATGTACTCGCACATTTGAGCCGGGCTCAATCGGCTCAACTCTGAAGCCCGGGGATTGGAAGCTGATTTGCAAACTAACCGTTGATCAGCTTCACGTCGTCACCGTCCAGCTTCTCGACCTCCTTGAACTCCTTCTTCGGCGCATATGGGGGCACGAAGAGGCGCTAAATTTATGAGATATTTTTAGTTTTGTATGGCCACTCACCGTCGACTCAACAGCCCAACTTTTCTGGATCGCCGGGAGGCTTTCGGAACATTCGAGCGATGCGGGCGCGGGCGACGGATTGCTGCTTGTCGTCGGGGTAGAAGCCATTGGGGGAGGCTTAGAAACGGGATTCCGGTTCGCAATCATTTAGAGCGAGGTGATAGGGCCTGAAATTCTTCAGTTGGTTGCGCGAATTTGCTGATATCAAGAAAATTTGAGGATCAATTTAGGCATAGGCAATGTTCCGACGAAGGTTAAAACTTCCGGGCTAATGGATAAAGCTTTATCAAGGATGTCAACATCTGTTCAGATAACTTTTGCCCCGGCACGCTTCGTCTGCCGCGATTACGCGCTTGTATTGGGTGTCCGGGGAGCGAGGCTTACGTAGCCGACAGGGGAGGGGGAAAATATTTTTACTAGGCGGTTTCTCAAGAATGCACTTTGGGAGAACCTATGATGTCTGGTAAACCATACCACCTTTTTGGCTGAACTCGTGCTCAAATTTTGATATATTACTTTCATATTCGACAATTTCAGATGTATCTCTCGGTGCTGCAACGAGGCTTTCGAGGGCTGCTCCCCGCCTCCAGACAAATCTCGACAACACTGAGGGCCAGTCACGAATCGACGCTGAAGACTGGTTAGTCATTTTCAAATAAGTAAAAATATTCCTTTTTTTAGAACAAGAACCCACCGTTTCGGCGGAACCGGCCGAATTCGACGACGGCCTCCTGGAGACCAACGTCAACCCGTACGCCAAGCCGCCTAGAAAATGTCTGCTCTGCCGGACGGAGGTGGAGCTCGACTACAAAAATGCTCGCTTGTTACAGGTAATTTTTTCAATCTTGATCGTCAATTGTTTCCTTTAGCAATTCGTCTCCAATTTCTCCGGGCGTGTCTACGATCAGCATGTCACCGGCCTGTGCGATCAACAGCAAGAGCGTCTCCTGAAAACGATAGCGCTTTCTAGGAAGGTAGGCGAATTGAATTTCAACTCATCAAATCCCTCTAATTTAGGCCGGCTACATGCCCGTGCTCGTCAAGGACCCAAAATATTTGAAGGACCCAAAACTGTTCGACCCTCTGCGACCGCTTCGTCCGCACTCATTTGCCTAAATTTCTTTTTTGATTTGTTTGTCGTTGGATTGCTAGTTGTACTTTAGGAATTGACGGATAAATATTTTTGCACAATTCCCTGATTCTTCCTGCCAAAAGTTTTTGAAGGCAAGAGTCTTGTGGCCTCTCGGCTTATCTGGAAAAATTTTGGCAATTCTCAATTCCAAATAATACTTTAGATTTAGGCCCACGAATGGACCCTCATCTGCTTGACGATTTGTTAGATGATACCGTTTTAAGGTAATAAAAAGGGTTGATTTTACCATATCCTTAGCGGAGCACCGGCCGAGAGCACGAGTGCTGTGGTCATGTCGCGCCAAGAGCTGACGGAAATTGCGAGCGCAATACAGAATGACACAGATCTGGAGAATGCGTTTGTGTAAGTAACTTTTTCGTATTGAAAAAAATCGGATCGTGCTCAGCCTGTTCGCCAGTTTAAACAAAACTTCGCTCGAGTTGGCCCTCTCGACGCTCTGTATTCTGGCGGAGCACTGTGTGCGAGAGGATCAGAAGGAGAAGCTCTTCTTCATTGTCCGATCGGTCCTCGACGATCCGCTGAGCACGAGGAGCGGAAGAAAAGCGGCGATTTCGGCTTTGAAGGTATCTTAGGATCCGGGTTCATATAGCTCGAAATTTAGGTAGTAGCGCACGCAGGGACTTGGGAGGTGTTCAGCAATCTTATTGAAGCCTTAGAAGAGCCACAGGTAATTTGGCGTATCTTTTTTTTGTAGCTCTTTACAGTTTCATATCGTTCGCCCAGCACTCGTGACGTTTGACACATTTTATGAAGAAGCGAGGAAACGAGATGGGTATTTCTATTGTTGGGTGTGGACCGTGTTGAAAAGGTATTTGTCATTTTTTGCCTTAATTTTTGTATCTAGGGCCTCACTACACTCGAATGGCTGGATCCGGCTGTGGGGGCTGGAGAAGTCGCTGGAGCTGGGCGTGGCGTTTTACGATTTTGAGAATTCGGTAAGGTTTAACGATCCAAAAATGAGCGCTTTATTTAGCCGCTCATCACCCAAGTCATCCCACAGCTCAATTGCACGGACATTCTCTGGCGACTCGTCGAGCGCGGCATCTTTCACAAGACGTGCAGCACGTTGGGAAGGCGGCTCGTCGACTATTGTGACTATTTGGATTCGATTCGAGCGAGTGGGTTAATTTTAAATTGATTATCTCGTTTTTTTTTTCCAGAAAATTTCGTCTTGTCCCTGCTGGACCAGATCGCCGAGCTGACGTGCCCTTTCACGCTTTTCTTCCTTTCCGAAGCTCTGAAGCCGCTCGATCGCCCGGTGGTTGCCGAGGAGCATTTAGAATTGTTGAGGTTACTTGCAAAAGCTTTTTTAAAGTTTTTTTTTGTTCAGAAAAATCATCAGCCGCCTCCACTCGATCCCGTACACTTCCCTGAAAAATGCGGCTTTCGGGAATTTTGTCGATTTCTTTGCGAGGATTGTTGATTGGGTGAGACGATCGGCGATACCCTGAATTTAACAAATTTCAGAGTCGTTGCCCAATCCGGCTCTTCGTGCCCTTTTCCTCCTTGGTCTCGCAGATGCCGAACGTGGAGATTAACAACTTGTTGAAGAAGCGCCTGGCGGAGACGATAGAGAAGCGCCGGGTCGAGATTTTGGTGGAAGAAATGTGCGAGATGGTTCGGCACACCGACTGGAATTATGAGGTGCGTTCAAAGACAATGGAAACTATAAAAATCGCGAATTTTGCTATTTTGCTTTCAAAAAATCTGGAAATGGAAAAATTTAAAACAAATGAGATTTCTTTTAGACCGAAGACCCCGGCTGGCTGATCTGGGAGTTTGCCTTCTCCGCCGGCGACGAGGTGGCCGGCGCGTTGGAGTTGGAGCTGGAGAAGGTGGGGGCTTTAAAAATTGGATAGCTTCCGTATTTAATCTCTTTAATTGCTGAATGATTTATTGTCTTTTTACTATTCTTTATATATTGCTTATTATCAAAATGTAATTCCAGATGCTCGTCGAATCGATTGACGAGGGCCGGCCGCTCGACGACTTGCAGGGATTGATCGGCGTCTGGATGCGGAAACCACACAAGAATTCGGCTCGCGGCGCCAAGGAGCTCAAGGCCACCTCGGTCTTCTTGACGATCCTCACCGACTTCTTCTACTCGCAGATTCTGATGCTGAAGGGCGTGGTATGGGGCATTATTTCAAAAAATTTCGGATTTCAATAATTTGAAAATGGTGAAAATATAATTTCGACAAAATAAATATCGAAATTCCAAATTTCAAAAATCCTAATTAAGAATAAGACGTTGTATTGTATTCCCAGACTTTTACTGATCATCTCCTTTCAGGGCAAAGGCGGCCTGTTGATCACCAAATTCTTCCTGCCCCCGCACGCCTGGTTCCCGAACGCCGTCCGGCTGTTGCCAATGTGCGGTCGGCTACTCGATTCCGCGGACTGCACGATCCGGCACGAATTCATGGCGTACAGCATCCTCGAGCAGTACATACCGCTGCTCAGCACCGAGGCCATCCAGAGCTACGAGTTCAAGCTGCTCATCAAGTCGCTCGTCGAAAATGTTGCTGCGAACCCGTTGAACGCGGGGAGGACGGGGAAGTGAGTTTTTGTGAAAATCAAAGAATTTAAATTCTATATTATTTAATTTGATTTAATTTAGCAGCTCGCCGCCAGCAGCTCCAAGAGCTCGACGAGAGCTGCAGAAGATGGCCGAGTCGATCGGGGCGCTCAAGGTGAAGCTGTTCAGGTCAGTTTCCGGTTATTTTTCTTTACTTTTTTCAGGACCTACTTGCTGGAGACGGTCAAAGATTGGGACAAGTTGCTGGAGGATGTTTTTGAGGTGGGCTTCAGCTGGTTCAATTGAATTCAATTTTCTTTTAGACGATCGATTGCGCTTCTTCGTTCGACCGGAAACTGGAGCTGCTCAAACTTGCCGAGGAAGCCATACAGCACGTGAGTTCCATTGGTCTATCGTGAAAATTATTGGTGAATTAGGTAAAAAACGAGGCGCTACTCGTCCAACTCGTCGCCGTCTCCGCTAACGTTCAAGCCGAGGAGCTGAAGAGCATCAACTCCTTGACGGCCGCCGAGCAGGTGATGCGGCTGGTGACAAACAAACGGATGCTGGAGCACGAGGAGACGCGGGAGAAGGCTTTGGTGAGGGTTTTTTGCTTTTAAAATATCGTAATTTTAGGAGCTTTTCGATTCGTACCTCCAATCCGCTTCTCTATCACTCCCGGTGGCGCTGGTATTAGCGCAGGCGCTTCGGGAAGCCCAAGATCGACTCACAAAGGAGTGGGCTTCACGAGTGAGCTTTCCCTTTATAGTTTAAAATTTTAAACTATTCTAACTTTATTTTTTAACATGTATATTTTTTTTAGATCGTCGATCTGGCCATATTCGGGCCGATCCCCCGAAAAGACGGTCGCGTCGTCGCCACGACATACGGCGTCATTTTCGACGACATCGATTTCGTGACGATGAAGGCCGAGTCGGAGGCGGAGGTGGTGTCCCTCGTCGAGGAGCTGTTCACCGAGCCCAACGAGGAAGACCGGAAGAACGGGATGCGGCTCGCCACGGAAGCCAAGGCGGTCAGGGGCTCGCCGGCGGTTGAAAGGTTGATAGCGCCTATAAAACTAGCAGTTTCCACTTCCTTACATTTTCTATTCTTTATTTTAGACTTCACGAAATCGTTGCCCGTACTCGGCTGATCGGCTCGTGCCTGGCGGTGAACTGCGCGTCCCGAGACGAGGGCATGGCTGCCGCTCTACTCTCGGCGATCCTGGAACGATGCTCTGAATTTGACAAAAGCTCGAGCAGGTGCGGATTTTTTGTCAAATTTGTTCATCTCCTTGCTTCAGAACCTTTGGCCTCTCGTTCGCCCACCGGGCCAAGACGCGCGTCGTCCAGCTGATGTTGCTCGTCTTGTCGACGCGGGATTCGAGGAAATTGGTGGGGATACTGTGGGATTAATCAAACTTTTTTTAGGAAATTTTGCCTACTGTGGTTGACTACTGTATCCAAGTGATCCAAGACCCGTGCCAGCAATTCTCGATCAAACTGATCGTCGAATGGATTCTCGCGTACTGTGCTTGCCAAGACGATGGAGTGCTTGAGAAAATAATATCGGTGGAAAAAGAGGTATCGTCTCTCTCTCTCTCTCTCTCTCTCTCTCTCTCTCGCTCTATCTGTCGCTTTCTTTCTATATAACTCCCATTCTAGCTCTCCAAATCCCGCATCGGCAGCGTGACGTCGTGGCTGAATATCCTGGTGCTGTACGCCAAGTCGAAGAAGGACAATTTGGTAGGGGAGACTACTGGATCAATCACATCTTGCTTTCAGGAAGTGCTGACCCGGCTGCTGTCCCTGATCGTCCCCTGGACGACAGCGCAGAACTTCTCGGTCCGCTGCAGTGCCATCGCAGCTGCTCACCTCCTCTATGGTCATCTGCCGGAAGCCGAGAAGCCGAAATGGACACTCGTCAAAGCGATCATGGACTTTGACGGGGAGCCGGCGGGGTGAGATTTTGGTCATCTCCTAGATTCCTAGATTTAGGAATGCTCGTCGTGTAATCGAGAACCTGTTGGTCGACTTCTACTTTGCAAAGTTGGAGCCGGTTGCGCATTTGGATCTGCAAACGGTGCTGAACACGGTGTCGACAAAGACGGGAATGCCGGATGATGAGTTGATTCCGGATAGGTGAATTTTTAAGTTTCTTTCTCTCTCTGTATCTTGCTCTCTCTCCCTCTCTCTCACTCACGCTCTCGCTCTCTCTCTCTCTCAACCTTTTGTTTTTCAGGCTAATAACCTCGCTGAACGACACGAAGATGAAGGGGCTCAGCGACGATGAGCAATTCTTGGCAGCCGAGACGCTCGTGTATAATTGTGAGTAAAGGCAAAATTTTCTAGAAAAATTAATTTTTGTAGCCCTGGCCAAGTGCAACACCTGCGCCCCGGAGATGACCACCGAAGAGGACTCGGAAAGGATTTCGGCGGAGAGTGGTGAGACTATTTTCAATTTTTAAAACGTTTCTTCTAGGCTACGATTTCGAGGTGAACGGCACCGAGCCGGAGTCGACGTCGTTGCAGCGGAAGATCGTGACGGCCGCCTGGCAAAAGCCGCTGGACTGCTCGCTGATCGTGGTGGCCAGCTTGGTGGATAAGCCGGCAAATTTGGGAGGTAAATACTTGATTGGGCAACAATGGTGAACTGTTTCAACTCGTTCCTATCTACGAAGCTTGTACGAACCGAAGTTGTCTGTTGAAATTTCTCACGAGAATATGCTAATCTTTGAACTGCTTGAATTTATGGCCAGGGCGAAGTCCGGGCTGGAAGGTGCGGTTCTCGGTTCTGAACTGCTACAAATTGGCCGCCCAAATTTTTTCCCAACTTCCTAAATCCCAATTTTCAGGGCTCTGCCGCACCTCCGAAATCTTTGGCGTCGACTCGCTGGTGCTCAACGACGTGCTCCAAGCCAAAAACCTCAACTTCAAGGCGCTGTCGATGAGCTCGGAGAATTGGCAAAAGCTGGAGGGCGTCCGCCCCGACGACCTGATGGAGTACCTGAAAGAGCGGCGCCAGGCCGGCTACACCGTCGTCGCCGCCGAGCAGACCACCGACAGCACGCCGCTCGACAAGTTTGCCTTCCCGAAGAAGTGCGTGCTGCTCGTGGGCGATGAGCGCGAGGGCGTACCCACGCGACTGTTGCGCTACGTCGACCAGACCGTCGAGATCAAGCAGTTCGGGCAGACGCGGTGAGTTTTTGACGTTATGGAAATTGTGCATTTTCTGCAAATGCAAATTAGCGGTGGTGGGAGTAGAGAGTTTCTAAATTGCAGATTTTTAAAATATTTTTTGAGAAATGAAAAAAATTGGAAAGCAAAAACCTTTTTTTTTCAGCTCATTGAACGTGCACGTGACGGCCGCCCTGTTCATCTCCCGGTACGCCGAGCAGCATTTTTGCGCCTAATTTTAGCCCGTCCCTTTTTTCTGAGTTTAATTTGTTACGTTTTGTTGAATTTTCCCGGATTTCTTCTTTTCAATTTTTTTTTGGGATTTTGCTCTCACGGTGCCACTATCATTGTGATACATTACCGGAATTGCTTTCACTTTTTTGCCTTGTTTTTCAATTATAGAATGTCATTTTTGTGCGTGTTGCTTTCAAAAAAAATATTGTCCGGAATTTCCTTCTCTTTTTCTTTTCTCCAATTTTAAAATGTCATTTTTATGCCTTCAAAAAATTTATTCACATCACTGGGCTGTAGATAATTACAGGCAAAAATCGGGGCATAGGTTTTTTGGTAAAGTTGACGCATTAATGGCTTTATGGGAGTGGTAGGGTGGGAGTTTATTTAATTAGGGGAGGGGCTTCATTCGACGGGCTTCTCCTTCACTTGTCGTCCTGGCCGAGCGCGTTCATCTCCAAGAAGAAGCCGACCAGGCACGCCAGCGCCCCAATCACCCAGCAGACGATGAACACGACGAAGGCGGCTGGAACGTGGGAATGTTTTTTCTACGGGCTTGGTGCTTTTCTGATATCGGGGGACAACATTCAATAGTTCATCAACCCACTTCTGCACGGCTTTCGCGAGTCCTCCTCGGGGATGGCGCGCGGCACGGGGATCGTCGACTTGACCTTGGGCTTCTTGCCCTTTTTCGCTTTTTTCGCCGAGCCGCCCTCCTCCGGCTCGTCGTCGCCGCCGCCGCCCTCGGCGTCATCACCGCCCTCCTTGCCCTCCTTGCTCTCTTTGCCCTCCTTGCTCTTGCCCTCCTTGCTCGCTTTCGCCTTTTTCTTTTTTCCTCCAGCTCGGAGACGGGGCGCGTCGTCGGCGAGCAGGCCGGCCTCCAGCTCGTCCATGGTCGGTGCTAGAAAAATAGGTGTTTGAAGGTTTTAAGTTTAATTTGCATAAATTTAAATTTACAAAACGACAAAAGGATAAAAAAGGGAAGACAAGACTTACCGGTATGGAGAAGCCGCGGGGAATGGCAGATTTTTGGCGGCTTTTCGGGAGCCGGAGAAGCGCCATATTTCAAATTCAAATTTGAAAACCGAGACTTTCGACTCTTTCTCTCGCATTCGTGCTCGCACACGTGCTCTCTCTCTCGTGATTCATCTCGTCGTCACTCTCGTGCTCGCTCTCTCCCTTTCTTTCCCTCGTGTTCTCTTCTCACCCCCTCTCTCTGGTGTCTTTCCTCATCCTCCAGCTCGTCCTCTCTGTCTGTCTGTCTGTCTGTCTCTCTCTGTCTCTCTCTCTCTCTCTCCTCTCTCTCACGATGTATTACGCCAAGCAATATACATCTTTATTAACAGTTTCTTTCAGCTCATCACAACCGTGTGTTCGTTGGGGGGCATTGATTGTATGATATGAATAGTAGGCAACTCGTTTCTTTTCATATGTTTTTTGTTTTAACGGGGGTTCAACGGGAAGACGCGACTGGGGGCCGGCTAAAAGTATTGCTTCTCGAGGAAGGCTTGGTGCTTGAAGAAGGCCTCTTCGGCGAGGTTGGTCATGCGGCGGCGCTTCTGGATGTTCCGCGCCTCGTTCATCTGAAAAAAAAGTTAAAAATTGATGCTCAGGCCGAGGTCAAGCTCCTTAAAGGCACTAAAATTAGGGCTAAGTCGAAAAAATGGCAAAAAACCTACAATTACGCCAATGTAAAAGTAGTCCGGTGAATCCCGCGATCCCAGTGCGTGAAGGTAGAGCTGGAAAAGTGGATTTTATTGCGGAGTAAGCTTAGCTTTAAGCTTAGGCTTAGGCTTAGGCTTAGCTTAGGCTTAGCTTAAGCTTAGGCTTAACTTTTTGAAAAATTTTTGTAAACCGACCCAGATTTTTGCAAAATGCGGCGGCATGTCGCTCAACGTGATCGACGCCCTGCTGAGCGGGGTTTTCATGAAGCGACGCATGGTGGGCTGGAAAACGGAATCTCTCTCGCCATCTCGCTCTCCCTCTCTCTCTCTCTCTCTCTCTCTCTCTCTCTCTCTCTCTCTCGCTGTCTCTCTGTCTCTCTCTCCCCCTCTCTCTCTAACTATCTCTCTCCTCTTACCCCATCATCGAAGGCCATCCATGGCTGTTGGGTGGCTGCTTGCGAGTTGACGAATTCGGTGACGGTGTAGAGCCATCCCCACAGGTCGTCTAGGTAGGTCTGGTCTCTGCCCAGCTCGGCGTGCAGGCTGGCCCACTCCTCGGTGCCGCGCGTCCCCACGAAGCTGCGGGGCTCTCTAAAAATGAAGTCCTGCTCAAGTGATAGCCAAGGGGAGTACCGGGATCATTTTCACACTCCCCCGCTAACAGCCCAATACCGCCGTTTCACACTCACCGCATCCTCCCCAAAGCATCCCGACAGCTGCGCGCCATGCCCATGTCGTACAGCACGAGGACGCCCACGGGATCCACGCCCATGTTCTCGGGCTTCAGGTCGCGGTGGAGAAAGCCGACGTAGTGCATGTCGTAGATGGCCTTCAGCAGCTGGGAGGCCAACGACAACGCAAGGCCCAGTTTGTCGTCGGTCTTGTCTGGAAATAGGGAAAGTAGAGAGAGAGAGAGAGAGAGAGAGAGAGAGAGCGACAGTTAATTAACCCACAGATTCTGTGGCCGACCTCTTCGGGGAGGAACTCCACGACGACGTAGGCAGCGGGGTGCCCGTCTTGCCCCTGCACGACCCCATTTCCGAACATGCGCGCGACGTGTCGGGTCCGCTCCTCGTTGTTTGCCGCCTGAATGGGGGTCAAAAAATTAGATTTTTGACGAGGTTAGGAGAAAATTCTAGGCGGCATAGGCTTAGGCTTAGTTTAGACCTAGCTTAGGCTTGGGCTTAAGCCGAGGCTTGGCCTAGGTTAGGCTTCCAAAAGTCTATTGTTCTCAAGCTGGAACTCCTCGAAAAGCACCGACATCTTGCATCTTCTTGAACACGCTGATCTCCCACAAGATGGACTGTGAGCCGTGTGCCGACAGCCCGACCTTGATGACGCCCCTCTGCTTGCTCGCGGGCCGAACGCACAGAAACGCCAGTCCGTTTGCGCCTGCAAATCGGATTCTGCTCGGGGAAATGCCGAAATACCGACAGCTTTGCTAATTGCCGTCGGTATTTTGGCTTTCGGTGTGTTGGCTATATCAACGGACCCGACCCGACCGGCTTCACCAGCAGCCAGCCGTCGATGCTCTTCTTCTTCATGTACCACGCGGCGAGCTCGTCCTTCTGCGCATCACCCGCACTGAAATTTGCATAACGGTGAGAGAGACCGAGAGAGAGAGAGAGAGAGAGAGAGAGAGAGAGAGAGAGAGAGAGAGAGAGAGAGAGAGAGAGAGGAACTCACGCGTAACGCATGTCCAACGACATCGCCGGCGTCGTGGATGGCGTGGAAAAGTTGCAGACGAGTTGTTTGGGCCCAGTAGACGCACAAAGTGGGGACCCGAAAATTTAGAGAATTTTCCTGTTTTGTGGAAAAATTTACATGCAAATTACCGTGCGTTTCCGGTATGCAGATATCGAAGAGGCTGCACCGGAAATTATTCAAACCTTGAATTTTTATTTTTTTCAACCGGTTTTTTTACCTTTTTTCGAAAAGCGTCTTCTGTTATTTCCTGTCATTTTTTATCTTATTTAGCAAAATCCACCCATTTTACAACGTTTAATAACAAAAATTATCATTTGATTTGTTTATCTCAAGCCTTTCAGAAGCTCCGCAATTCCCAAATACTCTCTGCTAACTTGCCTTCAATGATTGCCATGCAGAGTTCATTTTTTGACAACTCCTGTCCATTTTCCTACTTCTTCTCCCAAATTTTTTTTTGACAAAAAACTTTGAATTAGTTTTTTAATCCATCTAGAGCGTTTTAAAACATCTAAAATTCCCAAATACCCTCTGCTAGCTCGCCTACAGCGATTATTCCTGTTCCATGTCATTGTCACATCTCTCGAAAACCACCAGTATCGATCCATTCCCTAGCTGTGACCTATATTCGACAATATCCTAATGACAGCCCCTAGGGGCCCAGTAGCGGAAAGGGCAGCATCTGACCCTCGCATCCAACCATTCAGCCAACGCCGTATTCATCCCCATTCCCACAAATCTATATTGTCCTCGATTTATAGGCATCTAAAACCTACCTAAATCGCTAAATATCAGTTAGAAACAACTATGGAAATTGAAATAGAAAAAACATACTGGATAACCGTGGGTGGCGAGCCGTACGAATTCATTGTCCCCAAATGCGACAATGAATGTTACTGGGAGAAATCGAGGCGCTTCGGAGATATGCTTCGAGTAAGTCTCGATTAGTTAACGGCCTTTTGGCTTTTTCCTAAATATTGTAACTTTCTAATACCTTTAATAGATTTATTTTAGCGAACGATTTAAATAACCACCGCAGAAATAACATGTTATAAATAGAAACATAGGCATTTAAAACGATTTCGTCCACCGTTTCAAGTTTTATGCCGTATTTTCTGCGTTTCTAGGCGAATTTTAGAGGGTCTGCACTCAAAGGAACGACACTTCTATCTAAAAACTATCAAAAATCTTCATAAAAGAACCAAGAAAGACTCCTTAATCATTTTAGATAGTTTTTATCAGGTTTCTAAGCAAAATTTGTTAATTTCCGCTGAGACTGTTAATACGCTGAGAAGTAGCTGGCTTAAACTAAAGCGTTCATTAAAATGATTAGAAATAACGACTATCAAAAACGATTTGAATGATTAGGCAAGAATTTTTGATCCTTACGTAGTTTTCAGGTTTCTTCTCAAAAACTCAAATTTGTAACGTTTCTACGCGTAAAACTTATAAAACTATAAACATTTAAAGATGTAAAATCACCAGCTATAAGGCTGAATTCCAGCTAATGATAATAAATATGAGCTTCAACCCATATCTTACAAAACCGAAGTCGATTTTGAACAGCGAAGTAAAGCCGGCCTAAGTTTTCCTAAAAACTAAAATACTACTTTTCAGGGCCGTCACCGCGATCCTCCGCTGTGGCCTATGGACGACCCCCGTCGTATAAGTCTGAACTGGGGCAACGAGCCGTCGACCCTCATCGTCGTTATCAAGTACCTGGCGCTGGCCATGATAGTGTCGTTTGTGATTTGGTTCCGTGAGTCGACGCCTCGATTTCATGAAAAATTGTTTTAGTCTGGCCGATTAAACGGGCCCCTGTAGAATTCGAAGAAGATGAGGACGAAGAAAGCGAAAGCGAATTCGGCGAAGATACCGAAGCCGAATATGATATTGTCAAAAAAGACAGTTGACATGTGTAATAAATCTGTATCCTTGTAAACCCTGCTATCACGTTTTACAAGCATAAAATCGCAAAAAATTTTAAGATTTTTCCGACAGCGCGCTAAGATACCGACTGAATACGATCTTGTTAAATAGCATAATAAATCTATTTGCGTTATAATACCCTTTTATCGCGTATTTACAAGCACAAAATCGAAAAATACAGAATTTACGCTTCTTCCATCTCCTCGTTCTCCTCTTCGGCAATGGTTTGGTCGGGGTCGGCGGTTTCCGGGAGGTCAGGGGAGATCTAAAAATAGTATTGGAAAAGGCTAGAGAAAATAAATACGGCAAGAAGAACAGAATTAATAAAATTTACCTCATCTAGAATACCCTCATCTTCGGCTAGGGTCTCTGGGGGCTGTGTTTCGTCTCCTTGCGCTTCCTAAAAAAATAGTTAAGAACCATTGCTCTGTGTATTGAAAATTATAGCAAAAAAAACCCGCCTCAACAATATCCTCCTCGGCCATATCCTCATACCAATCGTCCAACGCGTCCTCGAGGAATTCGAAAACCGGGTTGGCCGCGATGACCTTTCCTGAAACAAAATGTACAAATTTTAGGCCCAAGCCTACCAATATCCTTTGCCTGAACCGTCTTTCTCTTGTCCAACACAGCTTCCGTGTAGCTGGCCCGGCTCAACTCTTCGATGAAAAATTCCTAAAAAAGTTGTATTAATTTTCGAACAAAATAAACTCACCGCTGCCTTCGCGATGAGCTTCACGGCCTCGGCGTTGATCATGTCGACGTCGGGGTCCATTCGGACGATGCCGCGGATATGAAAAAAGGCATAAAAAGGTACTTAGAGCAAAATAAACAGTTTTCGATCATTTTACTGCAACCATACCTTGCTGATGGGAAATTGAGTCTTGATCTCATCAAAATCGACGTCAGCCATTTCTGAAGATGTGTTTTTGAAGGTCGAATACACCGAGACATGGATGCCGGGATCTTGCCGGGTGGCAGCCGGGAAACGGCCGGTTTCTTGCCGGGTGGCAGCCGCCGGCTGCCATCCGGCTGCCGCCGGCAGCCGGCGGCTGCCATCTGGCAGAAACCCGGCTGCCATCCGGCGAAAAGCCGGCAGCCGGGTTTCTGCCGGCACATGCCGGGTCGTCCGGACTGGCTTCTTGCCGGGGTTTTGCCTGGATCCTGCCAGTTATTCGCCGGCCATTTGCCGTGCTTCTGCCAATATAATGCTTCCGCTTCCGCTTCGCACTTGCAACGTAGGCGACGCCTGTAATCTTGTGCCAATATACTAGTGCTTTCTCTTGTCTTTAATTTCGTTTATCACTTACTTTGCGAGGCATGAGAGTTGGCGGTAGACGTTCGCGGCAACAATCTAAATGTAAACTTTAATGTTAATTTTAACCTTTACCCGCGTTAATGAGTTTTTAAACCCATGAAACTTAACTTAAAAGTAAACATAATTTTTGAACCAAGGTGCTTGAATCAAGGAAGCTAAATCAGAAGCAGGCGCAGGTTTCTCACTATTAATTTATCTAGAAACAAAGGTTAGATTGTACTAAACTTCTCTTGTTACCTGACGCTACTTCGTCACATTAGCGAAGCATTGGTCAGCGTGTGTGCTGGTTCAAGCTCAAAACTTCCTAAAAGTCTAAAGAAACTGAAATACCTGGCTCGTCTGCAGTTCCATTTAACTTGCCATACGGGCACATTGAACCCAGAAAGACGGCGGCAAATATCGAAATGGAATAAAACATTATCTGAAAATTTCCGTTAACTTGGCAAGAAATCAAAGTGTTGCCATATATCAAATAAAAAACCTCTAGTGCCAATTCACAGGCTGTTCTAAAAACATCAAACGTTTTCATAAGCTGTATACTTACCTCTTGATAAAACTGTAAAAATATACATTTATGAAAGAAGAAACTGAACGCGCAAAGAAAACGAGGCGAAAAGCCGAAAAATTCGAAAGTTAGGGGAGGGCTACGAATAAATACATTTTACACCGGCAAGAATCCGGCAGTATCCCGGCAGCCGGCAGAAAGCCGGCAGGATTCCGGCAGACCCGGCAGCGAGTCGGCAAGAACCTGGCCGCCGGCTGTTTGCCAGGTCGAGCAGCCGGCAGCCGGGATCCTGCCAGATGTCCCGGCAAAAATCCGGCAGAAAACCGGCAGGATCCCGGCTGCCAGCCGGCAGAGCCATTTTTCCCGGCTGCCATCCGGCAGAAACCCGGCAGCCATTTCACTGTGTACTTCGTTAAAGTTTTCAAAATCGAAGAAGTTTAATTTCCGAGGTCTAATTCTTTTTGCTTTCCAGATCACTCCCGCGCCATCTGCCTGTTGTTAGTATTCCCTCGTACTGGTGTTTTCAAAAATTCCAGACCTCGAGTACCTGCCTTTTCTGATCGAAAACCTTCGTAAAATCCTAATATCTTCCCGAATTTTTTTTTTATCAATGAAATCGACTAACTTTAACGAATAATTTTTGCGCTTTTTCAACTCCAAATTAGGCACATAAAACCGTTTTTCAGCCTTTTTTTACTCTTCGTTTTAGACAACCTATTTTTTACCTAGTTCTTATTTTCCTGTATTTTCTTGCTTTCCCAAGCTTATTTTCATTCCCCATTCCAGCATGTCAAATCGAACGGGGCATTTCCCGGCCGAACTTGGCGAAGATGAGATCTCTGGGCTGATGACAATGGTCAAGGTAAGGCATTTTTTACTCTAAAAATAATTTTTTAGGCCCGCTCCGTCAACCCGGTAGATTACGACAGAAAGATCAACTTCTGGCGAGGCGCCATCGAGAATTCGTGCGCTTCGTCCAAGGATGCCGTGATCAGCGTTGACGTCATCAAGAAAAGGTACAAGCTTTTGGTTTTCTGTTTGGAAAAAAACTTCCAGGTTCCGGAGAGGCGACGTCGTGCCGGCTTGTATAAACGCGGTGATCGAGAATATGATTAGGTTTGTAAGATTCTAGAGTTTTCAGTTATTTTTTAGCACTGGCGACATCATATCGGTTGACGAATGGAAGGAAAAGCACTCTTCGTGGTTGCAATGGGGTGTAAGTTTTCAAAGCTTGAAGCTATTTGGTTTTCATTTTCAAATTTAAAAATGCGTTTTTAGGTCACCCGGCTCTGGAAGACGAGTGGTTGGTTGCTTGGCGCGAGCGATGACAGCAACAATGATTACATCAATCTACCGGCTTTGCAGGTATTACCCTTTTATGATCTTTTTAAGACTTAGGATCGTCTGAACAGATTTATAAAATATTTATAAAGCAAACCGACTGTTTTTATCTGATTTTTCCCAGAAACAAGCCCAAGAAATCGTGCAGCTGTACGAGCAGGAGTTCAAGGACGAGCTCGACTCGACCGGAGAGGTCGTCGCCTGGGCCGAGTTGTACGACCGCGCCGGGAGCATTGTCGAGACCGAGGTTTCCTTATTTTTAATGCTTTTTTAAACTTTGTTTTAGGAAAACTTTGAATTTGCGCTGCAACTTCTCGCCGACCGGGGCGATATCCTTGTCGGAAATGCGAGGAACGGAGAGAAGGTTATCAAATTCAAGGTATATTTTTCAATTATTGAATTACCTTGTTATTCTAGGACACCAGAGAAAAGGGCCCGTTCCGCTTCACCGAAACCGACGCCTCGGTGCACGACATTAAAATCGCGCTAAATAAGCTGCAGAAGGAGATCCACACCCTGGAGGCGAAGGTGAAAAAGTGGGTTTATTGTTTTTTCATAGTTTGGTTATAAGAAATAGTTTTATTATTATTTTCCAGGCTCGAGCTCGACTCTCGCGCGGCCGTCCGCGCCAGCGACAAGCACAAGGCGTACAAGCTGCTCCAGCAGAAGCAGCGTGTCACCAAGGACCTCGGGGCAAAGGATGTGCAGTACCAGAAGCTGCTCGCCATGCTCAACCAGATTGGCAGTGCAAGGGTATGTGAATTTATCGAAAAATTAAGACATTTTTTCTAGCACAACAACGAGGTCCTGGCCGCGTTCAAGATGGGCACCGACGCGTTCAAGGCGAATTTGGCGCGCCATGGGCTCTCGCCGGAGAAGGTGATAATTTTGTTTGGTTTTCGAGATTCATCGACGTCTCGGTGCTTTTCTGTTAGCAGGGGGACGTGGCAGGAAATTTTTTTGATGCGGTAGAGACGAAATAATTAAAATTGTTGGCGCTTTTGCAATAGATAGAATTTTACGCACATTTTGAACGCGATGTTAAAGCGTCGGATGAATTTTTAATTTTGGTTAAAAGGTTTCAGAATCAAGAAAACGTCAGAAGAAGCATAACTTTTCTGAGCAGTTTTTGTAGCATTTTATTGGTTGAAATCTCCTAAAACACAATTAAGATACGCTCTCTCATTAAATTTTATGCCGATGGACCATTTTTCAGATCGACGCCACGATGGACGAGGTGCACGAGGCGGCCGACGAGTTCCGGGAGATCGAAGAAGCCATCGGCCAGGGATTCGCGCAGGTAGGAAATTAGAAAACCTGTTTTGTATGTAGTTGTTTTTAGGCCGACGCCACCAACAGCGAGGAGCTGGAGCGCGAGCTCGAGGAGCTGATGAAGACACAGGAGAAACCGAAGGCCCCCGCCCGCAAGGCCGATCCCACGGTATTTTTTTGGCGTCACGCGGGTTTTTATGATCAGGGGAGGTGCATCAATTTTCAAATTTTGAAATTGGAGTAGCAGAAATTCCACTTTTTTAAGATTAAAAATATTAAAAAAAGGTAGATTTTTGCAGCAGTGATGGCCGTTTTTGTGCCCAAAATTTAGTTTTTTTCTTAAATATGGAGGTTATTAAAACGATTTTTCGCATTGAAATAGCTAAATTTCTGCCAAAATATCCCCCCCCCCCCCCGATAATGCGAGAGAAACTACAGTATTTTTTCGCTTCAAATTTCTAGAATTTTTGATTATCATTGATTTTTTCAGCTCGACCTCCCCGCCGTCCCGTCGGGCAGCCTGAAGCGGCCGGCCACCAGCGACATGACGCTCGAAGATCGACTCAAGAAGCTGCGCGAGATGGCCTGAGCCCCCCCACGCGGCCTTCATCTTCATTCCTGTTGAACATACTGACAAATAACACAATTCTCCCTCTTCTCACACCCATTTCCATCTGTTTCCTTTCGTTATCTGTGTTTGTTTAGCCGATCTGATCCCATCACCCACAAACGTGTAGTCCTCTATGGAAATTTTTACATCGCCCCACCCCGTTGCGTTGGTTCTATATTTCTCACTGTTGTCCGACCGGTTGCTTTCTTTTTTGGTGAATAAACGGGGAATGTTATAAAAATGTGGTTGTATTAATTTTAAGAGAATTTTAGAGATAGGCGTTAAGTTAAGCCATGCTTGTCGAAATCTCGGGAGTTTCGAAATTCAGAATGTCGAAATTTCGATAATTTCGAACCCATGATGTTGTAAATTAGATTTCGGAACCTTACGTATGATGTTGCCGAAATTCAAAATGCCGTTGTCGATCTCTGAAATTTGACCGATCGCTCCAAAGTACGCTGTTCGCCTCCGTCTTTTTGCTCATCACCAGCAAACCGATTCTTGGTTTGCGCTTATCTGCAAAGCCGCAGCGTTCCCCAGATAAATACGCGGCTCCTGCGGACCGCGTGGTCACAAGGTGGTCAAATCAGAAAATGTGGCTGCTTTTGGTATTTCTAGGCATTCAAGTGGTGTTTGCGACGTTGCCGGCGCCTTTGGTAGGGTTTTGAAGTTCTCGTTCTCTCTCTCTCTCTCTCTCTCTCTCTCTCTCTATTTCGCGAACCTCTACAGAAATATTTTTAAAGGGAGCGTGGTACTAAATGTTAGGTATTTTCTAGGTAATCACAAAATCCGGACCGATCCGCGGGACCGTTCTACAAACCGACGATGGGACGATTGTTAATCAATTCCTGGGAATTCCATTTGCCCAGCCGCCGATGGGAAAGTTGAGATGGCAGGTGAGAGAGAGACAGGGAGAGAGAGAGCGAGAGAGAGAAAGAGCGAGAGAGAAAAACTAGCAGAGATCATTTCGGAAATGTTCAGAAACCCCAGCCCCCAATCGCCTGGACGACACCGTTGAACGCGACCGCCTACAAGTCTGGCTGCGTACCGTGCATGAAGTGGGTCAATCTGAAGTTTCTAGCCTTAAAAGGGAGTGAATCAGCTAAAGGAGTTTTGGCAACGCGCCCGTCAAAATAGCATAAAAACACAGCAAAATTAAAACCAATACATTTTAGAGGCCAAATCGAGGCCGGCGGAGCTTCAGAAGATTGTCTTTATCTCAATGTTTGGTCTCAGGACCTAAAGGTATAATTTAACGTGTTTTAAATTTGATAGATTTTTTATTATTTTGTAGAATTTAAGAGATTTTCGTAAATATTTATCTTAGTCAACAATAATTTCGTAGGGAAGTCTCCCAGTGCTCTTCTTCATCCACGGCGGCGCCTATGTGGGAGGAGAAGCTTCTGACTTTTCGCCGAAAGCCTGGAGTGAGGTTGGTAGCGGAAAAGTGGATGGCCCGCCACGTTTAAAGAGACGCGAAAACGCCAGAAGCGACCCTTCTGTTTTGCCTAGGTTTCGACAACTTCCTGGTACCAAAATATACGCTTGACGAGTCATTTACATACCATTTTTGTACCGTTTTTTGTTCAAAAGCGCGTTTTCGACAGCCGCGTAGTTTTCGAGACCTAGTCAAATAGAGGGGTTGATTCTCGTGCTTCTCAGTCTATTCAAAACCATCTCTCAATCCAGGTTTATGCTCGGCGTGGTATCGTTATCGTTACGATTCAATACCGGCTTGCCGAGCTCGGCTTCTTAACCCTAAATGACACCCGAATCCCGGCTAACCTCGGACTCTGGGATCAGAATATGGCGCTGAAATGGGTGCAGGACAATATTGGGCGATTTGGAGGTGGGGATTCCGAATTTAAAGCACTTGTCAAGCTATTAAAACTCAACAGTAACCGTTAGGAGGCAGTACGCTACAGTACACTTTCAGGAAATTCCAAGAGGGTCACGATTTTCGGGGGCTCCGCCGGCTCCTCGTCGGTTAGCCAGCACACGATATCACCTTACTCAAAAGGTATTTTTTGAAATTGGGTATGAAAACGCGATTTTGAAGATAGAATATTACAATTTCACGATTATGGAATTATTCCAAAAAACTGTAGGAGCTTTTGGCGTTTGTACTGTAGCACATCGTAGCCCAGAGTTTTCTTAAAAATCAGAATTTATGAATTTTCATGTCTTTAGCGACAGCCTAACAGAAAAATGCCGACAATCTCAAGGTCAAGGAGTAAAAAGGTCAAGGAATTTTAATAAGAATTAAAATAAGAACTATAGGTTGAGAACTAGGCAAAAAAATACATTTACAGGTCTTTTCTCGCAGTCATTCTCGATGAGCGGCTCAGCCATCGCGGAATTTGCTCGTGGCACGAATACCATCGACTTTTCGCACGACTACGTGAAGCTCCTAAAATGCGATACTGGGGATTTATTAACGTAAGGTTTTATGGATAGCTAATTTGTTATTTCAGAAATGTTTATTTTTTGTTTAAAATTATTTTTGGTATGATATGAATTTAAAGTAAACAGACTTTTAGGGTCAGAAAAAGTTGCAAAATGCCTTTTAGTTGTATGCAGAGCAAAACGTTGGATCAGCTCTACGCTGTCAATGCTGGGTATGAAGGGGTAAATTTTAGCAATAGAAGCTTTATCATTTTTATTGAATTTTGGAAAATATGCCATTTTCAGGGCTGCGGACCTGCCAGCCTGGATTGGCTCGGATTTGCGCCGATTATTGATGGAGATTTCTTGCCCTTGCAGGTAAAGAGAAAAGGATCTTGGGCAGGCTAGCGTAGATTGTTGCTATGACTCGAAGGGCAGGCTAGCAGAAAATCTTTAGAAAATCTAGCGGAGGCAAGGCAAGCTAGCAAATCATTCTAGAATCCGATGGACGGGGCAATCTAGCAGAAAACATTGAAGTTCGAGGAAAAATTTAATAGAAAAATGTTTTTAGCCCGAAATTGCGATGGCCAAAGCAGAACCGATTCCAACTCTGATCGGCCTGAACCAGAAAGAAGGAAGAGCTTTTGGTATGCATGTTTTCGTCGAAATTGAATTTCTGGAAATTTCAGCTCTCCAAGGCACTTTTCCATTCTCGGTACTACCACCAGAGTACGTTTTTTACACCTCGACGAGTTTCGCGAATTACGTGGCAAAGTGGATTACTAGCAAGGTATGGATTTATAGCCTCTAAAGCGCCGTTGCGGGCGGGTTCTTATGGATTTCGAGGTCTAGCCAGACGCTTAAAGGACCGCTAAAGGCGGATTTGAATGGATTTTACTGGATATTTATTTTTGTCGCTACATTTTCTAGACCTTGATGATATGAATTGATTTTTAGGGATATACCAAGTCGGAAAATGCGACAGCGCACAACGATATATTTGCGTTTTACTCCCAAAATACTACCGGCCCCTACGATCACTACTGGTGGATCGAACAGTATGTTCGGGTAGGTGAGAAAAGAGAGAGAAAGAGAGATAGCGATAGAGATCAAATTCTTTCAGTCGTATTCCGACTACATCATGAATGTCCCAGCGGTCCGTGAAGCCATCATCAAATCCAAAGCCGGGGCTCCGGTTTTCACCTTCACTTTGGATCATTATAACCAAGAAACCTGGCCCGTTACCTTTCCTTGTCAAGGTAAGCAAAACATGAGCTTTTTAAGGGTACTGGGAAGTGCAAGAATCGAACCCTGGTCTTAACTGGGTCTCGACAGTTACGTTTTATTCCAAATACGTATTCAAACTCATTTGTATAACCCTAGAAATTGAATTCTGGGTTCAAAATAACCCACGAGCGTTATTTGCAGTAACGCGTAGCCATCGAGTCGTAGTTAAAGACCGGTCGATTTTGAGGCTTAGCTGTCTCTTTAAACGGATCTATTTTCTCATAGGCTCTACGCACAGTGGTGAGGTGCCTTACCTGATGGAGATGGGCATCAACTTCAACGTGACGCAAGCGGACGTCTCGACGGCGATCAATATTCAAGAGATGTTCTTGCAATTTTTGAGGACTGGGTGGAGATTTTAAGATTGCGAATCCTTTTAAATGTGGTATTCCGTACTTTACTGACTTCCAAAGCCTATTTAAGCTCTAAGAATATCAAATTCAGCGACCCTTCCACCGTTGCATTCACTTGGAACAAATTTGGGGCCAACTTTGAGTACATGAGCGTCTCCGAGAAGCCGCAGATGAAGAATGGTATTTTTTTGGCCGGAGACTCCTATTAAAAAGCTTTAATTGCTTTTTAAATTTAAAACGCCGAAAATTCAATTTCCAAATGTCATTTAGACTGGTTCGGGCCGAGCTACCGCTTCTGGACGGCGACGATGAAGAAGTACAGCTTTGATTTTATTACCGGAAGGCCGTGGGCAGCTTGAATATCAAAAATTATGGACTTTATTGAAAATACTGATAAAATTTGTTCAATTTTATTTAAGGACGAATTTTAATCAAAAAATTAAAAACATTTTTGAAAAATTGTAAAAAAAACTTTAAAAAATATGTTGCAAAATAGGACTTGAAATTCAATCTATCGTGATGAGTAAAAAATATTACTAACCTTAATTTAAGTTAATAAATAAAAAAGAAGCTCGAAATAGCAACAATCTAGAAGCGTTACAACCCATGCGGCCGCCTCGGGTCCCCCCACCCCACGGATAGCCCTCTCCACTCCACCCTCCCAGCTACGACCGTGGTCTAGCGGTAAGGGCTGGGGCCCGCGGGGCTGCGCCTCCCGGGTTCGACCCCCGCCCGTGCCACCTACCAGCGAGGAAGATCATTTTTCAAAACAAGTGTCTAGGCCTCTGAGAGTTCCATGACTGATGAGGAGTTTCTGAGCTGGCTTTTTGCTTTTTTGAATAGGTCCACACTTTCAGCTGTGTTATGCTGGGGGGGCTTGGTAAAGGCCCGATTGATTACCAGATTTTCTTAAAGTTAAATTTTTAGCCGAGCCCATGGATAATATTCAGAGTTGCGCTTTTCAATTTTTGCAAACTTGCTTTTGCACCTAGAGCACAAGAATCGAGCCAGGCCGCCTTGTATCATCTAATTGTCAGCACAGGGGCTGGTGTCCTTTTGTCCGTTTGATGGGTGTGCAGATATCGGAAGGAACCAGTCGTCGCCAAAAGACCTTTCGTCATTAACTGCAAGCCGTTTTGCTGCCCACCACGTTAGTTCCCGATCAAAACTTAGACAACAGAACCAAAACCTAGAGGAGTTTCAACTCGTCAACCCTGCTAGATGCGGCTTTTGGAGTTGAAACTGGCCTTCGGAACAGCATAAGCAAGGCTTCAAGTTCAAATTTGATCCGGTTGGAGTGATTGTTGCCCCCACCTCACGCTTTTCGTCATCGACTGCAAGTCGCTCGGGCTCGGAGCCCCCTCAACACCACGTTTCCCGATCAAAAAGTGCCCATCGCCTTCGACCCCGGCTCGCGCACCCGGATGTCGAGGGAGCGACACACCCAGGCTACGGTACAGCCGGAGCAAGAAAACAACCCGGAGCCAGGGAACTGTGGGGTAGAATCTGGTAGAACTGAGATTAACCAATGCCGTATTGGCAATGCTACACGTCGAAAACTAACAGAAACCCCCCGCCGCTGGCCTAAACCTAACAAGAAGTGGTTTTTGAGTGTCGTTGGCAAAACTTTTCGAGAACCGGCTCATTTCATAGAGAATTGAATTCTAAACAACGCCTCCTCTGCATAATGAATTCTCCTGAGATTATAAATATTGTAAGCCCAAATTATTGTTTTACAAAGATTTCGAAAATTCCGGGCTGACCGGAAACAACGTCGGTCAGCCACGCCCAGTCTGTTTCGAGGATCCGCTCCGACCAAAAAGATTTCGCACTACGAAAATAACCCCTCTACCTTCCTGTTGTTTTCGTGCAACTTTGGCAGCAACATGCGAGAAACCGGGTTGATATGCGCCAAAAATAAGCACTTGACGAAACTTACCGAATTTGGGCTAAGACTTGGAATCACCCTTCCGGCGGTCGCTAGTTTTGGAAGCCAGCTTAATTTTGCAATTGCTCTAACCTTAACTATCTCTCGCTCTCTCCTTCTTTCTCTCTCTCCCCCCTCTGTCTCTGTCTCTCTCTCTTTCCCCTTCACAAAACTGCACCTCCACCGAATTGGGTAAAGGCGGTTTGGTGCCTTACGGAGGTGGAACCGGGCTGGCTGTTGAGGTTCAGTAATTGCAAGGAAAGAGAAATCAAGGAGTGACAGTTATGCACAAACGAGGGCGTGCAATCGTATGGGTATGAAAAATGTGCATGAGAGGGTGAAGAGAGAGACAGAGAGAGAGAGAGAGAGCGAGAGAGAGAGAGAGGGAGAGAGACAGCCCCGCTCTACAAAATCCCACGCGGGGTTGGGGAAGAGCCAGTCGGCTGTCCCCACCAATCATGCTACGGTATCCCACGCTGATTCTGATATTTTCGACGTTTTTAACACTTGGTAAGTAAATTTGCTTCTTCAAATCTTGCCCTCTCTCTCTAGCTCTCTCTCTCTCACCCTCTCTCTCTTTCTCTGTCTCTCTTGCCCTAATTCTCTCTAGCTCGCTCTCTCCGCTGTCCGACTCTCTGTCATTCGTTCTTTCTTTCGCATTCCCTCTCGCTCTCGTCACGTCTTGCAATGTTAGCTTTTTAATGCGATGCTATAATGCGCATTAAGAAGTTACTGTATCTGTAATCAGTTGTATTTTGTAGTCTCCACCCATACCGTCGGCCAGCGAGCAGCTTTCAACGCATTGAAGCAGCGACAAAGAGCCTTAAGCCGCATGAACGACGATTCTGGCTATGAAAACCAAGCATTCTGGAGGGGGCTATATCTGAAGGAGGCACGAGTAAGGCTTGAAAGCCGTACTTTTTGAGTTCCACCTTTTAGCAAAACGATCAGCTCGTCTGGCAACCCGAGCTCGAGGGGATCATGGATGAGAATGGTATTTTGGTTGGTTGACAACTCATTTCCGAGCCTCTTGAAAGGAAGGATCTCGTGCTAACCGGTCCATTTAAAGGGAGCACGACAGTAGTTTTTGAGAGCTTGAATTAATTGAATTCGCTTTTTTCAGTATCAAGTGCCACGAAGACAAACGCGGCTCGGACGAACACAATATGATGACGTACACGACAGAGCAAATAATTATTGGCGTGGCTTTGGTCTGAGTTTGTGATTTTTACTTCATAGCCCTTTGTATCTCTTGTTTTCTCTCTCTCTCTCTCGCTCTCTCTTTCTCTCTCATTTCGCATTTCCTCCATCGTATCGCCAAACGGGTAACTGATTGTTCAAATGCTGAATTGACAACTCTGCTTTTCTTAAGCTGTTCATGCCTGTGATCTCGTTTAAATAAATTGTGTATAACTGGAAAATTTGTAGTAAAATTACACTATTAACTTGGTTTTTGTCGATGCATGCAAATTTTCTCTTTAGCCAATATGTATGTAGCATTCTCAGGGATTACTATGACGGATTTAATTTGTTTTAATCATCTTTTTCAATCAGTCACTTTTGTGTCAATCATAAGCAAACTCACACTTTAGCTAAATCCTACCTTATATAATTTGGTCGCGTATCTTTGTGTGTGTGTGTGTGTGGATGTCACTTTCGAGGCCAGATTTGAGGGCCTTCCCGTGCATAAAAAGCCCTAATTCTCCGTCACCCGGGGGAATCGACCCTTCTGTTTCCGATGGCGTTTTCAGAATTTCGATAAAATACAAGTTTACAAAGTTAAGGCCGGTTTTATTCATTTTGGGGGTCCCTGAGGGCTAATTTGCATAATGTTAAAAAAATACAAATTTCCTCATTCTTGCCAGTTGCACTCGCGAGTTTGGTCGGGGGGTCCGCAGGACCCGAGGTATCCGACTCAAATTTTTCATGCAAAGGCCGCATTCCAGCGCCCAAGGCCCGCGAAGCGGGTTTTGGGCGCTGGTACATGAATAATTCCTTCTAGCCTCAAAAAAACCACCGCCCAACTTGCACCCAATAAATTAGGGGAAACACTGGGGGCATTTATCACCACAGCTATCACTTGGCCCAACCCAACTATTCGCAAAGAGAGGGAGGGAGGGAGAGAGCGAGAGAGACAGACACAGAGAGAGAGAGATAGCGCAAGCTAATTTTGACTCATTTGTTGTCTAAATTCCGCCTTTTTTTGAGGGGCGTACATAGTAAACAGACGGAACGCCTAAATAATGGGGTCAACCTGGGCTTCTATATAAATTAGGTGCCTGGTGTTTAGGGCACACTTTAACTTTCTAAAGAATTCATTTCTAAATGCTGTCAATAACTATTTTATTCTTCGCCCTAGCTACAGTAGTCCTCGGTTTTGAGGAATTTGCCGAGCCGATACAATTAGCCGAGCCAAATAAGGTAAAAAGTATGAAAAAACGAATTTTGCAAATCTAAGTGCTCTTGGAAGTGTAATCAGCTTATCTAGTTTTTATGTTTTAAATTTCAACGTTTTAAAGGGGTCGGGAAGCATTACGGTAGCAATTTTTAAGGATGGCGTCTACGAGTTCACCCTCGTCGTCGACAGCAAGCTGACGATGAGCTACGATCGAGGAGTTTTCAACTATAAGACCCCTGTGGACTATGATCCGGATACTGTAGGTTTTTCTGAAAATACTTTTTCCGCTTACAGTATCTAAGAAAATTATATTATTTAGGGCAAATTCACATCTCGAAACACTACCGCAGGATCGGAGTGCCAGGCATCGATCGACAAAGTTCCATTCGAATTCGGGGAAACTCAGAATTTTGTGGGAAAGTTGAGGTAGGCAAGAGAAAGCGAAAGATAGAGAAAGAGATCGAGAGCGAATGACAGAGAAAGAGAGAATGATGGACAAAGAAAATTCTGTTTTTAGCGACATCATCATGGCCGACGGGTTGCATCGAAGAATTGTGGCGATTAATGGAAAGAGGTACCTTTCTGAACGTCTCTCTCTTTCTTTCTCTTTCTCTCTCTCTCTCTCTCTCTCTCTCTCTCTCTCTCTCTGCAAATCGGGATTTTTTAGCCCCGGCCCCCTCCTCGTCGTCCCCTTCAATGCCGAGGTCCACCTAATCGTCCACAACATGCTCTACCTCGAGAGCTTCAGTATCCACGTCCATGGAATTGATAAGAAGGTATAATTTTCAATTGCATAACCTTGGTCAGATTTCTTATAGTAATACTTTAGCACCGTATTAGCAGTATCATTTTGTAGTTAGCAAAAAAACTATAGCCTCAATTTTTAGGGCCAATGGTACGAGGACGGTGTTGCCTTCATTCAGCAATGTCCGATACAAACGGGTGGAACGTGGGTTTTGAAAATTAAATTGGGGCAGGGAAAAGGAGAAGCTAGCATATGCCCTTTGCGGAATCAAAGATGCATTTTTCAGCTATGAGTACCGCTTTATCGCCGATCGCTCCGGGACCCACTGGTGGCACGGGCATCTGCAGATGGACCGAGGGGATGGGCTGCTTGGGGGATTTGTCGTGCTACCGTAGTCCAAGAAACCTTAACTTGTAAATTGCTAAATTAAGGGAGAATCGCACTGTTCCGACCGCCGGTGGAGCACGCGTGCTACCGAAAAGGGAATACTACATGATCTTGCAGGTAATTGGTTAGGACTGCTTGTTCTCTCTCTCACTCCCTCGCTCGCTGTCTCTCCCTCCCGCTCTCTCTTTCACTCTCTCGCGCTCGCTCTCCTTTCCGCAAGATCCCTACTAGCTTACCTCTCAATTCCAGGATTACGTACGTCAAATGCCGCAGAAAGAACGCGTGAAAATGGTGTTCGAAGATACGACCAAGTGGTACTACGGATTCCAGGACCCAGAGCAGTGCTTCGATGGACTGAGGATGAGCGATGGATGTGAGATTCTAGAGAGAGAAAGCGAGAGAAAAAGAGAGAGAGAGAGAAAGAGCAAGAGAAACATTTGAATTTAGCCAACGTCGGAGCTGCTTCTCCATTCGACACGATTCTAATCAACGACAAGGGCTGGTACAACGAAAAGGACATTAAGCAGAGACCTGAAATGCTGAAGCTTGAGACGTTCCGAATCAAGAAAGGTGCTAGAGAGAGAGAGAGAGGGGGAGAGAGAGATAGAGAGTGAGAGAAAGAGAGACACGAGAAAGGATCATGTTTTTCAGGAGAAACCCTGCTCTTCCGAATCGTTAACGGTGCCGCCAACACTAACTTCATGATTCACATCCGGGGCCATCAGATGACGCTCGTGGCCGCAGATGGCAACGAAATGCAGCCGATTACGGTATGAAACACTTAAATAAACCGGTTCACTATAAAAAAACGAACAAAACCCTAAAAACCGGTAATACATATTTTTCAGGCCGACAAATTCATCATTATGCCGGGGGAGCGGTACGATTTCATGACCAAAGGACTGGACAACCCAACGCAAAAAGTCTACTATCTCCAAGTGGAAACGCTACAGGTATAATTTCCATAGGTGTAGTTCGTACTCTTCCGTATTTAGTACCTCCACGGAACGAAGATCGAAAAGGCCGGATTGCAATACGGGTTGGGAAGAATTTACTACGAAGATGAGGAGGATAGAGGTGAGTATCGATTCTTAATTACGAGCTACAAATTAAAATCGGCTCTTGCCTACAGGCCAAGAGTTAACTCCAAAATCGTAACCACAAGTTTTAAACCATAGACTAAAACGGCAACTATTTTTAGAAATCGTCCCGGAATCGCCGGCCAAATTTCTGCACCCAGAATGCACGAGAGCCAAGAAATGCAAGGTCTACAACTGCCCATTTAAAGTATTCCCGCCTGGGGAACGATTTGAGTGCATACCGTAGGTGTCTCTCTCTCTCTCGGGCTCTCGCTCTATCTGCCTTTCTCTATCTAGCTCCAAAAATCTTGCCATTTTCAGCTTTTCCGCGCTCCGTTCCCCATCAAAACCGGCAGATCCCGAGATTGTGAAAGACACGAAATTTGATCAGGGCTTTGAGGTAAGGATTTCCTCTCTTTTTCTCTCCCTCTCTCGCTCTCTCTCGCTCTCCCACTTTAGCTGTTTTTAGGAGCACTTCGTCAATATGCAATTCGACACTAACGTCAATGGGTGGAGCTTCAAAATGCCGAAGGGGATGCCGTATTTCCACGAGCAGGATTTGTACAACATTGCTACACCATGCAATCAGGTACCGATTTCACTCTCTCCCTCTCTCGCCCCTCCCTCTCTCTCTCCCCTCCCTCTTTACATTCGATTCCTTTAGACACTCTGCGCAAACGCTCCGCGCCACGATTTGCGATGTCGCTGCTTCTTCCACCTGCGTCACAAGCTGGGGAATATCATTCAGGTTTTCTAGAAGTTTACCTGGTTAACGTGACCCGACTTCTTATAGTTGACGCTCTACAATATGCACGCAACGCTTGGATTGGCTGCTCATCCGATTCACATCCATGGGCATCATGTCAATATTATGAAGGTGAGGGAGAGCGAGAGCGAGCGAGAGAAAGAGAGAGAGATACAGGCATAGAGAACTTACCCCCTAATTTCCAGATGGGATGGCCAAAAACCAACTCGACGGGCCAAGTCGTCGGGATGAACGAGGATTTGAACTGCTCGGCGCCGTTCGTAAATGTGGTAGGGGAGAGAGAGAGAGAGAGAGAGAGAAGAGAGAGAGAGAGAGAGAAAAGTGGAATCAAACCAACAACCCCTTTAGAACGGCGACAAAGTGCTGAACTACTGCAACAACCTGGAGTGGGCCAACAAGACGTGGCTCAACGGGGCGGTGCCCGGCATGAATACCGTAGATCCGCCGTTGAGGGACACCTTTGTGTTACCAGTTGGTGGATACGTGGTTTTGAGGTGAGAGAGGGAGAGCGGGAGAAAGAGAGAGATAGCGAGAGATAGAGAGAGAATGAGAGATGAGAGAGAGCGACCACCTTACCTCGTGCTCCTTTAGGTACCGTGCCATCAATCCTGGCTGGTGGTTCCTCCACTGCCACCTCGAGCTCCACGCGAGCTCGGGCTCCGCGTTTGCTTTCAAAATTGGTGATGATTCTCAAATTCCGAAACCTCCTGCCACGTTCCCCCATGATTGTGGGCTTTATCGAAATCCGGAGGTATACTAATTTTTAGAAAAATTGTAGCTAAAGTGGTTAATCGATTTTTCATACTTTGTATTTCCAGATCTCCCAATTGGCCCGAGACTTTCGCGACGGGAAGCCGATCTATTTCGGGGATGGCGTGAAGACTAATATGTAATAATATTTTTTGGGTGTGGATGTATGTACAAATTGAATAAATTGTTGAGCTAATCGATGCAAGTGGTGATTCCATACGAGCGGCTGAAGCTAAAAACCGGTTCGGAGCGTGGAAGCTGAAGCTCGAGCCTAAACCTAAGCCTAAATCAAAGCCAAAACCTAAGCCGACGCCTAAGCTTAAGCCCAACAAGCTCAAGTTCAAGGTCAAGCCTTGTAAGGTCAAGCTCAAGGGTTCATGCTCAGGATCCGTTCAAGTTCCATACCTTGAATCGACCGAAATTCTACCGAAATTTTGGCTTCTCCATCCCTTTAATCCCACCCCCAATCGATGCTTCCTCGAATTCTGTTTACCCCTGGCTTGCCAAATTCGCTCGGCAAGCCCAAATTCTAGAGCTTATCAGCGTGGGGCCAAAAATTGGCACCAGAAAATGGCAATCGGCTGGGGTAAAGCGTGACAATTTGCGAACTTTTTCCGAGTCACTTTTCGCAAAAAAGCGATGACCCAGTGTCGCCATTGCAAGGAGCAATGCCGACTGCACAATCGACAACCAATGGCCGAGAATTTGCGCCAAGCGATGGCACCCCATCTACCGAGCCGGGCCCGAGATCAGGGAGTGCAGGTGGGCTTCAGGGGACCTGGAAGACATGCAGCCCCGCTAAACCTGGAAAATATTCTCTCACTGAAAGGCTTAAAAGGCCATGTTTAGGCAACGGTGACAACTTTGACCGAGATTCCGCATCCTGATGCTGTAGACGACCATCCCCCACCGGTATATCTTAGCTTCGATTTTTTACAGGAAATGAAAAAGAGAAAAATACAAGATTTGGGCTGCTACTGCTCATCAGTGGATAATAGCTTTAAAAATTACGCAAAAATCTCAGTGATTTTTAGCCGCCTCCACGACGTGCCGCCCCACGCCGTGTCCAGGTATGCCAAGCCCACCCACACTTGTTGTTGTGTTTCGTAATTTTTAGAGCGCCCAGAAAGACGTAATCGACGAGCTGGCGGCAAAGCTGCGCAATAATATGCGGCTCCCGGAAAAGCCGGAAATTATTGAATTAAAGGTGGTTAAGGTCAGTGCTAAGGAACTTGTTCCCTATCACTCGCTAGTCATAGCTTTCTCTCCCGCTCTCCCTCTCGCTCTCTCTCTCTCTCTCTCTCTCTCTCTCGTTCCCTCTCACTATCTCTCCACTCTCACTCTCGCTCTCGCTTCCTATCTTTCTCTAGTAGAATTTTCAGAAGCTCGAATCCCCGACCATCTCGCTGAATGGCCAAATTTTCGAGCTGCAGCCGCAGGTTGTCAATTGGCAAAATCGCGAAAAACATGACAAACCTACGGAATCGGGAGCAGAACCAATCTACGCTAACCCATCAGAAGACGATTGGAGGAAACAAGTCGTCTGGAGGCGAGAGCCAAAAAGCTACCGACCGCCTCCTACTCCTGAAGAGAAGCTGGAGACCGAGCTCCGCCAGCGACGTGACCACCAAATCAAGGTCTACGCGAAATTCCTCAAGGTTTGAACAAAAAATACTCGAAAAGATATGCCTTATATTTTAAAAACGCTAAATTTAAAATTTAGGATACAGTAGCTGTTCACGGCATCAAGCCAGCGGTTTTTGAATCATGCACGCAAATGTGGAATACGATTCGTGAGGAGCTGGAGCACAGAATTGGGCTGAAGACAACGCCGAGTCGGATTGACGAAGAGCTGAGGCTGTTCGACGAGGCTTGTGATGCGCTTCTTCGCGTCAAGTTCAGCAAGGGAATGCTGTAGAAAGGAATAACGACAATGGAATAAAGCACATTAAAATCACCGAGATGGAATAAAATCGTCATTTTCATCCCGATACAATAGGAGAGATCTATGGGATTATTTTCCTTTTGGCGAAAATCAGATTATCGAGCTGCTTGTGTCGGAAATGTTGCATTTTTATTTTGTCGAAATTTCATGGCCGTTTTACCTGTTTGATATGGATAAATTTCTGGAAAAAATCCGTCGCAATGAAATTTCAATAAATGAAAATATCGACAAAAATAGTTCTGACATGCCGGCAAAGAAGCGTGGATTATATTTACTTTCGACCTGTCGACGTACCTTTAGAGAGAACATCCACTTGTGAGCCATCATTTCCGAAAGTTAATCCGTGACTGTTTACGATTTTTCGTTCGTTCTCAGTTTTCCGGCTTTCCGAGCAGTTCGGGGAGTCTTATCATGCTACTCCAGATTTCTGGTGCAAGAAATTGGCCGCCGGGAGATCGATGCGCCTCCTTTGGAAACGCTGCGTTTTTGCGAAAATGTTTTCGTAAATTTTACGTGTAGCTTTACGGTACGCCACGCCACCTCACATTTTAGTAGTTCAAAGGTTGAGTGATTAACATAGCTGACGTAACTAATTCCTTTCAGCTGCCCCCTCTAACTTGGATGAGCGGGCTACGCGAGTTCATCAGAAGTCTTGTGTTTCGACCTCCTGTCAGAGGGGAGGCCATTCCTGAACCCGAGGTGATATGGAAGTTCATGCGATTTGTTACGGATTTGATTTGCTATTTTTTTTTGTAAAACTTTAAACAAACGGGATACTATGTGAATTTTTAGGCACCACTTGAAGCTACAATGGACGAGCTGGCGGAAACGATGCGGAACTCCATGAAAATTGACTTGGACCTGGAACATGTGGAATCAAAGGGAGCCCAGGTATGGAATTCTTAACGACAGAGAAAACACTGAAAGAGAGAGAGAGGGAGAGCGAGAGAGAGGGAGTGAGAGAGCGCGATAGAAATAGAGAGAGAGAGAGCGAGGGAGAGGAAGAGCGAGAGAGAGAAAGAGAGAGAGTGAGAGAGAGTGAGGGTAAGAGAACGATTTTTGCTTTAGTCCGATGAAGCCACCAGCGACTACGGTGGTTCCGTAATGACAAGTGTCAGCGCGAGATCTGATGCTGCCATCTTGACGAGCAACACTGCGGATTCTGTGCCCGCGTTTCAGGTGGTTTATCTAAATCCTTGCCGCTTCGCGGTCCCCTTATAGATTCGCCTTTTCATTCCGATCCTAAGCTGCCTGCCACTCTTCCTTTAATACCCTTCTCCTTAAAAAACCGCAAAAATTTCATTTCCAGCTCCAACTCCAATCTCCTACGCTCTACCTGCAGGGCTGCGACCTTTTCAATTCGGAAGTGGTACCCGTCGTTGAAGAGCAAGTGATAGAAGACCAAGCAGATGTGACCCAAGCGCCAGAAATCCAACAGAATCAGCGATACCTTGCTACATCGTATCGCAATCGATCGGTGTCCCCGATCCCCGGCCGGGCCCCCACCCCGGAGGAGAGGCTGGAGAATGACATACGGCAGCGACGCGAACATGGCGTTAAAGTATATGCAAGGGTTATACAGGTTGGGGGGTCGGATTCCTCTCATCTCCCTATCTCTCTTTTCTCTCTCTCGCTCTGTCTCTCGTTCTCTATCTATCGCTCTCTCTCGCTCTCTCGCTCTCTCTCATTTCTCTCTCGGTCGACAATTTTGACAAAAGTAACGTTTTTTTCAGGATTGGACTGCCAGCCATGGCACAGGTTCTTCCGACTTCGATACGTGCCTAAAAATGTTCAACGAGATACGCGGAGATCTACAACTGGCTATTGCGTCAAAGGCGACGTCATCCAACCAAATCAACGAAGAGCTGGAGCGCTTTGACGAAATGTGCGACACCCTTCTGCGCGCGAAATTCGAGAAGGGAATACCGCAAGCCGGAAAATTGGCATGAACTTACTTTTTTGTCAAGCCTGTAATAAACAGTGTACCTTGATTTTGTACCTTGAACGGCACTAACAAGTGAGGCAAAGTGGTCTTATACTTCTTTTAGGATGTATTTTTGGGTGTATGCCTAAGAATAAGCCTAACCGAATGACTCACCTGCCTCTACCGTTCCCTAAAAAATGGCTTGGCGTATGCACCAATTTTTTTTGACCAAGTCCTTGAGTGGTGGTAATTTTCTTTTGCCACAAAATGAACCACACCAACCACACCCCCCCCGTCGCGGATTCGTATCAAGCGCCAGGCTTCCCATGCAATCTCTTGCGCGAAAAAATAGGACCACCTTGGCGAAGGATTAATCAATAAGGGGTTGACTATCACTTTGCTCCTCTTTTGAAACCTATTTTTTTAGCTGAGATTTAGGCTTAGGCTTAGGCTTGGGCTTAGGCTTCAGCTTAGGCTTAGGATAGGCTTAGGCTTAGGCTTAGGCTTGGGCTTAGCCTTGGGCCTATGCTTAGACTTAGAACTAGGCTTAAGCTTAGGTTGGCTTAAGCTTGGGCTTAGGCTTAGGTTAGGCCGAGGCTTGGGCTAAAGTTCCATTTTTTTTGGTAGAATGTTGACGTTGATTTTGTGCTAAAATGTAAGATGTTGGTAAAAATGGTAAAAACTCCATTTTTCCGGCTTACTGTAGGAAATGGATTAATATTTAAGAGCTTATTACTTCTATACGCTTCCACTAAATCTCCGTTATTTCTTATCATTTTTAGGGTGTCAAAGGTGCTTAGGTTGGCGGTCACCTGACCCTCAGGGCCATTCGTTTGCTAAAGAAAATTACGAGAAACCAGGCCGTCGTCACAAACAACTTGCGAAATTCTAAGACCTCAGCATAATTTTTCGCGTTTTTTTTGCTTCGTGTTCTTTCGCTTTTAGCTTCCTTTCTGTTGCTTATTTTTTATTTTAAGCATGAGCGATGAGGAAGAGGTACTGGATATGAATCTTTTGGAGGCGCAGGCAACCAGGGAGCCCGAGCCCGAGCCCGAGGCGGTAAACGAGCAGCAACCTGAAGTGCCGCAAATTCCAGTAGGTGTATTGAGACGACGTAAAGTTTTCCGAAGCTATAAGTGCTTGCCATCACAATGCCGAAAAGGAAAATCCAAATTTGTAATGTCGAAATTTCATGGTGTCGACATTTCATAATGCCAAAATTCGGAAAGACGAAATTCACAAAGTCGAAAATCATAACGACGTCGTGATTCTAAATGTGAAGATTTCATAATGCTTAAAACAAAGCCCAGATTTTTTTAAATTTCGCAATTCGTAATGATGAGATTTAACAACGTCGTAAGTCCATGATATCAAAATCCAATATTGTCTAAATTCGAATAAGAAATTTTTTGAAGTCCGAATTTTTGCATAGAATTTGTGGATGTGGTTATGTAAATTTAGACATTTTGAAATTTCGACATTATTAACTGTCGGCAATATCGGTATTCTGACATTTTCCATATTAAGTCCATATGAATTTCGAAATTATGATTTTCAACATTTTGGATTTGCCGGGCGGTCGCCTTTTCCCATCGCTTTGAGCTGCTCGCATCGAAAAAAGCGCACAAAAATCTAAAAAAGGGATAGACGATCATTGCGCGTCGCGTGTCGCAGAAAAAAATCAATAACAAAATCCATTAACCTTATTGCCCTATTCAGGTAACGCGCGCTCCAATACCGGCACCGTTGTTGCGAGACATTGCTGGGTCCAGGAGAGCTCCAACAATTCCGCCAAGAAGAAACGAAATGGATGGGGAAAGCCTCGAAGAGACGCGCAAGGCCATACTCCTCTGGACAGCATTTCTCGCAGCAAGTTTTTTTCGAATTTTCAGAGGCGCCGCGTGGAAATATAATATGAATTATTATTATCATTATTATTACGAAGCAAAATTAGGAGCCGAAAGAAAGCGCAGTTGACTGGCTGTACTGCGCAACGCCGTACTTAAGGATGTACGACGAACTCAAACAATTTCACGTGGCGCGCGGGCATCCTCCTGCCGAAGTCTTGAAGCAGATGGGCATCTTCAAAGGTATCACGTAAGACGGTTTTTTATCTTTATCTGCCTAGTATCTGGTAATTCTGCGCTTTCATTCTACGCCGGAATCCACCAAGCCTAAACCTAAGCCTAAGCCATGCCTATGCGCAAGCCCAAGCCTAACCTGAGCCTAAGCCTTAATAAGCCAAAGCCCTAAACCTAACCTAAGCCTAAGCTTAGCCGTAACCTAAGACTAGCAAAGCCTATGCCTAGGCCTAAGACAAAGACAAATACTTGATTCAATAAACTACGTAAAATCTATCGTATCTCATAATCAAAAGCTTCAAAAAGCTTTTAGCCACCTGTAATGCGGAGCTTCGAAGGGTTTACAACCTCCCGCTATACCTAGATGAGGAATTGGTAAGGCCCTTAAATATACCTCATCCGAGTCCCAGGACCTCAACGAGCGCAAGGTTTGGCGTCAGAAACTGCTACGGCTCTACAAGCTACGCATCCTGCCATGGGTTTGCAAGCTCGACTACGAGGAAGCTGAGAAAATCTTGAAGGGCGAATTACTCAATGTTAGTAAGAGAGGGGAGACGGTGAGCGAGAGGGAGAGAGCGAGAGAGAGCAAGAGTGAGAGAGAGCGGAAGAAAGTATTTTCTAGAAGCTGGAACAAGTCAACAAGCTAGCCGACGATCCTCTTGCATCCGGCTTTATCGTCATGAGAAACCTACTCGACTTGGTAATTCTGGCGGTTTCTAAGCACGACCACGAGAAGCGACTATACACTATGCTCCAGAAGACTGCCGTAGCGGCGTGGATCGACTGCTTAAGGGAATTTCCAGACGAGGTAAGCGAGATATATAAGGACAAAGAGAGAGAGAGGAAGCGAGAGAGAGACAGCGAGAGAGAGATAGAAACAATATTTTTCCAACCCCAGCGTGTTCGGATCGAGAACCTTCGGCGCGTAGAACGGCTCCAGGGGTCAACCGACGCCACCTACAACGACTTCCTTGAAACTTTGCATCAGCGGCTGAGACCTGGACAGCCGATACCATAGCGCCAAATGCGTCCGTGAAAAAACATCTTGTCTTCTTTCCTTCTTTCAAGTTTTTGGCGTGGCTACATTTTATTTAAATAAAGCACTTCTACTGTATGATATACTTTAATCGATTGAAAAACTACATTAAATTACGGTATCAATTACGGTATCTACCCCAGTTACAGTATCTAAAAAATGCCAGCTTTTTTATATAAGCCCCCGCCATGCCACTGGTCCAAATCAATATCTATCCAATTTCTGGTGCAAGGAATTGGCCCGGTCCATTTAAGCGGTATTTTTTGTGCAAGAAAATTGCCAGAGAAGGGAAAGAGACAGCGAGACCAAGCGATGACGCATATAACCAATTTTTCTCAAGTTTATTTGAAAAAATGTCTTCTTTTGCGAATTTATTGATCGCTCTGCCCTCTCCCCCAAACGCCCGATATTTCTTATCGGTTTTTATTGAGCCACCCGTCGCTACAGGCCATTCTGTTGCAGAAGAAAATGGCCGAGAACCAGGCCCCGACAGCCCCGCAAAAATTTCCGCAAATCGTTTGCGCCACAAAACGTGGCTTTTGTTCCTTTGTTTTTGCTAATTTTTTCATCAATTTGGCTTGAATTTTTGTGGAACCAACTTTTAAAATATTTTGTATACTTGACAATTTACATTAGAGGAACTAGTGTAGTTTCTGTACCTTTCGAAGTGCGATGGACTCTCATGAAGACGGTCGCATAGAATGGCACGATAATCAGGTAAAAAGAATCCGTAATTAGTTAGGATTAAAGGTTAGAAATAGAGAGAGGGGGTGAGAGTGAAAGAGAGAAAGAGAGCGTGGGAGAGAGACAGCGAGGGAGGGGCAGAGAGAGTGGGAGTGAGCGATAGAGAGTGCGAGAGAGAGAAAAAGAGAGAGAGAGGAGTGTACGATAGAATGAGTGAGAGGGAGAATGGGGTGAGAAATGCTACAAGCGTGCTATGCTAAGGCCCTGTTTCGAGGCCAGCAAAGCTCACCAAATTCAGGAAACCGCAGCTACTTTCGATCCACGGTCGGGCTGTCCAACTCCGCCTCCGGTAATAGTTTAAAAATAAATAAAAAAACTGGCATTTAGGAATACCGTAATCCCTCCGGTTCGGTGAACATGCAGGACATCGACCTCCCTGATTCTGGACAGGTATGCATGCTTTTGAACTTACCAACCTTAGCAAATTTAAGGATTTTTCGATCCAGCCGAATCCGGCCGGGCAGGGAGCTGAAATCGGCTCGAAAGAGCATGAAGACTTTGCGGTTTTGAATGCACCTAACGATTACCATCAGCCTTGTGATGCCCAGGATCGCCCGGAAGAAAAGGTAAGATAGCACGTTTAAAAAAAACTGGCACGCCTTGAAAGCAAAAGAAAACTAAAATATTATTGTAATTATCTGCCGTTCTTTAAACGTTGCAAAAGTTCCCCTGCAGGATACTTCGGGGAACTTTTCGTGTCGCGCCGAGCAAGACGGGTATGAAGCGTCAGGCGATAGTTCGAATTTCGATCGTGATGTACGTTTAGCGGTCGACGGGCCGATAGAGGCACAGATGGTAATTTTCAAGCGCGACACGATCAAGTATCTCCCTTACATTGCTAGGGCTTCGCAACTCCAAATTCAAATCATAATTGTCTTAGGTAACTCAGGCTCAATACCAGCAAAGGGGCTGTTATGAAGAAGCCGAATACGCAAATCAGGAATCGAGAAACCCGGTAAAATTTCATTTGACATTTTTTTCAAGCTCTTTAGCCACCCGTACCTGCCCATGGAGCTTGGAGTAGCGGCCAACATTTGGCATCGGCAACGGTAGCCCGAGTAATAATCAAATTATCGTTGACGTTTGCATTTTGAGGCCAACAACATTGCTGCCCCGCTGGTCCTAGTCAGCTTTCCGGACGGGAAAATCGAGTTTCATGAGGATGTCGCGAAGCGCACTTTTGCCAGTCCGGCGTATAGAGGCAAAAAGGTACCGTGGCTACGTTACGCTACGAGCTTACCTTACCCCTTGTCTGAAAGGAACATGACCCGAAATGCTGCTTTTTCAGATAAGTTTGGTGTCGGTTATGGGCCCGTCTCGCTCGGGGAAAAGCTTCTTCATTTCGTTGATGATCAACGGTTTGCAAGCCGGTCCGGGCCATCGGAAGGTCGTAAGGTTAGTAATTGTCAGCTATAAAGCGGAAATAAAAATCGGTACTATCCCGATAGCTGTAAGGGGAAAAATTCTTCATTAAATTCTCTCCACTAATATTCTTAAAAAGGAAAAATAGGACATTTTTAGCGGCTTCTTTAAATCCGGATACGAGCGCCACACCGAAGGGATTCTGATCTTTGAGAAGCCAGCATTTGCCGGAAGCGACGAAAATGTACGGCGACCTGTCTCTCCCTATTCTCTCGTTCTCTCTCTCTCTCTCTCTCTCTCTCTCTCTCTCTCTCTCTCTTTCTCTGTTTCTCTCTCTCTCTCACTCTATTTCCCCTCATTCTATCTTTCTCTCTCGCTCTCTTTTTTCGATAATTGTTCATTTTTAGCATCTCATCTTCTACATCGACACCCAGGGCACGTTTGACTTGGAGACGGAGCGCAGTACCTCGCTTTGGATAGCTGGGTTCAGCTTTTTGCTGGCCGATATTCAGGTATGAAAATGGAATTAACAATTTTTAGAAACGAAAATACAAGAACAACTAATAATCGCGAAAATGTAAAAAAATCCTGGATCTCTAGATCGTCAATCTGCGCTCAAATATTGGCGGTGACAACCTGCACGACATCCATACTTTTACGGAAGTTGCTGCGGCATGTAATACCAATAGCTTGGCAAAGGTATCTTACGTAGTGGCCGGGCGCTATAAAATACTTTTCAGTACCTCATCTGGCTACTTCGAGACACCTCCGACTCATCAGAAACCGATTACCTTGCGCAACTTTGGGTAAGATTTTGTAGCTTTGTCTCTCTCTCTGTCTCTCTCTCTGTCTCTCTCCTCTACTGCATTTTTAGGAACAATGCGAGAAGGCGAGCGACATGAAGGAGATGGCTGCCGGATTGAGGGAAAAGTTTCTAGATAGAATGGCTTGTCACTGCATAACTCCGGCCGGAAGGGCTATCCGAGAAGCTTCTGGGAGCGTGGAGATTGGTGAAGGTGTGACAGAGAGAGAGAGAGCGAGGGAGAGATAGCGAGAGAGGGAGATAGAGGGAGGGAGAGATACCTATACTTTCCAGGCGATATGACCCTGATCATCCAACTCAGCAAAGTCATCGAAGCAATCAAAGTCGAATGCAAAAAAAGCTACCACGAAAATGGGGAAACGCTAGTGGATACCTGCAATGTAAGGAAAATTAAAAAATCATCTTTTTTTGACCAATTTAGAAAATTGTTAGCTTCTTGGAAAAGGACGCGCCGACGCTAACAACTTCTGTAGAGGTAGAAAATATTTTCCACAAAAATCTAGATCGAAACTTATTGTTAGGTGATCAAAGAGGCAAGCATTACGGTCACGGTGAATCGCGCTTTTGAAATGTTCCAAGCGGCGTTGAAGGTAGGCTTTATAGCTGCTAAAGCTTGGATTTGCTCCAATCTGCTTTAGGGCGTAACCCTCGATCATTTTGACAATGGCGTATTGGCCGGAAAGAAAAACGCCGATCGAAAACTGAAAGAATCGCTCCCGGCGAAACTATTGGAGGAGGCCAGGAAGGGGCTGGCGGGGAAGGTCGAGGTATAACTTCCAAAAAATTTCGATATTAAAAACTCTGTTTATCACGTCAAAAATTATTTATGTGTTTGCAGCCTGCCATAAAAGCCAAGCGAGAAGAACTTCTGAAGATTGAGTCCGAGAAGCAGGCGCTCGGGAAATTGGACGAGATCGTACTCGATTGGAGGAAGAGGATTCAAATGGTAGTTTTCGATTTTTAATGTTATCTTGACAAGTAATGGCGACGTTTTTAGATCAATAAATATGAAGAGGCCGTCCGACTCCTAGAATCGACGGAAATCTCAGATAGTTTTGCTAGGAATTTTCCTAATCTGAGCTGCAAGGACCAAGTTTCGCTGCTAAAGGTAAAAATTATTTTGATTGATTTTGCAAACTCGCAATGAAAAGAAAGGAAGATTTCATAATTTTAGAACACCCTGGACACGAGGATTGCCAATTTACGAGGTCAATACCTTCGTCAAAAATTGGATGAGACCGAGCGACAGTTCCGGGACTTCATTATGAACGTAAATGATCGTAAAATCCAAACCAAAACTTTAAGAAAAAATGGGATCCACTGCCGACCGTGGACTTTCTGCACCAAGAGGCCATTGGGGCTCTGCAAAAAATGCACGAAAACTTGCTCGAATCCGCGAAAGATGATGGCAAGAAATATTGCCAAGAACGCGGTGTTCTTGCTCTGAATGTAGGTTTTTTAAAACACAAAAAATATTTGACTGTGCCTTCCGCTTTCGACTAATTGATGCGAATTGCAGGAAATCACCACAGAATGCCTAGAGCGGCTCCAAAAAACTAAGGCAGCCGAGGAAGCGCTAAAGCGAGCAGAGGAGAAATTTAACGAAGCGGTAATGCCAGAGGGAAAAAACAACTCTTTGTGTAGATACGATTCAACTCGGATGAAAGGAGGAATTCCGCCGCTGCTGCACCGACGAAACAATCAGAAAATTTGGCTAAATGGAAGGAGGAATGGGCGCTAAAGCTGACCAGTGAAGAGTTCGTTCTAGTCCATGTTTGCCCCACACGATGCGTTCATTTGGATCTACCACATCACATTACCCAGTGTATTACAGCACTAGTCAAGTGATTCGCTCATCCCAATCATCGTTGGCAAGTCTCGGAGTAGACAATCAGGCTCCCGGTAGTTTCGAAGCAAATCCTGCAGCACAAAGGTATAATAGTTCGGACCGCCACATAATACGCCTTTCCAGTAGCTCGACGAAAGCGAGAAATCAGCTCGCCACGTCGAGTGCGGTAGAGGCCATATACAAAGGTATGCAGGCCACACTTACCACGACTTTTTTTCAGAAAGGCAAATTGCTGCTGACGCGCGCTTGGCTGCGAGGATGGAGAAACGAGAAGAAGAAAAAAGTATCTCTTTGAACGGTTCTTTAGGATTTCCGGGGGGTTTCCGGGGAGGGACCAATTTTTCTTGGCGGTCCCGGTTGACCTAGTAATCATATAAAGAGTGTTTTCGCATTGTTTTTAGTAAACTTTCAAAAAAATGTTAGAAAAATGTTTGAAAAAGTCGAAAAATTGGTCATTTTGGGCCCTTCTCCTCAGGTTTTTTAGGATTTTTCGACTTTTTCTTTCATAGCATCAGATCATACTCGTCATCCGGTGACCTGAGAAAGGCCCATCCAAGGCCGATTAACCGATGTGAAAATATTATTGTTTAGGGCAGCAACTGGTGGACCCGCTGCAACAAAAGATTGATCGACAAGTCAAAGTTTTTAAGCTCTTTGTACAGGTATAACCCATCCATTTCACTGACATAGATCTAAACACAAAAATTGTTGCTTCCTTCTAACGCATTCAAGATAGCGAATTTCAGGGGATGAAGAAGTCCTACCCCGCCGATGAAGCCGGAGGGCAAAGCAAGAAGTGGCATAACCCTTGCTCGCTGTGGACCGCCAAAGAACAAGGTTTGCCCACATGCTTGATTTTGCCGTTTCTTCTTCAGATCGGAAAGAATCTACTATATCTCTACATATTAGCACTTGAGACGCAATATTCAAGCGCGTCGTCGAAAAATGGCATTACTTGAAAATAACTTTTTCAGGGAAAAAGACTTCCGCGGATGGGCTCTTTAAGGTTTGCATGGTAGAATATGGAAGGCTGAAGACTGAATTGCTGCTAATTTTGCAAGGACAAATTGAGCAGGAAGAAATCGACGAATGTGTAAACGGTTTTGAGCATGACTGTGACGAGATTTTTCGCAGCGAGGTCGGGCGTGCAATGGATGATCCTGAGTTGAACTATGTGAGTTTACGCGGGTTTTACCATCTTCCAAATCGTTGATGAATTTTTTGCCCGCTTGCGAAATTTGAACAAAATCATGAAAAATCGAAACCAAAACTTAGTAACGATGTTTTGTTACCAGGTGGGCAGCGAGGAAGCGCTCCGCAAGCTATTTGTAATGCGGAAATGTGTTGCTCTGCCCGGCGAAACAGGACGAAACAAACGAAAGGTCCTGAATTATGCTAAGGTCGAACGGCACTTTCGTCTCTTCCTACGGCGCGTGAGTCGATTCGAGCATGTACTTTCTTTCATTCTTGTTTACCGAGCAAATTTCACCTTTTTTTTGAAAAACTGCGGAATCATAAGGGCCCTCGACAAACACTCTTTAAAAGCTGATTGCCTAACAAACATCTGTTCTAAATGCCATCTGTCCTAAAAATATGACTCCTCAGTCCGATGTCCTTTAATTACGCACCGGCCAAAATGGGAAAATTGGGCCTTCAGATTTTATGCAAATTTTCAGCTTTTTGAAAGAAGGGGTCTAAAATTTCAAGCCTTATCGAATCAGCAAGCTAAAATCCCATAGCTCCAATATTAGCTAGGAACCACTCCCTGTTAACTCTTTGGGGATCTTGTATGGATCACAAGTTGGTTGCTAATGTTGCTGTCGTTTGTGAATAATTTGACAAGCTCCGTCAACCATTTAGAAACTCGCCAATGCCGTCGAATGCGCCACAGACAAAGACACCAAACAAGGAATCAACGCAACAGAAGAGCTTTGGGCACATTTCCGGAAATCGTTAGCAAAGTATGATTTGGAAAAGCTTCTGGAACTTGTCATCAACGACGTTGCCGTTGGGTGCTGGCTCGACATCCTGAGCATAAAGTTTGAGGTGAGCGGAATTTATGTGCAAGTTTGATGCTGTATAAACATTTCAGAGTTATGGAAAGGCAGAGGACAACATAGTGTTACTAAGCCAGGCCCAACATAGACTGAATTTGCGGATTCCGGACAAGGACTTTCTGCAATTTTGCCGGACAGTTAAAGAACTCTACCGGAAGAATGCAGCGAGATCCATAACGTGGGGGTCCCAAGTTCAAACGGTTGAAACTGCTCACGTTGCCGCTAGTTATCACCGCTATCCAGCAATTACTCCAACCTCGGCAAGTTCTGAACGCGGAAATGAAAAATTCTTGACGGTCCTTCGGATCTGTTGAGAAGTCATGTTTTGCCCTTTTAGGTTGTTCAACCAATTGGGCTGCCGTGCACAACCAACTCGTATCCACAGCAAGAGCAGGTACAGCGGCGAGCGGTCATGCGCTAACCGTCGTTTCGAACAGGAGTTGGCTGATGGCCCAGGGGCCAAGGCGCAAAAACTTGCCGGATGATCAATTTGCCATTTTCAGATTTACGTTGAGGTGCCAGGACCTGAGGCTGTCATCGAGCAGGTACGCCGTTGGGACTACAGGGTGTAAAAAATGACAAATATTTTTCATGCCAAAATGGCACGTTTTTTGTCAAAACACAAAATTTAACCGGTTCAGGCGTTATCCAAGCTGTATTTTCGCAATCGGCCTTCAATAGCGTCGTTGGGATAATGCGCAAAAATCTTGGAATTGTCTTTTTTGTAAAAAATCCTCTTGGTCGGAAAACCTGCATCTATCGTAGAGGCGGAGAGGCGTGCTGGATTCGCCTGTACGAGCCCTTTCGATAGATACTAAATTTGAAAGTTCGGACACGTCTGCGGGTCGCTATAGGGGGTGCGCTTTTTTGGTTTTTTGTGTGTTCTTTTTCGTCTGTATTCTCTAAAACGCGCGTTTGTCCGCCGCAGGTAGAATCGGAGATACCGTTTATTAGATCGTGGGCCCTGCTGATTTGGTTTCCGCAACTCTTATGTCACATTTAGACCCATCTGCATGGATTGTCATCGGGGAACAGATGGACTCAGGTGGGTTGCTGGAATTTACTTACGAGGAGGTGCCTTTCGCTGATTCCAAAATTTTTCTATGCGACATAGCTCCTTCGATAGCGCCTGAAATTCGCCATAAATACGATCTTTGAAAAACGGCCGAACGATAACGCTCCGAGAAAAAAGTCACATTTAAGCAAACGGTCCCTTCAGAGCCAATTTTCTCCAAGTCCCTAGTCGTTCTGCAATTTTTGAAAGTTGGGCTGTGTCGGACTTCAAGCTCTATTAAATGAGCTATTTAACATACCTAACACCACTACAAATACCTCTAAAACGCTCCTAGCTCAAGATCGTGAACTAAAACTTGAGTCATTTTTTGAACAGAAAATGCGAATTCTTCTCACTGTGAATAATTTAGTTTTGGGACACGGTCAGCCGCCGCGACGCTGATTATCTTACGGACACAACCAGTCCCTTTCATAACGGCTTTTAACAATATGAGATAAAACCCTTGACAACATTTGCCCGGATGAAAACATTCTGCGCCAATTGATAAAGCAAATCAAGTACCGAGCAGTTAACATCCAGACCCCAGCATACATCAAGCAAGCTAACATCTGCATAGACAATCTCCGGCAGGGCCGTACCTGGGCCGAAATTTCGGGGGGGGCAGGACCGAAAAAAAATTTTGACGACCTCCCCCCCGGTCGACGCTTTTGTAAAATGGCGGAGAAAACGGTGTAAAAACTCTAAAAACAGCGCCGCAGGCGAATTTTTTGCAAAATTGGTAAAGAAAAACCCTGGGATTGAGCCAAATCGCGGCACAAAATGCACTTTTGAACCGAAATTGCGATTCAATGAATGAAAAAATAAGCGCCGCAGGCAAAAATTTTCGAAAAATGGTGTTTTTAACACTAAAAACCGACTTGCGAACAGCTATAAAAAGCGCCGCAGGCAGAAAAATTTTCCGGAAAAAGATCATAAGGAAAAAGACCTTATGAACTTTTCGGCCTTCGGGCGATTGCGGGGCGGGGGGGGCGGCTCGCCTGGGGCGGCCTGAGAGCGCCCCAGGCAGCAAACTTAGCGAAAATTGCGATAAATTTACTGAAAAACAGCGCCGCAGGCTGAAATTTTTGAAAAACGGTGCCTATAGGATAAAAAATTGGTGTTAAAGAGCGAGGAAAAAGGCGCCGCAGGCAGAAAATTTTTTGAAAAAAACTGTCTATATTATAAAAATAAATAGCGTTTAAAAGGCCGTTTGCGAGCCACCCGAACAAGGCTTGGCACAGTTTTTTTCGAAATTTTTTGCGAAAAAAATCTAAAGGGCCTTATGCGGTTTCCGGGCTCGGTCGATTTTGGGGGGAGGTCTATTTCTCCTCACACTTTATTGTTGTCGAGGGTGCCGTGAACAGGCAAGCGCTTTGCCGCGCTAAGTTACCGTTAGTAACCGGAATAAAGTGCTCTAGCAATACGGGTTTTCTGCTTTACATCGCCCTGTATTCTGCCTGCTCTGGGCTTTCTATCGCTATATCAATCATCCCGATCCGTTACTTCTCCATGGAGTTACCGCCGTATCATTATTGCCTATTTTGGGCCTTTCCTCCAAATATTAGCCCATTAATGGTGCCAAAATAATCTCCTAACAACACCCAACCCCATCTGCCACCCTAACATTAGTGCCAAAAAAATGCGGGAAAATTCAAACTTCTAGATTACCTGCCCCCTCCATGGGGGCAGCAAAAATGATGAAAAAAAACATAAGGGTACTACCTTATGTACTTTTCGGCCCCCCGAGGATTTCGGGGGGGGGCAGGCTGCCCCCTGCCCCCCCTCGTACGGGCCTGATCTCCGGTAACGGAGGAGAGAAAATTCTGAACGTTTCTATTCGTTCCGGACCAGTGGTATTGCGAATGCGCTGTGAAAATGTGATTGCCCATGCATTGCCGAATTCAATCAGTCCGTTGTAGCGTGTGTTGTAAGTTTTGAGCGGCTTTACAAAAGTAAGTTTATTTCTTTTTCATTTTATTCAAATGCCATTTGGTTTCCCTGCAGCCGGTCAAGCTTGGCCTTCAAGAATTTGACCTCGAGCTCGTGGCGTTCGGCCTCGTGGCGCAGTTTTTGGTCGAGGAGCTCGAAGTCGAGTTGTTCACGGCGAACCTGAAAATTTGCGATTGCGCCTTGTTCCGGAACGCTACAAACTACGCATTAGTTTGAGCGAGAAAAGCCCTTACAAGGAGTGCTTTTTTTTAGTCATTGGCAAAACCTTATGAGACCAAGCTCATTCGATAGAGAATTCGATTCTGAACAAAACCCCGTTGTTCTTTTTTGCAGAATGGCTCTCCCGGATTTTATAAAATTTTAAAACTGCACCCAAAAGCCTCTCTTTTGGCTCGAAAGGCACTCATGGTAAGAGACGGTCACTAGTATTTTAATTTTATAAAATCAGGGATAGCCATTCTGCAAAAAAGAACAACGGGGTTTTATTCAGAATCGAATTCTCTATCGAATGAGCTAGGTCTCGTAAGGTTTTGCCGATGACTCAAAAAAGCACTCCTTGTTAGATAAAATATAAACCTTCGCTCGCATAATCTCCTCCTCAAGAGCCGCGTTTTCATCTGAATAATCGTCGACGAGCAGTGGGGCGCCTGATGTGGCCGGTCGTTTCAGAGTAGGCTTCGGCAAGTGTTCAGACCTCGATTCGAGTGGAGCGGATTCCTAAGAGTAAAACATAACTAGATAGCTTTCCAGTGCCTTTAAAAACTTTGCAAACTCTCTGAGATCTACCCTTCCATCGACTAGGTCTCGACAAATGCGTTCTACACCAAATAAGGCGCTCGAGCTCTTTTTTTAGAAATTTTGGCAAATAGGGAAACTTTTCCTCTCGAAATTTGGACTTTCGCGTAATTGTCAAGACCTAGTCGATGGAAAGGATCTATTTTTGCATTTACGGGCTCCTTAGAAAGCGAAACTCACATTCAGCAGATCATCAATGTTCTCGGCATAATTCGACGAGGCCGGCAAGTTCAATGGCACCTCGTTGATGGGGACGACTTCTACTTTCGCAGCCGGGCCGTCGAGCAGGAACTGGTCGAGGCCACTTTTTGTCGGGATTTCATCGACGTCGTCGAGGAGATGCTCATCGTCTGGAAGAAGAAATTCGAATTCAGAAAAACTATATTCACGATTTTATACATTACGAGCCTATTGAAGACTAGAAAAGGTTTTCCATATTTCTCTCTCCCTCATTCGCTCTGTCTCTCTCACTAGCTTTCTCCACTCTCTTTCTCTCTCTATCTTTTGCTATCTCCGTCTCTCACCGTAAAAATTGTCCGGCATCTGTGCGGCCGCATCCGGAAACATCAGTTTGTACAGTGGGACCAGATACCGAGGCAAATTCGCGATCTCCACTTGGCCGCGCGTTACTTTCTAAAATTCGGACCTTATGGTCAGAAAAATTAGCATACCAGCAACTCCTTCATACGCCTATTGTCGCTGCACAACCGTTTTTGGACCTGCGTGGGCGCTCTGAAAAAAGGATTATTAGAGAAGGAGAGGGGAGAGAGCGAGAGAGAGAGAGAGAGAGCGAGAGAAAGAGAGAGATGTAGATCTAAACTCACCGATCAACGCCTTCGCGCTGAAGCTGATGCGAGATTTTTTGATAGATCTTCGATTTGTCGCCATCTGAAATTTAAATATTCGAAAGAGAAAGAAAGAGAGAGAGGGAGGAAGAGAGAGTGAGAGAGAGCGACTTACTGCCTTGATAGAGTCGAAAAAGCGGCGACAGCAGCCTGTAGAGCTTCTCGAGCTCCGAGCTCGTCCAGCCGGACTGGCGAGCCGTCGGTCTGCACTCCAGATTCATTGCGGGATGGGCTGGAAAATTCGTTGTGAAGTTTGCAAAAAATAGAAAAAAGGTTTTAAAGGACGGTTGAAGGAAGGCAGAAATCCAAGTTTTTTTAATTCGTAATTATCGAATTTTTGCAAGCTCCGGATTTCTGCCTTCAATGGTCCTTTAAAGACTCAGAAAAGAACACAAAAAAGATTCATCCAGATATTCACGGTTTACAAAACCGATCGTAAAAATCACGACAAAAATTAAAAATCGAAAAATTTATTCAAATGTCCAACGAGTTGCGCTTCACCGACGCAAGTTTCGCCTTCATCAGTTTCATCTCCATTTCGTGCTTCTCGGCCTCATGCTTCAGCTTTTGCTCCCGGAACTCGCACTCCTTTTGCTCCTTCTTCAGACGCCACTGGAGGATGAGATGCGAGTTCTGAGAGCTCGGCGCTGGGGGGAGGTGCTGGAAATCGTTGGTCGAGTCGAGGCGCGCGCGTTTCCGATGCTGGTTGACGGCTGGGGAGTCGGTGTGTCTGAAACACTTCGAATTCCATCCTGCGATTAGGGTACCTCTGGGTTACGGTATTAGTAGACGAGGAGACTTTTACCTTGTAAAAATAAGTGAATTTGACGTGCAATTTCAGCTTCGGCTACTTCGAGATTTCGAAAATTTCCTAATTTCGAATTTAAAGCGTTGATGTCGGCAAGAAAACTCGTTTTTTTGACATGGAAATGAACGGTAACAGCATTTATCTATCAACGCTACCTTGAATGCGATGGTCCTCCGAAAGCATCTGGGAGTCCGTTGGTTCCATTGGCAAACGTGAAGCCCTCGTTTTGCATCATTGGCTCGGCCTTGACTTGGACCAGGCCTGCCGCATCGTCGTCCAGGAAATCGTCTGAAAAGATAGAAATAGAGATAGAGCGATAGAGAGAGAGAGAGAGTGAGAGAGAGAAAGAGAGTGAGAGAGAGAGTGCTAACTTACCAAGCGCTTCAAGCCCGTCCATTGAATTGCTTCGCGGCTGATCGAAGTTGAGAAGATTCTCATCAACTGGCGGCAAATTTGATGGAATTCCGGCCATCATTCGATACAGCGCTACAAGGCCTTTCGGAAGGTTTTTCTCATCCACTTGGCCCTTTGTGACTGACTGAAAAATAGCTTTAAAATCTTAAAATTCCGATTTTTCTTGAACCATTATAATTATTGATTTTCACTATGTTCCAAAATATAATAAAATACAAATAGATTGAAATTATACATACCACAATTTCATTCAATCGTCGGTGGTCGGTGGAGAGACGCTTCTGGACTTGGGTGGGCTCTCTAAAAGCAGTAGGTTTTTTTTGAATAACTGTAAAAGGAACCCAAATGTACTCAAAAACCTCTAAACTAATTCTACCTCTGAATGCCCATTCGCTTCAGCCGCTGCGAGACCTCCTTGTAGACGGCGCCGCGTTGGCCTTCTGAAAATGAAGTTTTCGCCTTATTTTAGCTTCTAGCTTCGATCTTCGATTGGCTTCGATCAATTTAACAAATTTAATGGACGATTATAGCATTAAAATTCGAGATTCAGATCCTCCAAGGCTGAAGCATCAGCTTAATTTTTGGAAAAATATTTTTCTAGCATAATTTTTCTTGTTTTTACCTCCAAAATTAAAGCTTTAGAAAAAATAAACTACAAATCTAGCGACAAAATATAAGCTACCAGCCACAAACCTTGATAATCCGGATACAACGGCTCGAGTAGCCGGTAGAGCGCCTCGATTTCCGGCTCAAGCCATCCGGTGTTCCCGCGCCGGACGCCGGTTCCCGCGTCGAACATTCTGGAGTATGTGGCTGCCAGCTCCATTTTTGGGGATTTTCTGCACAAATTGAAAATGTAGGAAATTATAAAAGAAAGACGAGGATTTGAACGGCCGGGGCAGATTCGGTTACGCAAGGTAAATCGGGGGAGTTTGGGCTGCGCGAAAATTCAACAAGGGGGGAAAATTAGCATTTTTGTAAAATAAAAATAGTACTCAGGCATAATAATAGCTCTCTTTTGCATAATATTGAATTCTAGCAGCCAAAAATAGATAGAAATTAAGGTTCCATGTAAATAATTGGTTTTCTTGGAAAATGAAGGTATCGGAATGAACGACTAAGCCAAATTATACTTAGAAGTTGCTCAAAAAATCCTAGAGAAGCGTCCTAATTTATATAAAAAATAGGTTGTATATAAAAAAGATCGCAAAATCCAAATTTACAAGGGCGAATCTAAAAAAAGTAGCAAAAAGCTCAAATAACTTTGCCAAATCCCGAATTTTAATTACCGGTTTATGCCAATTTCAATGCTAGATTAACTACGACGGGTCGACTAACATAGAAAAATAACCTAAATTCTGGTTAAAAACAGGCAAAAGCAATGCAAAATGAAAACAATAACCTGAAGAAAAATTTAATGGAAATCTGTTCAAAACTGGATTCGTTAAAGCAGAGCATGGATTACGGTAGTTATATAATATAGTCAACCTTAGAATAAATATAAAAAAATCTTGTGCATTGACGGTTTTCGAAAAGAATGAAATTCCCCCTTTTGGCGGCCGCGTCGCGGATCGATAGCGGCCCTGGGCGGGAAGGGGCAACTGGCCGGGAGGGGCCGACAGGCAGCAGCCGCACGGCGGGAAAGGGGGAGAGAGTGGGGCAGAGGGGGAGGGGCAGAGACAGAGGGAGGAGAGAGGGGGATGGGAGAGAGGGACAGAGAAAGAAAGATACCTCCACCCCGCCGATAGTCTGTCCATTCTCCCGCACCTGGACCCTCCCCTCCCGCCCCGGGCCGACACCAGCTGCCTGCTTGTCATCAGCGGTCGCCTGTCCGGCTTCTTCTTCCGCACGAGCAAAAAAAAACTTGGGAAAGCCTGGGCTTAGCTTTAGGCTTAGGCTTAGGCTTAGGCTTAGGCTTAGGCTTAGGCTTAGGCTTAGGCTTAGGCTTAGCTTAGGCTTAGCTGAGGCTTAGCTGAGGCTTAGCTGAGGCTTAGCTGAGGCTTAGCTGAGGCTTAGCGTAGGCTCAGGCTTAGGCTTTGCGTTTTTTTTTGTTTATGAAAAACGATTTATTGCATACGTGGCGAAAGATGGAGGCAACAGCAAGGACCCGATTTGAAAAATAAAAAGGTGCAATTAAAGACATTAAAAACAAAAACAAAAAATTGCAGATCAACGAAATTTATGAGGACTCCAGTTTCTCCTTGTGCATCGACGCCTTTGTTTTGGTTTTGAGAGCACATTCCTGAAATAAAGGAGATTTCCTCGAATTCCTAGAAAATTTATTTTAGCTTTAATGCTAAGAAAATTGACGTTTTTAAGCGATTGGCTTTTTCATGATGGCAAAGTGCCCGAAATACCGATTTTCACGATATTTTTAAAACCTCGTGATGTCCCTCCCACTTTAAGCTTTGATTCCGCTTACCATTTCGATATTCTTTGGTATATATTTGCGAGTTCTTGCGATGATCGTCTTTGCCGGACACATCTCGCGCTCGGGGCACCCGTCGATGGCGCTCGAAAAGTCGTGGAATTTGTCGTCGGCATTCGCCGAAAAGAGCATCTGAAAAAGCCACAGTGTACCAGTGCAAAACGCAAATTTTAGGTACATTTTAATATCCGCTTCTTCCAAACCTTTTTGCTAAATACATTCGACCTGGCAAATTCTGCCTTCCTAGTCCCGTTAAAACATTACTCACCTTAACCCTCAGATCCCCTTCGTCCATCTTCCACAACTCGAAAACGATAGTTGAGGCGTACTGCGGCCAGTGATTGCCCAGAATTTCGTATTGTGTATTCTTGCCTAGCGCCGACATGATGGCTAGCAGGGAGGAGTCGTGCTGAAACGAGTTTGTCGTGAATTTGATTTGTCACGAATTTTCAACTCAAATTTTATGAGTCGGGGTTGGCCTTTCCCTTTAAAACGTCTAATTCTTCAAGACCATTCCGAAAAATATTTACATTGAAGCAGGTACAATTCAGCTTAAGCTCAATTTTGAAAGCTCACCGCCGAGTACACGTAGTATTTGTACTTTGAAGCCTCGGTGAAGTTTGAAGTCAACACCTCCATGATAGGACCGGCGCGGAGACGAACGATTTTGTCATCACTGTTCCCGTCAAGGTCTGAAAGGTGATACATGCTCTCATGCTCCTCTTAGAACGCTTACTGTGGCCCCAAATATAGTCGTAGTGTCGGTTTGTGGCCATCCTGCCTTCCATCAACTTCTCTGGGGTCAGCCAGTCGGGGAGCGAGAGGTTGTGAGCAAGCTGGAAGGTAGAGACAGAGAGAGAAAGAGAGAAAGAGAGAGATGGAGTACCAGAGAAATTGTTACGCTTACCCTGCAAATCTGCGTATCCAGGAACCCATTAATTTCTCGCATCAGCTTCCAGGATTCGCCGGTGTTCTGCACGAATTCGTCGAGAAGACTCTCGTGCTCCAGGGCGAACTCTTTGAACGTCTCGTGCTCCTCCTTGACGGCTCTGATGGCTTTTAGGAGGGGGCAAGCCTGGCCGGGCTCGAATACCTAGATTCAGATCCTTAAGGGAGGTGAGGTCAATCTTACTCGATCCGGAAATGAGCCAGTGTGGACTGGGATCGGCATCCAGTTGAAAGGCCAGCCCTGTAAATGTCATTTTTATAATTTAGCTATATCTTGCTCTCGGTCTCTCTCCCGCTCTCTCTATCTCTCTCTCACTCTCCCTCTCTCTCCCTCTCTCTCCCCCTTCTCCTCACCTCTAACGTCTCTGATCCACTATAAAATCCAGCCAGATTTGCCGTTGCCGACATCATACAACGATCATCCATTGCAGCGCGGACAAGGACCTGAAAAGTTTGTTGGAAAAATAAGGATATACCGAAAAGGCGAAAGAGAGAGCGAGAGAACGAGAGAGAAAAGTGATAACTAGCAACCGCTCACCTACCTCATAAGGATTATAATCCTTCGACACCAGCCGATACTTATCGATATATCGCGACTTCAACTTCAACCCAGTTTTGTATTGCTGTTGGACGCCTTCCTAAAGGTACCAATAAGTCAAAGAAAATCTGTAAATGGCCATAAATTACAAATTAATGTATTTCATACCCTAGTTAATGATCCTGGCGGCGCCTTCCAGTCATCATTTGTGTAGGGGTTGGATTTTGAGAAGAACATTGGGGTACGGTCGCCGTGTCGGAAAATCTGAAAGTGAGATCAGTATCTTTCTCTATATATTTTTCTTATTTCTCTCTCTCTCTTTCTCTCTCTCTCTTTCTCTCTCTCTCTCTCTCTCTCTCTCTCTCTCTCTCTCTCTCTCTCTCTCTCTCTCTCTGTCTTGCTCTGAAAATCACCGATATCGCAACACTATTATTAATGCGCATGAGAGAGCGGGAGAACGAGCACGAGGGCTAGAGAAGAGAGAGCGAAAGATAGAGAGATGAAAAGAAAGAGTGAGAGATCAAAATTCAACTTCGTAGCGCGTACCACTTGCGCATTTATCAGCTCCGGATCGGCATTCGCGTATAGAAATGCACCGAATAAACAAACAGCACCAATAATCATCGTGCTCATCCCACCGTCCTTAGGAGCCTGGCGTAGCTGCCTGGAAATTCAGTAGTATTTGCCGGAAACGACCATGAGGACACGAGTGAAACGGAAAAAAGAATGAAAAAGGAGAAGAAATTCTGGGCGTAAAATGTAGCTGCGAAGTTGTGGTATGATAGTAAGAGCAAAAAATGGTAGAGGAAATCGAAAAAAAAGTTGCGAAGGCGAAAAATCCCGAATGCCGGCGATCAACGAATCATGGAGAGCGCAAAAAAGCGTGTAATCGTGGATTTCGGTCAGAAAATTGTCATCGGATGGGAATCGGGCGGGTGCATTGAATGGGGTACGGATGACCGCATGCGGCGACCAGTTATCGGACTCGATTTTTCCGGACGGCCATAGCAATGGATCGGAATGGCAGGGTTTAGAATGTATAGATAGCAAAAGTTTGGTTTGGTCTCGGGCTTAGGCTTTGGTTTGGGCTTACGACGAGGCTTGGGCTTAAGCTTAGGCTTAGGCTTAGCTTAGGTTTGGGCTTAAGCATAGCTTAGGCTTGGGCTTATGTTACGCGTGGCTCATATGAGTTTTAGCTCGGCCCAGACATAGGTTTAAGGTCTAGGATAGGCTCGAGCTTAATCTCGTACGGTCCTGGCCCATTTATATGAAAATTAGCGGATAAGAAATCAAGAAATCATGGAGTCAGAGAGTGAGAGAGAGAGAGCGCGCGAGAGAGACATAGCGAGAGCGAGTGACTATATTTCTTTGCCACACCGTTTTCTCATTGCAAAAATTTAGACGAGAACGAACTGAGCGCTCCTGATCAATATGACGCACCTTTAAGTGTGAAAAATCCAAAGTTAAAGATAGTCCAAATCACAAATATTAGGGCGAAAAAGTGAAAAACGTAAACAAAAAAAATATAAAAAGAAACGTCCATACAGAGAGATAGTGAGAGCTAGGGGAGATGACGTTCGGTGGCTCGTAAAAAACGAAACTCAGGTCGGCGGATTAGACCCTGGGCTGTGCATGTTCATGTGCTCGCTAGCTGGGGGTTAATGTTGTCCGTTTCGCCCCAGTTTGTGAGCGGGATCTCTTGCTTCCAGCCACTCGCAATGGGGCGCATTTTATCAACTATCAGATGGCTAGGAGATGGAGCCTTTTTCGACGGTTGGCTCGGTTTCTCTATCTCTCTCTCTCTCTCTCTCTCTCTCGCCGCCTCTATCTCTTGCTATGCTTGAAAAAAATCACAAATCATCTCAAATATCAAAATCAACTATACTCAAACCATCCTATCCTACATTATATAATTTTGGCGCGTATGTGTGTGTGTGTGTGTGGATGTCACTTTCGAGGCCCGATTTGAGGGCCTTCCCGTGCCCAAAATGTCCTAATTCTCCGTCACCCGGGGGAATCGACCCTTCTGTTTCCGATGGCGTTGTCAAAATTTCGATAAAATACAAGTTTACAAAGTTAAAGCCGGTTTTATTCATTTTTGGGTGTCCCTGAGGGCTAATTTGCATAATGCGGAAAAATACAAATTTCCTCATTCTTGCCAGTTGCACTCGCGTGTGTGGCCGGTGGGGGGGTAGGGGTCCGAAGGACCCGAGCTATCGGGAAGTCAAATTTTTCATGCAAAGGCCACATTCCAGCGCCCAAGGCCCGCGAAGCGGGTTTTGGGCGCTGGTTTCAAAATAAAAGCATAAAAACGACCCGACTAAAAAAAACAAGCAAGAAAAGCAAAATGAGATCCACAATTATGAGGAGGCCAGCTTTTCACGGCGTAGCGGCGCCTTTATTTTCGTCTTCAGCGCGCATTCCTGAAGGATAAACAGTTTTAAACCGATGTTCTAACTCTGCCTGGCGTCACTCCCCCTTTAAGCTCCTGCTACGCTTACCATTTCAATATTCTTGGGTATATATTTGCGAGTTCGTGCGATTATCGTCTTCGCGGGACACATCTCCCTATCGGGGCACCCATCGATGGCGCTCGTAAAGTCGTGGAATTTGTCGTCGGCATTTGCCGAGTAGAGCATCTGCAAAATCGGATTGAAAAAAATTAGTTTTGGCTTATACGTCCCTTTAAATTTTTCAAGCGAGAATAAACAAAACCTTTCTGTTTCAATTTTGAGATACAAAAGTAAATAAAAAACTCAAACAGCGGAGATTTTGTCAATTAACAAAAAAACCCATACAAGCCGGCCCCTTTAAAATGCAAAATTGCAAACATTGGGGCTTTTTCACGTTCCATCGGCTGTTTAGAAGTACTTTTGTACCCTGAAAAACCAACTTTCCAAAACTGACAATTTTTTGGATATCCCAATCCTTAAAATAGGCCAAAATTCAATTCTCTGTGAAGATTATCAGACTTATCGTTCTATTTAGGGTGCAGAAATCAAGTAAACTAGAATAAGGACAAAATTTTAATTTTAAGGCCCTGTTAAAACACACCTTAACCCTTAGATCTCCCTCATCCATCTTCCACAACTCGAAAACGATAGTTGAAGCATACTGGGGCCAGTGGTTGCCGAGAATCTCATATTGCGTATTTTTGCCAAGCGCCGACATGATGGCCAAGAGTGAGGCATCGTGCTGAAATTCGAATTGCGGGTTATCGTTATTTTGGCATTTCGCTCACCGCCGAGTACACGTAGTATTTGTAGTTTGAAGCCTCTGTGAAGTTTGACGTCAGCACCTCCATGATAGGACCCGCCCGTAGACGAATTATCTTGTCGTCACTATTTCCATCAAGATCTGAAATTAGAATTAATCGTACCCAAAAATACCCGCAAAAATTCTCGATGCCACACTCCCTTTAAGAAATTCACCGTGGCCCCAAATATAGTCATAATGCCGGTTGGTGGCCATCCTGCCCTCCATCAACTTCTCTGGGGTCAGCCAGTCGGGGAGCGAGAGATTGTGAGCGAACTGGAATTACGGAGGTAGAGAAACGGGATAGAGAGAGAGAGAGAGAGAGAAAGAGAGAGAGTGAGAGAGAGAGTGAGTGAGAGACAGTGCCTATAACACCCACCCTACAAAATTGTGAATCCACAAATCCGTCAATCTCGCGCACAAGCTTCCACGGTTCCCCAGTGTTTTGCACGAATTCATCCAGGATACTCTCGTGCTCCAAGGCAAATTCCTTATAAGTTTCGTGCTCCTCTTTGACGGCCCGAATAGCTTCGAGGAGCGGGCAGGCCTGGCCGGGCTCAAATACCTAAATTTGGTTTTTAAAGTGCTGGTGAAGTGAACATACGCGATCCGGAAAAGTGCCCGTATGTACTGGGATTGGCATCCAGTTGAAGGGCCAGCCCTGAAAATAAAAGAGCTATATCTAATAGTTGCTTACTATCTTTCTCTTTCTCTCTCTTTCTCTCTCTCTCTCTCCCCCTCTCTCTCCCCCACCTCTAACGTCTCCGAGCTACTGTAGAATCCAGCCAGATTTGCCGTAGCCGACATCATACACCGATCGTCCATCGCTGAGCGGACAAGGACCTAAAGGATTTGTTTAAGCATTAACGTTCATCACTGAGCGAGAGAGTGGGCAAGAGTGGGAAAGAGAGAGAGAGTGAGAGAAAGAGAGAGCGAGAGCGCGAGAGAGAAAAGTGATAACGCAACAGCTCACCTACCTCATAAGGATTATAATCCTTCGAGACGAGTCGATACTTATCGATGTATCTGGATTTGAGCTTCAGACCGGTTTTGTATTGCTGTTGAACGCCTTCCTAAAATTTGCATGGACCACAGCTTTGAGTAAGCAGCGCAAGAGAACAAATAGAAAATTATGGAATGACCGTACCCTCGTCAACGATCCGGGCGGAGACTTCCAGACATCATTTGTGTAGGGGTTAAATTTAGAGAAAAACATCGGGGTACGGTCGCCGTGCCGGAAGATCTAGAGTTTTAGAAAATTATCATTCACCTTCCCCCTCCTTCTCTCTCGTGATGGATTTCTCGCTCCCTCATTCTGTGTCTCTCGCTCTTTCTATAGCACTCGGCAAAGATCCTTGCCTAAAACACTTACCACTTGCGCATTTATCAGCTCGGGATCGCCATTGACGTACAGGTATGTACAGAATGTACAAAGAACACGCAAAATTATTGCGCTCATCCCACCGTTTTTCGGAGCTTCCTGCAGCTGCCTGGAATCCCAGATATCTTTGAGACGAAGAAAGATCAGAAAAAAGTTACGAAGGCGAAGTGGATTTTGGCCTTGCGGTAGGTGTAGAATTGGCTAGGTGTAAATTAAGCGTAGGTGTATTAGACCAGTGTATGCTAAAGCTTGAACTTAAGCATGGCCTTCAAGTTAGAGTTGAAGCTTCCGCTTTGCCTAAGCATATAATTTAGCCTTTCCTGCCCCCTTTATAGGGCAGCGAAACGCAACTTTGTTAAATTCGAAGCGAGAAAGGCATCAACTTGACACTTGAATGGAAGCGAGAGAGATAGGGAGAGAGACAGGGAGCGTGGAAGAGAGATCATCTCCTCGTTCTCTTTTTCTTTGGCAGGGCAGGAACTCCATAAATTGGACAAGACGCAAAATATTGGTTCCAGATGAACCAAGACACACTTTTTATAGCCAAAAATTTGAGACAGGCTCCCGAAAAAATATGAAAAATTAGGGTGAAAAAGTGACGCGCGGTCAGAGCGAGTCAAGATACTCTCACGTTCAGTGGCTCGTAAAAAACGGAACTCCCAAGCCGGGGGATTTGACCCTGGGCTGTGAGTGTTCATGTGCTCGCTAGCCGGTGGTTAGTGCTGTCTGTCTCACCCCATTTTGTGAGAGGGATCTCTTGCTCCCCCGACTCGCGATTGGGCGCTTTTTATCAACTCTCAATTGGCTAGGAGATGGAGCCGTTTTTGGGCTGTTGCTCTCCCTCGCCCTCTCTCTCTCTCTCTCTCTCTCTCTCTCTCTCTCGCTCTCTCTCTGATGTCATCGAAGAGCTTCGTTCCCACAGCCTCCTCGAAACTAGAACACCCATCCCCCCACGCGCCGCTCCGCTTTTCGGCTTGACCACCTGGATTCGGTGGCGTTCCAGAACCTTCCGAGGAACGCAGCGTACTCTTTTAGAATTTACGGTGCTCTTACTAGTATCGAAGCTCTTTACTATATTTCAGTATTTTTTTAAAGGACTTGTGAAGTCCATATAACTATTAAAATATATATAGAATCGCGATATTTCAGCAAATTTTCGAGGTAATTTTCATCATTTCGTAAACATTGCAATCGAAAATTGCAATTTCAATTAATTCAAATTAAAAATTGTTTTCATTTGAATTTTAATTAATTACTGAATTGAATTGCAATGAATTGCATCAGACGGTCCCGTAAACTAGTAAACAATTAAAAAAAGTATTCAAAATCAGGAAAGAAAGGAGGAAAGCGGCTTTTTAGCTTCGTTCAGAGGAGTCCTTTGTAGCCGCTTGAGTATAAAAAATAAACGATTGTTTTTACCCGAAAACTAAGCTATTCGAATGCTTAAGCAGCGTCACCCGGATGGTGAAAAAACATTTTAAAACGAGTTATCGGCATAATAACGCTATTCTAAAGGGCTAGTGAAGCCAAGTTCAATCTACCGTAGCGGGAAACGGTTTCCAAATAGCATTAATGGAGGGATAAAGCAAAAAAAGCAAAAAAAAGCGTATTTCTGTACATTCTGGCAACACCAGTTCTATCGAAACGATCGTGTCCTTGATTTTTGGTATTAGTAGCGCATGGATTCGGGTGGCGGCTGGCAGGGGGAGCAAATTTTTAGCTCGCTGATCCGCCGGGCCCAAATTACCCCCCATCCATTCAGACATAACAATAACAACTCGGCATTCAGATCAACCGACAATTTGAGCACAGTTTAGCACTCTCGCGCGATGGATCATGCGAGTGTTTTAATGGAGTCTTTCGAAAAAAACAGGTTCGATGGTGCTCAGCATTTTTTGGGTTTTCAAGGGTTGATTTCTGGAAAACACCGAACAGCTCGAGGCAGCAAGACAATCGAAAACTGAGGATCAGAATCAGGCTTAGGCTTCGGGTTGGGTTGGGCTTAGGCTTAGCTTAGGCTTAGGCTTAGACTTGGTTCAGACTTTGGCTTAAGCTTGGCTGAGATTTGGGCTTGCTCCGAAGCTCTAATTCGAGGTTGAGGCAGTGTTCGGCCAGTACAGACATCAGATTACGGTAGCATGGTTGAGCAAAGATCATCTGTCGCTGATCACGAATCGGAAAACCCCCAAAAATCGCTGATCCCCTGGCGATCACCTGAGGCCAACTCTAAATAGCAACGCAACCGAAGGTCACCGAATTTTTTTGGCTGCAATAAATGTTTAAACGGATAGTTGGGATGGGTGGCTCATGGAAAATGGTGAACATCATGGAGACCGGGGGCGGTGGAAAAACGCGGATTTTTACAACCCGGTGATGGATTGGCGGGCTGGTGGTCGAGGTCGTGGGCATGGATCCCGGGAGATTGCAAGATTTGGGGGTTTCCCGGAGTTAGCAGCGGATTTCGGTGAAAAGTTGCGCATTTTCGGGGCACTCCCGTCGTCAGGAATGCCTTGGAAAGTAAAATAGGTCTTTTTGGTGCTGCGAAATTTTTGTAAGCATTTTGGCTGGAGCGCTCTTTGAAAAGCCTGAACCTTTAGAAATCTGCTGGAGCAAGCCAAAGTTATAGAGCGAGAGAGGAGCGAGGGAGAGCGTGCGAGAGATCTCGAGAAAGAGAGAACTAGAGAAAGAGAGAGAGAGAGAGAGAGAGAGAGAGAGAGAGAGAGGCTGCGGCAGCCTTTCCATTAATGCGCCTTGTTTTGTCCTAGCTTACAAGGGAACCACAAGTTGGCACGGTGGAATTTCGAAAAACGCTCGCGGCTACCCCTAGGTTTTCGACGACGGCGATTCCAACGCGCTAGTCAGAATTAGCTAAATCGACCTGTGGACAGAGATACAGCACTTCCGGAAAATCGTCGATTTACATTCGGAGGAATTAGCATTCACCTCAGGGTTTATGAGGGCTTCCCATCTCAGAAGAACCACCAGTTGAATGGCCGGGTGGTAAGCGGCTAGCTTGTTAGGATACTGACCAGGGTTCGAATCCCTTCACGACTTTTTTGTTTTGCTTTTTGGACGGAAGTTTCGATTTTTTCCCATAGTAAAGCTTTTATTCGTTGGTGATAAGGCCGATTCCTGCAAAAACGTTTTGAAATTGCATCTTTCATGCGACGGCCCCTTTCAAACGAACGAGTAGCTTTTACGAAGCTTGTAGTTTTGCTCAAAGTTCCGTCCAAAAAGCAAAACAAAAAAGTCGTGAACGGATTCGAACCCTGGTCAGTATCCTAACAAGCTAGCCGCTTACCACCCGGCCATTCAACTGGTGGTTCTTCTGAGATGGGAAGCCCTCATAAACCCTGAGGTGAATGCTAATTCCTCCGAATGTAAATCGACGATTTTCCGGAAGTGCTGTATCTCTGTCCACAGGTCGATTTAGCTAATTCTGACTAGCGCGTTGGAATCGCCGTCGTCGAAAACCTAGGGGTAGCCGCGAGCGTTTTTCGAAATTCCACCGTGCCAACTTGTGGTTCCCTTGTTAGCACTGTTAACTTTTTTTTGAAGCAGTTTATGCAAATTTTTGTATTGGTAGTGTCATTTTGTACATATATCGTCGCTTCCGGTTGCTTCATTGCTGGGCGCAAGCCTAAAATCTACTTTTTCGAAAAATTAAAAGCTTTTACCGTTTCCATATCCGGCACCAAGTACGGCTGGAAGGAGGCCAAGAAGGTGTCTAGAAGACAGAGATCTTCCGAGCAGCCAGCCACGTATTTTGTCACCGGAAGTAGGGGAGAGGTGGCGTTGGCGGCGTACAGCAACTGAAAATGTAGGGCTTTAAAGGGGCTTTAAAGTTGGCGGCTACATCCAAAAGTTGCAGAAACTCGTAACCTAAATGGTGTAGAGAGCTTTACAGAAAAGTTACACGATCGAAAAGTGCGGAAACCTACTTGAACTTGCTCAGAACCGTCGTCCATCACCCATTTCTCGATCGCCATCGTGGCCGCATAGTCTGGAGAACCGATCAGCACATTCTGTTTCGTATCGGGACCCAGGGCGCCGAGAATCGCCAGGATCGTCGTGTCATGCTAAAAATTCCTAATATGGAGCAAATACTGTACGCACCGCTGAGTAAACGGTGTACTTGAAGCCATTGCCTTTTTGGAGGACATCAGAAACGACAGCCAAAGCCGGAGCGGCACGTAGCCGGATGATTTCGTCGTTTTTTGGGACGCCGAGTTGGGCTAGAACTTAATCTTAGTCTTTTTCTCTTTTTCTCTCTCTCTCCCTCTCTCTCTATCGCTCTGTCTCTCTCCCTGCATATCTCTTTCACTTACCTAATCCGTTATAATAGTCCACAACGACGTTTATCGCACCAACGCACTGCTTCCAGACGTCGTTAGTAATCCAGGGTAAAAACGGGAGGTTGTGCGCCTTCTAAAAAGCGGAGTCTTGCGGAATTTTTTGTAGTTTGTAGTCCTGCACTGCCATTTACAAATGACACGTTCCTTATAATTTATGAAGTTTGTAACTTTTCGAGCGCCAAGCTTCGGCTGTTACACCGCCTTTAAGCCCATACCTCACAAGCCAGCACCGTGACGTACCACATCACATCATTCAGAGTTTTGTAGGGCTCACCAGTTTTGTTGGCAAATAGCTCGACAAAATCCTGAAACTCTTTGGATTCTAAAAAAACCGAAACTACCGTATACTGCTGCGTGAATTTAACGTATTGCGGGGTGAGGGCCCTTTGGGCGACAAGCTGATTGTAGCGCGGGCAAGCATCACCGGGCTCAAAGAACTGAAAAATTGGGTCAAGGGAGAAGATTGTCATAAAACTCCATTAAACATATTTTAAAGGTGTCATGAAGGCAGGTCGAAAAAATAACAATTACGCCTGCCGCACTACTTTTTTATCTCTCCCCAGCATTAGCATGGCGTACTTGCGCTCTCTATCTCGCATTTTCGCGATCGCGCCCTCTCTCACTCTCTCTCTTGCTCGAAATCGACCCACCCTATCCGGCTCGCTGTAAGTGTGCACCGGAATTGGGATCCAGTTGGCCGGCCAGCCCTGAAAAAGCCAAATTATCGAAAGGGATCAGAAAAAGAGAGACAGAGAGTGAGAAAAAAGTGCGAGCGTGTGAGAGAGTGAGAGAGATAGAGAGTGATAACTTACATCCTCTTCCGGGTCAAAGCTAGATTCGCTGTAGAATCCGGCAAAATTCGCAGCAACAGATTGAAGGCACCGATCTTGTAGGGCCGAGAAGACGGTTACCTAATCAGATTATGGAATTTGAAATTAGTCAGTTTTTCGGCTTCCGTCTTCCGTCATTCTAAGCTTTCTGAACTGCTCGACCTTGATGCCGTGAATTAGCACGGAAGCCATCTACATGTTCATCCAAATCCGTACCTCGTAAGGAGAGTATGTAGCGTTGACAAACTGTAGCTCATCGATGTAGCGACTTTTCAACATGATGCCAGCCTTGAATTGTTGCTGCAGCCCGATCTAAACATAGCCTGAGAGAGAGCGAGAGAGAGAGAGAGAGAGAGAGAGAGAGAGAGAGAGAGAGAAAGAGAGAGATAGAAAGAAAGACAGAATGAGAAACATACATACCTTGGTCAAACTGCCCCAAGGCAGACCCCAAAATGCCTCCTGATAGGGGTCAGCCGGGATGTTCCACAGTGGGGTACGGTCGCCATGCCGGAAGAACTAAAATTTTGACCGGAACCGATTTTGTTGCTTTGAGGCATAAAAGCTAGAATCAACTTTGCGTTAAAAAGTAGTACGTTTTCAGAATTTTGCAAAAAAAATTTCTCGGAACTTATTGTAAGCTTTTTCTTGTAACCTGGTCATCTGTTTCACGTTAGATTTTTGTTAGAAGTTTTTCAGTACCCGAAGAAAGTTATATTTTAAAAAAATTTAGATTTTTAAGGCGTGAAATTCGCTGTTTTTTAGGAAAATTACCAAATTATCTACGTTCTAATTCATTTCCACCTACCACTTGCACATTCTTCAGCTGACCCTCAATAGCTACGGTAGCGGAAAAACCGGAGCAGAATAGCAAGATCAGCAACATTTCAAGGCGTCAGGTTCGAGGTGTCTCTCAGGCGGCCGGGATTCCAAAAGATTGGCCCCGGTCTCTTCCTGCTTCCGTTATCTTTATTGGTTGATTGGGGGGATTTTTGAGCTCCTCGAAAACCCGTATTCTGAACTGCCAAAGATATGGAGTAGCGTCGCGGAATTCGGGAAGCTGGTCTCAGAGATTAGTGGCATTAAAAAAACTGCTGCTACCGCGAAACTTTTTCGATCCGCGGCAGTTTGTTGACATTGAAAAATTCCAAAAAAATCAATACTAGGAGTTTATGATATCGTCCTTTTCTGAGCGAGGTATAGGGAGAGACAGAGAGAGAGAGAGAGACAGACAGAGAGCCGCAGAGATAGACAGACAGAGAGACAGACCGTTAGAGAAAGCGAGATAGAGAGAGAGAAATGATGAATTCAGAACAGTGAAGGCCCAACAACGCCAGGAAAAGCTTCCGGAAATTGGCCGGAAAGCCGAGAAAAAGCTGCAAACCCCTTTGTAAATCCAATTTGGCGCCAATTTTCGGGCGCATAACTGGAGACAAAAGGTGTAGAGAACAAATTATAAGCGCCTCGCCTGATTGTAAAAAATTAAATTATTTATCAAGCTCCTGACTAGCAAATCAACAAATTTTTTCGCCCCCTTTAGAATGAACAATATCTCATAAAACAAACACGCTAAAAGCTCTCCTGTAATTTGTAAAATCAATGAAGGTGTTTGTGAACCACAAATAGCATATATTTATTGAAGCCGAGTAGATGCAAATTGTGGCGGAACCCATGAGCGGGATCAGGAGTTGCACTCCTAAAATCGACTTTCGAAACCTATATATAATTGCAACCTTTGCACTGTCATCCACCGTATACTTCCGTAGCTGCCCAAGGATTGCTTGAATGTTGCAGAAATCGCTGAGGCAACCAGGGATCAGATGAGTCACTGGGATAAGGGTGGAATCCGGGTTTTTCGCGTAGAGGATCTGAAAAAGGTGATGAGCGAGTGAGAGAGAGCGAGACAAAGAGAGAGAGAGAGAGAGAGAGAGAGAGAGCGAGAGAGAGATCAACACCAACCTGTGCCACAATTGTCCCATCATCCAACAACCAAGTCTCGAACGTGATCGTAGCAGCGTATTCTGGTTGCCCTTCTCCCAGGATGTCCAGCTTGGCCTTGGGCCCTAGAGCGTAGAGAACGGCTGCGATAGTCGAGTCGTGCTAAAATTGTCGAATTAAAGGGTTTACAACAGGCAGTTGCCGGGTGTTTCAAAATTACAACAAAAACAAACTTTAAAGAAAATGAAGTAAAAAAGATGAATTTAACTAAATTAAAACATTTGATTAAAAAGCTCTACAAATAGGTGTTTGCGTATTTTTCTTTAGGGAGCCGTACTGTCCGTCTCCCTTTAAAAGTACGGGCCCCAGGTTACGACAAACCGCTGAATAGGCCGTATATTTGTACGTGGCGGAGTCGCTGCCCAGAATTTTCGTCAGGTGCTGCAGGAAGTTGCCCGTGCGTAGCCGGATGATTTGATCGTCCTGCGCAACGTTTAGGGAGGCTGAAAATTAAGTTACTGTAAATTGGAGAGATACGGAATACCGGTAGTGAAAAATAATCCACAAATTCGGCGTCAATCGGCCTTTTCTTCTAGAAAAAAGCCCCAGCTCTCTTGATCGTACAGCAGCACTCTCTCTCTCTCTCTCTCTCTCTCTCTCTTCTCTCTCTCCCTCTCTCCGTCTCTCTCTCCCTCACTCCCTCTCGCCCTCGCTCTCACTAAATCAACAAAAATCGGACCTTGTCCATTTTCAGGGCAATCGGCCCCTGGGAATAGCATACAATGCCAATACCAAAGCCACGCACACTCAGATCCGAAGAATACGGACACGATTTGAGGGCATTTTGGTGGCAGTCGGCCTTGGAAAATTCACAATTTTAGTGGTCTAACTTACCCATTCCATAAGAGTAGTCGAGGATGGCGGAGCGGATTCTTTTCGCATCGTTGTAGAGAGAATCGGAGACCCAGGATGGTAGCGCGAGATCGTGGGCTTTCTAGAAGGGTAACTTAGGCTTAGGCTGAGCTTAGGCTTAGGCTTGGGTTTAGGCTTGGGTTTAGGCTTAGGCTTAGGCTTAGGCTTGGGTTTAGGCTTGGGTTTAGGCTTAGGCTTAGGCTTAGGCTTGGGTTTAGGCTTAGGCTTGGGCTTAGGCTTGGGCTTAGGCTTGGGTTTAGGCTTAGACTTAGGCTTAGGCTTGGGTTTAGGCTTAGGCTTAGGCTTGGGTTTAGGCTTAGGCTTAGGCTTAGGCTTAGGCTTGGGTTTAGGCTTAGGCTTAGGCTTAGGCTTGGGTTTAGGCTTAGGCTTAGGCTTAGGCTTACGCTGGGCCTTACTAGGCTTCTGAAGCTTAAGCTTAGGCTTGGGATTCAAGGAACTGCAAAACCAGAAAATCAACGCTCTTTGTCGATTTGGTCTCGACATCTGAGAATGTGATTTGCTGCGTATCTTGGCTTATTGCGTACTTGTCGCGATCTAGTCGATGCAAGAGTCATTTTTAACTTCCATGCCCCTTTAAAAAGCCAAACTCTACTTACCTCGCAGGTCAGCGTCCCGAGGTACGAAATAATGTCCCACCACTTTGTCCAGGCCTCGCCCGTCTTTGAGGCGAACTCTTTGACAATGTCCTGGAAGGGACGTCAAGTTAGACGAGTTCTAGCTCAAAAACCTTACAATATGTTGCTGCTCATAGTCCAAATACTCCTGTCGGGCAAGTCGTTGGGCGATTAGACGCTTGGCTTTTGGGCAATCCTGGCTCGGCTCAAAGGTCTAAAAAATGGTTCTCTCTCTCTCTCGCTCTTTCTTACATAATCTGGCGGATCCATAGTGTAGATCGGCATCGGGGTCCAATTCTTTGGCCAGCCCTAAATAAAATTTAAATTTTTTGTTTTTAAGCGTTTTCTTACACTTCCACTTGGGTGGTATTTCGAGTCGCTGTAGAATCCTGCAAAGTTAGCAGCAGCAGATTGGAGGCAGCGATCATGCAATGCAGACCAGACTTTGACCTAAAACTTCGCTATTTCTCTCCGGTCTCTCTCTCTCTCTCACCTCATACGGCGAATAAGTTGCGTTGATAAACCTCAAATCCTCGATGTACCGTTTTTTGAGCATGTAGCCGGCTGTTAGGTGTTGCTCCATCCCGATCTAAAAGTACAGCCAGCTACGTAAGATAAAACCTTTAATACGGTTCAAACGGTTTAGAAGGTCTTACCGTAGTCAAAGTGCCCCAGGGCAATCCCCAGAAAGATTCTTGATACGGGTCACTGTAGATAGTCGCAGTCGGGGTACGGTCACCATGGCGGAAGAGCTGAAAAAAATAGATCTCTCTCTTGCTTCCTCATTCTCTCTCATTCTCTCTCTCTCTCTCTCTCTCTCTCTCTCTCTCTCTCTCTTTCTCTCTCTCTTTCTGTCGACTATGCCTATGCGAGTTTCAAACGCAACACCATTCAAAAAAAAATGCGTGAAAATGCGTTTTAAAGGGACAGTGACACGAAGTGGCAGACCCACTATTGAAAGTAACTTACAACTTGAACATTCAATAACCTCGGAGCGGCAAAAGTTAGCCCAAATATGCCCAAGAACCCGAGTAAGGACCTCATTAGGTCGGGATGGGAAAATGGGGGTCTCAAAAATTCGATGGCTTTGCTTTCCCGATTTAATCCCCCTTATCGATAACAGAGGCACGTTGGATTGCCTTCTGGCTTTTGCGACCTGAACTTTCGCATAGAAAAATGTGAACCATGATGAATCCCTCAAGATCAACTCGTTCAAAACTCGTAAACTGGTCAGGCGTGGTTTTGGGTGTTTAAAAACCCATCTTGGTTTCCATAGTCCCAAGTCCAAAGTTTCAATCGTCTGCAAAGATTTGAAAACAGGAAGACTGTAACTAAAATTACTGGCTTATCCTATCCTATAAGTTTTTAGTAATATGTGAGATATCGTTACCGGAAAATACGACTCTAGGTTTAAAGCAAGATGATCCAGACTAATGACTAAACCAAGGGCCTTTCATGCTTCAAGCTGATTCGCTCTCTCTCTTTCTCGTCTCTCTCTCTCACTCTCTCATTCTCGCTCTCTCTCTCTTTCTCTCTTTCCCTCGCTCCTGCCCTCTCTCGCACGTTCTCTCGACTCCTCCCAAGCTTTTCACACGACATAAACAATCTTCAAAATACCACGTCATTACGTTGCGATTTAAAAAAAAACCGTGGGGCTACTTTTTCCATCTTCGTTCCGCCCGGACGGGCGATTTGTTGTAGTCAATTTTTGGGCACGAAAACTAGCGAGACGGGGGGAGAGTCATCGAAATTGCCGCCCGTCCTATCCGATGTTATTTTTCGACGCTAATCAGACAAAATTATTGTCACACGTCCGCCGTCCGCAGCAAAAGCTTTTTTGGGGAGTGTTCGGAGTATTATTCGTTGCGCCGCGGCTACTGGAAATTATATAAGTAGCCCTACAGTACGCTAGTCTTACCAAAAATTGTAATATGCGGCTACAGTACTTACTAATCCTACTTCCAACAGCATTCGCGCTGTTTTGCCTCGAAGACGAGGGGATCTTTGGCCACAAGATAACGATAAGAGTGAGTGTATTTTTTTTGTATTTTTGGTTATGGGCATAAATTCTGCTAGCCTGTCATTATCTCTTTCATGTGGTTTTGAACGCCTTAGCGAGAGAGCCGGAGAGAGAGAGAGAGAGAGAGAGAGAGAGAGAGAGAGAGAGAGAGAGGATATTCTTCAAGGATCTCCTTTCTTAGTCACCTAAATACGTGTACGAACCACGAAAATACCTATTCATTTTCGCTTGCCAGTTCCTCTAAAACCAGGATTTCCCCGATGGCCTTTGTTAGCCATCCAAGGCCTCGCTTTCCAGTCCCTTTAAAATCACTTCTAGACCCGGACCGTGCAATGCGAGCCCGGCTGCAACTACTGTGCCACCATCCACAAGCAGGTCGGTTCTTTGTCGATTATTTTTCGTATTTGCCGTTTTTAGTATTTTGACGGGAAGACGCCGCGGAAGACGTTCTGGGGCTGCGGCTGCGAGCCTCAGCCATTGTACACGGGCGGAAAAGTGCGATGCAATGTAAGGGTGGTTGAGAGTACTATAAAATGCGCACCGTGGGCGGTTTTAAAGGTACAAGGAGCCTTAAAATCGACCCCCTAGGGTGACTAGGTCTAGACAGCTAGGTGGTACTCCAAAATACATTGTTAAGCGGCAGTGGCAGCAACGTTTACATTAAAAATGTAGTAATTTAAAATCTCTAAACTTCAGAATATCGAAATCCACAATGTCAACATTTCATCGCGTCGAATTTTTTTCGATCTTTTATGTACGTATTTTCCGGAAAATCCCCCAAAAACCATGGCAAAAATGTCGTCATATTGATGAAAATTCCTCAAAAATGAAGTAATAAATGCGATTGTTTAAGGACAGCGGCACCCTGGCCTTCGACAGCTACGAGGGCAGCTTGGCTAGAAGGACGCGCGTCATGCTGAAGTGCTGCGTAGGGGATGGGTGCCAGGGGGCGCAAAAAGTGATCCACGCCGGGGTTTTGGGCTCTGCGTCATCTGGAGGCTACGGTAGCCTTACAGTACTTGTCGGCTCGATTTTGGCTCTGTTCACCTGTCTCTAGCTGACTTTACAATAATCCAAAACCTCGAAAATTGTGATAATTTCCTTACTTTTTCGTGCCCCAATTTCAGTAATTGTTTTGTCATCCCAATGCACCCCCAAAAGCGTACAAATGTTGATTTGTGGTAGAATAAATAGTACATTTTGAAAAGTTTCGGCTACGCGGTATCACCATCAGCATTTAACAATCTTGTGGGTCCACAAAAAATAACGGGAATGCTACACATCGACTTTTGGAAGCGGCCACTTGCATAAGTCGGCTGGCGAGGCCTGACCTGCTTCGTGAAACAGGTGCTTTCCGCCGGGATCCAACAACAAAAATAAAAACCAGCCTTCCCTTGCCTAACTCTAGTCATTATATTGGAAGGAGCCGACAGCTGAATTTTTGGGGAGATCGCGAGTCTCGTGGTCGAGGTATTGGCCTATGATTTGTCGGTTCTTTGTGTTTCACTAAATTGCAACTTTCGATCGAGATTCTAATTGCTAATTATTTCCTTTTATTTTTACCGATTTGTTATAATTATTATCCCTGCTTGAAGGCGCTGAAAAACTATATATAAATTTATATGCACCGGTTTTCTTCTAAACGGATTATCGATTAAAAAAAATCAGATGGCCGCCGACGAAACTTTCCTACAAATTACGAGTATCATTTCGAAAGTGATCTGCTTCGTGTCGATATGGATGACGATAACTACAGTATTTTTAGTCATGACATCAACCCCAAGAAAGTCCAAACCATATAGGAAATATTTGATTTATATTGAGGTAGGGCATGTTAAAAATATTTTTTAACCAATTATTTTCATTTTGTCGAAAACTGAAATGTCGAACTTGATTTTATCGAACTCCATTTCTCGAAAACCATTTTATCGAAATTCCAGTTTCAAAATACTTTGAAAATTCCACTGAATTCGAAACAACGACAAAAAGAGCCTCTAAAAAGGGAATGTCGACAACATAAATTTCGACCAAATTAAGGTAATAAAAAAATAAAATTTCCCAAGGTGAAATACCGATAAATTGCAATTTCGACACAATAAAATTTAAGCAAAGGGAATCTCGATAAAACCGATATTCGACAACATGAAATTTACATTGTTATGCCTTAAAACGTGCTCAAATTTTTTAAACGTTGCGCAATAATGAAAAACCTCAAATGCAGCTGTCCTCGATCGCGCTCACCCTGGTGTTCACCATCTTCTCGCCCCAGATGTGCATCTCCACGCAGCAAGAGCCTCTATTTTGCTTCACCGCCAGCATCTCGCTGTCCTTCGGAACTTTTATCCAAAATTTACTGGCGTTGAAGGACGCGGCGTTTCCGTTCCGGTTGGCTTTGGTGGGTTTACAAATTTAAAAACTTGGTTTAAACCATACTTTCAAAAATTGTTAATTTAAAAAAATCAATTTATGAACTTTAAAGGTATTATTTTAGCTATGGAAAACTGAAAGCAAACATTTTTAAGAAATAATGGCTAATGACAACAATTTTTAGATGTGCAACCTGTTCACGGCGGCAACAAACGTTGCCGGTTACAGCCACGCTATATTTTATCGACATCAGGTTAGGAAAACGTACACTAAAACCTTAGGAAAAAAGCCATAAAACCGTAAAAATTACCTTCAGTAGTGTAGGTCCATTGCAGCCATGATTCCGAAAGCAAAAATCCCGTAGCCACAATCCCGACAAGCAAAATACCGACAAATACTTAACGCTAGATTGAGTACTTTCTTCCTTTTAAACAATTGTTTTGCCTGTCGGCATTGTGGCGGTCGGGATTTCGAGAGTCGGGCTTTTTTGCTGTCGAGATTTTGGACTGTGGGGATTTTGGCTTTCGGGGCTTGCTCTTGGGATTTTTGCTGTCGGCATTCTGGCACTTCGGAATTCGGGTTGTCTGCTCCTGGGCTTTTGTTGTCGGCATTTAAGATCATCGGTATCTCAGTTTACGGGGTTTGGCTGTCGGAATTTTGGGGTTTTGCTGGTTTGGATCGTGGCACAATAAACTATTTCAGCTATCCATCCCTCATGGCTCGTGGCTGAAAATCCCAGATTACCTGCAGTATTTCTGCTTTGCAGTCATGTACGGGACGTCGATGTGCTTTTTCATGTATGTTTGCGGCCGAATCAGTATCGTCGATTTTGTAAGTTAATGAGGCTTAAATTTAAGTTATTATGCGGTAAATACTGCTAATAAAGGATATAAATAACTATCTCAAAATAAGCAATGAAAAAATCGAACTTCTAGCGCAACGCGCACATCTACCAGACCGGAGTTTTGGAGGCGCTGATTGCTAGGGAAGCTGTCTGCACGGCGGGCTTCAAGCAAATTTTTTCCTGGGTTATTTTGTAGGTTTTTAGACTCTAATTAAAACCGTATTTTAGGGCGGTTATGGTAGTATTCTTTACGGGGATGATGTTCTTCGTCATTCACAGCCACTATTCGCTCAAAAATGGGCATAAAAAGGTCCAGGAAATGTCGCAGGTGCTGCTGATCTCGATGGCCAGTCAGGTAAGCTTTGGTGTTTCTATTTTTAAGGTTTTCCGTAATATTTTTAGCTCTTCTGTAAGTTTTTATAATCTTTTATAACCGAAACTTTTATTTTTCGGATTTCCGGATTTCCAGGGCAATCGAAATAGTTTCTGATTGCATCCAAAAACTCGAAAATGACCCAGAAATCCGTGAAAAAATCGATCAAACATAAGTCGAAATTTAGACAGCCTGCTTCTTTGTGCTGCTCATCATCCCGATCAGCGTGCTCATCGTGAAGTATCAAGACGAGAATTTTAATGAGATGTGTGCGGCCTTATCTTAAGTTTTAATTCTTGAAAATAGGGGTAATCGGCACGATAATCTGCAGCAGCCACAATATTGTGGCCTCACTATTCATCGTGTTCTCCACTAAATCGTATCGAGAAAGGCTGCACGGCTTCTTCGTCAACAAACAAAATGGTGTACAACGTGGGTTTTCGCGAGTTGATCGACAAGTTTTTAGCTCCAAAAATCGTCATCTCACATTCGGGGACGTCGGTGAAGCCCTCAAGCAGAAGCCTCTTTCGATTGCTGACAATATAACAAAGCTTTTTACGGTTTTTGTGCGGTTTCTGGAAATTGCAAAAAAAAAATCGATAGACGCGCCCGTAATGAGTTGTGCCATTCAAAAGAACATCAACAATAGGGTCCAAAAAGTGACATCGGAGACCCAGATGTGGTGACTACGATTTCTTGAAGTGTTGACTTTTAGGCTGATTTCGCGAGAAATCAACTTTCCCAAATCGCTTTGACTTAAGCATCTAAAAGAAGATGAAAAATAAGGCCAGAAAACTTGTTGTGCGCAACTTGTGAGGCCCTGGCGTATTTACTAGGATTTTTCGAGTTGGTCACTTTTTCTCGTTTCCGAGCAAAGGGGGGACCACGTCGATTTTTTTCGCAAATTCGCGGCAACCAGTCGAGCTCGTCAGAATTTCGCCCTGGACTCATTCGAACCAGCTTCAAACGCTGATTCCGATGTACTAACTGGAATAGCTCAAAAATCGCGCATATGTTTTTTACGACTTTTTGAAGATTTACCCAGGCGCCCGGCAAGTCACCTCATCGGTCGTGCCTTTCGAGGCTAATTTCGCGAGAAATCCACTTTACCAAATCGTTTTGACTTATGCAACTGAAAGAGCATCAAAAATCAAGCTGGAAAAGTTGTTGTACCCAACCTGGTGTAGTTGCTAGGATTTTTCGAAATGGTCACTTTTAATCGTTTTCGGGCAAAGGGGGGACCGCGTTGATTTTTTCGAAAAATTTTAATAAAAAATATCAGGATATCATAATTTATGAACGATAAGAATTGTGATCATTTTTATTTGATTGAATGATAAGAATTTCAATGGCTTAATCATTAGTTTTCAAGTTACAAATATTTGGCAAAAGCATGTAACAGTCGATTGATGGCGTCACGACTCGTCGGGGCGATTCTTCGCATCGCGCTGCTCCTTCTTGTGGTCGGGCTCCTCCTCGTAGTGCATAAAGTCCTGCAATGAAACGGAAATTTTAATTTAATACGTACTGGGTTTTACGAAAATATAACTACAAACTACAACTACAACAAACTTACAATCAAGAACACGAGCGCCATCAGACTGGCCTTCATCCGCACGTCGAGGTCCATGGGGACTGAAAGGGACTTCTTAACTTTTTTTGGCAAGACAGGTTCTTTTGCATTATCGGTGGGGGATTATAGGCATAAATCAATTTTTTTGCCTTTTTGCATTCATAAAAAGTTTTTTGCTAAACTTAAGTCTAAGTGTTGAACAATTACTGAGAGCTAAAAATTTTTCGGTGAAATTTTGGTCGAAAATCAGACATTTTCCACGTAGAAATAGTTTACTTACAAGTCACGCCGTACAAATCGACATTCGTGAATCGGTCCTTCGCGTAGCCATTCCACTTGCGCGTAATTTGCGCCACTTCGAGCCCGGTTTCGACGCTGGACACGCGGAAGACCTTCCCGCAAAACGTGCAGCACTTGAGGCAGCAGGTGCAAGGGCCCTGATTTTGGAAATTTTTTTGATATGTTATTGAGCCACAAAAACTGGCGCATAGAAACTCCTTGCCCACCTCGATGCTGAAAATATTGCGGCCATTCGCGTCTCGGATGTAGAAACAAGGGGAGCAGCACGCGCAGCGCTGGCGCACGGTGCCGATCTGGTGATGTTGTTTTTCATAAACCTAGCACCGTGTTGGCACATTATAATGCTGCAATATACCAAAAGATGTGCCTTTTTCAAACTATAGAATGTGCTAACCAACGTTGTAGGAATTCATAAAACATCCCAGAAAACCGAAAAATCATAAAAGTTCGAAAACGTGTTCTGTTTCCTGGCCTGAACTGAAAGCTATGAAGCCGTCTTTTCAAGCTTAAGCCGTTTTTCAGCTTCGAATTTACCGTCTGCCCGATCGGGGCTTCGATCGTCGAAAACTGGGCGCAACACGGGCAGCAAGCCCAGCAGTAGTTGTCCGAGTTGCAGCACTTGTACGGACGGTCGATGCGGATCACCTCCTGAAAAACGTTATTGCATTTTTATCAGTTCTATACAGCATTTTCAGGAGGTCTGTCGCCATTTTATATTTAAAAGGCCAGTTTTGTAGCTTCTACTGACCTCCTTGAAGTTGTCGATGACGTGCATGGTGTAGCCGCGGCGCTGCTTGCAGCATTGGCGGAACCACATGTTCGACTCCTCGACGACGTCGTAGATCTGAAGAAAGTGGGACTAAAAGCGAGAGAGAGATAGAGAGAAAGAGAGAGAGCGACAGGGAGAGCGAGACAGAGAGATAGAGAAAGCGATGGCGATAAGCAAAGCATCAGATCCCGAGGAAAAGCTTTTAGAAACTACCTTCTCGCCATGCTTGTTCATCACCGTGTAGTGGTTCTTCGACTCCCAGTTCATGAACTGCTCGGTGACGTCGACCTCCTGAATATCTTTCTCTGATTCTTAGTATCGTTGTCTCTCTCTCTGTCTCGATCTCTCTCGTTCTCTCTATCTCTCGCTCGCTCTCTCCTCGTACCTGTCGAACTTGCAGCTCATCTACCATCGCCAAGTACTCCATCCCCTTGGGGCAATCATGCAGATTTTCCGGCGTGGTCATCCAGCGCACTGAAAGTTGACCCGGCTACCGTACCCTGTAGATTACCTGATCCCGGCGGGGCAGCCAGACCGGGCTGGATTTTGATGGGCTCGTGCATCGCAAGAGTCTCGTGAAGCTCCTGAAGCTCCTGAAGTTCTTAAATCTTAAAATGAAATTTCTTGGATCGATTAAAAATAAAGTTTGGCCCTCGCTACATGGGGAGATGGTAGCCGGAGCAGTGGGAGAAGCACCTGCCAAACTTTTTCAACGCCCAGGTGCTTTTGGCGTTTCCTAATCAACGCAATGCCAACGTGTGGGAGCCAAAAACTTGGAATTTTTGATTGGATACGGTAGGGAAACAAACGAGGAAGTATTTTTTGCAAAAAAACCTATAAATACTATAAAAATATGCGCGCTCGCGAAACAGCAAAATTTCGAAGGCCAAAATCCCGACATCGAAAATGCCGACAGCCAAATATTGAAAATCCGAAGCAAAAACCGTTTTGGCTCATGGCTCTTGGCATTTTGCCTTGAATTAAAATCAAACGACGCTATGGTAGCAGATCAACCTTTTCACTTAAATTTTTACTGTGGTGATTTTTGGATCTCCGGATTCAATTTCAATTTATTTCAGCTTTCCATTCCACTTTTTAACCAGAAACAGCACTGAACGCCGAGGTGCTGTTCCGTTTGGCGTGAATCATCTCGTGAGGGTCGCGGGGGTGGGGGGAGGCTTCGGGGCGGAAACGCATTTCGGCCCCTGGCCGAACACATCGATTTGAAGCGGAAATTCCGATTTGTTTTTCGGAATACATCATAATTTTCTTTCTAGAATTTTCTAAATTTTCTAAAATACGAACAACAGAAATTCTGAAAGATCCCGATTAGCCTCGGTTTTTCTCACGCATCCAATTTACTCTCTCTCTCTCTCTCTCTCTCTCTCTCTCTCTCTCTCTCTCTCTCTCTCTCTCTCTCTCCATCTCTTTCTCGCTTTCTCTCGCTCTCTCTCTCTCGCTCTCTCTCTTTCTCTCTAGCTCTCTCTGCCTTTTCTCTGATTATTTTTTCTGCAGTTCCTCTAAAGGGGCTGTCTCATCCCAGTGAAAACGGTCTCCAACATTACGGTATTTATAGCCACTCTAAAGGCACTGGAACAGCGCCAAATCCATGTCCATCACCCCCTAATTTGCTCAAATCCGCGCCCTTTGTGCCGGGTGATCAATATGGGTGGTTGTTGCGGGGTGATGCGAGAGATGAATGGGGGAGTGAGTGAGATAAAGCGAGAGAAAGAGAGAGAGAGAGAGTGAGAGAGAGAATCTGACGGTTTTCCGCCGGTCCTTTCCGGTCCTTTCCGGTCTTCCCCCCTTTTCGCGTGCCAATACCGGCGATAAGCCTATCGGGCTCTCGGCTGGGGGTGAGGAGCGGGAGGCGCTTAGGCTCGCCTCGGCGCCGATGGCGAAGTTTTGGTAGGCACGTCTGTCCGTTGCCTCGATGTTGTTACCTTGTAATTTGCTAGAGAGTTCTGTAATTGTAATTTCCTAGACATCTTTTTTGAGGTTTTTCAGTGTTGGCGAAGTGGCAAAAAATTCCTTACAAACCTCAATGCTGAAAATACCGGGTTAAAATCAGGTTTCGGCTTAATTTTTTCTAAAAATATCGCTTTATGTTTTCCCATTTTTTATGACGTGCGTTTCCGTAGTGTCATTTCTGACGCATGACGCCGTAATACCGAAAAATATTCGAACAAGCCTGAGTTTGTCCGAAAAACACGATGTGTCAAAAAAGTTCAAATTCATTTTCCCGAATTCTCGTCAATTTTTCACTTCTCAATTTTCAAAATTTTAATTTTACAGCGATTTGTGGAATGCCGTAATGGTATTTTTTTTATTGAAATTTAGTGCTCATCGGCTATGCAATTTTTCCGTCTGGTAGCTGCATCTGAAAGCGAGAAGTCCGCAGATTTTTTGAGACATCGTCCCTTTAAAAGCAAATTTTATACTTTTTTTTTGCGTTTACACTTTCTAGAAGTTTCTGGCACTAGAAAATTCCGTTTTGTTCCTTTTCGTGTTTTTCATAGACTAATGACGCCTCCGATTATTTTTAAGATTTCAATTTTCTCTCTTTTAAAATTTTAAAATTTGGAACTTTTTGTCGATTTTATTTGAAGGAGTTTTTCCTGTTTTTTGACCTTTTAGGTCCCTTTAAAGGCACGTCTATTTTTGTCCAGCTTTTCCCACTGCTGCCCACCCACCCAACCGTCTCAAAATCTCAAAATCCAAGGCGTGGGCTAGCGTTTAGCCGTCGCGAAAAATCCGCGAAAGCTTTTTACGCATTGGTTTGACAGGTAGGGCAGCGGGCAGCCGGAGCCTATTTGTCGAATTGCGTGTGCACTGTCCCCACACCACCCCGGAAAAATGTGCACTGCCCTCATGGGCGCGCCAAATTCTTGGAAACCGCTAATTTTGTGACGTACAGATGGGTTTATTTTGATCCTTGGCCTGGACTGGCCATTTTTTTCGGAATTCGAGGCAGCCAAAATCCCGACACTCATAATGACGACAAAAATCTCGAAAGCGAAAATCCCGACAGCCATAACACCGAAAACCAAAAAATTGCGACAAGCATGATCGCGACAGCCAAAATCTTCATAGAAATCCCGACAGCGAAAATCCCGACACGGGAATCCCTTCATATTATCAAACCTAGTTTGGATACGACGCCCCTTTAAACCGTTGTTTTGACTGTCGGCATTACGGCTGTTGGCGTTTTGATTGTCGTAATTTATGCGGGACTGCGTTTTTCCGGTTTTGGCAAAAACCTTTAAGCCATTTTTTATTTTTATTCCCGATTAGCTTATCAGCTTTTATTTTTATTTTTGTTTTGAAAACATATCCTATGCTTTGGTTCGGCATTTTTTGAACTGAAATTTGATAATATTTTTTACCCCTAAGCCTCCCTTAGAACGTAAAAATCCCGAGAAGCAGCTTTTTCGAAGTGTCCTAATTCCCGTTAAATTCTGATTTTTGAAAACCTTGAAAGTGTTTTTTTTTGAAAAACGTAAAGTGTTTTCCAAAAATTTCTAGAAATAGCGCCATCGCTTTCGGCTTTTTTCAGTGCTTTCCAAAGAAAAACAATGAAAGCTAATTGCAAGTTAGGGTAAGCGTTACCGTAAGAACCGTTCGCCCAATGTTGTCATGCTCGGATTAGAAATAGTGCTACGTCTAACATCGACTCGTCCTCGACTATCCCAAAAGTACCATCAGAAAGTTCGTAAACCCGTATCCACCCCGTACCCATCCGACGTACACGTGTCTTTTTTGGGGGGAGCAGCGGGGTGGATGCGCGCGCGGTGTGTTGTGGAAATATCCGTTGCGCAAATATTCTTCCCGGCACACAAATATTGAATGGAAACGGGGCAGGCAGAAGAGGAAGAACGAGAAGCAGAAGAGGGTCGATGGCATCGGAAACGAGGCCCTTCACTGTCATATCAGACGTCGATGGGAACAGTTTGCAGCTTGTATCTCCCTCGCTTTCCTTCTCGCGCTTTATCTCTCTCTCTCTCGCTCGCTCGTGCTCACTTTTGTCCCTATCACTAGCTTTCTATCCAGAGCTGCAGATGGTGAAGACGATCACCATAGACATTTATGCACAGGCTAATTCCGTTCTCTCTCTCTCTCACTTACTTAAATTCTCTCTCGCTCTCACTGTCTGGCTCTCTTGCTCTTTTATTACATCTTGCTCTCTCGCTTTCATTCGCTCACTTCCTCGACATATCTCGTCTTCCCGGTTTTCTCTCTCTCTCTCTCTCTTTCTCTCTCTAGTTCGCTCTCTGCCTGTATCACTCCCTCTCAATCTTTCGCCTTGTCTAACACTTTTTGTTGAAACTATCAACTTTCTCTCTATCTCTCTCTCTGTCTCACTCTATCTCCATCTCCCTAGCATCTACCATTAATGCGTTATGCTATGTCTTTTCTGTTAATTTATACCCCACCTTCCCGCACCTATTTGCCAGCCATTTTTCATCCGACAACCCGGCAAATAGGCGCAAATGGAAGGTCATAGAGCTGCTCCCGAGTCTCCCGGCCAGGAAAGGCCAGATATTATCTGGGCATGTTCCGCAAAGACATGTTGACGGCCCTCCCCAACTTGGGTGCGCGATTTTCTTGCGCTTTTCTCGGCTATTTTCGAGATTTTACTCAAGATGGATTTTCAAGGCATTCGACTCCGAGCTAAGCCTCAATTCTGTAGCAGCAGTTGAAATTTGCTAAATATCAGCTTTTCGCACGTTTAGAGGAGTCTCGCACTCGATTCAAAGAACATCAGTTTTTCCCGCTATCCCTTTAATCGCTTACAGCTTTTGTTCTTCTGGGAAAAAAAATCACAAATCTTCTGAAAAAAATTTAAAGGGACTGTGACAGCTGGAATTTGCCAAATTTTGACTTCCAATTTGTCTTTTGTTTTGAGTTTCGATTTTTGGTCATTTGGATACCTAACGGTGCTCCTACCAGCTGTTACTCCCCATGAGCTGAGCACAAACAGTCTAGAGTCTTTTTAGATCTATCACGGACCCTTGAATCTCAAAATCGACCCGTTTCTTCTACTAGGTCTGGACAAATTCGAATGGCTCCTTTTGACTTCTTCAGGCTCAACTTAACCGTTGGACTCGAACTGATCCCAAGATCTCAATTAAGCAGGAGCACGACTCGTGGAGTATCGTGTATGTCGAGATCTAGCGGATCGAGAAGTGGCGCCATTGCATAGTCCTTGATTTTAAAAAATGTGCCTATTATCTGGCATTACGGGAGGCTTTTTGACAAAGTTAAAACGAACTTTAAAAAGGCGATCGATCTTTTTAATAGCCAGTCCCAAAAAAACTCTCAAACGGTCATAGTATCGAATGGGCGTATGAGTGACTAGGCAGGGGAGAGGGTTATCGGATCAAGCGAGCTAATATGCACGCACACCCCCCAACAATACGGCTCTCGGCCACCACCAGCCGACGATCATCACCAAAACTGCCGGCCATCGCCGAAAAACATCGATTCCCATACGCGGAACGATTTCCGGGGCCTTTCCACGCGCTTCACACGCTCTGTTTTTCTTGTCCTAAAATTTTTCAACATTTTCTGAGCGCTGGCATTCAAATTTTTGTCATCTGAAAATCACGTATTTTTGGGGTTTGTGTTCTGACTCTAGTATTGGGAATTTTCGAGCAATACCTTAAGTTCTTCTGGAATTCAGCTCAAGTTTTTGAGCTGGATTATGCAAATTTTGGCTGCAAGCTCGTGTTTTTCATGTTCTTCTCTCTAGTTTTTGAAGGCGGCGATGGAATGCTATTATGCAAATCTTGGCTGCTGATACCTTAAAGGTCGTTCTAGGATCTTTTACGCTGTTTTCGCAACGGTTTTTCTTGATTTCAGTTTTTCGATTCATTTCACTCTGACTTCACTTTTACTCGATTTAACTTTCACTCTGATTTCTTGATACACTTGTTCGATTTATTCATTTTTTGGCAACAACACCATTTTTTTAGAGAGTTTTCGTGCAAATTAGCAACCAATCGGTATATCACAGACACGGAAAACTGCTTTTTAAATGGGATCAGGAGAGCGCCGATAAGGGAATCGGAATTTGGGGTGACTATCCTTTTCAGGTTCCTTTAAATTTTCAGTAGAATCTCCAACGCCTTACCTTGCGATCGCAACTTACTGTGTTTCATTTTAATACCTCCCGAATTGCTCCTCGACTAATCGATGAGCCAAGGTCTGGGGTTCCAGAATCGAATTCTGGCGCCCCATCGGCCCGTCACTACACCCCAGGACTGGCAGGAATCGCTTCTCATCCCAGTGTGCCCAGAAAAAATTTTATGCCTCCGCCCTCTCCGCCGAGATTTTTGTGATCGCGCCGGGACGCCCTTGATATATTCTGTTCCGCGACGTGTGCCTGGATTTCGTCACTAATTTTTTCTAAATAATAAGGACTAGTAATTTCATTTTTAAATTTTGTGACCTCTTAAAAAGGAAAAATTTGCCTGAATTTGGTTTCTGCATTTTCTATTATTTTCTAGCTCCCTATCTCAATCGCTTTCCCTTTCTCCCGTTCCCTCCCAACTTTTCAAAACAACAAAAATCTTCACCTCACCCGTTCCAGTGGCCCCATATCAATTCTGCGTGCAATGCGTCAAATTTAAGCCGAAAATCGGCTAAGCCTATTCTCATCAGTTTGAGCCGACAAAGACGCGCTTTGGTTTCTCAAAATAGACCCACCTCACCTGGGGTAATCTTTGTGCTCAAACTGTACCCGAGGTTCTCTCACTCTCTCTCGCGCTCTCTCTCTCTCTTTCTCTCTCTCTCACTCTCTCTCTCTCTCAATCTCGTTTCTCTCACACGCTCTCGTTTTTACAAAAAAAACAAAATTCTATTTTTTCAGGCCGATGCCCAATTTTCACGGCTCCGAGAAGCACCGATTACAGTGAGACAATACGACAAGTGGGTGATTTCAATCAAATCTAAAGACGACTTGAACTTATAAAATACTACGACAAACAGAGAAACAAGTTAATAAAGTTGAAATTTAAATAACGAAAATAGCGAACCGATTTTTCTGTTGACATTTTTGCAGACCGACGCCACCACCACCCCCCTCAAAACCTCAAAATCTGATCGGATTAAAACAAAATAGTGACAGCTAGAGAACGTTGCTGGGAACCTCAGGTTCCGGGTTACCCATCTGTCCCATTTATCGATTGTACCAAAAACGCAAGCTTTTCACTTTGAGCTTGTTTTGCAGATGCAGTCCATCTCCGCTTTTTCCGCCTGATTAGTGAGGTCAGGCTCCATTTAAAACGCTCCACTACAGGATTTTCTAAAAACGTTGAGAATTTCATGCAACACCTAAAACTTTAATTTACGGTGTTCTCGCACAGACTTAGATCAAAAACTTTTCTGTCCGAATCCCTTTAGAAATTGGAGCCCCATATTAAAGCACTATACCTGAGGTTCCACCGCACCGCGAGTACCAGCGCTTTCAAAATATGAAATTCATTGATTAACCCAATTCTTTTACATCTCTGGCTCCCTGCTCTCATGCTCCCTTTAAACGCTCCACCTCAATTTGGTGATATTTGAATGCTTGCTGTAACCCTCCCTTTAAATCATCATCCCTCCACCTTTCACCCAAACTCAAGACACACCCCGGGGGAGTGGCCTGCAAAGGTGAATATCGCCGTACCCGTTATCAAGCCCTCACCTGCGAAAAAGGTTTCGAGTTAAGCGGCTTTTCGGAATGTGCAACGTCTCCTTCCTTGGCCCTCTTCTGGGGGTGGCGAGTCCCTTTTTGTACGCCGCCCTCCGATTCCAATTCACAATCGATACGGCCATCCATCCGAGCGGCTGGAAAAAATCGGGGCCCCGAAAAAGAGCCCGGGGAAGCCCAGAAGCTGAATGACGGGTCTGGGATGGTTTGGTAATCTTGGGGGGTTTTTGAGGGCAGACGGGGGTCTGATTCTGATTTTTGTGTTTAGGACTAGTTCGTCTAGGTTTGTTGTGGAAGTCAAAATGATTTTTTTATCGTCTATTAATGCACAGTATCCTGCCGGCTATATTCCGCTCGGGTTACCTGTTCTCGTGCTCGTTATTGTTCTTGTTCTCTCTCTTTGTCTCCCTCTACTTCTTTCTATCTCATGCTTTCTCATTCTCTCAGTCTCTCGCTCTCCCTCACTCTTTGTCATTCGTTTTCTCTCTTTTTCTCTGTCTGTATCTGTCTCGCTCTCTCTCGCTCTCTCTCACTCTCTCTCTCTCTCTTGTTTTCTCCCTATCTCTCTGGCTCTCCCTCTCTCGCTTTTTCTCTCTATCTCGCTCGCTCTCGGTCATCCATCCTGTAAAGCCTCTCTTTAGTTGGGTAGTTTGTAGCTGTCCCCATCGCTTTAAAGTCCAATTTCTGCTTCCGGTTTGCCTTTAAAGGGAGCCTGATTCTCTTTCACTTTGTCTCTTACTCTAACGAGTTGTTTTAAAGAGGCGGGTTTTGGATACGAAATATTCTGATCTATATAAAACTTTTTCCAACTCCTCTCCCACACCTTGACTCATACTTATCGAAGCAAAAAATGGCAACCCCGCCACAACACGCCTCGCCGCCAAAGCACCCCCCTCCGGGGTCGATTTTTCGTTTTTGATGATTTTTTGGGGCGGGAGCCTGGACGTTTTTGGTTTGGTTCATAATATTTTTGGCCCCCCCCCCGCGCTGTCGGTCTGTTCGAGCACCGAATTGCTATCGACGCCGTATAATTTTATGCAAAACCGCCTGAATTCTCGCTTTTGCCACATTTTTCAGCAATCCATAGCAGGGGTTGGGTGCAAGTTTTTTGAGGTTCTGCTGATTTTGTGTTCAATTTTAATATCACTGAATTTGATTTTGTATATTCTCCCTTTCTTTCTATCTCTCCCCCTCACTCTCTCCTGCTCTCTCACTCTCCCCAGTAGTTTAGTAAATTTTTGTTACTTATTAATTCCATCCCAATTTTCCGTGCCCGCAGGTCTGTTGTTTCATTGCGTAATTGATTACGACTCCTTTGTAGGTGGGGCCCGCGTTGTGTGTCGCGCTGCTGCAAAATTCAACGGAAAATAAAATGTTCCGCGTCTTCTCCGTCCCTTGAATTCGCTGATCTGTGCAGCGAAGGGAGAGGGAGAGAGCGATAGAGAGATAGAGTGAGAGAGAGGGTGAGAGAGCGAGCGTCGAGAGATAAACAAATTTCTCGGAATCACAAATCCCAACGCCCCTCAAAATAACAGGGAATGTTGCGTGTAGGTCGGGGGCCTTATCTCGCCGGCTTCTTGTAAATTCGGCATCCCCTCATTATCACTAGCTAGGTCTCTCTTTCTCGCTCTTTCTCTCTCGCTCTTTCTTTCTCGCTCTTTCTCTCTCCCTCTTTGCCTCTCCCTCTCTCTCTCTCTCTCTCTCTCTCTCTCTCTCTCTCTCTGTCTCGCTCTCTCATCCACTCTTCTAAATGGCTCGTTGATTTATCTGATGAGAGGTTCTCCCCTATCACTGAAAATATCTCCGACCGGGCCGTTCAGACGATAAGCACGTGTGTCTGATTTCCGAAGAGCCGCCCGGTCATCTCTGAATTCTTGCGCTAATCGATGTAGGAGGTGGTGGAACGGCGGAGCATAACGGAATTTCATTGCTATATATTGGATTCTTGGTACAATGTTCTACGACAGGTGGTGGTGGGTGTTGGAGTTTGTAGTTTATTTTTTTGAGTGTCAGCTTTGAACCTTTAAAATATGGCTTAATTAGCATAAATACATGCCTACAAAGTATATAAAAAGGACAAAAAAAAATAGAAAACAAGCATTTGAGAATAAAGCACAGTTCATCTGGATTTCAATGCCCTTTTTTAGGATGGACTCCGGCGCGCCCTCGCCCAAGTAATCCACCGTTTTTAAAGCATTTCTTTGTTCAATTTGCCTGCTATAACAAATCGCTAAACTGCTAACGCTTAACAAAAATTGCTATACTAACTGTCAAATGACATCTAAAGTTGCAGAAATCGTTCCGATTCAAAAATCCATTTAGGATGTCGTTCCGCAGCGGCGATTTCTACTCGAATATGTCCCGGCTGAATATGGGGCCCAGCATGGGTAAGTCGGGGCGGACTAGCAGAGATTATTGAGGAGAAAACTAAGACAGGCCCCTAGAGGTTATTGAGGGGAAATTCAGGGAATGCTAGCAGAGATTTTTGAAGAACAAGCCATTCAGACGAGATGAATGGGAGGTCAGGGCAGGCTTGCAGCGCATTGAGCTAGAAAAGTTTAACGAAAAAACATGAGCTAGCTAGCAGAGATCCTTAAAAAACTCCAGGCAAACTAGCAAAGATTCTTAAGGAATTGAGAAAACTAACAGAGATCATTTGAGACATTTTCAGACAACGGCAACACCTCCCTACTCCATATTGGTGATATCATTTCGCTCTACACAGAAGATCCACATGGAGGAAGAGGCTTTCTATCAACGCTTGGGTACGCTTGGCTACAAATTACCCACGATTATATTTTTAAATAAATTCTTGTGCAATTTAGCCTTGTCGACGATCGGTGCATCGTTGAAATCGGAGAGGGACGGCCGGAAAGTCCGCCAAAGAAATTTCGGGGTAAGAATGGCAGAATCCGACAAAAATGGCTTCATTGTGCCTTTAAAATAGATAAATAAGAAAAGCTGACTTCATTGATACACCTAATTTTAGACTGCCTCTTCAAAGTCTGTCCAGTCAATCGGTACGCAGCCCAGAAGCAGTGCTGGACCGAGCAGAAGCGATTTCAGGTCGGTTTTACTGTCCCTCTCTCCCTCTGCCTCTCTCCCTCTCTCGCTCTCTAGCTCTGTCTCTCTCTCCCTCTTTCTATTTGTCCTCAAATTCAGGCCGGCGAAAGCCTGTTCGACGCCGAGATGATGGACAAGTTAAGGGTGGCCGCCGAAAAGGTAGATTTCCGCGTTTTCTTTCGCTATTTTGAGCTTCAGGAGCGCGAGCAGAACGAGCTGGAGCTCCGGAAAACGTTGGGAAACGTGATCCAATACGGTACGACCATTCAGGTATCCTATTAAATTCGAATTGTAAACGAGTTCTCGATGATGCCAGCTTCAACACGTCAAGTCCGACAAGTACCTGACGGTGCAGAAGAACTCGCCGGCCCGGTTGGAGCGGAATGCAATGAAGGTCAGTCGAAAGCCCAAATTTTATTTGAAAACGGGTTTTTAAGGCAATTCTGCTTGGCCTTACTGGTCCCTTTAAAGCAAGATTTTTAGGTCTACCTCGACAAGGCGGGAAATGAGGGCTCCTGGTTCGTGGTGGAGCCGGCTTACAAGCACTACGTTATTGGAGACAATGTAAGAAACTAGCTCGCCCACGCTTTCTCTTCACTATCTCGCTCTTTTTCAGGTTTTTATAGCTCGTGCTCGTTCTCACTCTCTCCCGCTTTCTCTCCGTTTCTCTTTCCCTCTCCCTCTCTCTTTCCCTCTCTCTCTCGCTCTCTTTCTGTCTCTCTCAAAACATCCACCTTTTAGGTAGCAGCCGGAAACAAGATCTCCCTCATCCCCTACTCGGCAGTCACCCAAACCCCAACCGGCACTCACGTCAAGCCACAGCTCCATCTCTCCCATCAGAGACTTGTTGATCACGACACAGCGGCCGAGGTACCGCATTTGAGTCGTGGAATAGAAACCAACATGAATTCGGGGAACTTCTGAACGTCTTGGAAACGCCGAGCAATCTTGATTCCAGGTGAACTGCCTGAACGAAGTCACCGAGTGGCAGCTGTTCATGTTCCTGCTCTACAACGAGAACCAGCACGACGTGGTCAAGTCGGGGGATGTCGTCCGGTTATTCCACGCCGATCAACAGACATTTTTGACGCTGGATACGGTGGAGGAGAAGGGAGTGGCGATGGTAAGTTTTGGAGGAGAAGGAGAGAGAGAGAGTGAGAGAGAGTGAGAGAGAGGGGAGGTGAGAGAGAGTGAGAGAAAGATACTTAATTCTAGGGTGACGTCGTGTTCCTCCGGATGACAAATCGACCCTCGGCAGCTGATGCGACTTCGAGTAGGGCGCTTTGGGAGATCCAGGTATGCAAATTAGACTTGGTGAAAACTCCGAAACTAAAAAAACTGTAGTGTGAAAACCGAGCTTTTCTAACATATCTGTAAAAATAATGAGAAGGGAAAGAGAGGGAGAGAGAGAGGCAGAGAGAGATATAGAGAGAGAGACGGGGAAATAGAAAGAGACAAAGCGAGAGCGAGAGAGAGAGAGACGAATAGAGCGAGAGAAACAGAGCAGTCCGACTACGCCCAGCTCCTTTAGACAATATCTTCGCTCGAGGAGAACATAAACCAAATTGTAAGTACCCGGGCAGCCAGCGTGTGCGGTGTGAAAACCCAGACCTCAACCCCCGCTATATTAATTCTAATTTAATCAGCAAATCCACCCAGCAAAAAACCACTAAACTCATTTTCCAGCCCGAAATAATGCTGCGCCCCCAGCTGAACAATAACGTACCTAACAGCGTGTGTCGTGTTTTTGGCTCTATCCGCTTTTTTCTACTTCTCATTTTCTGAAATCACTTTTTCCCCCACGAAAACACGCAAATTCACTGTCTGCCAATTTTTTAATTGCTATTTAGCTTGACTCCCGGGCCTGAATTTCCGCGACTACACTTTTTGCAATTTTAGAAAACTCCGCTCACACCAGTTTTCCCCTTTTTTAGTTGATTTTTTAGTGCTTGTGGATATGAAAAGCAGTGATATTTGAATTGAAGAGGCGAGGGGTGGCCAGGGATCTTTTTAAAGTGGCGTGCAGGATAGAGCGAGAGATAGTGAGCGACAGAGAGAGAAGGAGAGAGACAGAGACAGATAGCAAGAGAGTGAGATGAGAGTGAGCTGAGGCTAGAGCTAGAGAGAGAGAGAGAGAGAGAGAGAGATGCCTAATAACCCTGGCCACCCTTCACCCGATCGTACCACATCCCCGGAATCCCCCAATTTTTAGGTGGTCCAAAAAGATGCATTCCGAGGCGGATCCGCAAAATGGCGAGAGGCCTACAGGTTCAAGCACTTGGCCACCGACATGTATCTCACGGCCGTCCCCCTGACCCAGGCCAAGAAGGAACCAATGGACCGACGGCAGAGCCTCGCCCAGAGCAGGTACGGTAGCTGGGGGTGGGTTTTAGGAGATATTTGCCAAAATGGGGATTGTAAAGACGACCGCTATCCTGTTTGACAATGTCTTGAACTCCACGAACTTGTTGGCGCTGTCCTTCTCGTATAGTGGCGTTCTACTGATTTCCCGAGGTCTTTGTCCTCTGAACCTCTTGAACTTGCTCCCCCTTCTTGAACTTTCTCTCAAAAAAAAAACTATAGTCCTTGATAGCCTGATCTTTTGTTTCTGGCTTAAATTTGCCTTGTATGAAACGAACTTTTTAGATAGATAATGAGCTTCTAGATTCCTAAACGCTTACACTTCTAGAACTTGTTGCCACTATCTCAGTAAAAATGAATATTTTCCAGGCCATCCAGCTGCCAATTTTAATATTAAGCATGCATTTTATTAGATTATTTGGTGTTTCTTGCCGCCTTCTCAATTAAAATAAAGCTCGTTAAGCTTCCTTTCTCCTTTCAGAGTCTCAAAATTAGTGCGCATGTTCGCGACGGATAGGTAACGTGGGCCGCATCGGCGTTTTTCGCATATATTCTGTCGCTTTTTTCGTGTGTTGGGCTTCTTCCTCCCGCCCAGCCACTTTTTTGGGTTCCAGGTTCCGTTGTTTTCGGGTTACGATATGCAAATTGATCAGAAAAGCTTTTCTAGTCTTGAAAATCTAAAAAACGTAAATTGCCTAAAAACCCCTTTAAAAGCTCTAAACGTTATTGTTCTGCAAATTTCTAGCCAACGAAAGCCGCGCCGTAAGCAGGCAATCATGCCAAGGTATCCGCCGCCTAATCAGAAGCTATTAACCTTTGGTTTTTTTGCTAAGCAACTTAAGATTTGCCTTTTTACCGTATTACTTTCATTATTGGTTTTTCTCTGGTGGCAGAAGTGTGGCTTACTTGCTATAAAAGCTGAATAATTAACCAAAAAAAGTAAAATCTGATCGTATTTTAGGAATAAAGAGCAGCTACTGGTGCCGCCGCCGACGGATATCACAGGTTTGCATTAATTCGAGATTAATTTTTATGTCGAAAATCGAGGAGTACAGCCTATTCTTCTATTAGCATTAATTTTAATCAATAAAATCTAACAATCAAATTTTAGAAAACTACAACCCGACGAACCAGTTCGTGCTCGCGCCCGTTCACTCCGATTTTCCGGAAGCGGACAAAAATCTGTTGTTCCGTCTGGAGGCCTCAACAATTACAAAGGTAACGAAAATGGGTTAAAAAACCCATTTAAATTGGGGAAAATGGTTAAAAACAAATTACATACGGCAAAAAAAGTCAAAAACAAATTCTATACAAATAAAAATGTCAAAGTCTAAGTGAATACAACCAAAAAAGGTAAAAAAAACTATTTTGTAAAGCTAGCAAAACTGCTAATCTAGAAAATAGAAAACCAGAAACTACAAAGAACATTCAGAACACCGACGTTCCGACCAAGTCTTTTGTCCGGCTCTACCATCTGGCCTCGCAAACCTACGTCCACTCGACCAACCCCAATGACAAGGCGAATCTGTACTTTCAGAGGTAAACTAAAGTCCTTGAAGTATATAACCAGCCTTAAAAATCGATTTATTAAGTTAAGAAAACCATTTTTTAAGCAAAACTGAGAAAGGCTGGGTGCGCGTCCTGTGCGAGCACCACCGCATCGACAAGGAGACGTTCGCGCTGCTACCAGTTGCTCCGACAGAGGTAATAAAAGTTTAACAGACGCAAAAGTTCTTAAAAATCATTAAATATTACATTTAAACGATTAAAAAATATAAATTGAAGGTCCGGGACCTCGATTTTGCCAACGACGCGTGCCGGGCGCTGCGAAACTTTGTCGAACACATCAAGAGCGGCAAGGGCGGAAAGGAGCCGTTAATGTAAGAAAATATGTTTTTTATTTCCTGGATTAATACAATTTATCTATTACGTAATTGGTTATATATTATGTATTAACTATTTTAGTGTAACGATCCAGCTCCTAACCGAGTGCATCTTTTTCGTCACCAACCTCGCCAATCACATGATCGACCCGCTGAAGATCAACGATTTTAGCCCGAATCGTGATCGCCAAAAGTTATTGCGAGAGCAGGAGGTGTTGGACCAGGTCAGGAGCACGAGCTTGAGGAGTACAACCGGTTCCTTTCCTTCCGGATCTATTAGCTTGTAGGAAATAGATATATTAAAACACTTTATACGATTGAAATAGATGACGAAATTTCTAGTAACTATATCTACTAATCAAAATGGTCTTAAATTAATATATTTTAGGTCTTCAAACTCCTCAAAGCCCCATTCCTGCCCCGCCAGGGCACCACCGAGATCCCGCCGCTGCTCAATTCCCCGCAAGAGTTGAACGAGCCCAGAAACGAAGTCTGGAAAACCATGTTCCAGTTGTGTTACAGCTTATTACGGTAAGAAAACTTGAAAAATCTCTTAGAAAGCTGTTAAATTCAGATACTCCCAGGTCGGCTACCGCAAGAACCAGGAATTCCTCGCCGAAAAGTTTGGGCAGATCCAGGAGCAGGTAGTAAAAAGTAACTTGAACTCTAAAGATATCTAGATCGGCTTCGACCTGATGGCCGAGGACACGATGACGGCCGTGTTGCACAACAACCCGAAGCTGTTGGAGAAATACGTGAAAAAGGACCACGTCGAGCGCTTCGTGGAGTTGGTGCGGAACAATCGCCAGGGAAAGTGCACTTTAGAAAAGTGGAAATATACTAAAATTTGGTTTCAAGGTTCCTTGACTACCTCGCTGACCTTTGTGTCTGCCGAGGGGAGGCGAACAAGAAGATCCAGGAGTTGATTTGTAACTCCGTGCTCTCTGAAGCTAATCGGAACATCTTCATGGACACGATTTTGGTAAGGAAGTCAGAAAAAGCCGAAGCTATGTTATACAAAAACTAGCGCAACCTTACAGGACGGCGACGAGGTATACATCGAATGGCAAGAGGTCCGGAAACGGCTTGTCGACATCGCCATGGAAGCTTCGCGATCCGAAGAAGACGCCGAGATTCTCGACTACTACAGGTGAGTCCGCAAAATTCCTCTCATAGGCCATCTTCAAAACCCGAAAGCTCCTCTACCAAAAGCAATACGCTTTTTCTAATCATACCGCCTTTATTCATAGCCATTCATCACAATCAATTTCGGAAAAGGGAGACAGGCAGGCGGGCCGGGGGTCAAAGTCTGAAGCAAGTATACAAGCAATTTCAGCTTACAGAGTTACAATGCGCGACCCCACACATACAAAAGTTAAACGTGACAATGTAATAATTGGAAGCGAGGGCACAATTCAAGAGAGGGCTTAGTTTGGAGGGGCGGAAATTTGTTGGAAAGTGCGTGGAGTGTAGGGAACTCTATCGCGCCGGGGCGTCTTGCAGTTCTCGGAGCCGAGCTTCGGTTCGGGGGTCTTGGGAGAGAGTTGTTGCTTCTCCGCGTCACGCATCGACTTCTTACCAGCCTCGAAGATATGCTTCTCAACGGGGGTCATCGGGCGCGTGACCTAAATAGATTTTGAAGAATGTTTTTGTCGAATTACCCATTCTCCTTTAGCATTCGGAATCTCGTCATTTTCCTTGTTTTTGTTCTTGTTTTTCTTTCCGCCACGGTTTCGGCGCCTCTTGTTGTTCGTCTGGCTGGCGTAGTTTTGGCTGTTGCGCTACAAAGAATTGAGTTGTGAAACGAGAAAACCTGCTTACCTCAAAATTTCCCCTGGGAAGGCGCTCGCGGTCCGGCTGATTTCCACCCATCGTGTGACGGCGGCGATCGTTCTAAAAAGACGATCATAATCGAAAACGCCTTCACCTTGTTGAAGTAGCCGTTATCGGGCTTGATGTCCATTCTTGAAGAGCCGCGCGATGACGTGGGGAAGCCCTGAAGCTCCGCGAGACGATCCTCATTCGGCTCCTCGTCCACAGCCTCGCCTTGTTGAACACGGTCGATCACCTCGTCGATTTGGGAACGACGTTCTAGAAAAAAGTGAAGAAACGTTGGCAAGTTTTACTTTTCGGCGTCTCCTGTTCGCTGCGTGCCGGGGTGCATTCGACGGGAACTTTGGCGTTGAACCTCTTATCCATATAATCTAAAAGATGTGTTAAGAAGATTCCGCCCTTTAGTATTTCCAGTTTTTCCCTATAAACTAATTTTTATAATTATAGGACGGAATACTAAGCTCTTTTTTTCTATCCCTAAATGTATAAACCTTAAAAACAGCCTAAACTGAAAAAAAGATTTTCGAAATCCACCGCTCTGCCCGGAAATACTAAAACGCCAAGATCGGAAAAGAAAAAGAACCTTTGAGCTGCTCATTCGACATGCCGAATGTAGTCGCTAGCTCGCTCTCGGTCAGCCTTGACGTCGGGAGAAAAGCGTCGCGCAGGACAGTCTTCTTTTCGTCATACGACCAGGGCAGAACCCACTTGCTCTTCGGGAATTCAACGGGCGGCAGCTTGTTGTAAGCCTCGGAGTCGTCGGCGGACGGTGAGGTCGAGCTTGTGCCCAGCGAGAGGTTGGAAGCCATTTTCCCATCGCACGATGAGAGCAGCTTGAAGCTCGGGAGATCCGCTTCAACCATTTCCCAATCGGCTCCGCCCTCGAGCTTCGGCTGGGCTTCATCAGGGCACTCCTCGAACGCCTTGTGCTCTTCCTCGCTGGCGAGTTCAACCTTGGTGAGCTCTTCGTCCTGGTCGGTGGGGAGAACGATGGGAGGAGAGCCACCGTCGTTCTGGGCGCCTTCTTGAGTGTTTGCTTCTAAAATAAAAGATGAAGAGAAACAGATAGACACTCAATGCTAATAAATAAAAACCGACCGGCTTTAGCGAGAAGTTCTTGGGCGCACATGCTGAGTCGCCGCGTTTCCGCAAACCCAGGTGTTGCCTTTTGTTCCGCGGCATCATCGTTCCTCACGCGCATCGAGCGACGCTTTAGAGCCTCGGCACCCAGCGTCTAGAAAAAAAATATTAAACCAAACTTTCAAACAAACCCCGGTCCACGAGCGAACGTTGATGTTGGCCGTGACGTCAATTTCTTCACCCTCCTTCGGCTTCTTGAAACGATACGAGCTCGTGAAGACGCGGGCACGCTAGAAAACAGATCAAGTTTCCGTGCAAAGTTTACTTGGAATGCCCCAGTCGACTCGGAGCCCTTCCGTTCGCGCATCGACTTGCACATCCGGTTGTCACGCTACAAAAAAATAGTTAGATAAAGTAAAAAAAGCAACCTCAATGGTGGCGGGGGGAAGCTCGTCCACGGGCTCGCCATCGAACTTCTTTTTGCGCAGCAGCTTGCCCACTAAACGGAAATAGAGAGTTAAAAGATGTAATTTACGCTTTTTCATCATTGCCGCCATTTTTGCGGCAAAGCAGGGTAAGTTGGGGGTTAATTGGAGCTGTTGTGCACTGAAAAAGTGGTGAAGTCGCGTGAAAGTAGCGGAGAACACAGGAAAAAACCCGTGAATGTCGCTCAGGTCAAAAGAGAACCAAATAGTAAGAAAAAAAGATGCATAAGATCGTTACAACGAAAAAAAAGAACTGAACAAACAAGACAAAAATTAGGAAATTTAAAAATCGTGGTTTTCGAGGCCTAGTACGACAGGCTACGGCAAGGACAGCGCGCCGATTAGCAAGCCATCTCTCCGAACGGAAGTAGGAGTGTTACGTTCACTAGATAAAATGTATTTTTGTTACAAAAGACATCGTTTTTAAAAACATTTTCTTAACTTAATCAAAGCGAGACATTTCAGGCATCAGCTAGACCTGCTCGCGCAGATGTGCCAGGAGCAGCAATACCTCGCCATCGACCCGCCGCCCGACAAGCGGTTGATGAACATCTCCCATGAGCTGCCCGCCAAACTGGTGTTGAAGTGGGTTTTTAGAGTCGTTTAGAGATTTGGATTGTAAAACGAACCTGGCAAAACCTAAGCCCGCGAGTAGGTTACTTAGGTTTGATGGTTCTTTTAGACCCTTCTAAAAATTACTAAAATTAGCGAAAGCTGATTTTTAATAAAAAAGCCCCAATTTTATTCACATTTCTTGTTGAGTTTTATTGATGAAAATGCAGTAAAAACACTACAAAACAAACACCAGGACACTCATTAGGGATAAATGAAAAAGGGAGACCCGCGAATACACTTTTTAATCTTCTAATACCTTCAAAAACTATATCTTATTTAGATGTATGTCTGACGCTCGTCTACCGGCCGATCTTCGTGCATCTTTCGCTCGATTGCTTCTGCATCTGCATGTCGTAAAAGGGAGTCCACACTCGGCGGTTCGGCACGCGAGGCTTTGGCGTGATATTCCGGAAGAAGTGACCGTTTCCTCGTAGGTTTTGTTATTTTGTAGCATCTTGAAAACCTTTATGACTTTCTAACCTATTTCAAAACTAAAAAACCGACTTACAAAGCATATTCGAGCTCTTTTTAGCTACGACACCAACGGCACGAAGGGGTATGTTGATGGCGGCAGGGCACGGCTGGACGAGCGGATAGCCAAGGAGGTAGCTTTTAAAAGTATAAAACACACTAATGTGACAATTCTCATAATTTTTACTGCAATTTTAGGCCTATAAAATACTAATATGATACCTTAACAGATCCTCTCTACCGTCGACAACTACCTGGCCGGGCTGCGCTCTGCTACCGCTGACGGCGCCGTTTTGAGATCGTCTGGAGCGTGTGTACACACGAATAAGCTGACTTTTGAGGTGAGTGATTTTAAAGCCCGAAAAAACGAAAATACTAAAATACTAATTTTCCTAAAAATCGAAAACAAAGGACGAATTCTAGATGGTGACCCTGGCCCGCTCTCTCGCCCAATTCGGCTTCTACACTTTTGCCCATCTCCTCCAGCTCGCCAAGAACCTGTTGGCCATCGTCGATTCGAGCCCGCCGCAGAAGCAGACCACGAGTGAGTGGATGGGGTGTGTGGAGAGAAAATAACTTTAAAATGCTTTAACTTTAAACCCAAAAAACCCCAAATTCCTCTGCACACCCTACTAGGTTATTGCCTTAAAAACGTTGACCAAATACGACAGGCCACAACAATTTAGCGCAAAACGTGCAAGAGGGGATGAACATGATCACGAGGGTAACGAGGGGGATGCTGGCGGCGAAAGTTGATGCTCAGGCACCGAGGTGAGAGAGCGAGAGAGAGAGAGAGAGAGAGAGAGAGAGAGAGAGAGAGAGAGAGAGAGAGAGAGCGAGAGAGTGCGAGAGAGACAGAAACACAAACTAAAATTTCAGTCTTCGTCCATCCTCCCTTGATGCGAAAATGAGCCTGGAGCAGTCGCTGGCCGTAAAGGAGAGCCAGCAGCTGATCTTGAAGTCGAAGTTGATCGTTGCCGAAATTCTGCAGGTATCTATCGCCCTCTCTCGCCCTCTTTCTCCCTCTCTCTCTCTCGCTCTCTCTCTGTTCTCTCTCTCTCTCTCTCTCTCTCTCTCTCTCTCTTTCAACCACTAATTTCCAGTTCATCATGGACGTCCGCCGAGACTACCGGATTACGGTAGTGCTGTCGTGGTTTAAGAAACGCTTCCCCTGCGACGAAGACGGGAATTTGCACGATAATGCTAGTCAGTTGATTTTGGATTTTTTTGTATAAATATTACCATTAACCTAATTTTTTCTAGACATTAACGAAAACGTGGCCCGAGAGCTGTGCGAGGAGATCTTCAGCACGACGGAGAACGAGTTGAATCTGGATGGAGGGGAAGGGCGGTTGATGCTCGCCATTTTGTTGCAAATGACGATGAGGTGAGAGTGGAATTTTGGTGCTTTTAAAGAGGCAGACAGTTCTTACGCTAAGAAATTGTGACAAAATTTTAGAAAATCACTTACCGGTCCCTTTAAAAAGTTTCATATCGGTTCAGATCTGGCTTGACAATACCCTGAAAAATGTCTATCGTTTTCAGTGACTACTCCCCGCTGACCAGCATAGCCCTAAAAGTGCTATTCCGGCACTTTACTCAGTACCAAGAGTTGTTGGAAGATCTGAAAACTGTCCAGCTTTTGGTATCGAATGATGACGTCCAGAATTACAAGCAAGTCAGCGGAAAATCGATCTACAAATTACAAAAATAATTTTCAGGTTGATCGTGATCTCTTCATCCTCAAAAACCTTACGGAAAAATCAGAACTTTGGGTGCACGGAGATAGAAATCACTCCGTGACGCAATCGGAGCCGGGAGAGGAGAAAAAGTAGGTTATCCTTGACTTCAAGCGAATGGCATAATTTACATAAAAGCCTTACTTTTCAAAAAGTCATATTTTTAGCACGAAAACCGCCCTAGAAGGCGTCAACCTGCACCACTCGTCGAAGGGGTTCAACAATGAGGAGTGTATGAAAAGCTTGTGTCAAATTATCGATCAGCACTATCCGGGGATTGCGACGGAGTGTGCGCAGTTGCTGAACAAGGTGGGGAAATAGCTCTCTTTCTCTCTCTCTCTCTCTCTCTCTCTCTCTCTCTCTCTCTCTCCCTCTTCCTACCTCTCGCTCTCTAGCTCGATATGTTTACTTCAAAAATCAAGTCCGAATTTAGGCAAGTATGGGAAATTGGGTAGGTGACGTCTCTGCTTCCGGTTTATCGTATTTTTGGTCTCTCTATCGCTTGGGCTCTCTCTCACTGTCACGTTCCTGCTCGCGCTTCTCGTTCTCCCGCTCTTTCTCTCTCACGCTCACTCACGCTCTGTCTCTCTCGCTCTGTCTCTCTCTCTCTTTCTCATGCTCTCACTTGCTCTCTCACCTCACTCTCTCTGTCTTTCTCTCATGCTCACCCTCTCCTTCTCATTCTCCCTCATCCTCGATTTTCAGCTCCTCCTCGGTGAAGATCGCGACGACTCCGCTCTGGCCCTCCAAGAATTGAGCGACCGAGCACCACTGATCGCCTATCCCCTAATTCGACAGGTAATATACGATTTAAGAGCGTGATCAGTGTCATTTGGCGCGTAGCATAGAGGTCTAGGCCTAGTGAGTGGGGATTGATTTGCGGGCTTCCAAGTCCCTTTAAACACGATGTTTTTCTAGATCCTGGTCCGCATCAAACAGCTCTGCTACAAGGAGTCAAAACCCGATATTATGAACCAGCAGCTGCTGCGGAATATGAGGGTCTACGAGGTCGTGCTCCAGTTCTTGAGCGTGCCGTACGACAAGGTGAGCATGGGCTTGAGAATCTGAAAATAAATAGAAGAGAAAAACCATTACAATACTAAAAATTTTTTTAGAAAAACGACTCCGAGATGCCGAAGCTCATCACGCTGTCCCACGAGTTTTTGAGGTCGTTCTGTAAGAACAATAAGGTACGGTAGCCAGTTCGAGGTTTAGAAATTCATCCAATTTTTAGGAAAACCAAAGCCGGCTTCAAAAGTACGTCTCGATCGAAAAGGACGCGAAAGAAGGGTTTTTGAGGGTTGAAACGGTAGTGGATACTGTAGAAAAAAACGCATACTTTTTCTCTTACAGATAGAGGAAGTGGCTACAGTAGTCGCCATCTACCGTAACAACCGGGAGCTTTGTCAAAATGTCTCTGAGGGCTTGATAGCGCATGTGGTTGGCTTGATTGAGAATAAGGTGAGTTGGACGAGTTCGGGCTTAGGCTTAGGCCTAGGCTTAGGCTTAGGCTTAGGGCTTATGCTTAGGCTTAGGCTTAGGCTTAGGCTTAGGCTTAGGCTTAGGCTTAGGCTTAGGCTTAAGCTTAGGCTTTGGCTTATGCTTAGGCTTAGGATTAGGCTTAGGCTTAGGCTTAGGCTTAGGCTTAGGCTTAGGCTTAGGCTTAGGCTTTAGGCTTGGGCTTAGGCTTAGGCTTAGGCTTAGGCTTAGGCTTTGGCTTAGGCTTATGCTTCTGATTGGTTCTCCTAAATTCCACGATTTTAGCAACGTAACGCCATCTACCTCGAACTGCTCCAATCCCTCGTCTGTGTCGCTGACAAGGAGATTGAGGCCAGCCAGGACAAAGTCGCCACAGAGGTGAGCTAGCAGAGATTCTTTAGGAAATTTGAATTTTGCTTTCGTAAATGATTGATACTTCGTGTTCAGACTTAGGTTTGAGCATGAGGTACTTCTATTTTTTTAGATCTGCTCTTCCTCCGACGAGGTCCGCCAGTTCTACACCGACTCATCGTCTTATGAAGAGTTGATGGTATCAATTTTTTTTACTAAAAAGTGAATAAAATGTTTTAGGAAATGATGCGCAACGCTCCTGCTTATCTGGACAACACCCACAAGCTGAAGTACCACATCGAGCTCGTCAAGTGGGTTTTGGAAATCGCTCTCTCGTTTTCTCTCTCCCTGACTTAGAGTGAGCGAGGGAGCCATGGTCGTGGGGAGATGGAGCGGGAGAAAGAAAGAGAGAGAGAGAGAGAGAGAGAGAGAGAGACAGGGAGAGAGATAGCGAGAGAAGAGAGAGCCACCCGAAATAAATTTTTAGGCTCCTAGCCCTCTGTACTCGAGGCAAAAACGGTTCAACGGAGCTGAAATGCGCCAGCGAGGTGCCGATGGACCACATCGTCAGGGTGGTCACATCGCCGGATTGTTTGATTGAGGTTCGAACAGATTGTGTGTGGAGAGAGAAAGAGAGTGAGAGAGAGAGATAGAGAGAGATGGCCAGAGAGAGATGGAGGGAGAAAGTTAGCAAATTCTAGGTAAAAACCGCCTACCTCCAATTCCTGCTCCACTGCTACATCGACACGGACGCCGAGATGAAAGACGCGTATCGACCGGAATACGTCAATGATTTGCTCAGCAATATGCATTACGATATCCAAAAGGTATATGGTATACTCGAGCTCGGTCCAATATTCATGGTATTCATTTCAGCTTCGCACCGAGACCCAGCGAACCGCCACGGCTTCTACCACCGCCTTGGAGACGTACATATGCGTGACGGTGACGGAGGTGCTGATCAAGTTTTTCGAAAAGCCGTATTCGGATCAGGCGAAGGTCGACATCATGGTTAGTTTTTGAACTGAGGAAAAATCGATAGCAAGGTAAACAAGGTTAAAAATTGCCCAATTTTGGCTACGGCGGGTTAGAAAAAAAGCATCGTATGGATTTAGAGCAATGTTTATCTTCCCGACACCTTTAAAGTAATTTTTGCTTCGTTTAACATGGATTTTTGTAGCTGTAAATTCTGAAATGTGAACCGAAGCACGGGAAAAACTATTTTTGGACTAATTTTTGGCATTTTTTGTACAGCTAATTTTTATCGCGGCTTCTACTACAGTAACCCTCAATCCCTAAAATACTAAAAGGGGTATATAGCACCTCTCCACATCAAAATAACTATACAGTACCCCTCCAACTTTTAGACAAGTATGGGAAATATTTGGGTAAGTAGCTCCACGCCACAGGCTTCCGTTTTATCCAGCTTAAAAGCCTCGCCCTTACCGAATTTTGCTGAATTTTTTGCTTTTGCATAAGATTTCCGATTTTTGTATTTTTTACAGTAATCGCGCGACATTAATTTTTTCTCAAATTTCAGCAATTCCAAAAGCTCTTCACGGCAATCCTGCAGAACCTGGGAAGTTTGCAAAACAACTGGCTTCGGAAAAACCCGAAATCCACCAAATATTGGTACCGGGTGGCCGAGTGTGTGAAGCGGTTGACGAAATGCGGTATTTGTAGAGATATTGAGCCCAATTTGCTTATTTCAGCCGAGGAGCACAATCTCACGCTCCCGCCGAATATTTCTGTGCCACCGGTGGGTTTTTTACTTTCAAAATTCTAATTTATTCAGCACCAAAAATTCCCAAATTTAGATATTTCGAAATTATTAGTATTGCGCAAATTACGTAGAAAAACCTCAAAATTGTGCTTACGTTTCAAAAATGATCGGAATTAAATGGTGAAAATTAGATGAAAATTAAGTGAAAATGTGGGATTTGAATTGGCTGAAAATTCTCTTAAATAATAGGTTCAAGTAATCCTCGGCAATTATGTTATTTAAGCAAATTCATCAAAATTACTAAAATTTTAGGCGGCCGCCGGCACCACCGCCAAGCAACGGTGGCAAAATGCAGCGAACTCGACCCGATTTTTCCGGATGAACCAGGTTTTTACGATTTTTCAGGGCTAATCGATAATTCTTGTCCCTTGTTTTCTATCCTATGTCCCCGGTGGATACCGTAGTCTACTACAGTACCCCGAAAATACCCCCAATTTAGGGCCGTCTGCGTAATAAATTGACGCCATTCAAGGTGACGAGGCCCAGATTTGAGAGCAAGAGATTGAGCGTGTAGCTTGCCAGCAACCCCTAATCCTAATTTCCATACTAACCCGCCGATTTTAAAGGGACCGGGAAGCCAAGTGCTATTAGTGGAAATTAGCTATTAGTGCGGCAATTAAGGATATTTGAAAAAAAAACTTTTTTCATCGAATTTCACGCGCTAATGGCGTATCAAAAAATCGAAAAATTCTACAAAAACGCTTTTTTTGACTTCCCGGGCCCTTTAAAACGCCTTTTCGTCCTAATTTCTAAAAACTGAGCTTTTTTTAGCAAACCCTGGCCACCGTACGCCGCCGGAATTCCTGTATTTCGAACGCGATCGGGCTGACGCCAGGCCATCCGGCCCCGATGCAAGACCGGAATGCAAATGTCGTCACGTGCTATCAGGTGGGCGCTTAATTCATTTGACGTGTTTTAAATTATGTGATTCCTATTTAAATTGATATTTCCAGATGATGATCGGCGAGTTCAAATTCTACCTCCTGCCCCTCCATGCTGCCGAGGGTAGCGTGCTGGTAGATGTTCTGCACATGCCGCAGCTGCTCTTCCCATTTGGCAGCTATTTGAGGGAGCAGTGCGCCAAAGGACGGGTTGTCAATAAGTAAGCGAGAGAGAAAGAGAGAGAGAGAGAGAGAGAGAGAGAGAGAGAGAGATAGCAATAATAAATTTCAGACTCATCCAGCACTGCAAAAAGTTGATGCAAAATAAGCAAGAACATCTGTGCACCCGGGTACTTCAGACGCTGTGCCGAATGGCGACCGCCCAGAGAAAAGATTTTAACGACCAGGTATGGATTTTTCGAGTTTTCGCGGACTGAGAAGTATGAAAATCAACCTTTTCCCTGAACTGGGTCTCGACAGTACGCGGCATTCGAAAATTCTTTAAAGTGACCGGAAAGGCAGGACCGGTATGCCTTAACCTGTGGATTTTCACATTTACAAAAACGTTAAATTCCCCACAGCCGTTCCAGATCCGAGCGCTGAGCCCAGTCGGCAAGAAAATGGTTTGTGTCTCTACCGTAACCCTCGAGTTTTTCTCGTAGCCAATTATATAGCTCCCGGCACCCCACCACCAATTTTTCTGGGCCTTCGTTTACCTCATTTTTTATTGGCGCACCTCAAACCCGGATTTTTTTGATGCATAACTTTGTAGTCTGGAGGAGAAAAATACAGAAAGTGGCTTGCGTTCCATTTTTTGAGTTTTGCTTATGCATTGGAATTTAATGAGGTTCAATTATAAGTTTTAAATTTAGGGTGAGCGGCTGCGATCAAAGTTGCTGCTCCGGTACTTCGGAGAAAGCAGCCAGCTGAAGAAGGGAGCCGGAAAGGGGGTGAAGAAGGAGCCGCAGGTTGGGGAAGAAGGTGAGCGACAGCCTGAAGCTTGGCTGGGCTTGGCTGAGGCTTGGCTTAGGTTTGGCTTAGGTTTGGCTTGGGCATGGCTTAGGTTTGGCTTGGCTTAGCTTAGGCTTTGCCTTAAATAAATTGCTCAGTTTCAGAACTGATCTCCCTCTCCGAAATTGCTCCGATCGATTCGGTGCCGGTCTACGATATCCAATGCAAATTGAACGATGCCGGAGCTTCGGGTAAGGGCGTGAGTGAGAGAGCGAGAGAGAGAGAGAGAGTGAGAGAGATAGAGAGAGAGCAGGAAAGATTTACAACACTCGGTTTCTATACAAATCTAGCACTTAAGCCTGCTGAAGCTGGTAAAAAAGTAATATGGTGTTGTGCTGAGTAAAATGCATGCGGAAATGTTGTTTGTAGTCTCGCGTATCGTCATGTAGTGTTTTTTGTATTCTAGCGTATTTAATCGGATTGAATTGTTTAGAGCTGGTAATCGACATCATCACCAGCGACCCGTCGTACGAGATTTTCCTCAAGGCAATCCAACTGGCCCGTGCGTTGTTGCACAGCGGAAACGACAAGGTAAGAATTTAAAGTTTTGGCCATTTTTTTGTTAATAAATGTGATAAAGTACATACTAAGCTTCTGAAGCAGAAACTAAAGTTTTCCAAGGTGAAAATGCCCAATTTATGGAAATTCCAGGTGCAACACTCGTTCTACATGATGCTGAAGAAGAAGAACATCCACGAACCGTTCTTCAAGGTATCTAAATGACGTCGTATTTTCGACTTGGCTGTAGATGGATTGAAATTTTTTAATTTGTTTTTAATGGATTTATTTCATTCTTTTTTCTAGGCCATTTCCGTCCGGCTTCAAGCCGCCCAGAATCGCCTGAAAAGCGACATGATGAGTTGCGCCGAGAGCAAGCCGAAGTCGAGTAAGCTGATTTATAAACTGATTTTTGCCTCTCGTTTAGGTTAAATTTCTTGGTTTTTAGGCTCTACTATTACTATTTTGTAAAGTTTTGTAAAAATAAAGAGAAGAAAAAGCGAGAGACAGATAGAGCGAGAGGGACAGAGCGAGAGACAGACGGCGAGTGAGAGAGGGAGAGAGGGAGAGCTAGAGAGAGAGAGAGAGAGAGAGAGAGAGAGAGAGAGAGAGAGAAAGGGAGGGAGCCAGAGTGAGAGCGAGAGCGTGAGAAAAAGAACGAGGGAGAGCAACATTACCCCAAAACTTCTAGGAATCTTCGAGCCCCACCGTCGTCTCTTACTTTCCATAACCCCGGAGGGGCACCTCTGTGCAAACTTTAGTGAGCCAAAAAGCACGCGATTGGCGTGCTGTGAAAATCCCAGAATTCGAATTAATTCTAAAAATTCGAGAATGCATCCTGTAACTCCAAAAACCACTAAAAAAATCAAATTTCTGCCATTAAATCCTCAACAAATATCACTAATACCGTTTTCTAGCCGCCTCGACCCAAGTCAGCCGCCGGTGTAAGTTTTCTCTTTTCTGGGATTCGAGAGAATGAGCTAAATTTGACTAGCTGGAGTGTTCAGAATATTTTTAATGTTTAAATTTCCTAAAATTTCAAATTTTTAAGCTATAAACTATTTTTGAAAACAGAAATAGAAACTAGAAAATCAAGTTTTGAGGAGGATTCAAAATTTATCCAGACTTTTGCTATTTTTTTCAATTTTAAATTTGAAATTTGGATCTTTTTTTAGTCTCCGAATCTGCTCTAAAACGTATTTCTCTATCAATAAGCGTGCTGTAGTTTTTAATAACCCACAATATACTAAAGAAAAGCTCATTTTCTCGTTTCCTGCCAACCCCCGCTTTTCCAAACCCCGATTATCGGCTTCCCCCCAGTTTTGACTTGACTTTCCGCTTTCACCCCGAAACGCTTGAGTGGTGTGTATGGCGTTCTAAAGCGGAATTTATACAATTACGAGGAGATACGGTGGAATGGAAAATATGACTTCAGATGGGCATTTCTGGTCTAATTTTCGTTATGTTAAAATTGGAAAAACATTGAAAATATAAAATTAGATGCTTAAGATCAATTAAATGATTAAACGATGAATAAATCTGTAATTTATTTTGATTGAAAATCTAGCATTATCTACCAAAAATAGATATTTTTACATTGTTTAGGATTTTTTATAAAGTTTTTAGATTGAAGAATAGTAAAAAACAGATTAGAAATTGTCTGGATTCATGAAACTGTATGCCAATGACAACCCTGATCCCATCGTAAACGCTAAAGAACCCAAAAAGATCCTACGATCCTAGCAAATTGAGATTTTTCCATTCCACCGTCTCACCTCGAGCTACCGTAACCTAACATTTATGCACGTTTTAGCGTCGGCAATCTTGACCCCGTCTGCAGATACAGCCAACAACACTGATCATCCGTTCATCTCCTTTGGGGACAGCATGACCGGAGGACACGGACGGTGAGTTTAAAGGGACACGGACGTATCGGAATTGCAATAACAGAACAAAAGCTTAATTCAAAGAATTGCTTGGAGGAGAAATATCCAAAGTTACGAAATAACATAATGAAAAAAAGAACGAAGCTACTTCTTGCAGACTATCAGTCCCCAATATACTGCACACGTAAGTTCCAAAAACTGCATCCAGCGTAAAAAACGGAATGCGTCAGTTATCATACTTTTCTATCTCTATAAGCACAATACTAACTTTTCCTTAAAAGCACGTACTGTAAAAGCATACTGTGGTTTTCAGAAATCGAATTTTCTAGGTTTTTCCTGTAATTCGGGGTCTAATGTGGTCATTCCAGATTCTCTCGTGGGTCGTCGATGTCCGGTGGGATGGAATTCGAGATGGGGAGTGTTCCGGATATTAACCCGTATCAGGATGAGGAAAGGTAAGAGACAGAGAGCAGAAAGAGAGAGAGAGAGAGAGAGAGTGAGAGTTAGAGAGAGCTAGAGAGACAGAGAGATCATCCCATTCCATACCAGACCCAAAGACGATCTCCCCAAAGAAGTTGCAATTGTCGAACCAATTCTCCGGGTCCTCCAGCTACTCTGTGAAAATCACAACAGTTTACTACAGGTATATTACAGGGCTTTGGTAGCCTACGAGCATCTTTTAGAACTTCATCCGAAAGCAGTCCGATCGAGCCAACCACAACCTAGTAGCCGAAACGCTGATGTTCTTGGATACGGTATGTAGCGAATAGTGGTCCTCCCTCTCTCTCTCTCTCTCTCTCTCTCTCTCTCTCTCTCTCTCTCTCTCTCGCACACTCCCTCTATAAATCCAGATTTTAGGTCTGCGGCTCGACAAAGGGTTCACTTGGGGTGTTTGGCGAAATTGGAGTTCATAACTTTTCGCTCATCACCCAGACGCTCAACACGTTGACCGAGTTTTGTCAAGGGCCTTGTCATGAGAATCAGGCGAGTGTTAGGCTTGGCCCAAACTTGGTTATGGGCTTATGCTAAGTAAACTATCATTTTTAGAATACGATGGCAATGCAAGAAAACGGGCTGAACATCATCATCTCGCTGGTGCTGAACGACATCAAGCCGTTGGCTGACGAGAGGATGGACTTAGCTTTGGAGATCAAGGTAAACTGTTAATTTTCTACAGAATCTTTGTGCTACAAGTACATCGCAATCGCTACAAATTACCGAAAATATCTGTTTTCCGACCACCTTGAAGTTGTTGCCTTAGCCTTGGTCATTCACCTAGCAACCGTTAATTATTTCATTTTGGTAAATTTAGAGCAACGCCTCAAAACTCCTCCTCGCCATCATGGAGTCCCGGCACGACTCTGAAAATGCTGAGCGGGTGCTGCACAACATGACCAACATGGCGGGAGGGCCGAAGCAGCTGGTAAGCAGCTAAAAACGGCCTAGAAAATTATGATTGATTTCTAGGTTCACGCTATCGCGCAGGCATTTAAAATGGCAAATTCAACCGATTTGGCTGTCGCTCAGGTTCGGAGAGACATTTTGAGTCAGGCTCCGCAAATGAACGGGCCGAGAAGCTTGTTGGCGCCTCCGGTCAAGAATGGGCAAGGTAAGTTCATTCTCTCTCTCTATCGCTCGCTCGCTCGCTCACTGTTTCTCTTTCTCTATCTCTCTCTCTCTCTCTCGCTCCCTCTCTCTCTCTCCAAACGTTAGTTTTTCAGTAAATCTGCCCGGAATCTCGGTCGACGGCTCTGGGACCATCTCCATCCTGGACGAGGAGAAGAAGCCGGAAGAAGATTTTGACGGGAAATGCCCAGAAACGACGATCGTCAACCCCAAGGAGGTCGGCCATAACATCTACATCCTGGCCCATCAACTGGCTCGGCATTCTCAGGACCTGGAGCATTGGCTGGATCCGGAAGGGGAGCATAAGAGTGAGTCTCTCCCTAGCTAACTATCTGTCGCTCTCTCTCGCTCTGTCTTTCGCTCTCTCTCCCTCGCACTGGCTAAAACATAAAATTTAGGTCCCGACACCGAAGAAGCTCTACGTTTTTACAAGAATCACACAGCGCAAATCGAGATAGTGCGGAGGGATCGTACTTTGGAGCGTGTCGTATTCCCCATACACCCGACCTGCTCGTTCTTGACGAAAGAGACGAAGCAGTCCGTTTATGAGAACACGGAACGCGATGCGCAGGTTGGTCTCTCCCAAGCTCTCTGTCTCTTTCTCTCTCTCTCTCTCTCTCGCTCTCTCTCTCTCCCTCTTTCTCTCTGTCTCTCATCTCTCTCAATTTCTCTCTCCCAGTATCTCGCCCGGTCTCTCATTTCCGCTTTTCCAGGGCTCCAAAGTCACCGAGTTCTTCGGCCACTGGGAAGACCTGTACGAGGAGATGCGGTGGCAGGAGAAGCTCCAAAAACGAATGTTCCTCTCCTGGTGCACCCAGAGGTTACGACTCTGGGGTAGACTCTGCCTGTTCTTTGCCATTCTCGTCAACTGTACAGTCGCGTTACACTTCCCGTTCACGCAAAACGATGGTGAGCTTGAGGTCGTGCTCCCTTTAGCCCCAAATTCAGAGCCCTACACCCAACCTGACACTGCCGTTCACGCGGCTGCCATTGGAAGTTGTATATTTTTGTACTTCCGGTGGGATGATCGGTGAGTTTCTTGAGAGCGAGGCTTAGGCTTAGGCCTAGCTTAAGTTAAGCTTAGGCTTAGGCCTAGGCTGGGCTGAGACTTAGCTTAGGTTTAACTTAGGCTTAGCTTAGGCTTAGCTTAGGCTTAGCTTGGGCTCAGCTTAAGTCTGGCTTGGGCTTAGGCTTAGACTTAGGCTTAGGCTTAGGCTTAGGCTTAGGCTTATGAACCTCTTCCAGATCCGCAATGGGAACCTCTTGGAGTTTTATGGTTTGCATTGCAATAGCAATGTTTTCCGTGTCGACGCTGTTGATGAACGTACTCGGGATCGTGCCGGCATTGGTGTTGATAGGCATAGCACAGGTATAAAAAAAATGCAAATTACGGAACTTGTTACATCTTTTTAGGTGTTTAACAAAGTAATCCACGTCACGGCTTTTGTATCGAATCGAGGACTGGTCGATAAGTGAGTGCAAGACGTATTAAATTTGATAAAATCATAGATTTTTGAAGCTATAGAATTAAGTTGAATTTATTCATTTTAATTTTCTGTTATAAACATTACATTTTCAGGCACTGGAAAGAACGGCTAGCGGATCAGGAATTATACTACCATCTCGTATACCTATTCCTGTGTGTAGCCGGGCTGTTATTGCATCCATTCTACTATGCTTTCCTGGTGGGTAAAGCGAGAGAGAAAGATAGAGTGAGAGAGCGAGAGGGAGAAAGCGAGAGAGAGAGAGAGAGAGAGTGCTATATCATCCATATTTAGCTCTTCGACATCGTTGCCTCGGAAGATACCTTGCAAAACGTCATCAAATCCGTGACGAAAAACTGGAAATCGATCATATTGACAGGTACGCGAGAGAAAAGAGAGCGAGAGAGAGATGGCGATAGAGAGTAAGACTTCTGATTTTTAGGACTCCTGGCTTTAATTCTCGTCTACCTATTCGCCATCTTTGGATTCTTGTTCTTCCAGAAAGGTATACTTGGCCGTTGAAGAGTTGAAAATGTCATTTTTCAAGACTTCCGGCTCGAGGTTGAGCAGCTACAACATCCAGCTATCGGCGGTCCATCAGTGATCCCACCATTTTTGCGGAAAGTCGAGGAAACTTGTCCAAAAGATGGTTGCGCGGCCGAGGAGGGAAAGGAGGACGATGATGAGGGTAAATTTTGGTGTCGTTCCTGGCTACTTGCTCTGAGCATATGCATGTTTGGGTTAGAAAGGGTAAAAATAATATAGAAATTCTGGTTATACGAACACTTTGATGAAATCCGAGGTGTTACTCCACCTTTAAACTGGATTTTAAGAAGGAGCGCGAGGTTCAGGCTTGGGAGGACGGTAGATGATAGAGAGAGGCAGAGAGAGAGGGAGAGGGAGGGAGAGAGAGAGAGGGAGAGAGAGCGAGAGCGAGAGCGAGAGAAAGAGGGAGAGGGGGAGAGGGAGAAACAGCGTGAGAGAGACAACAAGAAAAAGGAGCATGAGAAAATGAGCACCAGCGATGGAGCGGCAGATACCAGTTGCGGAAACTTTAAAATCTACTTTATTGCCTAAAATTTTAAACTATGAAGAAAATCTTCTCATTTCCAGCACGTAAAGCCCAGCTAGCCAAGCCGGATAACCCGGCCCCGCAAGGTAGTTGAAGCTCACATAGAAACTATGCACTTCTCACTCCTAAAAACTATGGCCGGCTAACATTTCTGGGGTGCTACTACGGTAGAGGCGTGCCATTTACTAAAAAACACTCGGGAATTGACCTCACTTTCAGAAGAAAAGGTGTACACCTGCGACTCGTTGCGGATGTGCATAATCACGACGTTGAACTGGGGCCTGCGGAATGGGGGTGGAATCGGAGATGTGCTGAGGAATATACACCCAAGTGTAAGTAGAGGGAGAGGGAGAGGGAGAGAGAGACAGCGAGACAGAGAGCGAGAGAGATAGAGAGCGAGAGAACGAGAGAACGGGAGAGAGAGAGTGAGAGAGAGAGAGCGAAATAGAGCCTGTTTTTAGGAATCTCTCTTCTACTGGCGTATCCTCTACGACATGTCCTTCTTCGTCGTCTGCATCGTCATCGTTTTGAACTTGATTTTTGGTAGGATTTTTCGTTTTATTGAATCAATATTATTTTTATATGAACCTGAATCAGCTTAACAAAAATGTTCGACGTAAAAAAAATCGAAATCTCATTATTAAACGTATTTTTAACATTAAATTTATTTAATTGAACGTTAAATTAAATTAAATTCTATTCGAATTCTATTTAAAAGCTTAACTGCGTTTTCAGGTGTGATCATCGATACGTTCGGTGATTTGCGTACGGAGAAAAACGAGAAAGAGGACATTTTGAAGGTATAATTAAATTTAGATTAATTTAAAGAAGCCGTGTTTCAGAACAGCTGCTTCATCTGCGGCTTAGAAAGGGGGAAGTTCGACAATCGTTCCGTTTCCTTTGAGGACCACCGCGAGAAGGAGCACAACCTCTGGCATTATTTGTACTTTATAGGTAAGTAGATTTTCGTATCTATGGGATTTTTGTGACCCCTCATTAGCGCGACAATTTTTAATATTGTAAAATTCCGAGAAGCAGATGTAAGCCTGATTTTTAGTATGGCTGAAAATCAAGGACGAGACAGAATTCACGGGCCCCGAATCGTATGTGCACGAGTGTATCATCAATCGGGATTTGGATTGGTTCCCCAGGATGCAGGCAATATCGCTGAAGGAAGAAGATCAAGGTATTTGAAGCGAGAAAGAGAGAGATAGAGAGAGAGAGAGAGAGAGAGAGAGAGAGAGCGTGAGAGGGAGGGAGAGGGGGAGAGAGTGAGAGCGAGAAAGGTAGAGAGAGACAGAAACAACGTGAAAGAGAGACGCAGACAGCCTACCAATCGTACAGGCAATGAAATTAGAAGTAATCAGGCAAAATCCGGCTTGTTTATGCAGTACCTAAATTTGAGAAACTGTTATTTTTCAAAACACAACATTTTATTAGCATTTGCTTAGAACTTCTAACCCTTTTTGGTTGTAAATTTTCCCCTTTCAGTCTCGCCGCTTGGCTGTTTCCGCCAAGGTCTGCTGAGCCAGCTTGACTGCCTAAAAAAAATAAAACCAACGCTCCCTCTACGTTTTCTGATTTTTCCAACCTGTCTAATTTCAAATACTACTCCATATTTTCAGCTATGCAAATTATCACTGAATTTAGACGCCGACCAGCCCGACCAGATGGCGTTGCGTGAAGAGCTGCGATCGCTGAACCAGAAATTGCGGGAGATGGCCGGGCAGTTTGAGGAGTTTAGACAAGTAAGCAGAACGAGCGAAGGCATTGGCTTAGGTTTAGGCTTAGGCTTAGGCTTGGCTTAGGCTTAGCTTAGGCTTAGCTTAGGCTTAGGTTTAACCTAATTCACAATTCTTTTCAGGTTGTCGATATTATGGCCAGCACCCGCGGGGCTACTCCGATGTGATCCTCTCGACGCCACTACGCTAGACTACCCATTTCAAATACCTAATTAATCCATTACGGGTCAATGCACGAACTACTACTACTTCCATTACGGTGATCCGGTTACAGTAGAATAGGATATTTTGCATTTTTGCATGCTTTCTTTCCGCCCTCCATGTCCCCCTCTTTGTCCTTTCCCTGATCTCATCCCACATTGCGCAATCGGATTCTTCGATTTTTTTTTCTTTGACAAAGTTGGTACTTAACATTCACTTACATGTTTTTAAAGGGGCTAGGAAGTCCCGGAATCGACCCCTTGAGTTGACTAGGTCTAGACAGCTACGTGCAAGCACAAAAACACAGCAATTGCCTTATTAGTACCTGATTTTTGACCACATTTGTGCGCAAACAAGCGTCATAGGACGTTTTGCGTTGCTGTCGAGGCCTAGTCCGCTTCAAAGGTAGATTTCCGTGCTTCCAAGCCCCTTTAAAAATTCACTTTCCATCCGAATATGTGATTTTTGGCTCGGTATCTGGTCCCTCAAATCGTGTATACCCAATATTTTCTCTAGGTCAACTTTTACAAATTTTATCTTATCGCTTTTTTGAATGGATTACGTTTTTCGTGCGTCGTATGGTAGCGGTCTGGAGTTTATAGAGGAATAAGAAATTTATCAAAAATAGGAAGAGTATGAGATACACCGTATTCTTCAAGATCACCGGAAATCCTTCAAAAAGGGAGAAAATCGTTATCGTCTGCGGAAGCGTCGCCCGACTTCAGCGCCGAAATCCGCACCGTAAACCGCTGAAAAGGGTAAAATGCAAATTATGAAACCGAAACAGAGGGCGAGAAAGCCAGAGAAAAGGGCCAGAGAGAGATGAGGGAGAGAGAGAGATAGAGAGAGAGAAAGGGGGAGAGAGAGAGAGAGAGAGAGAGAGAGAGAGAGAGAGGGTGAGATGGAGAGCGCAAGTGAGAGCCGGAAAACTATAGAAATGGCTGAATCTCGAGATATTTTGATATCAAGTTTCAAATATAAGTCTTCAACTCCAAAAAACATACCAAAAAATCCGGTCCCAATCATGATGACCCTTGCCAGGTAGTGTAAGAAAAATATTGGCTTCACCGAGGGCTGAAAAAACGAATAAATTTCAACAAAACAAAAGCTTGGCTCACCGCTTCCGCGTTTCCGCTCTGCACGAAAAGAAAGGAGACTGCTTCCGCAAAATTGTCGAATGTCTCCATGGTCGTACTGTAGCGCTTCTGTATCGAAATTTGCGTCAAAAATTGTAATACATACGTAGAAAGCCGGCCTAAAGACTTAAGAAAAAACGTTGAATTTTGGGGAAAGCAACCAACAGATGGCGGATTTCTTTCAATAATCCGGGCCACATTTTGAACACCCCGCGCCCTTGTTGCCCCGGGAACGGCCAGATGGGCCGGGGGCCACTTTTCATGGTGTAAACGATCAGGGACTGACAGATGCTAAGTAGACGCACTAATAGAAGTTATAAAAAATGTGACAAATTCAATTCAAGGTTTGCTATTCATCAGAGGAAGATGAACGAATTCTATCCAAAATCCCGATAACAAAAATCGCGACGTCTAAAATCCCGAGATGCCAAAAAACCCGATATATTCTTGACGCGAGATTGGATGCCATAACCGCTTAAACAGCTAATTGGCATGTCGGGATTTCGGCTATCGGCAATTTGGTTGTCGGAATTTTGGACGTCAGGATTCTGGCTGTCGGGATTCTCGCTGTCCTTATTTGATTTGTCGGGTTTCTGGTTGTCGGGATTCTGACTTTTCGGCATGTCTCGACATCGGTATTTTGGTCGGGGTGTCGGCGTTTTTTGTCGTCGCGACAGACCTTCGCGTTCCGCCTCATTCCCTTTCCGGCTACCGTATCCCACTTTAAGCCCCCGAGTCGCAGAGATCCATCCGGATTAGAAGAGATGTCTGGAATTCCGAATATTTAAATCCACGGTATTACATGCCCTAAACTCGAGTCCCAAATTCTAAGGCTTCCCGGAACGTACAAAGCGCTACTAATCCCGATCTTCCCGTTTTTCTGTTCCGTTGGACATTCACTTCTTCACGCGCTTTTTCGAACCATTCAAGAGCGGTGTTTCGGAAAATTTTTGAAAAGGTGACGCGCTGTGAGTTTGAACAGCACAAAAAGTGGGACGCGACAACCGGATTTGGCTTGATTATTCGGATCGTAAGTTTATCAAAAGAAGCTGATGCTGCGTTTGCTGATGATTCAGGTAGTTCTTTTCCCCCCATTATGGTTCTTTTGCGTTATCGGGGGGACTTATGGGGGGAAAAACCTTGTCTTTAGTATCCCGATTGTCAAAAATAGATGGCGTGGACCATTTTTGCCTTGTTTAAGCGCAAACCTGAAAAAATGGTTCAAAAAATATGGAATATCTCGATTTTTGTTGACCAACGTTTTTTTGGAAATTTTCCGCTTGGAATTTTCAAATATACGATTAACAACGCTAAGGAGCATAGATACCATGTCTTTCTGGACCTTTTTTGGGGAAAAAAGTTGGTTTTTTCAGGCCGTAGCCCCGTTCTTTTCGAGTACATCCCGGCCATATCGACGATTTGGGGCGGATTTCTTTGTGGATTTATTGGTATTTATACTTGATTTTTATAAGAAAAAAATTAGGTATCTCCCTCGGCGATGTGGCGATGGGGATTCCGGTTCTAATTGCTTGTTATTCACCGGCAGACGCCATTATGGTTATCTTTGGGTTTAATGTGAGTTTAATTTTTATCAAAACTAGGTCTAAGATTTTTAAAAGGACACACAAGGCAAAAAACTGGCAGGTTTCGCTATTTTAGAAATTCTCGAGATTGCAAAAATCCTAAAAACTTTACAAAATCCGGAAATTAGCGTTAAAATAAATTAGAAATTAGCAAATCTTGCGATGTGTTGATCCAGTATTCGAATTAATGGTATTTTCTTAGGCTTACCGTAGACGTATCTTCGGCCTTCTCGGCCTTCGTGAAATCCGTAATACGTCAGTAGAAGCCCAGGGGAAAGCCGATCATCAGCAACCGAATAGCTCAAAGGAGACGAAGATCAACAAATCGCTTCCAGACCAAAATCTACCCGTGTAATGTGTAAAACTGAATTTGCTACAACTGTATAAAACTTTTGGTTGAAAATTGTGTAATTTTTGGATGCAATATCCCTGTTTTGATGATTCCGCACTTTCCTTTCGAATACGATAAATTCTGACGTTGCGAAAGTCTCCTTTTTTGCCTAGGAAATTTGCAGCAAAACATTGGACTACGGTATCCCCAGGGGACCGACCCCAGGTAGGTAAGTGGAATTACTAACAACAGAATTTAGGGGCTCATCGTTGAGGTTTCACGGAAATACGGCCCTTGTTCCAAAGCACTTTCAAATTACAGGATAGCATGAAGGGCTGATGCGGCTGGCATTTCGGGTTTTGATGTACCAGTGGCCTGGTCGATTCCTGTAGACATTTCTTGTGATTGGTGCTTTTGCTGAATTTCCGTATTGTTTTGGACGAAATCGGAGAGAAAACGCACCCTTTTTCTCGCTCTCTTGCTCTCTCTCTCGCTCTCTCACTCTCTCCGTCTCTCTCTCCCTTTCTCTCTCTCTCTCTCTCTCTCTCTCTCTCTCTCTCTCTCTCTCGCTGCTCCGGAACTAATTTTTTAGCTTTCCAATGGACTCTCGCTTGCAAACGAAATGCGTATATTTGATCGGGGGCGCCGGGATTCTGCTAAATTTTCTACTTCTGCATCTGATTACGACCGATAAAGCGGTGGGTTACGGTAGTGACGACGTATATTTTTTTAAATATGCAACTGATAATTTTGTAGTAGCGGTTTTGCAAATTTGTCCCAACTAGCCCGACTACGAAATCCAACAAAAATTCCGCCGAAAAACAAAAGTTTCTTGCAGAAATTCGAAGACGGCTACCGTAAAATGCTACTTATCACCACAGTATACAACATCTATTACTCGCTCGTCAGCAGTATTACCGATATTGTAGCTTGGGATTTTTAGTCTTTCATCGCGATTTTAGGCTTTCCACATGGACGAGTACGGCTACTTTATATTCAGCAAAAACTTGTGGAGCCTTGGGTATTGGCCGGCGCAGATTGGGGGTTTGGTAAGGAGAGGCTTACCAGGAGTCGTTTTTAGGTGATATTGGAGTTTTTGAACGAGACCTAGCTGGTTCGATAGAGAAAAAAATTCTGAACAAGTTGTCGTTTTCCAAATCTGCTAACCGTGTACGCTGTTCAATAAAAATTAATTTGAAAATCATTACTCTAACCATCATTTTCCGCCTGATCCGCAGATTCTGCGCTCTGGGTACGCGTCAACATAGTCCCGTTTAGGACTGCCTCCAGCCATGGCCAGCTGGCCTGTTGGTAGTGCGCTTGCTTCATAAGTTTTTGTCTTTTTTTGGCCAGCGGGTTCGACTCCTCGCTAGTAAAGCTCTTTTGCTTTTTGCTCGATAATGCCAAATTCGATTTTAATGGCATGAAAAACGAAAAAGCAAAACAATAAAGCACAATAAGTTCCGAACCCTGGGCATAATTTTGCAAAAGTTTGATAGGCGCCGGCATTATCCACCAGGCCACGAACTCATGCGGATGCCGGTTCGCGCTGTGGGCTATGTCCCGGGCCTGATCCATGGGACGCAGCCCGACGTCCAGGAATTTTTTCATTAAAATTAATTTTTATTGAATACAGTACACGGTTAGCAGATTTGGAAACCGACATCTTGTTCAGAATTTTTTTCCTCTATCGAACTAGCTAGGTCTCGCTCAAAAACTCCAATATCACCCAAAAACGGCTTTAAGTTATATTTAGACATATGTTCTTGCATTCATGGTATCACTCTACCTCCTCGCCGTCCACTGTTTTTATCGATACGTCAGGATCACTGGGTAATTTTTTATTTTTTATTAAACTTATTTTTAATTATAAGTTAATAAAAAATCGAATGCTTTGATCTAGAAAATTAGTTTAAGTTGCCTTAATTAAAATTTCAATGCTTAAAAACAAAAAATCCGACGTTAATTTTAGAAAATTCTCCTACGTATTTGAAAAACGCCAATATATGCTATGTGTCATCGCATCACCTATTATTTTCGCTGCCGCATATGCCGTGTGGTGTATTTACACTTTAGGGGTGAGTCGAGGAATTATTTTAATTTTGCTCCATTTAATGAAATACCTCCAAAAAATCCTGGTGGATTCAACAATTTACATTTTAGATCCTGAGTCAGCACCTGCATTTGTCTGGAATTTTTTTGCTATTGAATTGAATTAGAAATCCTTTTTTAGCCAACACAAGCTCGAAACAACATCACTCGCGGCTATATGCTGTCTACGTACAATATTACGATCGACGATTTGGCGTATATTGGCGGCACTTACAAGGTAGGGCTATAATTTTTTTAGTTTTTCTCTTTCTAACCTAAATTTTAGCTGCCTTTGAAAAGTTAATCCCATTGAATCTGTTTAAATTTAAGCTGGAACTGGTGGAATTTAATTCCTTTATTGATGGTTCTGTTTTTGTCAGCCAGTTCAGCGCTGGTTTTTGGTACAGCAAAGTACGATACTGTACTGTTTTCGTAGATCGTCACTGGCAAACAAAATAATTTGGGCTCGTTAACTCGCGAAAACAAGGAAATCCGCCCGAAAAATGGTAAATTCGTTCTGTCAATTCCCGAGGGTAGCTGGTTCGCGGCTTCGTCCTCTTCTAGAAATGTAAAACCGCAAAAATTTTGAAAACAAAAGCAGTTCCCAAACTCGAGAAAGCGAGAAACAGTGGTTCAAAAATTGTGGAAAAAATCGCAACAGCCAACTACATAAAAAAAATAAATCGGAAGGAAAGGAAAAAAAAAACAAAAAAACTCGGTCCCGCGATTACCATATACCTTTTTTTTCAGGCTCGTAACCCCACCACCGGCGAGATGCAGTACTTCTACAACTTGATGGCGGGCCCCTTCATCTGCACGGTGATCCAATTCGCGTTCTACTTCATCGTCTGCTACTTTGGCATGAAACTGTTCAGCTTCGTGCGCCAGGCGCTGATCAGCGACAATGCAAAGGCGCTAAATTATCAGTTACTTCGGCTATTGTTGATTCAAGCTTTGGCTCCGCTATTTTTCGAATATACCCCGGCATTTATTTCGATGTGGGGCAGTTTTCTGGCCGGGATTTTTGGTAAGTGGGGGAGAGAGAGAGAGAGAGAGAGAGAGAGAGAGAGAGAGAGAAAGAGAGCGAGAGCGAGAGAAAGAGAGCGGGAGAGGGTGAGTAAGAAAAACATAAATTTTTTAGGCTACGACATCAGCTACCTGGGCGTCTACATGCCGGTGTTGATCGCCTGCTACTCCCCCGCCGACGCCTTTATGGTCATTTTTGGGTTTACGGTACGTACTGCCATATTTTGGTTACAGATTTCCTGAAAAAGTATTTATTAAATTAAACCATTTATCAGGCTTACCGGAAGCGCATTCTCAGCTATATCGGCTTCAGAAGCGAGCGTGTCTCCACCACTGCGATTTCAAAAGAGCAAAAAGCCAGCTCGGCAGCGATGGAAATACCGAAGATTACTGTGGCCAAAGCATAAACAGCATTTTCTATCTCCTTTTCTCTCTCTCTCGCTCTCTCTCTCTCTCACTCTTCTCTCTCGCTCTCTCTCTCTCTCTCTCTCTCTCTCTCTGTACCTATAGTCCCCATTTTTCGCCCTCATTTTAAAAAATTTTACATCTTGTTGTTTTTCCGTAGTTTAATTTTTTGTCTTATGTCTTTTGATCAATAATTCATTTATTGCACGAAATATCATTAAAAATGAGCAAATTGTCATAAAAATCAAAATCGCGAAAAATGAATTCGTTTGAATAGTAAAAACGGAACTGAAAGACACAGATAATACTAGCTTTTTGGTTGGGGAGAATGAGCGAATACACGTGTGGATAAGGAGAGAAAAACGAACTGAAAGACTAGGAGTTGCAAATTGCCTTGTAGAAACTGGAAAAATGATATTCAGAAAGTTTACAAAATCGAAAAAGTTCATCCGGAAATTTCGATGGCCAATATGGCCTACAGTAATTGTAACAAAAATTAGATTGAAACAATTAAAAATGGAAAATATTGGGGTGAAAGCATTAACAATGGTTCAGCTCGGCGCACCAAAGCGCCTCAATAACTTGATGGTCAACAAACTTGGCCAACTCGTCGATTTTCTTGTCGGCCAGCTCGTAGCATTGGTCCTGGAATCGGGCCTAGGTTTTTGAGGGATTGGCAAGGAAGAACTATGGATTTTTCGTCGATTCGAAATTTAGCGATACTCAACGCTCCCGCTGGGTTTTAACTTGCTTAAAGGAATACGAGGCCTTCAAGGTGGTCAAGCGACCTATGCGTTGCGTGTCGTCGCCGCAACGCAACCGCGGTTCTTTAAGGACCACGATACTGTACGCTTCAGTTCATCACTATCTTCCGTTTTGATGCTTTTTTTAAGCAATTTTTATAACCTTTTTTCTTATAGATTTTACCTGCGGCCTTCCCTTGGTCATCTGCGCGCAGGCGTTGTTCGCAAAGGCCGTGATGTCAGACTGAGTTTTTAATTTTTCAAACTCCACAGTAAGCTTACCTTTGCCGTCACTGCGTACTGCTTCGCGTTCTCCAGCATGCGCTCACAAAACTTGCACGTCATGCGCTTGTGCTCATTCTGAAATTTGGGCTCTCTCTCAATCTCGCTCCGTCCTTCTCTCTCTCGCTCCCTCCCTCTCTCTCTCTCTCTCTCTCTCTCTCTCTGTCTCTCTCTCTATCTCTTTCTATCTTTAAGATAAAAACTCACATCCTTATTCTCATTCTTATGTCCGATCCGGTCCTTGACGAGGTGACTGTTCTCCCGCTCTCGTTCTCTCTCCCTCTCCCTCGCCCGTTCCCTCTCCATCTCTCGTTCTCTCGCTCTTTGACTCTCTCGCTCTCTCGCCCTCTCATTCTCCCTCTCTTGCTCATATGGTGGAGGCGGGGCTGGCGGGGCTTGGCGGATGCTCTGGATCGCTGGTCGCGATGGGGGAGGATCCTGGAAAAAACATGTCGCAATCGATTAGGAGTTTTTAAAGGGATGGTGACAGCAAACAGAAAATGCTGCGCATCAACGCATCAAATACAATTTGTTAAACCTACCGTCATCGTGATCGGGGTCGACCTCGGAAACTCGGGCTCCGGATCGGGCCGTTGCTCAGGTTGAGGTTGAGGTGGAGGTGGAGGTTGTGTGGTTGCGGGCGTTGGCGGCTGCGTCACGACTTCTGGAGTTGTTGGCGGGGGTGGCACGATGGCGAACGGGCTAGAATAAACTTTTAGAGGTGAGAGAGAGAGAGAGAGAGAGAGAGAGAGAATGAGTGCGAGAGAGAGCGAGCGAGAGAGCGCGAGAGAGAGAGGGAGAGAGAGAGAACTACCTACCTGCTCTCATCGCACAAATTCAACGTCACGCAAACGTTCTTCGAGGAAAAGTCGTAATTCAGGGAAAAATATATTTCCGGAAGTGACCTATCGACGAAGGTGAAGCATTGCTCCTGAAAGAGGCTACGGTCTTTCGACTATTTTTTTTCCATCGCCAACTATAATTTGAAGCTTCTGCACCAAATCCCAAGCTTCCAAACATTTCTCTAATTACTACACTATCGCTAGACCAAGGTTTAGTATCCCTAGCATGCAGGAGAAATGTTTTTAAGCGGAAATCCCGGGTTTCTGAGACACACCCGGAGAACCTGGGGGAGCACGCGGCACTTCTCATAGAGGACGTTGCGGAGTTGATTTTGGGATAAGCCGACTCGGTGTTTTGTCACTGACAAAAGCTGGGTGCACAGAAAACATCCGAGATTCGAGCCTGAATTTCTTGGAGGCGTGGGACGAGGTCTAAAATGACGTGATTAAGAATGATCGTTTCTCTCTCTCTCTCTTTCTCTCTCTCTCTCTCACTCGCTCTCTCGCGCGCTGGCTCTCACCGTTCAAAAACACTATTGATGCCAGTATCGTCATTATTAATATTCGTCCACCTATCGTAGCTGAGGTAGCCGGCCGAGATTGAGGCGACGAGGGCGGTGGCTGAAAAATTCGTTATTTAAATCGTCTCAAAAACAACAATTTTTATGACAATTTCTAAACTGGTTTTTATGGTTACTTACTTAACAACAAAAAATTCTTAATAAAAATAAAAAATATCGACTTTTCCACCAAATTTGGTCAGTTTCCGAGCAAAAATGTCAGGTTTCTAGCTAGCTTTTCACTTGAAATCTACTAAAAATGCTGTTAAAGAGCTATCTCGTGATTTACTGAATTGACAGATATTTCTGGACTGATAGGAAAAAATTGGATCTCGCCCCCGATAATGCAAAAGCACCTAAACTTTAATAATTCTACACTATTTATCGAAACGGAGCCCACGAATCTAAGCCGACCAATTTCGGCTACGTTCCAAAACTATACTCTAGACGGTTCGATCCCTTTTGTGCCCCCAAAGAATTGAATGTCTCCTCAGTCTCTCTGTCCACTCGCTGCTGCCCGTTGTGAGCAAATGGGAACACTTCCGTTTGCCCCCTATTCGCAACGATCCCCCCCCATTCATCTGCGGATCCTCGAGAAAACGAGACGTTTACAAAAGGCGCCCCGCTATGGCCTCGAAACATACACACCACTATGCAATTTCTGGGCAAACAAACTGCAGCCCCCACAATGGAGGGTCAAAAGATGTGATTGATTCACTGGATGGCGAAAACCTAGAGAAATTTGATGGTTTATAGCGCGCTAGATCAGCTCTAATGATCTAAAATCCAAAAAGCAAAAAATTTCCCTGATCTACACCCAAAAAGCAAAAACATTCCAACCAACCGGATTCGAACCAGTGACCTAAGGATAGCTGCTGACTCTACAGTCCTCCGCTCTACCAACTGAGCTATGGTTGGGTCCGGAGGGGGCGACGGGAGGGGGCTCATGAGAGGAGGGGACGCAATCGGCGGCAGGCGGGGTGTGATATTGGCATGTTGGCGGGATGGGGGGTGAAATTTGACTTGTCGGGCCGATTTCTCGGAAGCATCATTTTGATTCAAATCTGATTTAATTAATCTAAATAATCCATAAAAAGACAATTTTATAAATTTACAAAGGTTTTTATCCAGCTATTTTGTTAAAATTGTAAGCTTACATTTGTAAAAAGAATTTTAGTTTTTTGCGGAATTTTCTGTAAAATCAATGTAATTTTTGATGGTTTTCTCTTTTCTGCAGTCACTTATCTAGATTTTTTTGCTTTCTTATCTTATTATTCTAAAGATTAAATTTTCTGGACTAACTTTTCATCGTTTTCTTAACGCTTCACCTACTCACCGAGCCTTTTTTGCATAGATACGTGAAATCTGGGTCAAAACGGCTTCAATAGCCCCCTGGAAAAAGTTTTGAAGAACCCTTTTCTCTTTCACAGACCACTTCCGAGACCACTTTGCAACCGTTTAGTAGTTTTTCGGGGTCTTTGACGTCTGGGTCAGCCGTCTAGTGGAAGGTTTCGGAAATTCAAGGCTTCAGGTAACCGGGTTTATTAAATTAGAAGCGTTAATACAATGATAGCAGTTTTAAAGGACCATTGAAGCCTTCAGCTAATCCATAAAAATACGAAAAACTCACCGAAACAAAACCGCAACTCTTCCCGCATTGTTGTGGTGCACTCTGGTGATGGGCTAGTAAAATCCCCCAAGTCGAGCGCTTTTCTGAAATTATATTAACTAGTTTTAAGGTATATTTTCATTGAATAAACACGAACTAAAATTGAAATGCGGAATATAATGGAAAATTGCAGGAAAAAAAATCAAAAAAATAACTTAAAATATTAGTTTCACGAAAAATTTTTCTGAAATTTACAGTGGTTACAAAAATAACTAAAAAAATTCTTACAGTGATCAAAAACAGGGTAAACTTTAAAAAACTGTAGGCACCGTATGGTTGAAAAAAATTTCGTTTTTACCCTGAAGATAATATTGATTTCTGAATACAAATTAAATCTGGAAAAAAACAATATAGCAGCTATAAGCCGCTACAAAAAATCTTAGAAAATACTGTGTTTACGCTACCGTACATAAAAATTTTTAGTAGAGGACTGAAAGTAAGTTTTTAAAATACCTTAAGTACAGTACACCACCGTACAAGATCACCTCCCTGATCGACTCCAGAAACCCCCAAACCACTACTCGAAGCCGTAAAGGGGATAAAACGGAACGGCCCGGATCGGGGAGGGGTTCCCCGAATCCAGCCAGCCCCCCAAGGGGTCACGCCTCCCTACTGTCGAGTCCAAATCCACTCGACACCCCCAGTGGGGGCCCCCGTACAGTTTCGGAATCCACTCGAGAATGGCTTTGTGGCCCTCCCTGATAAGGAGCCCTCAAAAGATCCCGAATCCGAGCCATCGACCCCGCAGATTCGCACGTCTCGAGGGCCCTAGGGGGCGGATTTGGGCTACCGGATTGAGTAGCTCGGGCTTCTGGGCTTTTCGATGACTTTGGGGGGCCTTGGGGATCTGGCCAGGGTTGCGCAACTCGGTAGATTCATATTTGGAGTGGCAGGAGTGGGGGTAGGGAGAGGCTTATTGATAGGATAGGCAAATATAGGTGGGTACAACGATAGTTGGGGGAGGTGGTGACCTAAGAATTTGGATATATTGAGTTTTCTAGCGGCTTACTGAAGCTAGAAAAATCGCTGAATACGTTTTTAATTTGCTGCTTCCAGATTTAAATATAAAGAAAACTAATTGAATTTTAAGGCAAAAAATTTCGGAAAAAAGGCAGCATCAGTTTTTTTGACCATAGGTGAGTTTAAAGGCGCCGGGAAACACAAAAATCAACGCCTGGCCGCCTCTAGACCTCGAAAACTACGCAACTATCCTAACTACATGTGCTAGAGAGAGAGAAAAAGAGAGAGAGAGAGAGAGAGAGCGAGAGAGAGAGGGAGAGAGAGAGAGAGAGTGAGTGAGAGAGAGAGAGGGAGGGAGAGAGAGAGAAACCGATAGTTGATTTTGGCAATACATCCTATTTTAGGGCCACCGAATTGAGCACGACGTTATTTAGAGCCTCATCTCAATATAGAGAGTCAGTCCACGAGAAGAGTTTGTTTCCGGACCTCTCACTCCCTTTAAAAATTTTTAAAGATTTGTGATCGTAAATAAGCTCAGTTTAAGAGACAATACCAACACATATCTTAATTTAGGGTCATTCCATTGAAATTCGAGAATTCCAGGACCCAAAACCGTTGAAATAGACACCAAATAGGGCGCGAATCCCGGGAATGTCGAGGGTAGCGAATTCACAAAGAAATCCCGAGCCGTGCCCCCCACAATGCGCGTCTTGGATTTCCACCCGCCCGGCCGGCAAGTGTGCTGTGTTGTGTTGCGGAATCCCGCAAGGCTGGTGGGTGTGTGGGAATTTTTTTGGGTGGAGATTGAGAACCCCCAGGTTCCCAGAATTCAAAAAGAGATAAATTAGGCTTGGGAAATTAATCGAGATAGGGAGAGAGCGAGCGAGAGCGAGAGAGAGACAGAGATAGGGAGAGAGCGGGAGAGAGACCGAGTGAGAGAGAAAGAAAGATAGACAGAGCGAGAGATAGCGAGAAAGAGAGAGACAGAGAGAGAACGAATAGAGCAAAACGCGAAGCATAGCCCGAATAAGTCCGTTCAATCTTCTTCTAGCAAATCGTGCTCCCCTAGATGGAGGTGTCCGATTGTAAACCAAATCCCCGAAAGCGAGAGAAAGCAGAGGAGCGAAACCACTAAAAAGTGACCCGCCCAGAGAAGGAAGATGGATTCGGCTGGGCGAGATTGGCGAGCCGATCGAGGGCTGTGGCTGGGCTTAGACTTAGGCTTAGATTTGGGTTAGGCTTACAACAACATCCGAATTGTGACAAGCTCGAGCATGTCGAGCCGCTTAGGGGATTCGACCGGCCGGAAGACTGGGATGCAAATGGATTGAAACTTGTTCCCCCCGACTGTGCTTGCAGAGGGCGTCTATAAGAAAGAGATGTTGTCCTCCTCCTCCTCCTTCTCCATCTCATGCTCCTTCTCATCCTCCTTCTCTGGCTTCGATATATAGGCATCCATCGAAAACTCCCTAGTGCTGCCAGCCACATGTCATGCACACGACCAAGTGATACACGCGTGCAATAACAAGCTGAAAACGGGGGGAGGGGGGTTCGGAAAGTTCAATGAGTTTTTAAAGGGAAAGTGAAGGCTAGGATTGCAGGGACGGCCTTTCCCGAGAAAAGCTATGTGTTGGAAACGACGGTGAGGCTGTTGACCAGCATTTTCGACAAGTTGCAGTGTCTCAAAAGGACGGTTGTCGATCAAATGACCGAATTAGCTTCATTTGACGCCTCCGAACTTGCCAATCTTGCCCTGAAACACTCGAATTGCCCTCATCAGTCCCGACACTTTTCTGCCCCGTTTTTTAGCTGCCTGGTTGCCGTCAGCAACCCACCTCATCTTATCTCTACGCAGAAAAAGCGGATTTTTCAAAAATCAGCCTCAACACGCCGGGTCCAAAGGTCCAACCGCGCTAATTATCAGAGGCCAGAGTCGGTCTTTAGCGCTTTCTCGTTCTCTCTCTCTCGCTCTCCCTTTCTCTCTCTCACCAACTTTTTTTTTTGAGCCACAGTGATGATTAGCCAAGTGTGTATCACGATTTCCCGCAGCTGAATCCGATCCAAAAAACCAGCGAGGTCAAGTTCCGCTTTTTCCGCACGCTGCAATTCTTTTTTCTGATTTTTTTTGAGTGGCCGGATTAGGGGGACACCCCCTAATCTCCCGGGAGATGGGGCCATGTGGGGGGGCAGCCAGTCTGATTTTTTCGTTCCCACTTCACCTGATAACTTTTCCAGAATGTTCTCACGCCGTTTTTCCAAACGCTCATACGTTTTGAGTATTTCGAATTTTTCTGCATTTAAGCTGATTCCACATGCGTTCGCAGAAAAAAAACCCTAAAAAAATTTTTAATTAAAAAATGAAAATCGGTAATCGATTGAAGTTAAAAAATTTTGTGCCTGGAAGCGCGTTTTTCAAGCAAAAAAAATGTACATCCTACTATATATAAAAAAATAGTGTTTGTGTGTGTGTGTGTGTGTGTGCCACTTTGCATCCACTTCCGTCTGTCTGTCCGGAGGATATCTCGATAGGGGAGGAATTTTAAGGTATGTATGATACGTCATTAGGTGCGCAATGCCCTGGAGATGACTGCACGTATACGAGATTCAACAAAATCACGTATTTTCGACATTAAATTTAAGTTTTTGTGAAAACTTCTTTGTTAGGCATAATTAGCATTGACCGGAAGCGGGGATGCGACTACATAAGGGGCAGGAGAGGCTGTTTTTCATTTTTTTGTTATCTAAATTTAGGAAAATTATGCAAAGTGAAGGATAAAATGGGGTCAGACGGGGCCAGGGTTGAAAAGTCGCGAAGCGGCTTTTCAACCCTGGTTAGCTAAATAAATTTGCATGCAATTTTATGTCAATTTTTGGCACATTATTAGTGTTTTGGAATTTTTAAGGGGTTTTCGCATTTTCTAGAGTTAAGGAAAACGCCTATTTTTATAACTGGCTGAATTGAAAGTACTTTTTGTAATAAAATTTTAGATACAGATATCAACCTATATTTTCCATTAATGTCTCAGATTCAAAAACCGCGTCTTCGAAAATCCACTTGCCCGCGGGGCGGTACTTCTAAAACCCTATGTCGGTGACACCTGCCCGCGTTTCCCGGGCCAAATTCACCCCTCACTAATGGATCTGCCCGCCCAGGTGACCGGAAGCTACGAATAGCAACAATTTCCGGGTATTTTAGCGCGTTTTAGCAAGACATCGGATCGGTTTCTGGGTTTATAGGCCGATTTTAACTTCAATGAGCTGCCGCCGATTTTTTAAATCCTCGTTTATTCGCTTTTGAATTGATTTACAAGGTTTTAGCTAATTTTCTGGCTCAGTAGGAACGTTTTTTTCTTTATTCGAGCTTTATAGATACCTATTTTATTTTTTTTTAGCGAATTTTATTCATAGATTTCCAAGTTCCACATTTTTTTGAACCAAAGGACCATTTTTCTTTCTTTTTCATCTGTCCAGGACAGTTTTTCCAGCACACAATTTCCGGGAAATCGGCCAGGGTGGTCTGGGGAATTTGGCGCTTACCCAGGCTTATGCAAATTTCGGGATCAGGGTGCTTTAAAAGGGAGGTGAGCTTTGGTGTGGTCAGAAAATTCCGATAGGTTTTATTTCGCTACAGTGCTTTCGAAATTACTAGCTGTAGTTTTACTAAATTATTTATTTACTAAATTTTAAGCTTTTTAAATTGCAGATTACTGTTTTAGAAAATATTGGTTTCTTGTTTTTATATTAAAAAAAAAACAATTTAAAGAGAAATCAAAATAGAAAAATTTAATTTCGAATTTTTCGAAAAACTTTGTTCACTTCGGGATTTTAAAATTTGCATCTGAATTTTTACTTTTTAATCATAAACCAAAAAGCGTAAAATTACCTAAAAAAATTCTGAACCGCACAGAAACTATTAACTTGCCGCACGCCATATTTACCGAACGGCTTGGCCCCGGGCCAACGAAACCAATTTTCTTCCCTCACAGCTGCTCCTCCTCCCGGTTTTCTTTCTGCGACTCATTCGGCTTGCCTTCTATTTGCGCTGATGGTTCGTATATTTTTTTATCTATTGACCCCGGTCACGCTGGTCTCCTCGACAAGACCATGGCCCCAAAAATTTTCTTATCATTCCGCACTTGGCTACCGGATTTTTTGATTTATTGCTAGCTAACGTTGATCTCTGGAATTTTGAAAATGTCGCTTTCGCGTCTCTCTCTCTCTCTCTCTCTCTCTCTCTCTCTCTCTCTATGCTTCTCTTTGTCTCTCTCACACTCTCTTTCTCTCTCTTTCTCTGGCTGTGCCTCTTGATGGTTTTCAAATGCAAATTCCGAATTTTCAGATAACACCAGCGCTGAAAAATGACGATCACCACGTTCAAGTAAGTACTTTTCAAAGCCGATGCTTTTTTAAATGTTGTTTATTACTTTAGAACCTTTAGGGACATAATTATAGCAATTTGGATTTTCTATAACAACGTTTTTTTCAGTCCCTCCTCATACGACGATTGCCAGCGCCTTGCTGAGCACGTTCGAAAGCTTGTCGTACTCCCGGAAGACCCGCAATATGGTACTTTTGTATCCGTTTTTATTCTTAGCTCTTGAATTTCATAGGTATCATCTGCGGAAGTGGATTTGGTCACGTAGCTGAAGCTTTGACGGAGCGCCAAGTCGTCCCGTTCGAGTTGATCCCAGGATTTCCCAAGGCTACCGGTAAGCTTATTTCGTTAGAATTGAAGCCTATATTTTTCCTGAAGCATAAGAACATGATTTAAATTTTTTCAGTCGAAGGCCATAGTGGAAATCTCGTCTTTGGCTACTTTGATGGAAAATATATCTGCTGCCAGCAGGGAAGAATTCACCCCTATGAGCATCATATGAATTTGGCATTGGTAAGTCTTTCTCTCTCTCTCTCTCTCTCTCTCTCTCTCTCTCTCTCTCTCTCACTCTCTTTCTATCTCTCTTTCTTTCTCGAGCTCTCTTTTTATCTCTCTCTCTCTCTCGCACTCTCTTTCTATCTCTCTCTCTCTCTATCTTCCTGTTTCTGTCCCGATCTTAATTTTAAAATTTAGTGCGCCACTCCGGTCCGTATTATGTATTTCCTCGGAGTGAAGACCCTCATCGCCACCAATGCTGTGGGAGCTGTTAACAAGTCGTATATCACTGGAGATTTTATGGTTTATAAGGTCAGTTAAAGATAAAAAGAGAGAGCCAGAGAGCGAGAGAGCTAGAGAGAGAGAGAGAGAGAGAGAGAGAGAGAGAGAGAGAGAGAGATTAATGTCTTTTCCAGGACCACATCTTCATGCCCGGAATGGTGGGCTTCTCGCCACTTATCGGCTCCTATGACAAGCGATGGGGAGCTCGATTCGTGCCCTCAGCCGGAGTGTACGACCCGAACTTGAGGTAGGTTAAGAGAGAGGGAGAGAGGGAGAGAGCGAGAGAGAGAGAGAACCACACCTTTAGGGAGCAAATGGTGAAGCTCGGAGTTGCACATGGCTACCGAGTCCACGAGGGCATCTACGCTATGCTGGGTGGCCCACAATATGAGTCTACCGCCGAGATTGACTACTTGAGATTAATTGGAGCAGATATTGTTGGTAAGTCTGGTGTAATTTAGGGTTGAACGTAGCCGTAGTCACCCCGTTAAAGTCTCTGGAAAGTGTGAAAATCGATGTCTTCTCTCTACTAGATCTCGACAGCTACGCGAGACGTCCAATGACGCGCGCGCTCGGAGCTATATTTTAACCCGAAAAAGACGTTACTCGGGCTCTAAACATCAGATTGAATCTGTAACATGGAGCATCGCGTAGCTGTCCAGACCTAGTCGCGGACAGGGGTCTATTTTTAAGCGTTCTGGGCCCTTTAAAATAGGTTCATTTCAGGCATGTCGGTCTCACATGAAGCCCTCGTTGGCCACCAGATGGGAATTCGAGTGTTGGCTATGGCGTTGATCACCAATGAGTAAGTTTTATTATGAATTGACAACTCAAAAACCAAAAGCCTTAAATTTTAAAATTGTTTTTATTTTTTAACAATTATGCGCAGATATTTAAAAGCTAGAAAATACGCTAAATTAAAGCTACATATTTTAGATTCCTGGTGTCTTGATAAAAATGTTAATCATTATAAAAAAATAAGTATAAAAAATCAAAGACAACCCTTGGCATTAAAATGAGATAAAATGGACAATTTTAAAATGTTTTCAACAAAATTTTTAAGATTTTTAGGAAAAACTACAAAAAAAAAGTTAAAAGCAACCTTGAGTTATTGATAGCTGGTCATAATCAAAGTTAATAAATTCAAGTAATCGATTTAATAGACTTGGAAAAAATTCCGAATTAAATTTTGGGCTAATTTATGGCTTCTTCAAAATTCTTACCTTTTTTTCCGCCAGGCTACTTTCTACTTTCCTTCACAAAAGCAATTTTTCATTTTTGGGCGTTTTGCCTGGGGCACGTTTTAGCTTTTGTCACCTAGCCATTCAACTTTTGTCCTTTTTCGGGGGCCCCTGCTAGTTCACTCGTAATTGTTCAGAGAAATGCCGTGAAGTTGCGCCATTTTGGCAGCTTTCTATCCGATTCAAAAGCCGCCCAACTTCCGGCAATTTTCGCTGCTTTTAGCCAGGCTAATGGGCATAGCCTGGGGAAAACGTTTCGCGCAAAATATTTGCTTCCGCCTGGCAATTCGGGAAAATACACGAATTTTAGTAGTTCCCGCTTTAGGAATTTTTTGGAATTTCTTGGATACCGTAGCTGTAGGGGACGATTTTTGACCATATCTTTGAATATTTTTAGTTTTCGAATTTGCTGGAACCTCAAACTCTTGATTTTCCGCTCCTAAACTTTCTAAAAAATTGCATTTTTCGGCTACCATAACCCCAAATTTTTATTTTTTACAGTACCGGAACTCCAAACATACCATTCTTTGTCTTCTCTTTCTTTTTTAACTTAAAATACGCAAAAATTACGCCTGCAACTTGTCTAAAAAATAGGTTAGCGTTAAAAACAGCTAAAAACTTAAATAACTAACTTTTAAAAAATCATGAAGGAGGTAAAGTTAGCTCAAACCGGTGCATTAGCTAAAATTTAAGACTAATAAAATTTAAAAGACATTAAAAACGAAAGACAATTAAATAATAACGAAAAATGACAAAAAATGGCAGAAATGATCCACCCTTTTAACCACCTTTTAGCCTTCACGATGCCGAAAAATGCGGGGCTAACCTGAAATCTGAGGATGTTTTGGAAGCGGCTGACGAGGCGGCCACTCGGGCGAGGAGCCTAATTCTTGGCCTCATTTCTCAAAGCTAAATGAAACAGTTTAAGCCCTAACGTAACCATACCCTACTAACAAATCGAATTTGAATTATTGCTCTGTGATTTTTCTTGATTTTCCTTGATTTTGTGCATTTTCCACATCAACATTACTTTTTTACCTTATTACCACTTTTTCTATTAGGTGCCGATAGTAAAAATGTATTCGGGCCAGCAAAATCCCTTAATAAACTATTTTTCATGTTTTTCTAAAGTTTTTTTTGCAAAATTATAAAAATCCACGCGCCTAGGGACCCCGGGGAAAGCAGCCACTTTTGTTCACGCGCGCGGAAAATGGAGAGCTGGACTTGCTTCAGAAGGCTCTTGGATGGCAGTGGTTAGATTTATACGGGCTTGTAGCGATTAAGGGACGTCATCTTCAGCAAGTTCAACAGTAATCGAAAAACTGGCGCTAGGGCATATGCTAACCAAGCTGGAAAAAGCCGAAACAGTTCTCCATCTAATGGATCTCGACAGCTACGTTACGCTAAATTGGTCTTTGATACGGTCGATTTCATGCTCCCCAAGCTGCTTTTAAAATAGCCAAATCTGAGCTATTTTCCGCTCAGACAACGAAAATAACAAATTTTACGATCCTCACAACACATCTGGCAGGCATTTTGAGTGATTTAATGAGTTTTTGACGCTTGCTGGATTTTTATAGCTCGCACGGGAGCCAGAAACCAAAACTGCGCCTCCACGACATGAGGCCGACCGAAATGAGGCCGATCAAAAACTCGGATTTTAGCTGGAGGAGCATGAGCTTTGGAAACAAGCAGTGCAATGCTTTTCGTTTTTTAAGCACTTTTTGCCTTTTTTATTCCGAACCGAATCGAGCGCCTGGAAAAAATTAGCACCACTTTGCCCTTACTAAATCCCACCGTTTCTAAAGATCACCGGCCTTTGGATGGCTTTACACTTTTGACCCCTGGCCCCTGGGCCTCTCTCTCTCTCTCCTTGGAGGCCTGTGTGAACATTTGGCCTTTTCAGCCGCCGGGATCAAGGACCCATCAAAGCCTAGATACCTCCCCCCTCGTGGCCTGTCATTAGGACGCTTTCGTTGACTTCATTTTGTGTCTACCCTGACCCTTCCCTAAATCAAATCAAAGGGCTTCATTCGTGAGTTTTTTGTACAGTAAATACCATAAAACTACTGTAAATGTGGGATTCAACGAATTTCGATATTTTTAGGCCGTTATATTGTTTTTGTAAAAATGGGAATTAGTTGAATTTCTAAGTTACAGTATTAAATGGACCGTAACTAGTATTGTCTGTGCTGTAACGCCTTAAAAAAGCCGAAGTTAAACCGTAATTTCCCCTTTATTAAATGTCAAGGATTTTTGAATATTCTCTAACATTTTTCCCGTATCTAAAAAATGCAAAAAATCGTAAACATCTTCTCTTTCCAGATTTTGTCCTTTTCAGCCACAATTCCCGGCCAATACCACACCTGCACTATGTCCTTCACGGAAACGCGTGAGTATCTTTAACGTCGAATAAATAGCGCTGCATCATGCCTTAAAGTGTTTTTTAAACTTTTTGTGCTAAACAATAACGCTTTATTTAGAAGCCCGCTCAAAACTTGAGGATGCCGTCAACGACTACATCAAGAAGCTGAACAATGGAGAGTGGGAGGTGAGGGAGAGCGAGAGAGACAGAGAGAAAGAGACGGAGAGAGAGAGAGAGAGAAGAGAGAGAGAGAGAGAGAGAGAGAGAGAGAGAGAAAGATGACCAAGTCTCTTCAGGCCCTCGAAGAGTTCTACCACCCCCAGGGGGTCATGATCGAGACGGGCAAGAGCTGCCTCTGGGGCAGGAAAGGTATGATTTTTAGAAAACTGACTGCGGTACGCCAAATACCGTATTTTCCAAAAAAAAACAACAAAATGTAAATTTTTAGACATCGGCAAGTCGTTGATGAACATGGCCACCGAGTGCGGCAAGACCACGATGACGGTAAGGCTCTTGAGACGGTTTTTTGGAATTAGTGAAAATCTTATTGGCATATTAATGATTGCAAAGACAGACGTAGGTTCCGGGCGATCATGAGTGCTCGTGCTCAAGTTGAAGTACATGGTCCAAACTGCCAAAATTCAGATCAGCAACGGCCACTACGAGGGCGTCGGCAACTACGTGATTTTCGAGACCGACTTCTGCTTCCATACCGAGAAGGCGGGAGATTTGAAGGGGCATTACGTTCAGGTTAGATATATATCTCTCTCTCTCTCTCTTTCTCTCTATCCATCTCTCTCTATCCTCTCTCTCTCTCTCTCTCTCTCGTACTCCCTATTTCCAGATCTGGCGCCTCTACGTCGGCCGCTATGTCATCTACCACGACGAATATGCTCTTCTGTAAATTCTGTTCCTTCTTTCTGCATTTTCTGTACTTCTTGCCAAGTTTTTACAACTGTTCATCAACCGCATTTGTTCTCACCTATCCCAATTCTCTATAAAAAAAATCAAAAATACAAATTCCCGAGCAATAGCGGCAAATTTCCGATAATCTCGTCCAGCTCGCCGTCACTTTTCTCGTCGACTTCCAATTCTGATTGTAGTCTGAATTTTGATTTGTAGTAAATTAGTAATAAAGTGCTTTAAAAACGTTGCGTAATCGATTAAACCTACAAATGTATCCGCCAAGCCGCCTCGCATCGACATTCGAATAATAGGGTATCCTCGGTTTCCATTAGGGATTTTTCGACCGGGTTGATTTTTGAGAAGGAGCCGTTTTTCCTAAACCTAAACTTCTAAACGGGAGGGGAAGAGAGAGAGAGAGAGAGAGAGAGAGAGAGAGCGAGAGAGAGCAACAGATGCATAAATCTTGCCCTTACCAGTAATGTATCCCCAAATTTTCCATGGCATCTTGCGGCTGATGCTCCGTATTAATCCGAGAAAGCCGAAATTCCTAAAACTCAACTTTTCTACATTATCTCGCGTCTTTCTTACCGTATACGGCTGATACTTTGGCATCCCGATAACTTTTGCTTTTTTTACGAATTTCACAAAATACGGTAAATCCTCTGCGTCAGAATCAATAAGAGCGTTCGAGAATTTTGTCGTGATTACCAAAAAATCGGCGGGGTTCTGAAAATGTAAAAAATCTTGATGGGGAAATAAAATGGAAAAATATTCAAATTATAAACAAAAACCTACAATTTCTCGATTCTTCCAGAAAATATAATCCAGGTATTCGAAACGCTCTAAATCCGGAGCGAAGATGATTTCGAGGCCGAGATCGCTGGAAATTGCTTGAACTTTGAAACTAGATCTTTTAAAGACACTCAAAAAGTTATTAAAGTTCCGAAATCAATTTCCGTGTGGTTTTTCATAAAGCACAAGCGGTAGGTATCTTTAATGCGTAAACTACTCATGTTTGAAGAACATGTCGGCTGCAGTCTCCACAACGACATCATCCTGCCGGGAAAGCCAAAAATTTTCCAATTTTGTCCGGAAAGATATCTGAAATTGAAACAGCTTTTTTAGATACTTACGATCCTACCGTAGTCCTCAATTCGCAAGCAAAGATTTTCTTCAATTGGAGAGTGACTCCCAGAAAGTGAGCTGAAGCTATTTTGTGATTGTCGTAGGGATGGTGACCGAGGAAATGGATCTAAAATTCCAAATTACAGGAGAGAGAGAGAGAGAGAGAGAGATAGATAAAAAAAAATACCTTATGAACCAATCGATTCCCAGTCAATTTATTGATCCGTTTTGCCACCTTCTTCCTAAACCATTATTTGTCAGATTATCGTTGAGATCCTACGCAGCGCCTGTCCCCTTGACGGTTTGCAACACTTTCCGCATTTCATCATCAATCTGGAAGCAAAATAATTAAAACTGCAGCTTCGGAACCACCTGGCTGTAGCTTGTAGCCCTCGGACCAAGCCTCTCCACTGTAGTATTCGCGAAATCAAGCAATTTCCTGAAAATCTCTCGCTTCGAAATTAGCGAACGGAAAAACAAGGAGAATTTTTCTTTTTCAAACATACTTGACTGTTTCCAAGTCTTCATGTGACATTTATAAGGGTGGTTAAAACCAGTTTAGTATATACGCTTTTTAGCAATTTAATCGAATTCTCAGAAATAGCTAATTCATTTAATTAGTTGTGGAGTTCGGAATGTTGTGCCTCGATCGAGTTTTTGTTTTCCGGCCGCTGCATTCAGTCAACGGCCATCTGCGCAAATAATGAAAGCTCGGTTGGCGGAAATTTGAAAAAAGTTGGAGCAAGTGAAACTAATCATTAATATTACTTAGAATAAAGGTAATTTAGTGAAAAATAAATTCTTTAAGATAGAAAAAAATTGGAAACAAATAAATTTAGCATGGCTCTGCATCCGGCACCCCTGGTCCAAAATTTCCAAATTTTGACTTTGCAATTAGCATGCAAAAGCTTGCCTCAAATTTGAATTCCGGAAGGCAAAAAATCACACTACTGCTCGAAAACCTGCAGCCCACTTTTCCATTTAAAAACGTCTCGCCCAGCCCGCCCGACCAGCCATGGTCAAATTTCCTTCGTTGGCCTCGATGTAAATTTCTTGGTTTTATGCAAATTTTTGGCGTCTAACCTCGTGCTCACTTACATACTCCATTTCCAGGAAGGCCGGAGGAGGAGGAGGAGGGAATCCAGATGACGACGAGGAGGGCGGTGGATTCGGGTTGAATCCGGAGGGATCGGCCAGGTCGAAGAAGCCCGGCTCGGGGCCGACGCTCATCATCTGCATCGTCGGGCTGCAATTTTATGTAAGCGAGAGGGAGGCGAGAGAACGCGAGAGAGAGAGAGTGAAAGAGAGAGAGAGAGGGAGAGAGAGTTGTTCTCTCCAGGTAGCCCTGTCCATCTTCGTGTTCGCCGTCGTCGGGGTGGCGGTAGGTGCAGAGTGTACTCCGGTGCTGCTGCTCGCCCTTGTCCAGGCCCTCATCGCGCTGCCCGGCCTCGTCTACATCTTCCAGCGTGTGCCCAGTACGTTAGTTTACGAGATTCCGCTCAAAATAGGCTTCGACGTAGGCTTATGCTTTAGCTCATTCTCGGATGGATGCTTGAACTCCGATTAGGCGCGGCTTACGATGCGCTTTCAGAGCTCAAGCACCTCTACACGATGCTTCAACTGATGGCCGGCATCTGCGAGTTCATCTGGATCTTCTTGGCCAAGGAATTCTCTGAGGGCCACTACTCCCTCAAAGCCGCCGCCCTCATCGTGCTCACCATCGTCCAGGTGAGCATGGGATTAGGCCTGGGCTTAGCTTAGGCTTAGGCTTAGGCTTAGGCTTAGGCTTAGGCTTAAGCTTAGGCCTAGCTTCAAACGCTTCAAGTTTCAGATGCTCGCCGTCCTGATCTCCGCCTTCGTCCCTTTCAAGAAGGTCGGCGTGCTGCAGTCGAAGAAGAGCAAGGCTCGGGCCGAGATCTCGCACAGCCACCTCAAGACGATGCCCACGTTCGGAGGTGGGCTTATGTAATGCAAAATGCAAAATGCGTAATGCAAAAGAAACAGAAAAATTTATAGAAGCCGGCGCGTCACTGGCCGAACGGGGAGGCGCCAAAAAATCGGGCGCCCCCGAGGTCAAGTTCGGCTCCGGGCCGCCGATGACGCTGCCGACGACCACGTTTGGGTACGGTAGTTAGGGCGCCTTTTAGCTTTTCTGATTTTAGAAAGGATTCGAAGGCGGGAGGTGGGCCGCCGATGGCCTCGGGCGGACCCCCGATGGCGATGCCCGGGCTGGCGCAGCCGCTGAAGAAGTCCGCCTCGGCGTCGGCTGTCGTCCCCATGGGGTTCGTGGAGCATCGGATGCTCATTCTGAAAATTTATTTTGAACTGCTTAGAGTCGTTCGGCATCATAAATCCAAAGGCGAAGCTTTGGACTCAAAAAGACTTGTGGAACGAATCCAAGCCGTTCAAGTTACTGTCATGGTTCGGAAATCGTTGAACTTGTTGACGACGTTGTCAAAGACTTCACTTGGCGCTGACGTCATTGACTTGTCCTGAACTCGCTGAACTCGTTCCCAGCCTCCTAGCTCGCTGACCACGCAGAAATTGTTATTGCACTATCAAAAGACCCAATTTTTAGAACAACTTCCGGCTCGAGCGTGGCATCGTCAGGCACACAATCGGCCCCGAAGCTCCCGCAAGCTGTTGATAACAATTCTGGACGCGAACTGCTCCCCGCCCCCACACAGCCCGCCTCGGATCCCTCCTCGGAGAAGTCGAAGAAAAAGGAGAAGGTCTGTCTGTCTCTATCTCTCTCGCTATCACTTTCTCGCTCTCTCGCTCTCTCCCAAGAATACCCTTTCTAGAAACGCAGCTTCAACGACTCGAAGCGCGAGCTCGAGAAGTGTGCCAGCGAGCGCTCCAAGGTCAAGAAGGACCTGCTCGCCCGGATGAAGCTGGCCAAGGCTGGGGTAGAACGCATTGGACTACGGTATTTATGACAAATTTAGCAAGCCGCGCCCGACTCCCCGGTAGCTGCTCACACCAATGGAATCCAGTTCCCGGCCACCGATCGCCAGTGCAGCGCCACCACGCTCACGTCGATCCGCGACACGAAGACCGTGGTAGGGTAACGGGCTAAGGCTTAGGCTCAGGCTTAGGCTTAGGCTTAGGCTTCGGCTTAGGCTTAGGCTTAGGCTTAGGCTTAGGCTTAGGCTTAGGCTTAGGCTTAGGCTTAGGCTTAGGCTTAGGCTTAGGCTTAGGCTTAGGCTTAGGCTTAGGCTTAGGCTTAGGCTTAGGCTTAGGCTTAGGCTTAGGCTTAGGCTTAGGCTTAGGCTTAGGCTTAGGCTTAGGCTTAGGCTTAGGCTTAGGCTTACCTTTCCAGGCCTGCAACGAGCGCTCGGAGGCGAACCTGTTCTGCACGGCCGGCAAACCTGGCGGCACCCCGCCCGGCGGCTACGGCACGCCCAAGGCGACGCCCAGCAGCTCGAACAGCAAGCTCAGCAGCGGGTTCACCGTCTTGCCTGGCACCGTTTCGGTGATTTTTTCGTTGTTTTTTTTGCTAGGTGGGTTTGTTCTGTTAAAAAGACCATTAACAGATCAGAGAATTCGAACTTGCTGAACTTGTCGGGTCCTGAAAACCATAATCAAAAACACGAAGGAGCCGCTATTTCAGGTGTCCCCCGACCCGAAGCTGTTCGAGCTGAACCAAAAGGTAAGCCATCTACCGTGGAGCTACGCAGTAATCTGCTTCAGATCCAGGCGACGGGCGTCGCGCTGGCCCGCTCCGAGCAGGACATCGCCACAGCCTGCGCCGTGTCCAGCAGCTCGCTCAACACCTGCGTGCCGGCGCAGAACAGCGAGCTGAGTGAGTACAGCATAGAGAGAGAGAGAGAGAGAGAGAGAGAGCGAGAGAGAGAGAGATAGACAATTTTTCCAAGCCATTTCCAGACACGGCCACCACCCAACCGACGGCCTCGTCGATCTCGAAGGGCGGTCTCTTCGCCCTCGCCAAAAGCAGCTAGAAGAAGTACATATCCCGACTACGCTACGCTACGCCCTCGACACGGCTACGCAACGCTACACTCGGCCAGACCACCCTTCTGGCATTCCCCTAGCCCCGTCCCCCGCTTTTTGCTAATGTGTGCCCCGTTTTTTGATCGGCCCCATCACCCCTCTGACCTTTCTTTCGTAAACGCTTTTCGTTTCCGGGCTTGTTTTTGTGAATGTCGTCTTTCCTACGCAGCCCCCTCGCACCCCACACCGTACCCCCCGCCCACTTGGCTTTGCATAAAGATGCCGAACATTGGTGTGGTGAGAGAGAGGGAGAGAGGAGAGAGAGAGCGAGAGAGAGAGCGAGAGATTGACAGATAGCGAGCGAGAAAGAGAGCGAGGCAGAAGCTTGAAAAGAAGCATTAAAAGAATAAGTATTTCACGACTACCCAATTGTACCGTATGTGTTTGGGTTCTGGTGCATTACCGGGGGGTGCAACTTTTGCTAATGTGCATGCAGGCATCTTGCGATAAAATATCAACGTTGTTAGTAGAATGTAGCCTTCTTCAGCTAGGACAAGTTTGTACGAATTCTGACATTTTCGGCAGGATCCAGTAAACATTTTTACCATGTCTGAAGGGCATTCATTTTTAGTTCTCTCAACACTCCTGTATCGTCCCGTACGAAATTTTAAAAACGTTTTCGGCCCGGTTGAGGATCACTCAAAAATTCAAACAAGACGTTTCAAAAACACATTTCCCAATGCCCACCGTGCCCGCGGTGAATAATCCATTTTTATGAGCCCTTTGATGTCTCCTTACAGCTACCCCATTCACACGTTTTTCCCCTTTAGCTTCTGCCGAAATCGAGGGGCGATGTACAGCCCCGATAAAATCTTTGTTTCCTTTGCGGTTCCATGGCGGCTTCCCACGGTCCGCTCCGCCGTTACATATCGTCCTTTCACCCCCAGACCACCGACCATTCGATTGATCAGACTTTTGTAGGAGTGTTACGAAAGGTCTAGACGTTTTGTGTTTGGGGAGTCCGTTTATTTTACTAAAATTAATTATTAATTCTTTGAATATTGCAGCCTATACAGCTCGGATTGCAGCTTCTCGGATCTAACTGTAAGATCGCAAATATGAAAGGTATATTTTAATTCCCTTACTGACCTACTTATCCTTACTTGGTTATCTACTTACTTACTCAATACACTAATTTTTACGTTTTTGCTTACTGTCCTTGTTTTCACTGATTTTCTATTGAACTTTTACTTTCATAAGTTTCTCGGCCAGCTGCAATATCTGAATTAGTCGAAAGTATATTTTTACTTTATCGAGATGCCATTAGTTTCCTTTTTGGCTAAAAACACAAGTTTAACGAGGTTCATCGAGCCCAAATTTCGATCGCCCCGGTTGAGAGTGAAAATTCTCAATTTCATTCAATTCAATGAATTTCACAAACTTTTGAAAGCTCATCGAGAGAAAATTTTGCTTTTCCCGATTGAGGGTGCTTTCTGGTTTTTCGGCTAGATGTGCTCTCATAGGAATGAAAGGTATAGTTTTACGTTAACTAAAATTATTTATTTTACCGTTTATTCATAAAAAACGTTTGTTTTCGAAAGTTCATCGGGAACAAATTTTGATTCGCCCGATTGATGATCGCTTGCAACGGGGCGCCACTGAAAACCGCGCATTGGGGCGCCGCGTACTCGAGGGTGGCCGAGCTTTTTGGGCTCGATGGATTCTTATCTCACTTTTACAACCGTTCTTGCGAATTTTCTTTAGCAACCAGATAATTTTGTTTATTTGCAGAGATGGTCAACGAGCCCCTCGTCGAGATTAGGCCTTTCATCGTGGGGATCGCGGGCGGGACGGCCTCCGGGAAGAGCCTCGTTTGCCAGAAGATAATCGAGAAGCTAGCGAAGGACGGGGTCAACGTCGACAAGAAAGTAAGGAATTGCAGAGGAGATCGGGGGGACTGTAAATGGATAGCTAGGACGTTTTTCAAGTCCTTTATTGCGACGGATTTTTCAAGCTAGATATTTTGCAAGGAGGGGTTATCTTTTTTCTTAGCATATAAGGAGTGTCAATGACGCCAAGGAGATTAGAAATTGATGAAAGGATTGCAATTACTGTAAGTGGGGCACCGACATATTTCTTCATTTTATTATCAGGCCGATGAAAATTTTCATGAATTTGAGAAAGCAACCTACGAGGCCGCATTTTTGTAACAAGCATATTAGCGGGTTTAGTCGTGCGAAAAACGTGTCATTTTTGGCTTTTTAATTCTAAAACCGAAATCAATCAATCATTAAATTTAAAATTTATCAAAATTTCTTTTTTTAGGTAAGCGTCATCCACCTGCACTCGTTCTACCGCGACCTCTCGCCCGCCGAGCACGCGCTGGCCCAGCAGGGCAAATACGACTTTGATCACCCGAGTACGTACTTTAATTCAATTCCCTATAATATTTTTTGTAGACGCCTTCGAGTTCAGCAAGCTCATCGAGGTGCTGTCGGCGTTGAAACGGGGCGAGCGCGTCCAGGTGCCGGTGTACGATAAGTCGACGAACGCAAAGTGAGTTTTCGGTTACGTTTTAAAGGTTTTTACTTTTATCTTTGATTTTCGAACTTGGTTTCTAAGTTGAAAAACTATCCGAAAACCTGTAAAATTTTCAAAAATTTGATATTTTTATCGATAATCGAACATTTGTCTTTGCGTTTAGCAACCGTAAAAATTATTTGTAGATTATTTTTATAGTAAAAATGGATCTTAGATAAAAAATCTGTCACCCGGATAATTCAAAAATACCAATTATTCTTTTAGGACTTCATCAGAGACGATCGACGACCCGGACGTGGTGATTGTCGAGGGAATTCTGCTGTTCCTCGACCCGAAGGTGCGCGACATGCTCAACCTGAAGCTGTTCGTCGACGCCGATCCGGACACGCGGCTGGCCCGTCGAGGTGATTCGGCTGGTTTTGCCTGTAAACGCAAAAATTAGTGCGCCACGACCTCCAGTTCAACCGGCCCCTCTCCGCGGTGCTGAACACGTACATGGAGATGGTATTTCGTTTGTAAACGTTAAAAATAATTTTTGGTTTAGGTTAAACCGGCGTTCGAAGAATTTTGCCTGCCGACGAAGCGGTACTCCGACATGATAATCCCGCAGGGTGGCGAGAACTTTGTGGCCGTGAATCTGATGGCCCTGCATCTACACGTGAGTTTATATGTATTTTGTTCTAGCGAAACTCTTGTATTTGTTTTACCGTATTCACTATTTCACCATAACCCAAATTTCTCGGAAAAAATGGTGAAAGGTTAATTTTCCTAATAAATGTCTAAAAATCGTTGCAAATTAAAAAATTTAACATTTCTAGAAAATTTCGAAATTTCAAGATATAGAATTTTTGAAGCACAAATATTCCGGAAATTCCTAAATCCTCTCTCCATTTTTTGGCTGTACTTCTAAATTTTGACATGATGAATTTCGGCATTTTGAAAACAAGCTTTTTAGTAACCAAGCTCCCACAAAAAAAATATTTTAGGAAAAGCTGCGCGAGCCGGGCACCGGACACAAGGTCTACGGGCTCAACCGCGCCGCCGATGACGATGCTACGAATCGTGGTCGCCACCGGAATCGCAACGGCAACCGCCCGCATTAAAAATATCACTTTTTTGCCGCATTTTCTGCGTATTTTGTTCACTTCCAGTCTCTTTCCTTGTCCCCGGCTTTACCCCCGCCACTCCATGATAACACCCCTATTTTTTTGTTCTTTCCGGTTATCTTTGCCAAGCGCCCCGCCCCTCGCCTCGTCGTTTCTTCACTTTCACTAACCGTTGCTTTACAGTATTCCGTTATTCCGAGCGCGCATTTATCTCTTTTTAGCTGTTTTTCTGACCCTAACTCTTTCGTAGTTTTCTTGGGTTTATTTGAAAAAGACCCCCTTGAAATCCCCGGGCCCGGACGATACGTCGTATGTTTTTTTGCGTAGTAAAACCTTTCCCCTCCTCCACCACCCTTCCAATGGCACCTTGTTGATTTTATGGGATTATGATAAAGTTTTTATTATTTTGAGGTGTTTAGCTTTTATCTTTATTTCGAAAGTCTCTCGCGTTGATGTATCGGTAAGAATGGGCTAGCAAAGAAAGGAGGTTGTATTTTCGCGGTATGCAAACTCCCTAGGGGCCGAGTGCAGAGCTAAATTTACATGTACGGAGACTGTACTTTTCGCGTAGCGACGTGAAGACGATATTCAGTTGTCGGGGGTTTTTTGAGCGTACCGAGAATCCGCATTTTAAAAACAAAAACCAAAAAGGGAAGTAAAAGCTAGACAATCTGGTATTTGGCGCTTCTTAGAAAGATATTGCTTTAAATGAACCAACGTCCTAACTTTCTTGAAATCGAACAAAAATCATTATAATTTTCACAAAAATTTGCCAGCTACCCCCGACTATTGGCGCTAGAAATTGTTTTAGGGGACCATACGCTACATTGAATTCCCCAAGGCACATTGATTATAAACCGATAGTTCTAATTTTTTCTATGTAATGCGAAAATTCGATCCGGAAAGTCGCGGGCCCCGGCACGAAAGCTGTGTGATGCTGGCTATGGTTTTTGAGGTTTGGACTGGTTTTTGTGTTCTTCTGGTAACTGCAGAGATCATTGTTTATCACACCAAGCGTTGATTTTGATATTTGTAGACGAAAATAGGCCACGAAACAAAGAATATCGGGGCCAAACGGGACGAAAGAATACAAGTATTTGCACTCGGTGTAGACAAACAGCAGCGTGGACGAGCAGCGTCGGAGGGCGAATTCAGAATTTTTTATGGCAAAACCGAACAAGGAGTATCACCTAAATTTTCATTATTATCGTGATTTTTCATATTTAATTTACCTATTTGGTTTTATATAAAAAGTTGTAGAGATGAAATAGGCAGAACTTTGACTACTGGTGTTATTGTGAAGCCGGGCCGAAGAGCAGGGAGAGCCTGAAAAACGCAATTAAAAAATTTTTGATTGGAGTTCGATGAACTTGCTTTTAGGGAAAGCGGAACGTTAATGAAAGTAAATAACTAGGCTATTTAAATAAATCAGAGAAAGTAAAATTAAAAAAAACAGGGAACACACAACCAAATTTTAAAAAAGCAGCGAATTTATAAATTTTATTTAATTTTCTTAGCTGTTTCTAAACTATAGTTAGAGGTTTGTTCCATATTTTTAGATTCAGCTTAATTTTGAATTCGATTTAATCCAATTGAAAATTTAAAAATGACTCGCGTAAGATGATAGTTGCAAGTCATAGTCAAAACATTTTAGGGTTTAAGCCCATAGAATACCTTGAGGTTTCAATAAATTTAAATAATCCGTAATAAATAAATAAAATAAATTGAAATAAATAAAAAAGTTAAATATACTTACCGCTGCGCCTCAGTCTCATCTATTTGCCGATTTGCCGGTTTGGGGACGTGGAAGTGCGCGGCGAGTCCCATGGTGAAACGCTTCTTCAGGGCTGAGAGCAGGGGGTAGAACATGACTTTTCGGGGTTGAGATTCGGAGGAAGAATTCGAAATTGATGAAGTGATGAAGTCATTAGTTTTACAAAAACTTATATAGTCCCAAATTTGGTGGTCTGGGAATCTGTCGTAGCTTCGGGCTACAAATCGTAGTGGGACTTTGGTCTTCGGGTGGCCAAACGGCAGATGTGTAGCCACCTCGTCGGGTCAAAGATCAATTTTTCAAACTTACGCATTAATGGCAGTGGCCGGCCAATCTGTACCAGGCCGAAGATCAGATCATAAGATCAAATACGCGATCAAAAGTTTCTAAGGGCTTTTTAAAATCAAGATGAAAGCCTATTTGGCACATCTTGGAGTTTTGTACGTTAGTGTACGTAGCAGTACGTTCGAAGACTCCACCGAAAACTTAAGGACGCAAAACTACGCTAGCTGACGTCCACGCACTTACGCATAGTACGGTATTGCTGATTACGCTATAGTTTTTACAATACGACACCGTAAGTAGAAATCGACTATTTGCAAGGCTATGTTCGCTAGAGTACGCAGTACGCCTGTTTACGCGAGCTTGCTGATATTATCGAAGCATACCTTATTTTGTACGCTGGTACAAACACGATTCTCTCTCTCACTCTCTCTCTCTCTCTCTCTCTCTCTCTCTTTCTCTCTCGCTCGTTCTCTAGATAGATTTGATTCACTAAATTTGGTGAATCGTGCTGGGTACTGTTTTTCTCCTAAAATTCTCTAGGGAATTTTTTATATTATCGCGAATTGGACTCGTTAGGGAGAAGAGTTCAAGTTTCAACTTTTTCGGAGTGAGTCAGCTCTCCCGAAAAAAGTACTTATAGCCGAGCCGTTGCGCGGCTGAAGCCCCAAATTTTGAACTCCTTGACGTCGCTGGGTTTTTTAGGTTCCGAGAAATCCCTTTTTGTCTCCTTACTCAAATTCCTGCAATTCCTAAAGATTTTCCCGCCTACCCAGGCTCAATCAACGCCATGGCTGGCCAGCTCGGCTTTTATGCGCGTTCACAGCGGCAGGGCGCAAAAACCTATGGATTTAGCACGGTTTTTTATTGAGCTAGCAAATTGTTAGAACAAAAATAAAAGTAAACCCGGATAAAAGCTATTTTCCGCGTCTCCCTTTTCCCCGCTCATCATTACACGCCATTTGAAGTGAATATTTTTGCGCGCGCGGCGCTCCAGTTCCAGCCTATTCCTATAAACAATTCCGCGGTCGTGCCATTTTGGCTATCTCATCCGAGACGACGGCGAGGCGCATAAATAAAATTAAGCCCCTCAGGCTTTGGGCTAAGGCCCGGAATTTTCGATCATCTATGATATTTTAAAATATTGGCTTTAAGGTGAAAATTATTATTTTGCAAGATGTGCCCTCGTAAAACGAGTCACACTGGCAGGCAGTTCCAGCTCTATCTGGTGATTGGTTTTTCTTCTTAATTATGAAATGATTTTACGATTGCAAAGCGGGTAATTTCAATTCCTCAGTTTTTAAATTTTTAAAGCATATATAATCTTTAAATGTTATTCGAAAATTTAATATTATATCGACTTCTTCGAAAATTGGCTGTAACTTCGCGTTCCTTCCAAGGAAACCCGAGATCCTGAAATTCTTCTGATTTTAGGGCTTTTATTAACTCTTACAAAATTCCGATTCAGTGTTTTGAGGCTTCCGAGAGGTTCCTCTGCACTTTCAATTCCTGTGTAGACGATCTTTGGGGAAACCTTGCCAATTCGTCCTGTCTGGCCGATGAAAAGGAACCTATAAGTTCAGCGCCGAAAAGACTAACTTGCTCACGTATATTTCAGTCTGAACTTGGCTCTATGTTGTTTAGAGTGTATCGCAAAACATTCCTAAAGCGATCCCCTAAATGTTGTTTACAGTGTCTCGCAAAACATTCCTAAAGCGATCCCCTAATTTTTCGCCAAAAAGCAAAAAGAGTTAGCAGCGAGTGGTTTCGATCCACCGACCTCTGGGTTATGGGCCCAGCACGCTTCCACTGCGCTACGCTGCTGACGGGACGGGGTGGAGCCGGGGAGCCTATCAAGCGTGGGTGGTCCCCCCGGCAAAGGACCATGATGCAATGTTATTCGGTCGATTTCTTATCCAATTGGCAGGCTAGAAAAAACGCTTGGGGGAACTACGGAAATTTAGCGTTGTTTTTTCAAGCAGTGTAATATGATACTATTTGAGGGGAGCAAACTGCAGTCTTCCCAAAATCTCGCGTGAATTCGAGGAATTCGGGGTATTCTTGACGTTAAAAATTCGAGAATTTTTCCCGCGTCATTGATTTGGTTCTATTTTGCTACGGCATACCAAAATTCTATACGGAAAAAGAAGATTTTCCGCAAGGTTGGATCGTTTTCTAAGGAACTGCAGACCAATTTTCTCTCTCTCGCTCTCTCTCGCTCTGTCGCTCTCTATCTCCCTCTCTCTACCTCCCTCTCTTTCTCTCTCTATGGTTCTCCCCCCTCCTCGCTTTATTTCTTTAATAATATTTTTAATTCAATAATCTGAATACATTCCATATCCTGACAAAGTCGATTCAGCCCTTATTTTGCCTGGTTGCCATCTGGGGATTGAAAATCCAGGATTTTCCAGATTTTGTAACCGCTCTATCTGGGATTATAGCTCCCGTATTATTTCCGGTTTTTTAATTTACGAAAACGCCCTCCTAATCCATTCAGAACTTCATGACACTTCAAAACCGGTGTGTAGTTCGGTGCAAAACCTCAACCGGAAGCTGTGCCCTGAACTCTATGCCAGCCAAAGAACCCCTGCACCCGAATAATTCATTTTTGGGCCGCAGTAAGGTCACCCGTGTTTCCGCTCTAGGAATTCAGCATGCTTCGCCATTTCCTGGATTTCCTGGAGTCGTTTCGGTTCCACGTAAATTGGAGTCGCGCGGAGCGCGTGGTAAAATTTGTTGGCGAGCTCCGATCGAATTCTACAGCGTTTCCTACCAAATTAGGTTAATAGCGTCCGTTAAAACCCGTTGAATTTTTAAGTTTCTTTTTTCATACAATATCGGAGAGCATAAACAAAGGTACTGAGAGGGCACTCTTTTTAAAAAATGGCTTGAGATCAAATTTGGATCAAGCTCTTTCTCTCTCGCTCTCTATCCCACACTGTCTCTCTCGCTCTATCCCTTTCTCTATCGATTCTCTCTCTCTCTCTGTCTCTCTCTCTCTCTCTCTCTCTCTCTCTCTCTCTCTCTCTTTCCTAAAAAATGTACCCTGATCTTTGACGTCTCAAAATTGAGGCCACCCCCGATTCTATCCTGGCTTCACGACCACCCGGAAATCGAGCGCGACCTCATCTGAGCTGCGGCTTGATGAATGAAACCCGAAGGGGTGGAAAATAGATTCTACCCGCCCCATTCCCCCGGCTACACCTCGAAAAAACGGGCTGCACTCCTCGAGCACCCACGCGGTCCCCTTCCTGCCCCCCGGGGATAGGGCCGCTAATGGAATTCATTCGGTCAGCCGGAACACCAGAGATATACACACCACCTTTTGCAGAGAGGATACTTTTGATTCCGGGAACTGAGAGTGTTTGTTCCTAGAGGTCGGGATTCTGGTTGCAATAGCACGCTCTAGCTCAAGCCCAAACCTAGGCCTACGCTAAGCCTAAGCTAAGCCTAAGCTAAGCCTAAGCTAAGCCTAAGCTAAGCCTAAGCTAAGCCTAACCTGATCCTAAGCCATCTCAAAACCTAATCCGAAGCTAAGCCTAAGCTAAGCCTAAGCTAAGCCTAAGCTAAGCCTAAGCTAAGCCTAAGCTAAGCCTAAGCTAAGCCTAAGCTAAGCCTAAGCTAAGCCTAAGCTAAGCTAAGCCTAAGCTAGGCCTAAGCTAAGCCTAAGCTAAGCCTAAGCTAAGCCTAAGCTAAGCCTAAGCTAAGCCTAAGCTAAGCCTAAGCTAAGCCTAAGCTAAGCCTAAGCTAAGCCTAAGCTAAGCCTAAGCTAAGCCTAAGCTAAGCCTAACCTGATCCTAAGCCATCGCAAAACCTAATCCGAAGCTAACTCAAACCAGAAGGCGAAGCAGAAGCTTAACCGATGCCCATATGAAGCCCAAGCCAAGCCCGTTCAGCCCAAGCTAAGCCAAACCGGAAGCCGAACCAGAAGCTTAAGCCATGCCTAACATCTTTGTCCTAATCTTTCATAGGCAAATTCTTAAAGGGACCGGGAAGCGCTAGAGTCGACCCATTGCTTTTACTACGTGGGGCGCCAAACTTTCTAAAAATTTAATTCTGGTTGGATGGTAATTTACTATCGTAATGAAGCATTCCTTCATCCATTCATTCATTCTCCTGTTCCTCCTCTATCTCATACACTCTATCGCTCTCGATCTTTGGGTCTCTCGCTCTCTCTCTCTCAGCAGTCGATTCTGTCACTTCCTCGTCCCTTTAAAGTACAAAAAATTGGATGGCACTCATTCTTAAGTTATTTTTGGCTATTTACTTTTGTTCGTGCTTTGCTGCCGCACCGAGAGCCCAGATGTTAGAACCCAATTGCCCTCATCAAAAGTACCGCCGCGTGGCTATCATGCTAGGTACAGCCTATAGCAACAGCAGTCGGCTTCTCCAAATGACCATTTCCGGTGCACCGGCGCTGGAAAATAGGCTTACTCACCTCTGGGTGTTCTCTCTTCTCGTAATAACTACAAAATCTGGCACAAATATTTTATTTTGCGGTTGAGAAGCGTTTTTCAAGCTTTTTCCTGCTTCTACTTTTCTTATAAGATTTTTTCACTTTGAAAGATCAATTTGCTGAATGTTTTAATGTTTTATTTTACGCGTTTTTCTAAATTTTTTTTTTCTGATGTTTTCAAGCGAAGGAAAATCCTATCTTTTTTGTTGAATTAATTCCTTCTCTTTTTCACTAAAAAAAATCGACAATTGTGGTGCTCTTTCGTTTAATTGTTAATTTTTGTAATCAATTAAGCTATTTTTCAACATTTTGATCTATAAAAAGCTCTCTATTTCAGTTTATTTTGACTGTTTAGTTTTTTACGCTACAAAATTCAAGCTTTCAGATGGATGCCGCGCTCCAGAGCAACCTGACAACCATTTTCTGCTCGGCCGGGATCATTCTAAATTCATTTTTATTGTATTTAATTGTTACAGATCGAGAGGTATGTATCATTTACAACAATTTATTGAATTTAAGCTATAAAATCCATGTTTTTAAAAAATCGAAATCTCCCAGGCGCAAACAAATTCCAGAATTTTTTTTCAGAAAAACTGCGGCGGCTACCGTAATTTGCTGGCCATCATTGCGGTGTACAATATTTATTATTCGTTAATGAAAACTACAGTAGACGTGGTAAGTTATTAATATCAATAAAAAAATTTACTCTTTTAGGCTTTCCTCATCGACGACGCCGGGTATCTGCTATTCAGCAAGCGGCTCTGCCATTACGGCTATTGGCCGGCGTACATAGGAATCATTGTAAGGGAATCTATTGATGTTTATTTATCAAATTAGCGATTTTTTACATAGATTTTTGTATATACACTTTTAGATTTATATTTGCTCCTTTGAGATGTCCATTTCACTGCTGGCGATCCATTGCTTCTATCGTTATGTGACAATTTCCGGGTAATTTTTCTAGATGCATAAAATTTTTTCTAACAAAATTTTATCTAACTCTTCCATTTTATTTAGCTTTTCTAATAGGATAAAAAATTCCTAAAGAATCCCTGCTAGCTCGCCAAAAATGCGAAATTTTTCTAAACAACCCAATCCTGAAAACTCAAAATTTTCTTCGACAAAAACTTCGAATTTCAGAAAATTTAGTCAATTCTCGGCGATATTCAACCGGTGGTATAATCTATTCTGCCTCGTGCTTGTCTATTTCCTGGCAACGGCATTTAATGGGGTGGCTGGTCATATTTATACAAAGGTAAGCGATCGGAATACTAAAATTATACGTTTGCTCTAGCTCTCTTCATTCAGATTAAACACACGAAATGCCTATTTTAAAAGTCGCCAATTTATTCTAGTCTTTAATATCGATGTGGTTACCTCAATAAATTCAAATCAAATACATAAAAATACGTAAAACAAAAAATCATTAATTTTCAGCCCTCCCCAGAGCGAACGGCGTTAAGTCGACGCGAATTACTGCACGGTTACAACGTCAGTATCGACGGATTGGGCTATCTAGGGCCAGTTTATAAGGTATTGAATAAAACAATTTTTTGTATTAAAAACGAATGCAAGTTCTAAAACCAATTCGAATCCTAGGTGGTCAACCCCCTCACCGGCGAGGTGGAGCACCGATGGGCGAATTTCCTGGGGAATTCGACGATTTGCGTGCTGATGATTGCAATCTATTTGATAGTTTGTAATTTTGCGTTTAAACTGTGAGTTTAAAGAGAATTAAGATGATTTAAAAACGTACTTCGTAATTTCAAAATGCTTCTTAACACAAAACTAAAAGTTAGAAAGCTAATTTCATCAAATTCTATACAAAAATATAGAAACCTTTTAAAACTGGATTTTGCGCTTTTAATCCGACGCTGCACATAGCTTCGCCTGTGTTCGCACTGCTAGAAAAGCTAGCTGCAAAAAATAAAAAACATTTCGAAACTTCAAGCGTTTCAAGTAAAGTTCTGTTCAGCTACGCCTTCGTCCGCTCCTCCGTCCTCAGCGAGAAGCGCCGCGCGCTGAATATGCAACTTTTAAAGCTACTAGTAATCCAGGTATACCTTAAAATCCTTGGAGACAAAATTTCAGTTTTAGGCGATTTGTCCCCTGATTTTCGAGTACATCCCGGCGCTGACGACAATGTGGGGCGGATTTTTATGCGGGTTTGCAGGTCAATAAGCTATTTTGGCTGTCTAAATCAATGTAAAATTGTGATTTAATTATAGACTAATAAATTTGGTAATTCAAACCTTAAAAAATACCTAGGCATCTCCCTATCACGAATTGCTCCAATGCTGCCTATTTTTATTTCGATCTATGCACCGGCTGATGCAATTATGGTCATTTTCGGGTTTAGGGTAAGTCAGGGAAAGAGAGCGAGAGAGAGAGAGAGAGAGAGAGAGAGAGAGAGCGAGAGAGCGAGAGAGAGAGAGTAAGGGAGGGAGGGAGGGAGGCAGATAAAGAACGATAAGCGAGAAAAATATAAAATTCCGCTTCAGGCCTATCGACGACGGGTATTACGGTATTTCGGGGTGGTGCCGAGTCAGACGTCCTCGCTGAACATGAGCAGCGACAAGCGCCAAATCTCCGCCGAGCTGCAGCACAAGCCCAAGGGGCAATCGGTGTAAATAAATGTTTGAAAAGCTAATTCCAAGCTGCATCTAACTACGTAAAAAACAAAAAAGTCTATACCCGACAAATTTCAGCTACAACGATAAACTCAGAAATTCAAAAAAGCTCTTTTAGCTAATTTAATACAATGCGTAAAGCTGCAATTTCCACAGTACCCACTCTAAAAAAACAAGGGTTAATACGAAAATACGCCGCAAAAACTAAAGCTTTCAAAAAAAGGTATAAACAACGCTTTATTACGCACGAGATTCAATACAAATTAAAAAATGACATTTGGGACAATTTGCCAACGTTTTTACCGGTTCAACGGGCCCCAAATGAGGCCAGGAGTTCAAGGATTTACGTAGGAAAGTCACAAATTTGTGGGACGAGAAGGCGAGAGGTAGAGACCCGAAATAAATGGACCCAACGAGAGATGAGTGAGAAAGAGAGTGGTTATATAACAGCAAGGGTAAAAACAATAATTAACCAAGCCTGCGAAAAGACTTGTGAAAATGGAAAGACCGGAATTAAATTGCGCCATCGATTCTACTGCTGCTCGCCGCGCTTCGGGGCCGACGTGAGGTCGAGGCCGGGGTAGAGGCGAGCCGGTTGGTCACCAGCCTCCTTGCGCCCCTCAAAGTCCTGCCAGTTGGTCCAGCGCTTCGCCTGCTCCTGCTCGCACAGCCACGAGTAGAGGTTGATCGTCTCTGAAAGCGCAAGTTTGATATACAGGGTGTCCCAAAAAAAAAGACCCCCAAAAAAATTTGAGCCAGAGGGCACCTACGGAGCTGAAAATTTGCACAGAGGTAGCGAAGGCAATTTTCTATGAACAAGGAAAGTTTCAGCCCGATAGGCCAGCGGGTTTTAAAGTTATGGCGAAAATACTTTTAATTTTCAATTTAATATGGGGATCTATGCAATTTGCATCCAAAATATGCGTTATTTTGGCATTTACGAGCCGATTTTGCATAAGTTTTGCCGAAAAATGCCATTTGCTTCTTTCGGCTGTAGAAAAACGATTGCTCGTGGAGAGAAAAAAAATGTTCGCAAGACCGCGGAACACAAGATGCATTGACTGAAACTACCGTTGGAGGCTAGAACTCAGATTAGACTTCGTCGTAAGCGTCAACCCAAGCCGAAAACTGAACCTAAGCAGCACTTAGGAGCTCATGTAACTCTGCTTCGAGCTCGACGGGGTCATATTGGCAAAATGTCCCACAAAATATGATTTGGACCCTAGAAACAATCGTTTTCACACTCTTTTTGCTCTTCATACTCGATCGTTCTCACCGAGATCCAGTGGGCAAATGGCGTTTTTCGCCAAAATTTATGCAAAATCGGCTCGTAAATTCAAGAATAACGCATATTTTTTATGCAAATTGCAAAGATCCCCATATCAAAATAAAAATGAAAAGTATTTTCGCTATAACTATAAAACCCGCTGGACGATCGGGCTGAAACTTTCCTTGTTCATAGAAAATTGCCTTCGCTACCTCTGTGCAAATTTTCAACTCCGTAGGTGTCCTCTGGCTCAAATTTTTGGGGGGGTCTTTTTTTTTGGGACACCCTGTATTAAGGGTATTAATGAGACCGGAAGATGCGGGAATCCACCCCTGGCGCGAGTAAAAAGCAAAATGGCGCGTTTCAGCACGAAAAAAAAGATTAAAATTGCTCATGCTCATGCTCACCTCCCGGCTTCCACGAGTACTTTCCGGCGTCCTTCCGGGTACGCTTCGGTTGCGGTGAGTTGCTGGGAGATGAAGGGCGCGTGGAATGGCCGCTGCCGCCTCCGCCAAAGACTTTCACCGCTTCGGCGATGGAAGTTAGGCATCTGCAAAAGTAAAAATAATTAAAATCAAATAAAATAGAGAGAGCGAGAGAGCGAGCGAGAGAGAGTGAGAGAGATAGAAGGAGAGAGACAGAGGGAGCGAGAGAGACGTAGGGAGAAAGAGAGCGGGAGAAAGAATTTAATTTAAAAAAAAACTTACGATCGTTTTCCGTTGAGGTTGATGTCGTCGGTGGGGACGGCGAGAGTACGTTCCACCCCGGTTAACTGGACGAAGAGCGTGAAGAGCTGAAAAGATTCACTTTCAAAAGGCTCAAAATCGCTTTAAAATTGTTTCTACATTTTATAAAAGCATAAAACATTTTTCAAAACTGGTTAAATCTTTCCATAAGATTTTCTAGATCCATAAAAATCATAAAAAAACAATTTTAAGGTCACTTCACCTCCAAATGACGCTCCGAGTTGTTTACATAATTGCCCAGGTGCAGCGCCAGCTCCTGGCAGAAGACGCTGTACTGCTCGGCCCTGCAAAAGCCATTATAAAAAGGATGATCACCAGGAGATGAAGAAACCCATGGCCGAAATTGCCTCCAAAAAGCAAAAGTTACGCTCCCGGGTGGGTTCGAACCACCGACCTTTCGGTTAACAGCCGAACGCGCTGCCGATTGCGCCACGGAAGCGACGGGGATAGGCGCGGGGAAAGGGCTTTCGTGGGGTTGGGAGAGGGGGAGCCTCTGGGGAAAGACCGGCAAACACAAAGCGCTGGGGGTAACGGGCACGAGTGAGCAGCTCTCGTCCCCCAAACTATCATTGGCTATATTTGCTATAACTTTAATTTTACAAAAGTATAAAAAGTACAAAACTACAAAAGCTCCTTTTTATCCAAGTTGATCAAAAAAATTCAAATTGTAAAAATCGGAGCTCTCAAGAATTACGCGAAAGATTTAAAAGCTGTCCTGCAGTTTTTCTTAATCCAAGATAGATAGTGTAACTCTTCTCCTAAATCGACAAATTTTGCGAATTGGTGAAAAAAGAATAAAATATCAATTACGACATTTTATGTTTTCTACCCAAAATCCCCATCCAGAAGAGTAATATGAATTTCCGAAATCTATCTAAATTTTTCTATAAAATTCAGAACAGAATACTTTTTAACTCGCCAAAAACTCCAAAAAAAAATCAAAATCAAAAACCCACTTGCTGCCCGGGTTCTTGGCGATGCTTTTGATGTTCTGCGCCTTCGAGGCGGCGAGGAGGAGGCCGGCTTTGTCCTTGTTCGCGACAATTTCGAGAATCGACTGAAAAATGTAAATTTTTGAGCAGAATCATACTTTACAGGGCTGGCCAACTCGTAAGGTATCAAAAAAAAATACCGCTCTCGCCTGGGCGCCGTCCTCCGTGTTCAGCTCTGGCTTGGACATGATCTCGAGGAATTTGGCGTGTTGCTAAAAAACCGACTACTAAGAAATACAAAAAAATACAAATATCAACATATTAAAACTAAAAATTTAACGTACCGCCGAAATATTGTACAGCAACGTCTTGTCCTTGTGCACCGGCCAGAAGCGGGTCAGGCGGCGGAGTTGGGTGCGCGGCTGGATGAGGGTTTCGGAGAGGGGAAGCTGAATTAAGAATTTTTAAGGCCAAGACCAAGCAGATAACATTTACGAATCCGGCACATACCGGTGCACTGTCCAAAGACGGCGGATTCTCCAAGCTCAGCGAGCATTCCTTCATCAACGTCTTGAAGTCGTCGACACGAAGCCCGTCCGACGGGTCTATGGCGGCAGATTCGATCAGCTCTTTGTCGTCGAGAACGGCTGGAAAAGGGTGTATTTTGAAGGTAAGAGAGGGAGGCCGAGAGAGAGAGAGAGAGAGAGAGAGAGAGAGAGAGAGAGAGAGAGAGATGAAAACGTACGATCAAGCCCGATGTGTACGGAATGCAGGTACAGCCGGCCGCAGTGCGCCATCAGCGCGTGTGAGATCAGCTTCTGGTTGACGTTTACCGGCAACTTTTCGGCTTCTCCTTGCCGTGAGATCTAAAAAGGGTTAAGAATCTCCTGATCCATCCTTCGCACCTCGAGCAGCACATTCTTGCCGGCCATCAGGAACGAGGTCAGACACACGGATTGGCGGCTGTTGAACGTGGCCGGGGAAAGGCGGACGGCCGTCGAGATCCGGGGGAACTAAAACTGGATTAGTAGAACTATTTAAATTTTATTTAGCTATTTTCGCATTTATCACTATTTTTTAATAATATTTTATAGATTTTTCTGGTTTATTCTGCTCTCTGTTGTGTATTATTAAATTCCACACAAAAAGTCCTTTCAAAGAAATATTCGAACAATTTTTATTCCCTTTTTTCTCTTTCACAACTTGCCCGGCCAGTCGCATTTTTTCCCGCTCTCTCTTTCTCTCCCGGCATTGGGGCAAGGGCATGGGGCTGGGGCCATGCAGAGGGGCGGGGCGCCGAGTCATCACCCCGGCACCCTGAGTCTGCATCGACGCCCGGTTAGCTCAGTCGGTAGAGCACCAGACTCTTAATCTGGTTGTCGCGGGTTCGAGCCCCGCATTGGGCTGATTTTTTGCTTTTTGCGGATTTGCTTTGGGAAAGTCATTGGAGACCTGAAATAATCTTATTTTTCACTATTACACGTTTTACATTATCTAGGCACTGAAAAAAACAATGTTTCTTTATGTTTTATTTTTCGACTGACGAAAATAAAAAACCAACCATATTCCACTTGACTTTCGGCATCGGAGTGGCCCAGGCGAGCTTCACGGTCTGGTAGGCGCCCTTGGTGACGACGAGGTGGCTGCCAGGCTCTAAAAGACAGGGTTAAACACTATTAAACACATAAAAAGTCTTCGATTATTACAAGTAGGGTTAGAGGGGTTAAGTTAGTTCCCCCCGCTAAGGAACCAGACAGCGAAACTAATTCTTACCAAGTAATTTATGCTTGTTCAACGTTTCGAGCGCCTCCTTCGGGTGGAACAGTTCGACGTCGTAGGTGACCGAGCTTGCAGTTTGTGTGTGCTCCTCCTGAAACGAGGAAGGATCAAGTGAGAGAGCGAGAGAGAGAGAGAGAGAGAGAGAGAGAGAGAGAGAGAGATAGAGTGAGATGATCTACTTACCTTCATCGGGATCCCGGAAAGCGTCATCGACACCAACCCGTAGATGTCCAGGGTGGCGCCGTGGACCGCGGCGAGTACATCCGGGCCCAGCGCTACGCAGGCGTGGTGGTGGAAGTGGACGATTTCCGAGTCGGCGCTCTGGAAATTAAAATAATTTCCACGTTTCTCTTAAAAATGTATATCAAGTTTATCTAGGTCATTTTATTTCCCGTAATTGAGGATTTTGCGGCCAGCTCGCCTATTTTTATCTGACCGATTTTTACCTGCACGATATTTTATTTGGTTTTCCCTGCCGATTTATGCCTATGTAAGCCTATTTTTTATTTTCTCGAATAACAAGCGTCAAAACAAAATTGGAACAATCGTAAGCTATAAATTAAATCAAAATAAAGTTCTCTAGTTAATAAAAAATACTACAGAATCGGCGAAATAAAAAATGTGAAAATTAAAATCGATTAAATAGAAAATTTGCGAAATCCGCATTTTCCCACATTCTCCACTACCTTTGCAAACACCCCCGAAACAAAGAACCCGCAAAAAACTCAGCCGTCTTGTACGCCCGAAAAGTGCGCGCGCGATACGGGAGAACCGGAACCCCCCGGGTGCCTCGATGCCCGGCTTCGGGCATTTGACAGCCCGCCGCCACCCGAAGACCAGCTGGGGGTATAGCTCAGTGGTAGAGCGCTCGCTTAGCATGCGAGAGGTCTGGGGTTCAATTCCCCATACCTCCAAAACGTTTTGCTTTTTGCGGGGAAATTGAAAAAGACACTTTTAGCTGAGGGGGTAATTTTATTTTTTGGAAATACATCTCTAGGCTCTCAATGTTATGGAAAAAGCCCATTTTTGTTTCGAAACAAAATTCTATTACAATTTTTTAAGCTTATTTTGTTTGTTTTCTGCCTGCGATAGCATTTATTTTCTTTATTTTAATTATTATTTTAGCATTTTACGCAATATATACCTTTAATCGGATTATTTTACTCTCTAGCTAGCCAAAATCGTTAATTTTTTCATCCAATACTGCCAAAATTTAATTTTTTAAAACGTGCTCTTCATGATTTTTACATATTAGAGCTTAATGTAGATTGAATTAATATTTTCCCAGCTTTTTAAAGCTATTTTAATCCCTCTATTCCCATCGTTTTTCTCTTATTCCGAGAGCTAGCCCCAAAAGAGCGACGAGAGACTACCTCACCCGCAGAGGGCCGAGACGGTGAGGCGGTCCCCTTGGCGGCCCGGCACAAAACCCCTCTCCCCGTCCCGTCGCTCGACCCAACCATAGCTCAGTTGGTAGAGCGGAGGACTGTAGAGTCAGCAGCTATCCTTAGGTCACTGGTTCGAATCCGGTTGGTTGGAATGTTTTTGCTTTTTGGGCGTAGAACAAGGGAATGTTTTGCTTTTTGCTCAAAATCTCTAGGAAAGCTAGTTTTTGATGGTTTGAACCCGGAAATTACGCAGTTTCTTCCAAAAACACCTCTAAAAACCGTGAATACCTTCTGAAGCGGCAAATTCGGCAGCAAGCCGGCGGTGTCCACTGGCTGGATGTTGATGATGAAGCAGTTGAGCCGATCGATCTTCGCAAAACTGAAAAATAAAAGCATTACGGAATTTATACAATTTTTACCTATCCACATTCCCCAAATTGTTGACGATCATATTCCGCCCCTTGACCATGTCGACGATCTCGCTCTCCAGCGATTTTCGCTCTTCCTCACTGAATTCAACGATTAATAAAATTAAAATTCGAGCTACAGTACCTGTTAAACGACGTGAGCACCACCATGGTGCCCTCGTTTTGCAGCTTTTTCTCGTCGAGGACGCTAAAAATTGAGTTTTTGGCGAAGTAACTCTAAATACCGAGTTTCGAGCTTCAGCTCTTCTTGCTTCATGAGACGTGCTGGGATCGGGACTCGCGGGCGGTGGCCTGGAAAATAGAGATTAGAGGAATCGTTGAATTTAAAACTCGATTTGGCTCTATCCTAATAGCGGGGACCATAGAAATTATCGTGGACCATAGAAAATATCGGGGACCATAGAAAATAACGTGGACCATAGAAATTATCGTGGACCATAAAAATTATCGGGGACCATACGAAATATCGTGGACCGATCGCCATAACCGGGGACTTTAAAATCGGCCATTTAGGCCAAAATTTCGGCTGATCAATATCGTGGACTTTAAAATTTGCACTCCAGCCGGGCTATGGACCACGATATTGACCGATAGAAAAACCGCGGAAAGCGTGAAAAAAACGTCAACAACAGCATCAAAGTTGAGTAAAATGCATCAATCTCTCAATGACTTGTCGTAATTTTTCTTTGTTTACAAATTTATGATTATTATTGACACTAGATGTTTTTAAAAGGACGTTTGTTAGAGACCCGAGCAAGCCTTGTCACAGTTTTTTTATGTCATGTGAAAGAGCATAGTCGAATTAGTATGGTGGCGCTATTTCGAGATTTTTATACGCTCATTTTCTAGGTTTAAATGGGCGTCAAAGCTGAAACCCTTGAAAAATTATCCCGAGAACTACTGCACCAAATGGCTTGACAATTTCAGACACTTATTTTTGCTGATCATTTTTGTAATACATCGTACAGCACGAAAATGGTCGGAACGAAGGAATACCGCGTACATAGGAAGATTTTTCGCAATTTTCTATTTAATTAATGGTTATGCGTCGCCACTCTTCAAATGTGACGTGTGTTGACGTTTTTTTCACGCTTTCCGCGGTTTTTCTATCGGTCAATATCGTGGTCCATAGCCCGGCTGGAGTGCAAATTTTAAAGTCCACGATATTGATCAGCCGAAATTTTGGCCTAAATGGCCGATTTTAAAGTCCCCGGTTATGGCGATCGGTCCACGATATTTCGTATGGTCCCCGATAATTTTTATGGTCCACGATAATTTCTATGGTCCACGTTATTTTCTATGGTCCCCGATATTTTCTATGGTCCACGATAATTTCTATGGTCCCCGCTATTAGGATAGAGCCCTCGATTTTCAGCAGTTTTTTCAGCTTTAATTTTTCATATTACGTTTTTTTTACATATTTATTAGTTATCCTTTGTACCCAGACGTTGCTTTGTTTGTGTTGCTTTAAGATTTCGTTGTTTGGTTTTTGATTTTCTGATTGGCCATTTATGCAAGAAAAATCATGCGTTTTATGTTTGTTTTTTCTGCTCGTTTTCCGTGCGCTCTTTCTGTCGCCGTTTATCGCGTCCGTGTGCCCCGCGGGCCCGTCACCTCGCAAAAAGGGTCAACGAGGTCAAAACATCGGCTAGAAATTCAACGGTTGTCCACCTAATCTTCAAAAACTTCTTGTATTTTTAATGTTTAAAATTCTTTAAATATAATTGAGCGTTTCCTGGAATTTTAAACTTCAAATAGCTATAGAGAAAGCAGTTTTCAAATCTTAAAATTCGCCTAAAAACGGCATCCTAGTGCTTTTTGATAATCGAGAAATCTTTTAAAGACCTTTCCAAACAAGTGAACTTTATATTTTCACCCTCATCGCCCCGCAACAGCGGTCACCCTTTTCTTTTTATCTCCCGGTTCTCCGCCCCCACTTTCATGTCTGCCCGCCCCAAAAATGCCGGTCACTCCACCCAGCTACTACTGCCATATTCAGACAAAACCCCCTGCAAGAGTGATACCTATTTCCGTGCCGTCAGCTCTACCATGTACCCCGGCTATCAACACATTTTATGCCCAAAAAATTGATTGACTGCAGAGGAGACCGGCTGACTGTGGACTCGCTTTTGAGCCTCGGTCACGACTACCCTGAACTCCTTGAAAATGCCGGGACTTCGGACCCTACTCGGCAACTTTACAATGGAAATCCCGTTGGCGCTGTACATGTTGACGTCATTCCTGCGATTCCCCGTCTTTCAGAACCTTATCTACGAGAAGGTGTGCATGGAATTGAGAGATGTAAGTTGCCCGAATTTTCCGAAAATCAAAGAATTAGATTTTAATTAATAAAGCTAAATAAACTCGATGATCGCATTAAAAAAATACTAAAATATAAATGTTATCAATCGACTACGCAATATTAACCTCTACTTATTGCGAAATTCGGGAAAAATGGCGATCGCGGAAATTGAAGACCTACTTTTTTTTTACTTTCAAATCCACTAATTTTACAGTAACCACCTCTATTAGATTCTTTTTCCATTCCATTACGCCATGAAAATGCTAGAAAATCCAATTAAAGACCGTCAGAACGATCAAAATTTCGTTAAAAGCAAGAAGTTGCGCACCGGGCGGGGGTCGAACCCGCGATGGTCCGCTCCACAGTCCGATGCGCTAACCACTACACCACAGGTCCGAGTGGAGAGGGGAGTCAGAGGCGTCCCAAAACCGAGAGGGCCCTTGCCCACTACGGGGCGCGACTAATGACGCCTCTCTCTGCGCGTTCTTGGGGGCAGCACCCTCGGGGTGACAGTGCGCGTTCCATCGTTCTGGTAGTCTTTAAGAGAAGATCGGACCTATAATCTCGAATTAAAATGAAATTTGGCAACATATCGCGTTTTTCAGGACCCAAACCTCTGCCAAAACGTTAGTGCCTACCATGATGATAAGGAAATTCACGAGAAATTTAACCATATTTATTTCTTGTCTACGATCACCCTGTTGATACCTTCCAACGTTGTTGTGCTATTTTTGGGCGCAGGTAGGGCACAAATACTCAATAAAACAAACGAAAAAATCTACTACTTTTTAGCCTGCGACATTTGGAGCACCAAGATCCCGCTCCTCATCCCGTTTACCGGGCTTGTCTTCTCGACGGCCAACTACATTTTCCAAGCGGCATATATGGAATCGAACGTCTACTGGCTGCTGTTGAGTGACGCGATTTTTGGGGTGTGCGGCGGGTATTTGGGGGTTATTGGTGAGTCTTAGGCTTTAAAAAAGTTATTGAACTGTTTGAATTCGAGTCCGAATGCTCAGAAAAAGCTAAAAATCGACAAATCCACTCCTCCAGGAACCACGATGACGTACAGCGTAAAAGCGACGAGCCAAAGCCACCGTAGCGTTCGGATCGCAATGATGGAGGGCTCAATTGGTTTGGGTGGCACGATCGGATACGCTTTGTCTGGGACTCTGAGAAGGTAGATAAACAAAGTATTCCGAAGGTCTCAATTCTAGCGCCGTTGGGTATACATGGAGCTTCGTAATCCACCTAATTCTACAAGTTATCGGCTACATCTACATCATCGCCTTCGCGAAGGAATTGATCAATCAGGAAGAGCGTGAGCCCTCATTATCCGAGAGCGGAGAAATCGGTTAGTAACTTCAACGACTTCTAGGGGTTTCGCAATTTCCGAAAAGTGCAAAAACAACTACGAGGAGTTCAGCCATCTCCAAAATAAATGCAAAAAAAAAAAACAACCAGGGGGTGCACCTAAAAATTACAACAAAGGCTCGTAAAAAAACCGTTTTTACTACGATGGGTGTTAGGCTGTGTATACTAATTTACCCCCCCCGCTAACGTAGAACCAAAAAACACAACAACTTCAGGCCGTTCAAACAACATCATCGTCCACCTCATCGAGGTGCTCCACGGCTTCTACAGGCTCATCACCAAGCCGAGGCAGTACAGGACGCTCCTCTGGATGTGCCTTAGCGCGCTCGCGCTCGAGCTGCTGATCTTTGCTGGGCTGATGGACATCCAGTACTCCTTTTTGCGCTACACGCTCGGATGGGGCGACAAGGAGTACGGGTGGTTCAGCGGGCTATCTTATGGGCTGACGACCGCAACGGTAAGTTCAGGGCGGGGCTGTCAAAGTTGAAGTTCCATTTCTAGGTGCTGCTAATCTACCCGTATCTGAAGTTCCGAGGGTGGAACGACAGTTTATTAGGGAGTTTGGGGCTTGGATTAAAGGTAAGTAGGTATTAAAGTATCCGTCGATTTTGAAAGCCATTTTCGAAGTCATTTTTTCGACAACCATATTTTCGAAAAGTTATGTGAAAATGTCGAGACCACTTTTTCGAAAATCGAAATTTCGCAAAAATTTGCGTCCAGCTTTCAAAAGTGAAAAGCAAGATGGCGTTCAATTTCAGGACTCTATTTTCGGAACATTTTTAAAATAAGAAAAAGCTGTATTAAGCTCAAAAAAAGCAGTAATTAAATTTTAGATTATCTCCCTGATCGTCTTCGCCTTTATTGTCGCACTGTGGATGGCCTACGTCGTCACCGTGCTCACAATGGCCAACAGATTCGTTTCGACGGGTTTTCGCTCGTTTACAAGTCGACTTGTTGAAGAAGCCGAGCAAGGTAAGCACCCACTATCCTATCAAAAACCCAAAAATATTCAAGGAAAGCTCTTCTCGCTAATCGTGCTGCTCGAAGGGCTTACGGCCCTCGCCGCCACGTCAATCTACAATAACCTCTACCCCAAAACTCTACATATCTTTCCGGGGATGATGATCCTAGTCTCGGCCGCCATATTGCTGCCCAGCTTGGCAGCGTTACTGTGAGTTTCCAGGCCACCTAATTAGCGTTAAACTCCATTTTTTAGGTACTCTGAGTACAAGATTCGAAAGGAGGGGCCGAGAATCGCAGAGGATGTTGAAGCGCCAGCTGGGGAACCAATGGATTGAGCGGCGAACTACGTATTTTTTTCGAAAAATTCCGATTTTCTTAGAAACGTAGTTGAAACTATTTTCGTAGTCTTTCTTCCCGAATCTAGTTATATTGCGAGTGGGGAAACCACTTCGATAAACTTAAAAATGCTAAAAATGTTATCATTCTGCCATTTCTGGTCGAAAAACTACGTTTTTAACATTTTTAAACCAACGTTTGTAAAATCATTTCTTTCGATATTACCCTGGAAACCCATGGAAATAAAATAACCCCTAAAAATTTAGCACCTCCAGCCTTGCTGCCCTTGTTGGTGCGCAGCGCCTCGGCGGCCTTGCGTTGCGCGGTCGTCACCTCCGAAAACGCGTCGATGGCCATTCGTACGCCTGTAAATAGTGGTGTAATTTTGGGAAAAATAAATCATCTCATGTTCTTTTCTGAATGAAACACAAAAACGCACCGCATAAAATCGTGCAATCCTCGCTTTCCAACGGCTTGCCGGCGGTGGCAAAGCTGGAGACGAGCTAAAAATAATATTTTAATTTTGACCTTAATCTTTTCTCACTTGTTTATTCGTCAACAGCTCCTCGAACCAATGGTTCCGGTTGTCCATATGTGCGGTCAGGAACCGCCCGACGCCATCTGAGAGTACGAATCGCATCAGACGATCCTAAAATGGATAGATAAACGTTTCCACAATTTTTAGATTTGCGAATGTCGAGAAATCCACCCACATCATTCGGGAAAATGTCCCCGACGACGCGGTGCATGTCGAGCGTGCTCTCGACGGCCAGCGTCCAGATCGTCTTTGTAATTTTGGCGGCCTGACGCTGCTTGCCGTCGGTCAAATCCTTGATGAGCACGGGGAGCTCCTGGAAAGGGTAGTTTATCGCACAACATGAAAATTGCGACACCGTCATTCTTCCAATAACTTCTCTAAATATCCAAATTGGCGAGAAATTTCTAGCAAAGTAAAGAAAATCGTAAGAAAATCTTACGCCCTCCCTCTAATCCCGCTTCAGGATAATTAAAAAATAAAAAGCTTAGTTATTAGAGAAAATAATGCATTATAATCAATAACATATGTCCCAAAACCAACCTCTCCGGACATCCGGCCGAATCGCGGGCCATGATCGAGCACGACGATCACCTTGTGATCCGCTCCAAGCTTGCCGGGCTGGGCCTCGGCTGGCGGAGCCATCGCGGTTTAATGTCTGTAAAATGCATGGGTATTATAACTATAGTTTAATCGAGATACAATATATGAAAAGATAACGCAACGTTTTCAAAAATCGAATTTGAAGGCTAGCCGATATTGTCTTTGAAACAAACTGAAAATACTCCACAATTGGATTCTTGAACGTTTGTGCAAGAAAAAATATTTGGAAACGCAAGAGCATAAAAATATATTCAGCCAATTCGACAAAAAGTTAGTCGTCATTGCAAAATGCGATTGGCAGCCTTATTTCTTCGAACTCCGTTAAGTTCATAAAGTTTATTGTCAAAACGCAAAGAAAAATGGGGCAAAATCATCAAATTCGTGCACATTTCCTATTCAAAAGGGGTAAACCGGGCGTGGAGGCTAGGAATTTTGGAGGAACAGATGAAGCCGAAATATCAAAGTTGAGCTCAAGGGAATGTCGATCGAGGACAAGGTGGTAAGCAAAGAAAAATCAAGGAAAGAATGAAACAAGTGATACCAGTTGAAATGGGGGGCAATGACCAGGGAACAAAATTCCGGGGCGCCATCTGCATGCACGCGGCCGGAAGTGATATCGCGTCTATCGGGCGCCGGCGCACTTATGGTAGGTGTTCTCGGCCAGTGCCTGAAAATACAAAAATTGCATTAATAAAGTAAGGTGAAAGGATTAAGAAATTTTACGTACCTGCAGGTGGGCGTAGTAAAATCGACGAACGCCGTCCAGCTCGCCGAGCGCCGCGCAGAGCTAAAAAAAAAACGGAATTATACAAAACAGGACATATGTCTTTTCATGGTCTTTTTTACAAATATTAACCATCTTTACCGCGAAAAATCTATTAACAAGTCCCAAAAATGTGATTTTTGTTTTAAAAATCCGTCATTTTAGCCGAAAATAGATTTTTTTTTTGTATTTTTCCATCATCAACATCATCAGATTTTCACGATTTTACGTTTACAAAAAAAAGGAAAATAGTCGGGTTCTGCTCTCCGGATTTTGCAAAAGATCCGAGCAGAAAATGAGCTCACCTGCTTCACCCGCTCGACGTGCTTCAGGGCCTCCTCGGGGTTCTTGTCGATGTACTCGAACTGGATGTCGAGGAGGAACTGGCCGACCATGTAGGAACTAGAAAAATGTAATGTTAAAAGTAGATTAAAAATACAAATATTTAGTCTAAATGATTGTAATAAAATCTAGAACAAATTCTAAAACAAAAAAAGTACCGTTTCTCCTCCTCGGCGGTATCCCACAATTGTTGCGCCCAGTCTTCCAGTCCGGGCCTCGAGAGCAGGCCGTTTTCGGCGAGAAGTCTAAATGAGAACAATATTAAAAAGCACAACTCCCCATTTTGAATTGTAAAACTCTGCAAAACACTAGTCATTGAAAGTTAAAAGTTCGAAATTAAAAAAACGCACCCAGTAAGGTAGCTCCACACGCTCTCGTTGTTCTGCACGTTCTGGGCGACCTCTTTGCAGAAGCTGCAACAACAAAGTTAGAAACGAATTTCTTCCTCACTTCTCCTCAATGTCTATCGTGATCGGATCCTGCAGCTTGCCCATGAGCGCGAGCACGACGTGGCGGTAGTGCCAAGCGGAGTTGTTGTAAGGATCCTGAAAGTATTTCTTGAATTGGGTTTGTTGTCAGAATTTCGACAGTTAGAATGCCGAAATGAGCTTGTCGAAAACCAATCTGCGGAAATTTCGCTTCGTTTTGATGTAATTCTGTCGAAATGGCACTATTTTAATGTCATTTGGTCGAAATTAGGTTTCGTTTTATTTCGATTTTGACAAACCGAATTTCCAAATCCAATTATTGAAGAAAATCGATTTTATACCTCGATGATGAGCCGGGTGCTGTAGTCGAGCTCGGTCTGGTTGGCCAGCTTGTACTCGCGGATCACCCAGAGCCGATGCTGCCAGGCGTGGTAGTTCTTCGGCTCGTCCTCCAGAACCTCGGCCGTGAAGTCGAGCTCCTCCTCTAAAAAACTCATTTACTAAAATACGGTTATGTTACCAAAATCCTTGTTCAAAATCTCTACGAGACAGCCTCGGTGATGCCTAAAAGGATAGATACTCGCTTTTGAAAGTGATCTTACCAGACTTGATAGTTCTTCGGGTTCTCCATGATCATCTCCGAAATGAAGCGCATCTCCTTCTGCAGGTCCAGACCGAGCGCGGCGATGATTTCACGGCGGTATTGCCTACAACCTTGTTTTAAATAATAAGAATTCTCTTGCCAAACGGAATAGTTTGCTGCATTCAACGTGACGCAGGTGGTCGTCAGCTCGAAGCAGCGGGCCGTCAGTTCGCCACTGTTCATCACCGCGCGAAGGTAGGCGAATGCGTCTTTGACTAAAAAAATTGAAAACTAGGTTGAAATACTCGAAGGCTTACATTCATCAGTATACGCAATGCGCACGATACAATCCTCGTTGCCGACACAGTAGAGCGGCGTCACGTCGGCCCATTCCTTTCGATCCTTGTACAAAGTCGATGTGATGATGTCTTCACCGTCCATCGTCTGGTATCTAGAAATGAAGACTGGTTGTTATTTAGCAAAAAAAGCTTAGTAAAAGAAGGAATAGAAGAAGAACTGAGAATGCGTGTCTTTTGCAACGAAATTAGCTCATTTTCTTCTGCAAGAGTATCGGTAAAAAGGGTAAAAAGTAGCCGAAAGTTGCTAAAATTTTGCTCACGCTGTAAGAGGGATCATAAAGATGATACGGCAATAAGAAGCCTCAAAAACAGTTGAAAACTCACGAAATCGGTTTTCAAAAGATTTCCCTATCTCATTTAGATTGCGTGTGCCGTTGCGGGGCCTACAAACTACGGGCACCCTCTCGGGTTACTTTGACGACCAAAAACTCGAGTTTTACCATCGATTCAGCGTAAAAACTTGAAATCTGTATAAAATAACGAATAAAAATCAGTTTTAATACAAAGAAGTTTTTAGTTCCCGCTTTTTGATAGTACGTTCCCTGCAAATTCCGCAGAGGTGTAAGGTGTAGCGTCTCGTACCCCACAAATGTAAAGAATTGAACTTTTTATAAAAATTTAATTGTTTTTGATTATTTTCCATTTTCAACTTTTTTTTGTGTCTGTTTTCCTCTTAGGGTCTGTTTACCTAGTCCATTACCGCTTTTTCGTCATAAAAATCACCATTTTCACGATCTTTGAGGCCAAAATCTTCCTAGAAACAAACTTGGGGCTCTCTGACTTGTGCCCTTTCATGCACCAACCACAAAAAATACCTCTCCCCGCCTCTCTTATCAAAATGACGAAACGCTCTCTCGAAAGCGCGTTATCTTATGCGGCGTCTGCGCCCGTTTTCTCAGCCCGGCCCGGGTCCCGGGTCTCTAAATAAATCGAGCAAACGCGCCGGTCGGCTGGGTGTTTCATCGGCTAGCTAATAGCAAACCATTTTTATTTTTATCATAAGGCTTATTAGATGCCGTTTCAGTTATTTCGCATTATCGGGCGAGAGAACCCCATTTTTGTCCCGGATTTTTCCAAAATGTAGATGATGTGTTTCTCACTGTTTTTCATCAATATTGAACGTAAAAACTTTACAAAACTGATTGCAAAATACAAAAATTTTGATTTTCGACCAAGAATTCCGGTTTTCGACCTAAATTTAAAACTTTCAGAATTTTGTAAGGGTTTTGGGCTATTTTTCTATTGGAAATCTAGCTAAATTTTGCGACAAACGCTAGCAAAATACGAGCTATTAGGTTCCTAAAACCGATAGAAAAATGGCCTCCCCCGTTAATGCGAAAGAACAGTGATTCGGAAAAAGGTCTTTTTTTCAAGGCATCTTATAAGATTTATCGTTCTTAATTTTATCGTTTTGAAGATTAAAATTTTTGAACGCCAGGTAATTTTTCTCCTTTTTTCAGACTATGGGCTCCGAAGCCACGGAAACAGAAGAATACTTCCACTTTCGGTCGTACTCGATTAGAAAACCGATCGCATTTTCCTATATTCTATGCACCCTTTATAACGTGACATTTTTCGTGCAATTCCTATCATTCCCGTATATCGTCAAGGAGCTCGGAATCAGTGATACACAATACGGTAGGTTAAAAAAAAATAAAAATACAAAGGCTTTTTCTAGGATACCTTCAAACCCTCTTCGGACTCCTTCAAGTCCTCGGCGGGCCGGTGTTTGGGCACATAACCCAAAAATACGGTATTCGAGCAGCGCTATTTCTTTGCTACGGATCGACACTGATTTCTGCGTTGATGTTGTATTCGGCAAATGTAAGTTGGAGTGAAAAGTACTCGAGAAAATCGATATTTTTTAGGACTTGACGACGCTGTACCTCTCGCGGTTGCCGGTGTTCTTCATGCACGGGCAGCAAGCCCATCAGACGCTGATGTCCTTGTTGACGGCGCCGGGCAAGGAGCGGACGAATGCGTTCGGGAGGATGGGGTTGACTTTTGGTATGTAGGAGAGGCTTTCCAAATGTTGATAAAGACGTAATTTTAAAATTGATATGAATTAAATATCGACATTTAAAAGCTGAATTGAAATTTTTAGAATTTGAAAAAAATTGGTGCTGGTTTCTTAGCGGCGGTAGGGGTACCTAACCTAGTCTAAACCTTTCTGATGAAACAAAACCAATCAAATCAAAGGTAAAAAAAATGGAAAAGTACGCTCTAGACATAAAAAGTTAAAAATATTAAAATGTTTGAGAAATTTCTTCTTTTTTGTGAAAATTATAAAAAAATTGCGAAATTTTTTAAAGTGATTTTAGTCTAATTTTACTAAACTAATTTGATCCAATTTTATTATTTCATAAATGTTATGACTATAATCGGAAAACACTGGAAAAACCATCAAAATAAACGAGGTTTTAGCGCTACGCAAATTATGCTAAAGAAAGAGCGTTATCTCCCCCCCCCCCCCGCTAAAGAACCAGAACCAAAATTTCTTTTTTCGGTACAGGGCAGGCTAGCATAGATCATCTAAGAAGGCGTAAAGTGATTGAAAAATTTAGGAATCTCCTTCATGTTCACCCCGATCATCCAAATCCTGTCGGGGATGGTGTTCGGGGCCCGGGGGGCGTTGCTGACCATCGCCTTGGTCGGCTTCTTGCCATTTTTCGTCTTCGACCATTGCCTGCAGCGAAAGGACTACGATCATGTAAGATTTCGCGCAATTTAGAGGGCTGAAGTAGCCGACGTCTTCTAGACGTTCAGTTTTCAGAACCACGAGGCGTCGACTATACGAGGTACGGCTCCATCGGCCCCGGTCAACTGGGATGGGGCTGTTCGCGTCCTGAAGAAGCCGGGCACCATCAACCTGCTGATCAAGAAAAACGCGCCGATCATGCCGGCGTTGATGGTGTTCTCCGTCATGCAGGTAGTTTACGAAAAAGGATTCTTTTGCATTATCGGGGGGCTTGTCGTTCATGTCCAATTTTTAACATAAAGCACCTATTTCTTCATTTTTTTAACTATTACTAGATCCGAAAATTTAGAAATTTTTATCAAAAAATTACAAAATAACTTTTTTCGACCTAAAATGGCCGGATTTCATATTTTTAGTTTTTTTTGGAGGTTTTTGGTTGCGTGTCTCAGCTTCTAGAAAAAATTTCCTGCCCCCCGATAATGCCAAAATACTCCAAATTCCAGATCCACATGATCAACTCGTTCCAAGTCACCCAGGAGATCAGCTCCATGATCCAGATGATGACTGGCGCCTGCATTATGTTCAGGTAGTGGTCATAATTAAATTATAAACGTTTTTAAAAGTTTTCCCACGCTAAAAAAGCTTGTTGTTGCCAAAACGGTTGGGCTAAATAAAAGAGTTTACCCCCCCGATAACACACCAGTACCCAATTTTTAGCAATGGATTCGGGGTCATCTTCCTCCGAAAACACTTCGACGAACAGAAGATTCTGATCTTTGGCACTTGCTCTTTCGTGAGTCTATTTTATATTTTTTCTATTTGTTTATATCTTTGCTATTTGACCATTTTTTATTTATAATAATATTATTATTTTATTTTTCTTAGATTTTTAATCTCTGTTCTTTAGCTAACAGCCTACGTGTTCCTCACCTACTTCAACGCCCTCTGGCTGATCTGCCTGATTATGCCGTTCACCTGCATGGGTACATCAAAGAAAGTTAGTCCCAAATTCGTACTTTAGGAATGTCGCTGGTCGCCACCGTCGCGGACTCCTTGCTGACGTCGGTGGTCGAGGAAAATGAACAGGTGAGTTTTATACATAATTGTTAAAGTATAAGCTGTCGAAAGAAATTCCAAAATTTCATAATGTCGATATGTCCTAGTTTCGAGGTCCATACGTCAAAATTTAAAAATTTCGCACGAGATTCCGAAATTAGAAAATGTCGACAATGTGAATTTCGACAACCCGAATTTTGAAATTTTCACTTCGATATGATGAAATTTCGAAGTAGTGAAATTCCGGCATTCTGAATTTTTACATTCAAGCACTTTTGGTCATAAATTTCGACAATGCAAACTGTCGGCATTTTGAATTTTGGCATTATAACTTTCGATATGAAATTAAGCATTACGGCGTGTCGGTGTTATGAAATTCGACATTATTCACTACCATATTTTTCAATTTCTCAAATCATTATATCGATTTTTCCAGGAGTCGTGCTCGGCGTCGCAACCACCATCAACTCATTCGTGCGTACGTTTGCCCCGGCGGCTTCCGGGAAAATTATGGAAGTGTAAGGATTTGTATAGTTTCGATGTCTATCTTATCTATTTATTGATTTTTTTATTGAACTGATATAATTTGTAATATAAAATAGCAATTTTTACATCTTTAGATACGGCTTCTCAAGCTTTGGGATGGTTGGCTTTGCGTTGTCACTCGTCGGGCTGGCAGCTTGTCTCTACTACCCTCTAGATCCTGCTCTTATCCGTAAAGAGGAGCCCAAAGAGGAGATGAAAGCGGAAGCAGAAAAGAAGAACGAATGATTTTTACATAGATTTTCCCGATTTTTTTCATATTGCTACGATACTTCCTTGAACTTATTTTTCTACGGGTCCCACAAATCACTTAAGCCTTTATAGGAAAGATTCCTTTTCCATGTCCTAGTCACCCTAAAAATTCTATCAATAAATATTTGAATTTTACTTGCTAGACGTTTGCAATGTGTTTTGAGGAGCAAGACGTAACCAGAAACAAATTAATTTTTGATGCAACAGCCATCAAAAATTCTTGTTTGGCAGTTCTCATTTCTATCAGCAGCTGCAAAAGCAGTGACTTTTCGGTCGACTATGGAATTTTTGATACGCCAGAGCGTTTGCGTGCGTTGAGCTTTGGCGAACCAAAAAAGGATAAGGCAGAGCAATAGATCGAGAGAGAAAGAGAGAGCGAGAGCGAGAGAGAGAGAGAGAGAGAGAGAGAGAGCGAGAGAGAGAGCAAGAGGGAGGGAGAGGGAGGGAGAGAGAGGGCGCTCGAAAGAGTGAGAGTGAGAGGGTGAAATAGAGCGCGAGAGTGAGAGAGAGGAGAGAGGGATGGGAGAGATCGGGAGTGAGAGAGAGCGAGACGTTTACGAAGTATTTGAAATTCCAGACAGATCAAAGGATCGCCGGGATTTTTGCTGTCGAGATTGCTCTTTTTCGGGGTGCAGGCTGTCGAGATTTTTAATTGTCGGTATTTTGGCCTGTCGGGATTGTAGCTGTCGATTTATTCCGGAATAAAATTCTGGGTTTTCCGTATCCCTATGTCGTCCGATAATTTAATCAAAACGAGGAAGATTGCGGTATAAATTTTTGTTTCCCAAATAATGAGGATCGTCTCGAATTTGGGAGCTTCATTATTTGATGCCGGAAGTCCATGGCCGACACCATCGTCGGTGGTGTGGCTAAATTCAGAAAATGAGCCTAACCTCCTGCCCATACTTGACCCACTTCCACGAAAAAATAGCTGTTTCGTGAATTTTGTATAGACTCTACTGCTGGCTATGGTGATAATTGAGCAAGTGACGCATTGAGCACTGAAGACGAGCTGCGAGAGTTGCCCTGAATCTGGTATTTTAAGAAGTTAGAAAGTTTCCTACAAGCTTTCGGGAAAATCGGGTCATAGTAAAAGATTATGATCGTTAGGAATGGAAGGTAGGTCAGCCCGGCGAAGATGGCGAACTAAAAAAAATTGAGATTTTAGGGTTCGCATTATCGGGGGAGTGAAGGCGGGGCAAAGAAATTTTTCTTACAAATTTTTGTTAGAAGCCAATTTTTCAAAATATAATTAGCGGAAGTGTTTCTTACTGTTTTTTACTATTCCTAAACGTAAAAAAATCCCAAAATTTTATTAAAACTACAAAAAAATACAAATTTTTTGACCAAAATAGCCCTTTTGTCCAGAATTTCCAGTTTTTGAAGGAGTCGGATACGTCCTATCAGCTACAGGCCGTTTATCGATTAGTAGAAAAAAATTTCTTTAATTTGAAAAATTTAGAAATAGAAAAAAAGAAAAATTTAATTTTTCGATTTCTATGTAAGATCCTGTTTAGTTTTCGACGAACCAAAAAAAAATCGAAGGATAAAAATACCTGAGTGCTCATAGAAAATAGCAATGCCAACGAAAGTTCCCGCACTTTCTTATGCATGTTTTGGTGGTTGATGATGACCATGTAGGAGTGGACGATGAGAAAAATCATCCCGGCATTACCGGCCGTGAAAGCGCACCTAAAATATGACCTAAGATGGTCAAGGGCAGGGCATTTGCAAGTTGATAGAGTCGCGCATTTATAAAAATACTACAATTACCTAAAAATTTCAACTCACGTTATCGTGACACCCAAAGGATATAGCGCGGCCATGGCGCAGACCATATTGTTTTTCGTGATATACTGCAGCTCGTCGGCGGCAGTGAAGTGATAGTCCCCCTAAAAATGAAAGTACAAGGTGCTTTATCATTATCGGGGGGGGTGGTTACCATTTTTCCGTACGCGCCAAATTTCCTCGCAAAAAATATAGAAATTATTTTTAAGCTGTTTTTGCAATTTATGAAGGTAAAATTTTTATTTTTAGGATTCATAAACGGCTTGAGAATGTTAGACATTTTTTCTGCCTTTTTGGATGGAAAGGACACCCCCCGATAAAGCAAAAGCACCAAATAAAACAACTAACAACTGCCCAACTCACCATTTCAACGCCGTACATCAACGAGGAAGCGAATATACAGGACGAGCCGCAGATCAAATACATGAACGCAAAAAACGCGAAACGTGTTCGCCGGGATAGATGAAGCATCGACCCAAACCGTACGGATAGCTTTAAAAATCATTGTATTTTAATGAGAAGTCAAACCTGATGCCTATAAAATAGTGCATGGGCAAGAGCGGCCACGGTCACAAGAGACGCGAAGAAAATTGCGAACTAAAAAAGGTTCGGCTACGGTTTACTTTACCCCCCCCCCCACCCAGCTGGAAGTTTTTGGCTATAACTTTTTATTTTAAATTATTGTAGGCTCAAATTAAAACTCTTATTATATTTTTCGACGCGCTATCAAATGGCGTTGCTAAAATCCCGACAAAATAAGCGAAAATACCGACAACTTTGAGACCCTTCGGCTGTGGGGGGGGTAAAGTAAACTCTTACCAAAGGTTCTGATCCGTAAGTGAGGGTGGGGGGTGAAAAACCATTTTTTTGCTCTCGTAGACACCAAATAAATATAATAGATAAATTAATGAAATTTTACTAGCTATCCACATTTTCTTAGATGTAAAAGTTTAAGGGATTCAATCAAAATTTCGAACATGTGTTTTCTTAGTTTCAAGAAAATTTGAATTTCCAGTAAAAAATGAGTTAAAAAATGGTCAAAACCTGCAAATTTTTGCTATTGTTTTGATATTTTAGGCCTAATAAACCTATCAAAACATGATGAAAATGAAACAAAACCGACTTTGAAAATAGTCTATTTTTTAACACGAGCGGTTAGCCCAAACCAAGAAAGTCATTCCGTCTGCTTATCCCCCCGTTAATGAATCAGTGCCTGAGAGACGGGGGTATCAGTAAGATCTGAACGTACCATCGAGAATTGATGCGAAAAGTCGGCGCTAAAACCGACGTACGGGCGCAGAAATTCGATGAGGAGATACCAGACGCCAATCTGGTTGCACATTAGCGGACCGCTCGTTGTCGTCGGCGCGATGTTCGGGGACAGCCAAGCCCACGTCAGCACCGTGTTTAGCGTTGTTAGCTAAAATGGCTTGCATAACCGTTCTATCTATCGAGTTTTTGTATGTCAGAATGTGGCCGTCGGGATTTCGGCTCTGGGGATTCAGATTTTTGGATTCTGAATCTTGGAATCAGGGGGGTGACGGCATGATGGGTGTCGGGATTTCAGCTATCAGGATTTGGCTGTCGAGATTTTAGACGCCGGCATTTTAGGTGTCGGGAATTTGGCGGTCGGGATTATGGGTGTCGCGATTTTGGCATGTCGGCGTCCGAATCGTTGGAATTTTGAATTTCGAGATTGTGGTTGTCGGCATTATGGCTTTCGGGATTTCGGCCTGCCGGGCTTATGGCCGTCGGGGTTTCCGGCTT